GGGTGCTACAGCACGCGCGCTCATCCTGGCGGCGTCCAACGAGAGAACTTGCTGTCAGTCGCCCTGGAGCAGAGAACCTAAGCGACTCTGGTCTGAGGCAGATGGAGCGATCTCCGGTCCGATGGGAGTCCGATGGGAGGTTCCAATCGAGGGAGGGGTTTCGGGTGCTTGTACGGGAGCAAGTTGAGAAAGACCTAATGCCGATGGTCACCTACTTACCTATCTATCAGTCTATTACCCAAGTTGGAGGGATGACGGACAGACGGGCGTCCTGCCAGCTAGAGAGGTAGACAATGTCAAATGCTTGACAATCAATACGACAAAAAGACCGAGGCCAGCACGGTCGCTTGTCGTTCTCGTTGCTCGTTCCGATGACGACAGCTCGATGAGCGTACAGCGAGGGGATCACGTATGGTAGAGCCCGCTGAGAACAAATCAAGATGGAAGCTGAACTGAATGATAAGAAAACAGATGGATAAAGTTTGCCTGGAGAGTCCCAAAAATTTGCTTGCTTCTTGCGTTGCTTGAATGAGGTCGGGGTCGGGGTCCAGACTGAGGGTTACGTTCAGGTAGGTTTGTGCGGCATAGGATTGCCTGCCGGTGAGGGAATGGAACCCTTCCGTTGAGGTACCTTATCTGCCAGCAGGATTCAGGTCATCACTGCCGTCATCTCCTTCCATTGCTCTCAGGTGTTACAGTCATGCATTTACATCTTTTCGATCAAGGCATCGAGCAATGAATCCTCGAGATTGAGCAGCCCTACAGTAACTCGATGGTGTTCTTCCACAAGGGGAGATGGCTAGATCCTCTAGTGTTGGGCGTTATTCGACGCACCAGTTGATAAAGCACTAACAATCATACACCCATTTTTAGCCTGTGGACGATCTCCAACTAATAGGACCGGTAACAACACCCTTGAGCCAACACTTTGTTTTGATCATCCTGACACTTTCCTCGCATTCACGTTCTGTCTTCAAAAACCCATAGTCATCTATTCGAAAGAGCTTGGGAAAGGTCGATTCTGTCACGCTTTCAAGAAGATATACGATACGACGAAGACCCAGCTAGCTGAGTTTTTCACGTCACGCTTCGTTCAGCTCCGTCAGCAAGCACAACGACTCAAGGTTAGAAAATGAACATCGGTTCATGGTTATCCAAACGTAAGTTTGTCCTCCAAGGGTACTAAGATATTAAGAGTATGTGATTTACAGGGTAAACATCGACGAGTCAGTCTTCGTCCCGCATCCTAGACTTCAACGTGCGACGGCCCTCGGTGATAGTATTGTTCCACGCGGCGGTAACAGTAGCTCGGTGACACTCAAGATAGGGTGAGCTATTAAGGCGGCTAACGAGACGATACAAACCAGGTTGTTGGCATGGCTCCCGAGATATGTTCACAAGGCGAGCATGCAGATGTTGTGTGTGTCACCAAGTGAACAATGAGTTCAAGGGCGTCAGCAGCCATTCACGATGCTTCTTTTGAAGAAGACTAAACGGAAACAAAACCAACACTTTATAGTCATCATACCTACACCATCGGCACGAGGTTGATTCCATCAGTATATATGGGCTGTCCCTACATATGGACTTCGGACCCTTGCATATTGACCATTTGCTTGCTCAATACAATGTTCAACTGAAGCTGCAGGCTTGCCGCAATATTCTCTTCATACAGAAAAACTCTGTCTGTAAATCTTTTGCTGCCCCATGGGTAGACAACGTATCATAGCCGTCGGATTGATACAGAATCAACCATTAGTAGAGACTGAGTAGGTATGGCGCTTCTGTGAATCCTTCCACATCCCTCCATGCCCTGCAATATCCTACCAATGCTCAACTGCTTTTCTCACTATCCCGTATAGACTCGGGGCATCCGTTTTCAGCTAAGCATTTCAGACTGCGCAAATCTCTTCCAAAACCCAAACCCTAAGGCACGCCAGTTACATTTCTGTAATCGCCATTGTGTAGCTGCCAGTTAGGCCTTGGAACCTAGAAACAGATGCCCCGAGTCTATACGGTACATATCCCAATGGGTGATGGAAAAATGCGCCTGTCCCTACTTGCTATTCATGTTAGTGCAGCTTTTGCATTGACATGTTTCCCACAGATGTCGGGATCAACTCAGAAGAACATGCAATGCATGTAGAAACAGGCTTACTGACCTACAGAAGTGAACACGGGCATCATAGCATCTATCTCCAGATTCTCCTGTTAATGGAGGCAAGGGCTCTTAGACCGCCGTACATCATTTTTCCTCTCTGGAGCTTATACTGATAGAACTATCTATAAAGGCCGGTGGATTCTACTTGGAGCCGCTTCTCCTTTTTAGAAATCACCATACTGGACGACTTCATCATGCTTCTGGACCTATTACGCTGTGCCGGTTTGTTGCACCAGCCGTGCCAACACATCTTCTAGGAAGGAGACTTTACCATGATTGTTTTCACCTTGTAAGCTATTATTCTGCTGTTGACGGGTCCGCAATGCATGCCCGAGTAGGTAGCCATCACTGACCGTCTGTGGCTGTCTCGGTTATCTCAAGTCATGTCTATGCAGAAGAGGAAACCTATGAAGCGGCCATCGAGGTCAATAATTCTGTTCACTAGCCAGCACAAGCCACTGACTTCCTCTCTTTGGATAAGTGAGGGGCAACTGAGACGGTCATTGCAAAGAGCGAGATCCATCCAATATAAACTCCAGGAAAAGATATAAGCACCCCCCGCACGTGATTGTCAATCAAAACGTGGGCAAGCCGTCACTGTTTTTGCGTGATCCTCTGATGTGTGTCGCGACATATGAAGCACCCACACCACCACAATGTAGTATGACGTCCTGCAAATCATCTGGTGTGCGTGCTACAGTGCGCATGGGCGAAGGATCCGCGGCTTTATGTAGTATATCTTGATGGTTTGGACCGGGTCGTTGGTGCTGTAACAAATGAGAGAATTCAAGATGCGAGATGCCCAAGGAGCGACCTTGCAACCTAAGGACGATATGAACTTGATGTGTGCTGACTGGGCAAGTCTGATAGATCGTTTGATGTTGGTAATATCGAGGAACTTCTTCCACTCATACAGCTAGCTGTTGGTTCGGCTGGTCAGGTTGGCACCGTGCAACCCGGGAGCAGGCGCACTGCCTATAAAGATGAGCAAAGGGTTTTTGCTGATTTACCTACACAAAGAACTGTCCAAGTGGATGATCATCTTGTAGAAAGGTTAACAAGATCTCACCAAGCCGTCCGATTCGATCAGCAAACGTGCTGCGTGTGTAATACATTTATAGTGTAAAACGTGGCAGTCGACTCGGTTCCAGGCATCTGGTTGTAGTGTAATAATCTATCCGCATCCGTATTCGGACCTAGAGCTGGATCTAGAGCTGGACTATGCTTCGATTTGTTTTGAAACCATCGAGATACGAACACTTTGCCAAACTGCCTTCGATAGAAGGAAGATTTTACGTTTTCGTTCTGGAACATCGGGGAGAGGGCCAAGTCGTTGAAACACAGCGTATCCAGGGTCGAAAAAAGAAAAAAAAAACGTGAGCCGCAATCGACAACTTTGTGACAGGCTTGGGAAAGTGCGGAAACGGTGTGGAGTTCTTCGGTTTCGGTTTCGTAATCGCTGTGCGAGACTTCGCATGTCCCTGATACATAGACTAACGAAGAGTGAACGGGAAAACGCCTAACGAAATAGGGTTAGAAGCTGTGGGGAGTTTAGTGGAGGCGACTGGCTGATCATGGATATTGTGGATTTTTAAAGATTGAAGAGCTGGCTGATGACGAGGAGACTGTTGCCGCCGGATGATGAAATAGGAAGAGAGTCGATGACATGTCCGCGTAAAGTACACTTGAGAATGGTATGTGTTTCCGAGAAACCTCTGTCTAAAGATCTTCAACGTTCGGAAAAGGGTAGAGTCCGCCAGCCCGAGAACGACCCTGCGATCCTGCCTCTGGAGGGTCCGTTACACCCGTGACGCCAAGAATTAAGCAGAAACTGGGGAATCCGTCTGTCACCATGTCCAGTGGACCATCACGGCGCATCCGCAAGTTGTGGTGCCGGGGGAGAGAAAACAACGGTCAGAAAGTTTATTCGAGTCAAACGGTCAGCCAGGCCACGCCAGAGTGTCGGGACATTGCAAATCTCCGTGCGCGATAACCTCTGCTTGTTTCCTATCCCCGCCAAAGGTAACGGTGAGTCCACGGGGCGGCAGATGGTAGTATTGAGGGGGGATCCCGGTTTAAGGCAAGCAGTGCCAGATGCCGGATTCTCATGATGCGACGGGCAGCGACAGGGCAAGTTCTTTCTTAGATCCATTTTAACAGTTTGTCAAGCCTTGTGGGGTTACTCACTGCCTGGGCTCCCGCTCTGGTCCGTGCTTGTCACCGAAATCCCGAAATCCATTTGATGCCTGCCCGGTGTTAGCATATGAAAAGGGCGACTGGATCCTTAACTGTCAGTGCCTGTCTGACATGGAGGTATTCCTGTGCGGTTCTTCGGTGAGATTTTAGGTACGCGTCACATCGAGGGTTGGCGGGGATAGCGGCTGAGGCTGATGTTTGATTGTGGTAATTGGAGGATGTTGCGGGTTCGGACCGGTAAAAGACCCCGAAGACGGCATCCAATTTGAGTATGTAGGAAAAAAGTGTGTCTGGCGGGAGCAAGGTATCCAACCTGAAGGAAGGGCGTTGATTGCCATCGCTGTGAGTGGATTACCTAGGTTGTCCAGCACGTGGGGGATCCAGTGAAGGAAGAAACATTCAGCGAAGCGGGCTCCCCACTGGGCAGGCACTGGCGAGGGAGGGGACCTGGACGGGCCCGATTTGTTCGAATTTCAGGTTTCTGTTTCAGTGTTTGTCGTCTCCCTGTCTCCTTCCACTTCTTGATTCGGTTTTTTTTTTTTTTTTCTTTCGGATAGCCCTAGACCCGACCCAACATGCAGGGCACGACGGTGAGGGCATCCATGTTCCAGATAGCTGTGCTGGTGCGAATTGTGTCCGTCCAGACGATCTGATTGGGGTGCCAAACTCTGGTGATCAAATGCAGCAAGCCCAGCAACGGACAGCCTCTAATCCGACCTATTCTAATTGACACCACTGGCTCATCTGAAGGATCGCCAGAATTATATGATTTTAGTGCATCGGTACCTATGGACGCGCTTAGTGTGGTGTAGAAGCGTCTCTGCGGTACTGAGGACTGTGGAGAACGAGCACTTACACGTATTCGGAACCTTGGGCTATCCCGTCACCACCATTCACACTCCAACAACATGGGGTGCAATATGTATCGTCGACAAGTTATACACTACATACACTACATGACATGTCGGGGATCAGCAAGTCCCCTCACCCAGTTGCTGCGGCGGCGCAAGGGATCGGAGCGGAGCGGCCGCTGGGAGTCAACTATTGCATAGTACACTACATTGAGCGGTGCTCGGCATCGCCAAGAAGCCCGACATCTCTGTGGCGGGAGTGGTTGAATGATTTTCGGTCAGTATGAATCATTTTCCCGTCATCACCGTGGACGCTAAAGTCTTCTAGCCAACAAGCTCTAGAACAAATGCCCGACTCCGTTTCAGTAGGGTCGGGCTACTATGCAGTAATTCTAGTGTAGCTCTGTAGGTAGTGTGGTCCTCAGGGCACACTCCACATGGCAACTTGAGCGGGCTGCCTTTGCTGCTTGTTCGCGACACCATTTGTGCAGGCGGCTCACTTGCTATCATGGCCCTCTGTTAGCCCAGAATGACGAACGAGAAGGGTAAATATCCATTGGTCACTCACTCTACCTATCCTCGTATACGGGGCTCTCTGATTGACGGGAGGACGGGAGCGGACGGGCTTAACGGGGTCGCTGCCATTTTCGTCCACTTCTCCAGATGTGTCGAGAACCCCAAATCCCGAAACGAAAAGAAGTACAAGGCAGCTGTACCAGGTACTTATAATCGGTAGCAGTGTGACGCTCGAGACGAGGTACCCAAGACTCCAGGAACGGGGAAGGGCCCTCCAACAAAGTGTAGACGGCTCCACTCTCTCAGACCTTCGGAGCCTGCGAGGACCCCGTCTCCCCTTTAGATTTCCAAAGGCCCGGGTTCCAGTTCTTCGCATTCCATCTCTGGTCGTCTCTTATAGTCCCGCGGTCCGGCGACATTCTGACATGTTGCCTCTGATCTCTGGACCTGCTAGATCTCGACCTCTTCTTTTTTTGCCAGCAGATCCTCCCTTCCATCCGCTCCAGGTCTCCCGGTCTAAAGGTTCGTCCGATTTATACGGAGTGAGGTACGTACCTACGGCTCTATCGCTACTTATACGGCAATAGAGAACAGTCCGGGGTGCTACACATACTTTTACACTAGCAATTCCTCCACTTCCTCCTTCTCTCCCTCTTTCTGGTTTAGTGGACAACTGCGAATCTTCTTGTTTGCATACATATAATATCTGCTCCGCTCCCTCTGCCTTGTAAGTCCTCTTTCCGTTCAGTCTCAACTTTCTTCGGACGAACCCCCCCACACCGCCCCAGCCAACCTCGACATACCCGACATTGTCAGGGTCCAACTAAACATAAGGCACGGACCGACACTTACACCAATATCTTCGGGGTTAGGGCAGAAGTTAATGTCATCTCATCAGCGACTTAATACATAACCGTATTGTAATTGGAGCAAGTCCTTCGGACACAAAAGAAATCACCACCATGTCCTTCATGGTGGGCACTGGTTCCTTCGGGAACTATGACCACACAGCCCGGACTTCTGGAGCACCTCTTGGGCGCCGGCAGACACACGACTTGGAGGAGGAAACCGTCGCCGCCAACCCTTCCGGACCTACTCATCCCGAGCCGGGCTCTTCACACTCTCATAACGACCAGATGACGGGAACACGGGCCACATCCATGACCGATGTCGACGGAAGCACCGCTCGTTCTGAGAAGGAGAAGGACGCCCAGCATGCCAACGATAGCGACAGCACCTGCGAGGAGGACGAGGACCGTATCGAGGAGAACCGCCGCGCAAGCCAAGTCCTCGCCCTGGCACGAAAATACACTTCGCAGTCCCACGCTGCCGTTCCCGAGGGAAAAACTGTCTTCCAGGTCGACGAAGAGAACTCACCACTCAACCCCAATGGTCCCAACTTCAACTCTCGTGCTTGGGCCAAGGCCCTCGTTGAGCAGATCAGTGGCGATGGCCTTCAGTTCCGTACCACCGGTGTCGCTTTCCAGAATTTGAACGTTTTCGGTTTCGGCTCTGCCACGGATTACCAAAAGGATGTTCTCAATGTTGGCCTCGAAATCTTCAGCCAGGTCCGCAACCTCATTGGTATGGGGCGACAGCGCCGCATCGACATTCTCCGTGACTTCGACGGTGTTGTGCGCAAGGGTGAGATGTTGGTTGTTTTGGGCCCCCCTGGTTCCGGCTGCACAACCTTCCTCAAGACTATTGCCGGCGAGCACGACGGCATCTTCATCGACGACCAGTCCTACTTCAACTATCAGGGTATGTGGTGCCTAAAAGTAATCTTTTTTTTTGTCCGTGTGTCGAGTTGGTCTCGCTAACACGACGTCTACCTAGGTATGACCGCCAAGGAGATCCACACACATCACCGTGGTGAGGCCATCTACTCTGCCGAAGTCGATACCCATTTCCCCCAGTTAACGGTGGGTGAGACTTTGACCTTTGCGGCTCGCGCCCGTGCTCCCCGTCACATCCCCGACGGCGTCACCAAGACCGAATTTTCCAACCATCTCCGAGATGTCGTCATGGCCATGTTCGGCATCAGCCACACCATCAACACTCGTGTCGGTAACGAGTATATCCGTGGTGTTTCGGGTGGTGAAAGAAAGCGTGTCTCCATTGCCGAGGCCGCGCTCTCTGGTGCTCCCCTTCAGTGCTGGGATAACAGCACCAGAGGTCTCGACAGTGCCAATGCCATCGAGTTCGTCAAGACCCTCAGACTGCAGACTGAGCTTTTCGGAAGCACTGCCTGCGTGTCCATCTACCAAGCCCCTCAAAGCGCCTACGACCTCTTCGACAAGGCTGCTGTCTTGTATGAGGGTCGCCAGATCTTCTTCGGCCGTGCCGACGAGGCTAAGCAGTACTTCGTCAACCTGGGTTTCGAATGCCCCGCTCGCCAGACCACTCCCGACTTCCTGACCTCCATGACCAGTCCCACAGAGCGTATTGTCCGCCCCGGCTTTGAGGGCAAGGCTCCTCGTACACCCGACGAGTTTGCTGCTGCCTGGAAGAATAGTGCCGAGTACAAGTCTCTCCAGGCTGAGATTGAAGAGTACAAGAAGGAGCATCCCATCAACGGACCTGATGCTGAGGCTTTCCGCGCCTCCAAGAAGGCTCAGCAGGCCAAGGGTCAGCGCGCCAAGTCTCCCTTCACACTCTCCTACATCCAACAGGTTCAGTTGTGCTTGTGGCGAGGATGGCGACGCCTGGTAGGAGATCCTAGTATCACAATGGGTTCTCTTATCGGTAACTTCATCATGGCTCTCATCATCTCCAGTGTCTTCTACAACCTGCAACCCAACACGGACAGCTTCTACCGGCGCGGCGCTCTTCTCTTCTTCGCCATTCTCATGAACGCTTTCTCGTCGGCCCTCGAAATTCTGACCCTCTACGCTCAACGTCCGATTGTTGAGAAGCACGCTCGTTATGCTCTGTACCACCCGTCTGCCGAAGCTGTCGCTTCCATGCTCGTCGATATGCCCTACAAGCTCGCCAACTCCATCGTCTTCAACGTTACGCTGTACTTCATGACGAATTTGCGCCGAGAAGCGGGTCCGTTCTTCTTCTTCCTGCTCGTGTCCTTCGTCACTGTACTCGTCATGTCGATGATCTTCCGTACCATCGCCAGTTCCTCGCGTACGCTGTCTCAGGCCATGGTGCCCGCTGCCATCATCATCCTTGCGCTCGTTATCTTCACTGGTTTCGCCATTCCCACCACTTACATGCTTGGCTGGTGCCGCTGGATCAACTACATTGATCCCATCGCATATGCCTTCGAGTCGTTGATGCTAAATGAGTTCGTCGGACGCAAGTTTCATTGTGAAGCCTATGTTCCTAGCCCTAGTATTCCCACGTACGCCAACGTCGGTAACTTGAACCGCGTCTGCTCAGCCGTTGGTTCCGTCGCGGGCCAGGACTACGTCCTTGGAGACGACTACCTCCGTGAGAGCTTCAACTACGTCAACAGCCACAGGTGGCGCAACTTTGGTATCATCATCGCTTTCATCTGCTTCTTCCTCTTCACCTACATTGTTGCTGCCGAGGCCGTCTCGGCCAAGAAGAGCAAGGGTGAGGTTCTTGTCTTCCGCAGGGGCTACAAGCCCGCTTCCTTCAAGGAGAACAAGGGCGATGCCGAGTCTGGTGGCGTTCAGGTTGCCGGCAAGGGCCACGTCAGCGATGGCAACACTTCCGACAAGGAGGCTGGTTTCTTGCAGGCCCAGACTAGCGTCTTCCACTGGAACAACGTCTCCTACCATGTTCCCATCAAGAAGGAAATTCGCCAGATTCTCAACAACGTTGATGGCTGGGTTAAGCCTGGTACTTTGACCGCTCTCATGGGTGTCTCCGGAGCCGGAAAGACCACGTTGCTCGACTGTTTGGCTGACCGTATCAACGTCGGTGTGATCACTGGTGAGATGCTGGTTGATGGCAAGCCTCGCGATACTTCTTTCCAGCGCAAGACCGGTTACGTTCAACAGCAGGATCTCCACCTCGAAACCACTACCGTCCGTGAGGCCTTGAACTTCAGTGCCCTCCTCCGCCAACCCGCCCACGTTCCCCGCGCCGAGAAGCTCGCTTATGTCGATGAGGTTATTAAGCTCCTCGACATGGAGGAGTACGCCGACGCTATCATTGGTGTCCCTGGTGAAGGCTTAAACGTCGAGCAGAGAAAGCGTCTTACTATCGGTGTCGAACTTGCTGCCAAGCCTCCTCTTCTTCTCTTCGTTGACGAGCCTACTTCCGGTCTCGACTCTCAGACTTCGTGGGCTATTCTGGACCTCCTCGAGAAGCTGACCAAGAGCGGCCAGGCTATTCTATGCACTATCCATCAGCCCTCGGCCATGCTTTTCCAGCGCTTCGATCGTCTGCTCTTCTTGGCCAAGGGTGGTAGGACCGTTTACTTTGGTGACATTGGCAAGAACTCCAAGACTATGGCTTCTTACTTCGAACGCCAGAGCGGTGTCAAGTGCCCTCCTGATGCCAACCCCGCCGAGTGGATGCTCGAGGTAATCGGTGCTGCTCCTGGAACTCACTCCGAAATTGACTGGCACGATGCTTGGCGATCCAGCCCCGAATACCAAGCTGTCCAGGAGGAGTTGCAACGTCTGAAGAACAACTCGAACCACGCGGACGCTTTGGAAATGGATGGTGACGCTGGCGGCTACCGCGAATTCGCCGCTCCCTTCTTCGAGCAGCTCAGAGAGGTCACCTACCGTGTCTTCCAGCAATACTGGCGTACACCGTCGTACATCTACTCTAAGACCGCCCTCTGCATTTCCGTCGCCTTGTTCATCGGTTTCGTCTTCTACAACGCCCCCAACACCATCCAGGGTCTCCAGAACCAGATGTTCGCCATTTTCAACCTGCTCACCATCTTCGGCCAGCTCGTCCAGCAGACCATGCCTCACTTCGTCGTCCAGCGTTCGCTTTACGAGGTCCGTGAGCGCCCCTCCAAGGTCTACGGCTGGAAGGTTTTCATGCTCTCCCAGATCATCGTCGAGCTTCCGTGGAACGCGCTCATGGGTGCCATCATGTACTTCTGCTGGTACTATCCCGTCGGCCTGTACCGTAACGCTGAGCCCATGGGCCAAGTCACTGAGCGTGGCGGTCTGATGTTCCTGCTCCTCCTCGCCTTCATGTGGTTCACCTCGACCTTCACCGACTTTATGATTGCCGGTTTTGAGACCGCTGAGGCCGGTGGTAACATTGCCCAGCTTCTTTTTTCCCTCTGCCTGATCTTCTGCGGTGTCCTCGCCAGCCCCGAGGCCATGCCCCGCTTCTGGATCTTCATGTACCGCGTTAGCCCCTTCACGTACCTGGTCAGCGCCATGTTGTCGGTCGGCGTGGCCAACACGGACGTGCATTGCTCGGATGTGGAGTTCCTCAAGTTCAACCCCCTCAACGGCACTTGCGGGGAGTACATGTCCGACTACATCAAGGCCGCTGGTGGTTACCTCCTCAACCCGGACGCCACGGACGAATGCAGCTTCTGCCCCATTGACAAGACCAACACGTTCCTTGCTAGCGTGTCGTCCGACTATGCCGATAGATGGCGCAACTTTGGGTATGTTTTTTTTTTTTTTTTTTTTTTTTTTCCCGCTCTCTCCTTTCCCCTTGTCATGTTTTCAACAACGGTTACTAATATACTCTTCAACAATAGCATCCTCTTTGCCTACATCGCCTTCAACATCCTCGGCGCCCTCGCAGTCTACTGGCTCGTCCGCGTCCCCAAGAAGAACGGCATTTTTGGCTTCCTCAAGAAGCAAAAGAAGGAGTAAACTCTCTTTCGCCAAACCCCAAAACACCAAGAAAAAAAAAAGCATATAAAATAAGGCACAATAACATACTTTCATAGACCACTCCCCCCCCTATTTACACCACCACTTACGAGGAGACGATTGAGTGAGGATTGGATAATTCACGCGTCGAAGAAGAGAGAGAGGAGAGAGCGACCTCGTTTCGCAATGGGTTTCTGAAGTTGATGGTCATCATGCATTGATTTTATGGTGTTCCGAATTTTCACATCTCATCTCTACACCATACCACATACACTAGATCTAGACACCCCCCCCTCCACCTCACACTTTTTTTTCTCTTTCCATTATTTTCTCTTTTGGACATACCCTCCGCGGTTCCAATTGGTTTTTACCTACCTACCTACCTACTTAGCATTTCTCAGCGATTTGTCCTTTATTTTTGGATATCAAGGCTCCAGCGATATGCAACCATTGTATCTTCTTCTTCTTCTTCAAGAGACTTGCGTTACCAAGCTCGACAATTTTGTACAGATGACATGTAATGTTTTTTTTTTTTTTTCCCTCATATATAGAGAGAGATGATGATGTTGGAAAAAGAAAAACGAAAAGCGCATCGATGCGGGCGGCGGGGACGGGAAACTTTTGGAGGGGGCGGCGGATGATTGATTTTTCTTTTTGAGCAGTTGATGAATAGAATAGAATATGAATATGAATACCTATCAATTCTTTTTCTGGGGAAAATGTCTGTCTGCTATGGCTAAAATGGCTAAATTTTTTGGACATGTGCGCGTATGAACTTTGGATAGAGAGATGCCCTGCTCCATTCACGCAATTTCGAGAGATTTTAGGATGGAGAGGATGAGAGAGAGCGAGATGTCGACTTCTTCGCTTGATTGGTTGGTGTACTATTATCGCTCAAGTTCATGTAATTAGGTAGGTATGATTGTTGATTGGGAGAATATCTGTGTGAGATAAGATAGGTCGAGGAAGCTGAGACACTTGATGAAGGAACGACGTGTCCAATTCCCCCGACTAAGCTGAATTAGATAGGGTATGTCAAATGTGATACATCACTCATCGGTCTTTTTGGGCAATCCATTCATTCAATCCTATCCCACCAATCCTCTCGTTCTGCTCAAGTCACACACGTGATGAACTGCGCTCATGCTCCAGTTCTCCAGTCCAACTCCGGTACATATTTGCTCTGGGAACCCTTTCACTTTTGCTCTTGGTCTTGGTCTTGGTTTTGGTATTGTTGGAAATTGCAATTACGTTGTGGTCTCTTTCTTCTCGCCTTGCCTGCCTGTATGTCCAACGCTGATGATGCCCGTGATGATCACGTACGCTAACGATCCTATCCACGGCCTCCACTGCCCCCCCTTCTCCCGAAACGCCGATGCTTGTATATATAAATATGATAGAAGAAAACCGTATTCCATATTGCAATAAATGGACGTCTTGACCTCCAACAATCCACTGACTGACGGCCGCGACCCAAGTTCGATTCGGATGTTCGGTGGTATTGTCGGATAATGCAGGGTATCCTTCGCTGATAGTGATCGTTCCTTCTGCTTGCTAGTCCCCCCCTCCCAGGATTTTTCATCCCTCAAGCCTCGCCAAAGATCCTCACCATCAATACGTAAAAGAAGAAAAAGGATCCCGCCAGCAGCCACTTATGCCTCGACATCCACCCCTGACCCGCATCTCTTTGCTGCATAACCACGTCCACAACAGCGTGAGCCTGACCACCGCTGCTGCCAGCGATACCTAGCTGAGGCCCGCATGACGACGCGTTCGCCGGCTCCGGCCTGTTCCCCGTCGCTGGGTCAATGTTGTTTTCCTTGATCCACCTCCAGTTCTCAGCGTCCACCTCGGGCCACTCCGACCTGAACTTGGCACCCCCATCGCCAGCCTTCACGTTGCCTTTTCCCGCTGCGCCGTTTGGTCGGAGATGGGAGCCGCCACCCGTCGAGTTCCACCATCGTGAGCGCGCGGCGTGAAACTTGCGTTCCGTTTCGGTGGCCGAGACGGAGCCCGTTGTCATCTCTTCGGAGGTCATGAATGATAGTAGGCCGATGAGGATCGTCGAGACTTCCCATGCCGGGTTGAAGGATTTGGGGTGGAAATCCGAGATGGAGAGACATAGTCGGCTCGAGGGTGTGAAACGGCCGGAAGGAGTGTGCATACGGATCGCAGGAGGGGCGAAGGGGTAGTTGGGCGGGAAGATGAGCGTGCCCCAGTATTGACCGCCGTGGTAGGGAGTGTTCTCGGGTCCTGTGATGATGTAATGCCATCTGGAGAACTGTATGTCAGCCGCTGGCCACATATAAGCGAAGCTGGCAGTGGTAGATGCTTACTCCAGGATGTTGGACTCGGAGGGGTGGGCAGTGATGTACGGCGGGGGGTTCTCGGTGATGGACTTGTATTCGCGCGTCAACTAGAAGAAAACATTAGTCCATGTTCAAGCAAGACCATGGAATTTGGTGGACTTGCGCGCTTGTGTGCCGCACGTGTAGCCATGGTGAATTGCGCAGATGGCGATGTCTCGAGATGGTATTGGGCCGCGACTGTGTGGCAAAGAATGAAAACACCAGAAGGAATCGGCGGCCGTGGGACAAGGGGAGTGAGTGCCTTTAAACGAGCGATCGAGAGTTGGATTTGTTGCGACTTTGGAGACGGCGGAGCGACGTGATTCGAGTCTCGGGTGAGTGACGATGGTGATTGAGTAGTACGTTAAGTTTGGAAGTGGATGGATTGGTAGTAGTTGGATATTAGGTGGATGTGATGTGGTGATGGTGGTCTGTCTATTTCTAGGATGGAAGGTGGAAAGTAGGTAGTGGGTAGGTCCAGTCAAGGTTAGCGACAGAATGTCAGTGAGAGCAGTGACGGACAGTGGTGGCACGGCACGGGGTATGTATGGCATTCATTGTGGAGTTGGGGGAACACACGGCAAGCGACCTCCCCCCCAATCTCCATTTCCCAAAAAAAGTGAAACCAACAACTGGACTGGACGTTGGACCCAATCGGGGTCTAGTCCAGTTACAGTGGGTCTGCCGCAATTGTGGTTCCCTTTGTTGAAGCAGGGGGGGCCCCGGAAAGGATCTCCACGGCCGTCGGCTTTCATCTCAATGTAGTGTACGTCAGCCACAGCCTGCCGTTCAAACTTCGGCAGTCCACCAGCAGCACTAGCCACACCGTTACGTAGGTAGTGACGACGGTAATTGATGGATCCCCGATAGCACCCGAAGCCGAATTGACCGTCTTGAACCTGGTCGACGGTTGCAGCAGTCAGTTCGGGACCAAAATATTGGCAAGACTTGAGAACATCCCAACCTCAACAAGTCGCCAACCTGTGATCGGGATCCCGCCAACCCAGGCGAGAAGCTGCAATGGCCTCCTCTCCAAGTGCCCCCGGCAATCCGGTAAGAACCTGTCCCTCGTGGCCGTCTCAATTGCGCCAATTCGAGTGGCCAATTCCTGATCCAAATCTTGGAATCTTCAGGTCGAGGCTGCCACCGCGAAGATCGACAAGGCCGCTGCCATCGTCCACCAAAAGGCCGCTGCCGTCGTTACCGAGCCCAAGGAGCCTCAACCCTACCAGGTGCCGAACCCCATCGTATGGGATCCAATCCTGAGGTAGCCCTGAATACAAATGCCAGTCATCGTCCCGCTAACCTCTCTCTCTCCCCCAACCCAGATCGAGGACCACCTGCTTACCCCCGCTACCGTCAACTCCATCGAGATCCATGGCGCCAACAACACCCGCCGCGGCCTTCTCGACCACGTCTTCAAGCCCATTGTCGAGGAAACCACTAGCCCCGCTACGACCCTAGGCGATGCCCTCGCTCGCATCAGCACGGCCACCCAGAAGCTTACCCGTTTCGGTGCGCGCCCACTCCTCCTCCATCTCCTCTTCCCACCCGAACAACGACCGAATATCCTGCATTTCCCACAAGTCAGCACCCTCTAACGCACGCTTTACTCCCAACAGGCATCTTCAAGGAGGATGGCTTTGGTGTCTTCATCTCGGATGCCCGCCAGCAGCAACAAGAGCAGTTCCAGTCCCCCACCGACCGCACCGAGCTCGACGTCTCCATCCGCGTCAAGGAACAATCCCGCCTCGTCTTCAAGGCCGGTACTGATTTTGGCAACGCTGAGGGCTCCGCTTACACCAATGCCGTTCTGCGCAACATCTTTGGCGGTGCCGAGACCCTTTCCGTCAACGCTGCTGCCGGTACCCGTACTCGGTCCGCTTATAACGCCGTCTTCTCCACCCCGGTGAACGGCAACCCCGATATCCGTCTTGCGCTCGAGGCTCTGCGTTCATCCACCCACAAGCCCTGGGCCTCGCACGACGAGCACCTTACCGGCGGCAACCTCCGCCTCGCCTGGTCGACCGACAATGGCGATGACCACGCGCTCACTTACTCCGGAGTCTGGCGCCAGCTGACTGGTCTCTCCGCCTCCGCCTCGCCCACCGTCCGCGCCGATGCCGGTGACTCCCTCAAGAGCTCCATCACCCACACCTTTACCCGCGACCGCCGTGATAATCCCATGCTTCCCCAGGCCGGCTATCTTGTGCGCACCGCCGCCGAGCTTGCGGGTTGGGGTCCTCTGAAGGGTGACGTTTCCTTTGCCAAGTCCGAAGTCGAACTCTCTGCCGCCCAGGCCCTCCCACTTCCCGGTGTCTCCGTTGGCGCCGGCTTCCGCGCTGGTCTCCTCTACCCTCTGCCCATGGGCTACTCCCTCTCCAGCACCTCCGTTGCCCCTAGCCGCATCAACGATCGTTTCCAGCTCGGCGGCCCCACCGATGTCCGCGGTTTCAGCATGGGCGGCCTCGGCCCTCACGACGGCGCCGACTCCGTTGGCGGTGACGTCTTTGCTGCTGGATCCGTCAACATGCTTCTACCGCTTCCCAGGGCTGGTCCTACCTCCCCCTTGAGGTTCCAGCTCTTCGCCAACGGCGGCCGTTTGGTTGCGCTGCAGGGAAAGAAGACAGCTGAGGGTTCGGTGTCGCTGGATTCCGGCGCTGTTGCGAGTGGCATGAAGAGCGCGGTGGCGGAGTTGGCGAACGGCCTGCCCAGCATCGCGGCTGGCTTTGGTGTGGTGTATGCGCACCCCGTGGCGAGGTTTGAGTTGAACTTCAGCCTGCCGTTGGTGGTAAGGAGAGGCGAGGAAGCGAGAAAGGGACTGCAGGTCGGTGTCGGTATTAATTTCTTGTAAAAGGTTTCGATGCATGTGTAGGAAGTAAAGAATAATGGAAGGATCAAGCATCAAGAGGTTCGACGCGTTGTCTGCCTGTGTAGTATCTATGTATAAATGACAAGCCTTGCTGTAAGAATAAAAATCGCGAGAGGACGCCGAGTTCTTCCCATATTGCCCTTTACTTCCCTGCCGGTAGTAGGACATTTTCCACTGTGCAGTCGGAAGCCCAATTTCGCTGATTTCACAGTTCGTTTGTTGCTTAAGCGCCTCACATGGTTAACTCCCATCTTGCGCATTTCATGTTTGCATCGTTCAAGAGCTTCAGAGGCCTGCGATTAATGTCAACATTCCTTGGCCTTGAACAGGTGATAAAGGTAAAGATGGGTTTACGTACTGACTGTGCATATATCTCGCTGTCGCATGTGGACTTATAGATCTTGTATTCGCTTGCGTTCTACAGCATCCTACGGAGTGCTTCAGTAACTACGTCTGAATCTAGTCTAAAGAAAATTCGAGTGCGAGAGAGAAACCAGCTTATAGCTCATCTATTGATGACATGCCACTCACCTAACCCCCTTTTTTTTTCCACCACATGTAGACCCAACCATAGCGCTTACTTCTTGTGCTTGATTCTCTCCTCATGCGCAGCTACTACGCCATCATCGGGAACCCTACCCTTATCTTCGGGCCGCCTGGTGTTGACATAGCCATCTCCTGGGCTGGCCCAGGCAAAGTCAATCCATTCACCCAAGGCTGGCCACATCTCATCCTCCACCAACTTCAGGATCTTCTCCTGGCGCTCTGTTCCGTATACGCGACCGTCTGCCTTTCCCCCAGCAGCCGCCACCTTTTTCAATCCTTCCAACACGTCATTCCACTCGGTGACTGTCTCCTCCAACTCGGGAATGGATGAGACACCGCACACCGTTGCGCCCACCTTCAACGGGGACCCAGGTTCAGCATCAACACCAACCTCCGCCTCGGCGCCCACCCTCGCCCACTCCTCCAGCGCCCAACGGATCGCCACACTCTCCAGCCTCTCGCCCTTAGCCGCCGCCAACTCGCCCAGCTTCTTGCATGCAATCCTCAAATCCGGCGGCGACGGATGCCACTTGACTAACGGGCTCTCCTTCGAGTCCGGGTTAGGCGGGATTCCCTTTTGCGTCAACAACCCCATGCCCAACATGGACGCATTGAGAATGACCTCGACCCCAGCCTTCTTGAACCTCTTCAACACACTGCTTTCCTCCTCCTCCTCCTCCTTTTGCTCCCTCTTCTTATCATCAGAAACGTACTCCTCAACACTCAACAGCCGATTCTGCACCGTAAAATGCCCATAACTCAACACCGCATCCAACGGCTCTCCCGTTTCTCTGAGAATCATCTCCGCCAGCTCCGCCAGGACCTTGACGGGGAACCCACTTATCCCCACATGTCTAATCAGCCCTTCCTCATCCCGCAACCGCCTCAACTCCTGGACCGCACCCAGCACTTCGGCAGGGGACACGAACTCGACGTCATGCATGTACACCAAATCGAGATAGTCCGTGTGCAGCCTTTGCAAGCTCCGGTAAATGCTGTAGCGCACCCAAGAAGGGGAGTAGTCGAATTCGTCGCCGGCGATGCGGCCGGCTTTGGTGACGATGAAGACGTCCTCGCGCGGGAGCGGGTTCGTCTCAGAAGTGAATAGAGTGTGGAGGGCGTCGCCGAGGAGAATCTCAGAGGGGCCGTAGTAAGGCGAGGTGTCGAAACCACGCACGCCCAGGGAGAGGGCGCACGCGACGATGGAGCGGTAGGGGAGCGAGTGAGGGTCGGGGACGTATTGCGTGTTGAAGGTGGCGGTGCCGAGGAGAAGCGGGGGGAGGGTTGATTTGAGGGGGGCCTTTGGGGCGGTTGTGGATGGCGCCATGGTGGTGATGTCTTTGATGTGAGGTGGAGAGCCCCGTTCGTGAGTAGGATTTTTTTTAAAGGGTAAACCGGCTTCTTCTTCTTCGCCTTTTCAGATTAAAGGTGAAGTTGGCGAGCTGTCGGGCTGAAAGTGAAGTAAAGCTGAGGAGCTGTTATGAGTGAGTTGTCACTTGGTGAAGAGAGGGGGAGCTTCAGTCACTTTTATTGCGGGTCTCTCCGGAGCTGTCGGGTCGTGGCTGATGGTACGGGAAGTGGGGTTTTTGTTCGAAACCTCCACAATCGGTGATGCGCGAGCGCCGCGAGGATCTCGTGGATCACCGAATAGCTTCATCGTTCTAGCCCCCATTTGGCCTGGTGTCCGATGGGTCTGGACCCAGCCGAGGAGGGAGGATCTTTCAACATGCTCACTAGCATGATGTTGGAAGGATATTGGCGTACTTACATAAACTTTGACACCCGCGACGTGCACATATACACGCTGAACTTTCAGCAGATGTTATTGTTATGTTAAACCCATCAACTAGATCGAAGATTTCTTGTTTTGCAAAAGGTGCTCTCCTGTTTTCTTCGTGGCGCATTTCCTCCCCTAATGCTTTTCTCTTAGTAATGCTCGCAGCTTCCTAGTAATATAACTTGATTACACAAAGGTCATAATGGATAATTGAACGGGAGCATTACGGTTGGGAACGTTTCGATTACTAAGGAGCCACGGACAGAATCGATTGCGACTATGCGCGAGTGCGGGCGTCGTAAAGGGCATCTTGTATACCTAGTAAAGTGGAAGGAGTAGGAGAGCGAAGTAGAATGAGTGAAAGGAGCGGCAGTGGTGGCTTCAACATTCAAAATTTGCCAACAAAACTGAACATGAACAAGTAGGTACAGAACATGATACCGGGCGCCTTACTAGGCCAACAATCCCTTCAAGTATCTTGATGAGAACCTCCCACCTTTCAAGAAATGCCCCTACCTGAATTGGGGAATCCTAGGCCCTCAGTCCCCTAAAGAATTGGCGCCAAATGCGGAGGAGCGTCCGCTGTTGGAGATACCCCGCCCTCGGTGTAAAGCACGCCAAGTTCGGTACAACCTCGGGCACAAACCAGGCGCACACTGGCTTTTGGTCTCGATTTCAAAACGGCACCCGAATTCTCCCCTCTTCTTCACCTCGACCACTTTTGGTAATTTTCAACGCCTCTCTGACCGGAACCTTCCTTTAGCGACGATCTCATGTCAGCCACAAGCTCGAAACTTATCATGCTCTCCCCTTATTCTCAAAGATGTCCTCGTCTTAACGTAGTGTCTCTCGTCAACATCGTCTCCGATTTGGCTTCGCTTCACCACGACGAGAAATGTGCATGTTGAGATTGATGACAGCCCGAACTTGGGAATTTCAGAGCCGATTCTCTTTTATATTGGCAACGACGTGCCCGTTCTACCTCTCTTCGCTCTGCTCAGGCTTTCCACTATCGCTGAATTCGGGCAAACCTTTTCCTTCTGTGCCCGGACTGCGACAGTTCCTGTCTATATCTGACGAGATGTCATTATTGGACACTCGACGATACCGATAGAACACTCGGGAAGACGACAAACTTTGCACCCGTGTTGCGATCCAGAGAGGAATATTCACATAACTAAACCAACAACTACTTGCCCTGCCCATATCGAACTCTTTCGCTAACGAAAGCCAGCGAAACAAAAATGGATGCCACTGCATCTTTTGTCCTCTGGGGAGCTCGGCACTTTATTTCGAAGCAATGCCAAGATGTTATACGCACTAACTCCTTGCATCCCGCCTTCATGTTTCCCTACTCGGGCTATATTAGAGACTACTTCACATATCGGAACCTTCAAGAACCGCATTCATTAGCCTAAACCTGGTGAAGATCCCCATACGGCCACATCACTTCCTCTCGTCCCGCGTCTCGTGGCTGAGTTGCTTGAAAGTATTGCTCGACGCGAATCGAACGAGGTTGAGGTCTTTCGTCCCGTACCTGCTTATTCACGGCATGATTAAAATTCATCTATATCCTGGAGATAATTACTTCATCCTTTCCAATCCACACCGAATCATATCCAATCATTAAACAAAACGCCATCTTTTCACACTAACGTATCAACATTTTCTCAAAATATCTATATAAAGGTAATCTCAAGCGTAGGCTGTAATTATTCAGGTCTTCAAGAGGCAAGCTTCAAAGGAGTCAGAAAAAGGAATTTGTTCAATTCCTGAACCCGGTAAACAAGTGGCAGACTATATATGACGACGAGCATGTTGATGTCAGTCACGCTGCAAACTTCTCAACCCTTGACCGTGAACCACATGTGTCAATCCTACCGTGTCAGCCGTCTAAACTGAAGTAGCCTCCGGGTCAGGATCAGCTCCTCCCTTCATATTCCGCTTGGCCTCGACGGTCTGGATAACCGGTTACAAGTGCATGCTGAAGTAGCAGCTTCAAGCCGGGTTTGTTGTCTCGGTAGCATCCGGACATGGTTCATATTTCACAGTTTATGCCTTTTATATCAACGGAAACAATCCTCCAGGCTTCAGAACACTTTCCAGACTGGCATTGTGGTCTTATTACTCGGCCGTTGACCTCTCAAGCGCACTATAGAACATTCTATGGCCTCTATTCCTACACCTCTCCCACACCGTACTCGGTGTCCTCCGTGTATTTCCTAGGCGAACTGTACGTAAGAGGACCAGCGACTCCAACATGCATCTTCCACGAGTAGCAATGAGTCTAGCTAGTCTCCTGGGAGCCAGCAAGCCAGCTCTCAGTAAGATTCCCCATCTCGAACCTCATACAGAACAAAGCTGACCTTTGCCGACAGCCCCCAGACAGTTCGAACCAGACTCCAGCGTCTACGTAGATGCCGACACAGGCCTGACCTTCGCCTCTTACACCAGCGACCGCAGCATTATCTTCCGCGTCGCCATACCCGACGTCATTCCCGCCGACCTCATCTACGACACCGTCCTCCAGATCGTCGCCCCCATCGACGTCGGCTGGGCCGGCTTTGCCTGGGGCGGCCACATGACTTACAACCCGCTTGGTATCGCCTGGGCAAACGACAAGGAAGTCGTCCTCTCTCCAAGGATTGCTTAGTACGTTTTAGTTTACATTTCTCCTCCTCCGCATCCCATCCCATCCCATCCCATTTCACCAACAAACCAACCCCCTTTCTCTATATCCTCTCTCCCATCATTTCTCTTTGAGGCCGCCCACTACCCACAAACTAACACCACCACCTACAACAACAGCGGCTACTACTCCCCGCCCGCCTACACTGACTCGCACTACACTGTTCTGAAAAAGGGCACGCACATCAACGCGACGCATTTCCAAGTCACGGCCAAGTGCACCGGCTGCTCGTCGTGGGGGGATGAGTCCACCGGCATCGGCAACATTGACCCGGAGTATCAGACCACGCTGGCGTATGCGTACGGGAACACCAAGGTCGATACACCGGCGGACGTACAGTCTACATTTGGCATTCATGATAGTTTGGGACACCCGATTTATGATTTGGCGGTGGCGAAGAATGCGGACTTTGCGAAGAAGGTGGCTGCGCTGGCTGCTGCGGGTGAGGCGACTTGAGGGAGTGGTGACCGAGGTTTGTCAAGCTAAGTCGTGAAAGGGGCTTTTTTTTCGTCAAGAGGGTGGTGGGTGATGTGGGAAGGGTACATTATTATGCAGGATGTGAAATCATCGTGGTGTGTTGAATGAGAAGACAAATCTGTACAGCTGGCGACTTATAAAGACTTAAACTTAAGCTATGTCGCTTATTGTTCTACTATCCTACACACGTTCCCGAGTCGTATACTGCTAGTTTTCGTTATATAGGTATCAGAATGAAAGCTGGACTCATCCACGAGTTAGAAGTGAACCGAATCCCAACATTCAACGTCTCTGCGATGTTTTCAAGAACCTAAAATCGTAACATCTACCTCTTTTCATCATCCACGGGCTCTTCATAAACTCTCCCTTGAAAGCATATGCACCACCCCGCCGCCGCAATCGCCACAACAGCCAAATAAAACCACCAAGCAGCACCTACTACACCCTCTCGCACCCCTTTCGCATACGCCACTCCTCCAACAACCGGCCCAACCACGCTCGCCAGGCTCGTCACCATATTTCCCACCACCTGTACCTTCTCCTGCACCCCCTCCTCCGACGATGCCGACTCAGCAAGCAAGACCTCAGCACTAGGCACCGCCATCGTCATTGCTAGCGTCTGTCCCCCTATTACCACCCCCAAAGCAATCCACTTCCAGATCTCGGCGCACCCTTCTGTGGTATCCTGGTGACCCCAAGAGAACAAAGAAAGGTAAGGAGTTACCAAGTACACAAAAGGAAAGATAGCCAGCGAGAGCTCGAACAAGCCCACAGTGCTTAGCCGGTTCTGCCACCGGGGGTAGATGAACCCTCGAAAAAGGAGGCCGAGAAGCCCAAAGAGGGAGAGGTAGAGAGAGATCATAAGAGGTGAGAGGGAAAGTCCCCCGGTGAAGCGGAAGAGGGTGGGCACTAGGGAGTGGAAGGAGTTCGACAAGAGGGGACTGTAAGGTGAAGAAGGGGTGGAGATGTGGAGGGGGAGAATGAAAGTGAAGGCGGAGGTGTGGAGGGTTAGTAGGAAGGAGGAGATCAAGGGTGGGAGAGTACGGGTTGTGAGGGTGGAGAGAATGGAAGATATGAGTGTGGGCTTTTCAGTGCGGTGGAAGGAGAGAATTGTTGAGGTGTTGCTGAGAAGGATGTATGGTCTCTGTGGGAAATACCCAGTGCCATCTTCGGCCTGGTCTTGCTCAGGCATCGTCTCCCTCAACCATCCTGTAGTTACCGCCGCCACTACCCCAATCAACATGGCGTTCACCACCGAGGGCAACGCAAATGGGTATTCAACCATCCACCTCACTCCCTCCTTACTCTCATTCCAGTTACACGCCCCTTCTGCACCAAACAACCCCGGAAATGCCTTCACCGGCTCAGCCAAAAGCCCACCCATCGCCAGCCCAGCCACCATTCCTAGGTTGCTCACCATTGACAATACTTGGTGTGCCTTGTCTCGGTACTTCTTCTTCCTGCCAGCAAATTTATCCGCCATACTCCTCAGCATCCCTTCATCCCCACTCGCCAGTCCCATCACCATTCTCCAAAACAACAAAGCCCAAAACGATCGACTAAGCCCAAACGCCAGGCTTGCAACTGCCGAGATGGCTAGACTCCATATGATGGGAAGTTTTTCCCCATGTCTCCTCCAGGGAAGAAAGGAAGCAAAAAGTTGAGCCAACGGAAAACAAGCCACTAGGATGCCGGAGTAAGTCGACACTAGGGCCGTGGTGGGGATGGCAGTGTAGTAAGTTACTATGTCATCGTTTCCCGCGGCTAAGCTGGGAGTCCTGGTTGGGGAGACGGCGGAGGGGACGAGGTGAAAGAGGTAAGGGAGGAGGAAGAGGTTGGGTAGAGAATCGGAGAAGCGGCAGAGGGAGAGGATTAGGAGCTGGCTTTTGTTGGGGAGGTCGGTCCAGGAGATGGATTCAGTTTCCTTGGGGGTTGGTAATAGAGGTAGAGCCGACTTGGGGTCGTGATGGTCGTGGACATCATGTTGGGAAGGGTGTACTATGGGGTAGTTAGTGACTGGGGGCGGAAAAGGAAGAGAATATGTGAATGGGGTAGGTAGGTGATGTACTGTATGGTAGACCAAGCCGGGATTTATCTCCATCTTCATGACTGAAGTCTATATTGGAGAGCAGGCATGATTGTTCTGGCAATGAGCGTGAGTGTGGCATCTTGGAAAAAGCAAATCGTCCAGCGAGTTGTCTAGCAACTTTGAGAATCTAATGGCAGAACTCAGAGAGCTTATCAAAGGAGGGGGGCGAGGCTCATGATGAGTTTTGTTATTTCTATCTGGGCCGTCCCTTCCTATTCTACCTGAAAATGGGGGAAGGAATGACTTGAAACCTCACAACACAAAGAGGAAGGAGTGTTGGAGCGTTTGTTCCTGACCTCCTACCTCCTGCCTCCTGCCGTATCCAACAATGTATCCTGCTTCAGTCCACTTTCCTTCATTGGTGACGCCATCCGCAAGCCATCAACCAACATGTGTACCTGCAGCAGTGTTTGACTCAGGTACTTACTCGCCGTGCCCGGCTTGCCATCACGCCTCTTGATCGCTGCCCCCCCCAAAGGAACTAAAACATTCTGGACTTGGCATTTTTCCTTGGAATGCAATCTTCCGAGACCGCGAACTCGCAAAAACTTCCCGTCCCAGACATGTCCCACAAAACCTTGTTGACGGATGCAGGTACCGAACCGACGTCTGTCCGTCACAGCATCGTGAAATACACGATACATATGGAGCGAGCCAGGTAAACCATTGGTTCAAGTATCTTTTCCAGACTGCAAATGGCGTGAGCTTGCGAAGCTGCCAAGTGGATGCCGTGAGCAAATGGAAAGCATCAATTATAAGCGCCCCCCTCACTCCAATGTTGGTGATAGTTCTTGAGGGGTTTGCATGAAAATTCTTTATTTTTCCCCTTTCTTTTTGGAAAAGTTCGTTGGCTGTGATGCATGCTGGGTTGATGCTGACTGGACGTTGTCATTGCCGCCGTCACGTATCAAGTTCACAAAGCGGGACAGAAAAACATCGTGAGTTCTCCTATGAAGAGGTGCAAACATCACTTTTCGATTCGGGAATGAAACCTGAAACCAGCCACTCATCAATCAACCAAGGCCTGGCTGGAACTCTTGCAAACACCAAAAATGCGGGGAGCTGTCCGGAACGGGGTTCCGCGCGTCGTTCCAATGCGTGTCCCATTACAACTTCCAAGTCCCAACTGCTTGTTGAGATGTGTCAGTCAAAACCCCCGCACCTTTCGTTCCGATGGATTTTTACAGACGTCGTCCCAATCGGTTCGAATCAGCCCCTTCGTCAGCTCAACTGCGTACCAATCCCGTCGCTGTGGCGGCACACACGGTGCGCGGGGATGAGTTGCATTCATTTGATTCAGGTGACGCAACTAGGGGCGCAAATCCGGGGGAAAAGCTCATGGCAGTGCGCAGTCTCGACAGTGTCACCAAGTGGTGCCCCCATTCCCCGTCCAGTGCTCATATTGAAACCCCACGAATCCTATGGACAAGTCTCGTATGAGCAAAAGCTGTCCGGCCACTCTTGGAAATCAAGAAGGAAGTTGGCAGGCCTTTTTTCTATCATCATTCAACAATCTCATCACGGAACTACCATTCCGATTGTTTCAGGTTCGATTTGCCGCTGTGTGTTGGTTTACACGGAGATAGGAAAGGTACCAGTGCCGCCAACCATCGAATCGGGTCTTTGCCCTGTTTTTCAAACCACTTTGCGAGACACAAAAAAAAGAGAGTGCATTCGGAGGATAGGTATTCATTGTCGATCATGAACGGAATCAAGGACCTGGGCCTGGGCTTCTCCAAAGCCTCGACGCGCTTGCATTTCTTTAGTCTGTTGCTTGCTCTTGGCTCATTTGTCTGGGGGTAAGACTTTTCGAGTTCCAGCTCTCATCGGTCGTCGGCTGTACCTTGTCGCGATATCACAGAGATCAAGTCGCTGTATCAAGTGAAATGCATCGATTTGGTGATCGGAGAACTGGCTCCGGAGTTACACTTCCTGACACTGCACAGATACAACGTTGGCGTTCTCGCCTCGGTCCTCGCCCATCCAGGCTTCCGCGAGACCATCCCTGACTATGGTCCGTATAGGCGCGGCCTCATCACAGCCATCTACTACCTTGGCACATGGCTGAGTTACGTCTTCTTCTCCCGTCCCGCGACGGATCTGCTCGGCCGTCGCTATGCTGCCATGGTGGGCATGTCCGTGTTATGCGTAGGCCAGGCACTTCAGGCTGCTGCGTCTGGGTCGGTGGCTCTTAGTATGGTGATATCTGGACGGGTTGTTTCTGGCTTGGGCACCGGTATTGTCTCGACGAGTGTGCCATTGTATCAAAGGTATGTGACAGGGATTGTCTTGTTTGAAATTCATCACAAGCGAGATGATCTTCATGTCCATAGGGCTGACCCATGGTTTATTGCATAGTGAAATTGCCCCGGCCCAACAGCGAGGCAGACTTGTTGTTTTGAACCATGTCGGGTTTGTCGCTGGACTTGCCTCTGGCTTCTGGTAAGTGGTATCCATCACAACAACCTCGAGTCACTCTGACATCCCTCAGGGTCGGCTACGCCATAACCTTCTGGAACGACTCACACGGCTACCTCAGCGGATGGCGCCTGTCCGTCTCCCTCTCCTTCATCCCCGCCCTCTTCTTCTTCGTCGGCCTCCCCTTCCTGTACGAGTCTCCGCGGTGGCTCGTCGAGCACGGCCGCCCTGACGAAGCCCTCAAAGCCCTGCAGTTCTACCGCGAAGGATCCTTCACCCCTTCGCAAATCCAGAGCGAACTGACAGACATCAAGCGCAATGTGTCCGCCTACCAGGCCACTGGCCTAAAGAAATGGACCTCCCTTTTCACCAACCCCAGCTTGTTCTCGCGCCTGTGGCGAGCTGCACTGCTCCATTTCATGGCGCAGATGTGCGGCGCTACGGCCATGAAGTATTATCTGCCGGAACTGTTTAGGGTGCTGGGACTGAGCCCGCGCGTGTCGCTGCTGGCGGGCGGGATCGAGAGCACCCTGAAGATTGGGTGTACGGTGTTGGAGATGTTTGTTATTGATAAGGTGGGGAGGAGGGTGACACTGGCTGTTGGGGCGGGGATTATGGCTTTTGCATTGTTGGTGAGTTACACGTTTCCATTTGCCTGTTGGACCTAACTAGGACTTGGACTGGGACAAAGGAATGTGAAAGTAAAGTGCTGACTGCTGACTGCAAAATCCCGGGCAGATCAACGGCGCCCTCCCCCTCGCTTACCCCAACAACACCAACCGCGCCTCAGACTACACCTGCGTCGTCTTCATCTTCATCTACTCGCTTGGCTACAGCATGGGTTTCGGCCCGGCGGCTTGGGTCTACGGGTCTGAGATCTTCCCCACTGCCGCTCGCGCGCGTGGGTTGAGCTTCGCTGCTTCTGGTGGCGCGGTCGGGTCAATTATTGTTTCCCAACTGTGGCCTATCGGGATTGCAGAGCTTGGCTCGAAGATTTACTTCTTCTTCATGGCGGTGAATTTGGCTTGCGTACCGATTATCTTCTTGCTCTATCCTGAAACCAAGGGACGTCCGCTGGAGGATATGGAGGTGCTGTTTGGCGGGTATGAGGGTGGAACTCTGTCAACTACGTCTTTGCTTTTGGCTGATGACAGGGAAGATGGGAACGGGGAGGATGAGGAGAATGAAATACTGGGTAGGCCGTTGCTTGGTGATGGAAGGGGCATGGCAAGGTAGGTCTTGTTTCTCCGTAATTTGTTACGCATGTCATTCGATTATGATTTTGGATAAGCTGGGAACCAGGAGTCGCAAGTGTATGTATGAATGAGTAAAGCCTTGTGTACATGGGAGGCTATATTTTATGCCAAAAAAAGAGACTACAGTGAAAGGATGCAGAATCGACTCGTAGTAAGAAGACAAAAGGCTGCTGCCACTCCGCCACAGCTCTAGTAAAAGAGCTCAACGGCATCGAAGATCTGGATCCAACATTAGCAAACGCCCGTTTCACAATCAAGAAAGCCCGAAAGGGAATACTCACAAAGTTAGGACTCAAAAACGTAGCCCCACTGCTCCCCGACAGCGCACTGATGGTGATCGTATTCGTCCCACTGACCAGCTTACCCGCCGGCACCGCCACATCGTAGACCTCTCCATACCCCCTATACGCGCCTCTGGTGACACCACGGCTATCAATCTTGACAGGAGCGGCGGGAGCGGACGCCGACCACCCATTCACCACCACCTGCGGGCGCGCACCAGCAAAAGCCAGAGTAGTGGCGATCCTTAGCGTGGTCGCCTGGCTCGGCGCGCTGCCCAAGTTGAACTTGATCGTAACTGGGTTATTAACGCTCTTGAACACAGCCATGGGGAAGTCGCTCAGCGAAGAGCTACCGACGGTGTACGTCAGCGGGCCCCAGCTCGACATGCGGCTGTCGGAGGGGTGCATGCGCAAGAACTTGTCGGCGTTGCGGAACCCTGTGGGCTGGCCGTCGTACTCGCCGATCTTGAACAGCGTCGTATGGCTGGTGTTGAAGGTGCTGGCGATGCTGGCGACGGTGGTCTGACCCGCGGAGACGGTCACGGTCGAGGTGGCTACCTTGAACTCGGTCTGGTAGAGCACCATGGTGTAGGTGCCCGGCTTCATCTTGGGCGAGGTGAAATCTCCGTTGGAGGCTGTCCTGACCCAGTACTGCGCCGCAGCGTTGTACCAGTGCACGACGCCCTCGAAGCCGGAGGGGATACCGGTGGCGCGCCCGATGACGGTGCCGCGCTGCGAGTCGGGCACGTAGCCGGTCACGCCGAGCTCGCCGAACCAGGAGACGTCGACGGTCTTGAGCTTCGGGATGCCCGAGCGCGAAAAGGTCATCAGGTACGGACCGTGCAGGCCCATGCGGCGGTCTTCGGTCTGGACGTGCCCGCTGTTCATGTAGTTGTACAGGTTGGTGCTGTCGCCGGCGTTGTTGGAGTCGATGTCGCGGAAGAAAGGGCCGCCCGAGGAGGATTCCTGCTGGGGCGTGATGATGCAGACGTGCATGAGGTCGGAGCCGCCGTAGACGCAGTGTGAATCCTCGTCGATAAAGCGAGTAGAGGAGTAGAACTTGGAGCGGGTCTGGCCGTCGACGACGAATACATCGGAGCCCTCGACGGTGGAGGAAGATCCTTTGGTGGTGGAAACCTCGCCATAGGGGTACTCGTACGGGAGCTTGTCGGACAACAGGCGGGCAATGAAGCGAAGCTCGCCGATCGCGGGCTCGGCCGTGATGTATGTGGCCATGTAGATGGTGCTGTCGGCCTCCTTGACGATCATGTACTGGGTCAGGGTCGAAGTGACGCAGGTCACTTTGATGAACTTGGACGTCGACCCATTGATCTGGCTGACAGAGACGGTGGCCTTGCCGAGGCCGGATCCGATGTGGGTGCCCTGCTTGCTATACTGGAGTTCGGTGCCTCGGTACTTGATCGAGTTGATGTCGCAGCTGGACTTGCTCACGGAGAAAATCAAAGGGTTCGCGGAGCCGGCATCAATGATAAAGTTGTTGCCGGAGGTGGTGTACCCAAAGGCAGCAAGTGTCCCCGAGACGAAGAGGGAAACAGCCAAAAAGGCCACATGAAAGAGAGTGAGGAACCCCATGTTGCTCTCCTGTTAACTGCAGTAACAGAGACGATAGAGCTGGCACGTTCAAGGTTGCCGTGAGTAGAAGGCAGCACAAGAGCACATCGGAAATGCTGGTGTCATCTTATATAGGTCTGATGGACTAGGCGGGGACAAGAGCTGGTACTCGTATGCCGTGCCATGCCTCTCCCGCGATCTCGGTTCTCGGAATGAAAACCGTTGTTCCCAGTCATATCGACAGTCATAAGAAAGACTCGATTGGCGGAACAAGACTGGAGGCCGTATTTCCATGGCCGTTGATGGCAAGCTGGTTGCGTAGCGAGAAGGTAGGCTGGTCAAATTGGGTTACATTCAATGGCTAAACGACAGGAATTTCCGAGAAAGGCGTGTGTGTTCATGCTGCCAAGACGGTGGATTTGCGGTCGAAACCTCGAAGCGGCGGTTTCAGGTACCGAAGACCAGAATGGTAAGTGACAGGGGAGGACCTAAACCCCTTTAATTCAGGAATTCAGTTCCTCTGTGGAGTATGTGTCCAAACAGAACAAAGGCTGGCTCCTTTATCCCCGTCGCCTCATCCTCGCTTAATGCCCAAATGCCTGATGATCCCAAGAAATATCACCAGTTGAGAGGGGTCATCACGGCAAACACGAGATGTGTGCGGGGTTCATGAACTCTCTTCTAGACTGCATGTCTTCGATTGTTCGGTGTAGTAACATCATGGATGCGTTTGGGATACCTGTTTGGCGGTTAGCGAAAGGCTTCGAAAACGAGATTTAGCGCCCAATATCATTGCTTCACGACGACTAGCACAAGGATCAAGCAGTCCCAGTTGGCTACTACAAAGCTCTACGACCCTACCACATTTGTCATGATGCAATATCAAGGGGTCCTTTGTCGTTGTACCCTGAAGCCTCCCATCTTCATGCAAGGCAATGACCGTCTTGGGACACAATCGGATGGGGAGATTGGACTTCGGTTGCAGGGCATGGCGGACGGATTGGAGCTGACGTTGCCTGAGGGCATGGCATTGCTTGACTAACGGGCGCGTGAATAGGCGTTATTGCTGATCGGAGTCGGATCTCGACTGCCACTGTTGGCGCTGGAGCAGGACCTCAGAGGCCTCGAAAATTCGAGAGGGAGCTGCCTGTAGAGATCCTCAAGTCCATGCCCGCCTGACTTTGTGTTGTGCTGAAAACCTCCGTCCTCCTGAGCCCCCAAGAGAATATCCCAAGTGCATCACCCATTTTCCTTCACGAGAAAGAACACGATTGCAGCGAAATGGAGCGGTCCAGAATCAATGCAACGTCTGCGCCGAGCAGATTTTTGGGGAGGAAATAATCATGGCAATGCCGTTCTACCGAACTCCCAACCCAGAATGTTCCGTAATTCCCTGGCCGCAAGTCATGATGTAATCGTTCCTCGTCCAGACAGGCCAAAACCGAGGTCGCGCTGTAATTCTCATTCCTCCCTTTTTCGTCACATCGAACTTCTTAACGGAGACGGCGGGCCTCACGCTCGGACTCGAGAAGGACAAGGATGTCGTCCTCACGGACTGTTGGGCAAGTTGTTAGTTTTTGCTGCTCTCGCTGTCTGTTTGTGTTTGTGTGTGTATTCTCGGAATGGGCTATTATTTACCAGGGCCCTTGACGTTACGGATGATGGAGCGGGTCTGGTCGTCCATGAACTCGACGCGGACCTGGGTAACACCACCGCGAGAGCCTGCAGAATTCCACCATGGTCAGCATTTCCGTGTCGTTGTCATCGCGAGAGTTTTGCCCGTCACATCGCCTTTCCTCGTGGGGAAAAATCGACTTTGACAGCATTTCGGCGGGGATTTCGCATACCGGTACGGCCGAGGACGCGGGTGACCTTGACGAGCTTGACGGGGGCCTTAGAGGAATCCATTGTCGCGACTGATCGAGTTGATGGGTCGACGTGGGTGGGTTGTGTGTGAAGTTGCGGAAGATGCGAAATTTCACCAAAATTGACTGTGTGCGGAGCCGAAATTCGCTTGGGTTGCCGGAAAATCTACCCTCCGCCCTAATCGTGGCCTAGTCTGCCCTATCCGGATATGCTTGGGGAACCTTAACGGCCAAGACCAGGTGCCCCTCGCCTGTGCATTTTAGGGTGGAGGTCTGTGCTCAGTCCTGCCTTGCCCTGCGGGTGGTCTGGACATTGAGTGGGCCTCAGCTGAGTTTCTCCAACTGCAACCTCTTTGGGCGACTTTCACGTTCTCAACATCGAGTCAGAGTCAAGTGAAGGGCACGACGGTCCATGCTCCAACATGGGTTCTCCAATATCAGCCAGCAGGTGATTTCCAAGAACACGATCTGTCACCAGAATAGGACTTGGATGATTTGAGGCAGATGAAGACACCCGCTGCTTGTCAGGATGATTGTTTAATTGTTGACTGTTTGTTGGGTTCAGCCAATCTTCATTCCAATGTACGGCATTGTTGGGCAATGCGACTTTGTATCACAAATTCAGAGCTTCGAAGCTTCGAAGTATGTATCACGGCTAAGAACTGTGGTTAATACATTGGATCTTTTTCCTATCAGTGCGCTTATAGTATTTTTTATATTCCCTCCAGGACATCCGTTCGAAATTCTTACACAACATCCAAGTAGGTGGTCTTGCGAATTCGCATCCGATGTTGCCGACCGAGATCATGTTGCTCATCTCCCAAGAGCCTCACACATCTTGGTTCATGAGGCTTGGCCGCTTGGGCCATACACTAACGGCTTGGCACGTCTTAAGGCCCCTATTCTGTTATCGCACTTCCTTGCTACCCCCTTTCCAACCAAAACATTTAAAAGGTCAGAAAGGAAACCATTCTGGAGCCAAGTGAACAAGTGGTGATACCTACATATTTCTGGATTAGCCTGACCCGTAACAATGGTACCATATTACAGGAAAACTTGGAGGGACTTCATCGGTCAGTTACAGTCGTCTTTATTGATGGGGGACATCCAAACCACCAATCACTCTGGGATCACCGGTTGCCCCGGAAACAATCGGTCATCATGACATTCCGGTTGTACCCATGATGAAGTTGGCAATTCCTTCATTATTAGATCCAAACCGACAAAAATACTAATCGTAATTTACCTCTAGACTCTACCCGCGATGCCATCGCCGAACTTGGTGCCGAACTCGGCATTTCCGATGAGCCAGAGAGGAGGGTGAGATGCGACAAGATGGTGTTTGCTCACTACATGGTAATAGGCTTTAAGTTTTCTTTCACGAAAGGGTCGCGCAGCTAATTTACTTTGCAGCTAGGACTCACCTTGAATCATACCGCTAGGGACTGGGAGGATGAAATCAGAGCTGCCAAAGAATGCGGCATCGACGGATTCGCACTAAACACGGGTTCTCAGGATCACTGGCTTGATGAGCAGTTGACTTTGGCTTACCAAGCCGCTGAACGGGCTGGAGGCTTTGTCCTTTTCATCTCTTTCGAGTAAGTGTCTTTTGTGTGTTCCTTCGTCAAGTTCTCTGGCAAGATCAGTTGTGGCTAACCAGATTTACTAGCTTTGCGTTTGAGTGGACAGTTCAGCAGGTGGTAGACTTAATCAACCGGTTCAAGTATTCGCCCGCGCAATGTGTAGTTGATGGGAGACCGTTTGTATCGACGTTCGAGGGCCCTCAATGGGCGGAAAACTGGCCCTTAGTCCGTCAAGCGACGGGCGGTATCTTCCTCGTTCCGGACTGGGCCAGTCTTGGACCTCATGGGGTTGCCCAGAAACTCGACATCATCGATGGTGCCTGTAAGTTCCGCTGCGGTGTCATACTTTGGATTTTTGGAGTGGGCTAACTGTCTATAGTTTCTTGGGACGCATGGCCAAAGGGATGCAATCACAAGATGGGCCCGGATGAAGATCATCTGTACTTGCAAGCCCTTCAAATCGAACAGCCAGGTATCTTTGGGACACCAAACAACAAGCACAAGTATATGATGGGTGTCAGTCCTTACTTTTATACGAGTGAGTTTGAGCCTGCCAGTGCAAGCTGAGAATTGTGCTAACCTTGAGTATAGACCTCCCACAGTGGAACAAGAACTGGTACTGTTCTAGCGAATCTCTCTGGTATGACCGTTGGCAACAGATTCTAGAGGTTCAGCCGGACTTTGTCGAGATCATCACTTGTTCGTTCCCCTCCTTGGCCGGTGCTAGTCTTGGGCTGGTGCCAAAGACAGAGAGCTAACAACCTTGCAGGGAACGACTATGGTGAATCCAGCTACATCTACGACCCCCATCGAGATGACCAGGTTGTGCCAGGAGCAGACGCTTACGTCAAGGGCCACTCACACGACGCCTACCGTGCCATTCTGCCTCATTTCATCCAGGCTTACAAGGCAGGAAAGACCAAGGCTAAGCCACGAGAGCATCTGGAAGACGTGGCAATTGCATGGTACCGCAGGACACCGGCCAGTGCAGGTCACCATGGTGGTAAGTTGTTCTTTGGCCGACTTCTTAGAGATATTGCTAACACGACGCCGCCAGAAACCGTATGGGGGCAAGGGGGCGACGCCTTGGCAGCACATGGTGCGAAGGACGTCATCTCCGTCGTTGCCATTACCAAGGAGGAGAACACGGTGACTGTGACGCTCGGAGATGGGCAACCGAGGGAGTTCCAAACGGCACGGGGATCTTCGTACTTTGAGATTCCGTTCGATGAGACTACCCTTGGCCCCGTGAGACTGCAGTTGAACGGTCAAGTCACAGAAGGACCGGATATCCATTGCAACTGTGAGGACAAGGTGAGTTTCAACGGCAACTTCAGTAGCCCAACTCCATGCTAACGGTTGTGCCTAGGTCAATTTTAATGCGGTGGTCATCCAAGTGCCTGCTAAAAGGTGATGTGGGGCGCGCAACTGAGGGTGCAATGGGTTGAGTCAGGGAGAGGGTTCATGAAGCGATGAACCGAGGATGTAATGGCAGCGAGGGTTGAGGGAGATCAAATTTGGAGGAGACATAATGCTCGGTCATAGACCGCCAGGATAATCCTAATTTACCCATGATTGCGTAAGACAATGAACCTTCAGCGTCTCCAAAAACAAAAGAGAAAAATTTATACAAAAACCAAAACCTGCGGATCAGTAATAGAAATGAAGAAAGTGTCGGGTTTGTTGACTTCACTTGGAATCTGCACCGGGTCAGGGGCATCGTGAAAAAGATGATGGGACGGCGGGGATGGTTTCCCGTCTGTCGGGTGCCCTTCTTTATAGTACAGTAGATCGGCTACTGTAGATCCGTCCAATCAACGCCCGGAAACGCTGGCATGCCCCTCTGGCGGGCGCGCGTTGCCGGGAAAGCCTGTCTGCTACGTCACAGGCGATCTTTCTGTCAATCCGGGCCACAGTCCGACAGGGCACATCGACCAAGCAACAACTTCCCGTCGATTTCCGCCAGATCTGAATCATGTCACCTACAACAACAACAATATCAACAACGCCCGCAAGGACCTGCGCATTCCCCGGACATTGGGATTGCCATTGAAGCGATACCGACAAACCTTTTTTTTCCACACGCAAACCGACCGTTCTTCGTCTAGACAGCGGCCCGGCGCCGACGGAGTGACCCCCTCTCGCCTGATCACATGCCCGCCATGCGGCTGGCAGCCGTCGCCGTTGGCCGGCTCTCTTGTCGCGCGCAACCGCCACCGTCACTCTCGACCGCAACAAGGCGGTGTTCCGGCCTTCTTTCACACCACCTTTTACGGACATCGTCGAAACAACCGATACGCCCTTCTTCTTGTTTTTCTACTGCAACCCGGTCAATACCACGTGCCCCGCGACCACGACTATCACAGACATGGCAAAAGACAGGAGGAGGAGGAGGAGGAGCAGGGAAAGAAGGAGCAGGATATGGTCGGTATTCTAGACCAAGGGTAATGTTATTGGCAAAAACCGCCAATGGCGTACTAGCGACCGCCGCTTTCGTCTCGCTCTCGGAGGAGGATAATAGCGGCACGGAACTGACGATGGAACAGCGGATGCTTCAAGTGTCGCGGGAGGAGATTGAGAAGAAGGTCGGGGAGGACGTCACGGGGCTCAAGAGAATTGGCAAGAAGATCGTCCTGTTTTTGGACTTCTACATCTGGGAACCTCTATGCACAGGCATACGGTTCCTGAAACTGGTCGCCATTTTCGCGCCGGTGATCATCACGGTACCAGTGATCTGGTTCGGAGAGCGCCAGCCGGATCGTGACGATGAACGATCAGGAACACTGTGGTGGTATGGGTTCTTGGTGCAGGCTATGGAGTGGGCTGGTCCTGCCTTCATCAAGCTTGGACAATGGGCCGCCTCGCGATCAGACATATTCCCCGACGAGATGTGCAACATCATGTCAAAGCTGCACGACGACGCCCCGGCTCATTCCCTCCATGCTACAAAACGTATCGTGGAGGCGGCATTTAATGGTCGCCACTTCGACGAGATCTTTGAGGAATTCGACGAGAAGCCTTTGGGTGTTGGTGCCATCGCGCAGGTCTACAGGGCCAAGCTAAAACCAGACCTCACCATGCCTGCTGATGCTGACCTTTCCAGCTCGACTCATCGGTTTGTCAAGAACGTTGGGACCGTTCTGAAGGCTACGCCAAAACGGGTCCCATCGTCCCACGTGGCCATCAAAGTGCTGCACCCTGGTGTCGAGCGGACTGTACGGCGCGATCTCCGGATCATGCGATTCTTTGCTTCCATGATCAATGCGATTCCTACCTTGGAGTGGCTCTCCCTCCCCGACGAGGTCGATCAATTCGGTGACATGATGAAGCTACAACTCGACCTGCGGATCGAAGCCGCCAATCTCTCCAGGTTCCGCAAGAACTTCAAAGACCGAACAACCGCCTGGTTCCCCTACCCCTACACCGAGTTCAGCACTCGCAACATTCTCGTCGAGGAGTTCGCCCACGGCGTCCCACTAGCGGACTTCATGGCCAATGGCGGCGGCGTCTTCCAGCACGACATTGCTAGCGAAGGTCTCGACGCTTTCTTACGCATGCTCCTCCTCGACAACTTTGTGCACGCCGACCTGCACCCCGGCAATATCATGGTGCGCTTCTACGAATCTGAGAAGCCCCCCCTCAGCCTGCACTGGGACAAGCCTAGTGACGCGCACCCGACGGGTAAAAATGATGTCACGGAGCATGTCCTCTCGCGCCTGCGGCCGTACAGAAACAACAAGGAGCTGTGGGTCGCCGAGCTGGAGAAGATTGATGAGGAAGGGTACCGCCCGCAGCTGATTTTCATTGATACCGGTCTGGTCACGGAACTCAACGCTACCAACCGCCGCAACTTCCTCGACTTGTTCCGTGCCGTGGCCGAGTTCGACGGGTACAAAGCGGGCCACCTCATGTGCGAGCGGTGCCGGCAGCCGGATGCGGTGCTCGATAAAGAGGTGTTTGCGCTCAAGATGGAGCATCTCGTGCGGGACGTCAAAAACAAGACGCTGGCGCTAGGGAATATCAAGATTGGCGATATCTTGGAGAAGGTGCTGAATATGGTGCGCCAGCATCACGTCAGGCTCGAAGGCGATTTCGTCAATGTGGTCATTAGCATCTTGCTGCTGGAGGGTATCGGGCGTGCTTTGGATCCTGATGTGGATCTGCTGAGCAGCTCGCTTCCTATCTTGAGACAACTCGGTGCGCAGGGCGGCAAGGATATGTTGATGGAGGGGGATGTGCATATGATGGCTGTTTGGCTGGGGTTGGAGGCCAGAAGGTTTATGCAGGCTAGTATCGAGGATGTAAGTATACCTGACCCCGATAACGAGGTTGAGATCGATTTGCTAACATTCTTTGTTTCTCACAGGTTGAACGGTGTGTCAAGTATGATTTGCTTTCACCAAATGTGTGATGGAGGACATGGGGATTTGTGATAATCTAATCATGGTGTTCATACCTACTTGGGCCGAGGAGACTGGCGTAATGGAGATTGAGAAAGGGATGCATCTAGACGGAGTTTTGCCAGAAATGGATGTTTGACGGGATGGGTTTGTGATGGTCTTTTCGTCGGGTTTTTTTCGTAGTGATATCCTCACCTTACCACTCATACTAACAGCTTGCACATTCATTCCTTCGGGTTTCTGAGTCCCTCAACAACAACGATTTGAGTCGGTACCTTAACGCGGTTGCGCCTGTACACAACCAAAGTTGAGATCTCGATGGAAACAGCGGACGACAGGAACTGACTGGAACAAAAACCGGGCAACGTTGAAAATGGAGACTTTTCTTGCTGGACTAACGACTTGAGCTCTGTAATTCTGGCGATATCATTGGATCAGCCGGACGTGTCAGGATCGTTTTTAGTGGACTCTCTTCAGCCTAGAGTCCCGGTTCGAACTGTGCGATCCATGTCTCCCCTGACGGTCTGTTAGTGGGAGACATTGAGGTATGAATTACCAATGTAAGCAGTACAAAGGAGCCGGCTTCGTTGGAGACTGGGAAGTTTTTTGGAGACCATAGATATAGGGAAGGGTTCGTAAGACAGTTTCTGTTCATTTACAGAGCTTTTATGGCCATAGATGGCTGTATTAGTAGACGGTGAAAACCACATCGAAGTCTTGAGCTAACAAACAGACCGATCTTGCGTGCAAGTCAATCCTGGTCGGGCGGGGCAGCCATCAAAGAAACGATGGCCCCAAGCGCGTCATGCCCGTCCGGCTTTATCCGCTCATATCGAAATTTCTCTTCGCCTATATTTTTTTTATCTTCCATCCTCTTCTTGTTATCGACGGAGCTTACATTGTTCTCGCGCTATCCTTAGACTTTTTCCACTTCTGTTTGATATTGAATCTACATAACCCCAATTGTTTGTATATATCATCAACCACTCAAAGCAGTAGCCGGATTGCTCTTTTCTGCCCGACATCTACGGACATTTTACTTCGTCAACGACATTTCTTTATAATCAGTTGCAATGGGTTGGTTTTGGGCTGACGGAAACGCTTCCGCCGCTGCGCCGGTCGTCCCTCCGTCGCATAAGAATCTTGCCGCCAGCGGTGCTGTTCCTCCTGTATGTCATCGTCGTCCTCGAAACCCGCCCTCACCGGGGCCCTCCCCACTGCCAGTAGAGTCTAATCTAACCTCTTTGTCGCAACCATGTAGCCTTCCTGCCCTATGCACAACAAGACTATGGACGCCTTGAGCGCCCACAAGCCCGTAACACCAGCACCCGAACCGACTCCCGCCGCCGCTCCCCCTTCCAAGTGCCCCGTCAACCATGGCGCCAAGGATACTCTCGCCGCTGCGGCCGCCGCCGTTGCGCCCAAGCAGCCCCAGCCAGAAAACCATCAACCCACCGCCGCCTCCGAGCCTTCCTTCTTCTCCAAGCTCAACCCCCTCAACTACATGTTCTCCTCCATCTCCCAAGAGCCTGCGCCCAACCAGGCCATCGCCCTCCCCACCGAGCGCGACCCGTCCTCCATCCCCAAGGGCACCGGCGACGGCAACTGGGAGTACCCCTCTCCCCAGCAGATGTACAACGCTCTCCTGCGCAAGGGCTACACCGACACCGACATTACCGCCGTGGAGAGCATGGTGGCCGTACACAATTTCCTGAACGAGGGCGCGTGGAACGAGATTGTCGAGTGGGAGCGCCGGTTCGGCAAGGGTCTCATGCGCGGCTGGGAGATTATGAAGCGCGGCGAGGAGAACGCGCCCATGATGCTGCGCCGGTTGGAGGCGCAGGAGAACGACCCCGAGCCCCAGCCGACGCTGATTCGGTTCCAGGGCAGGCCGAAGGATATGACGCCCAAGGCGGCCTTGTTGCAGGTTTTGGGCAGGATAAACTCCAAGTATGCGTAAGTACAGTCCTTCCTTGGTTTTTTTTCTAGATGAGGTTGGGCAAAGTAGCTTTTTTGCTAACGATGTGATTTTACACACTATCTAGCACCGAACCTCCCTTTGATCGCCATGACTGGTATGTTTCCCGCGACGAAAACGGCCAGAAGAAGGAGGTCCGCTACGTGATCGACTTCTACTCTGCTCCTCCTGAGCCCACTGGCGAGCCCGTTTTCTACCTCGACGTCAGACCTGCCGTAACGGTTACCGGTGCTTGCGAGCGCTTGTTGAGGTGGGGTGGTGATGTGTGGTGGAAGGCTTCCGGCGGAGAGGTCCGGGAGCGGGAGAGAAGCAAGTAAAGACGCAAGTCTGTGGTTAGGTGAGTAGTGACAGCTCAGCTTTGCTGCGCAACACTCAAAGACTTTTGTGGAAAAAAAGAAAATGAGTTGGGTGGACAGGCGTGGGTGTGGGCGTGGGCGTGGGCGTGCAAAGGGTGTGATTGTGGACAAAGGCGGTTTGGATTTTCGGTTTAATCATCTGTTTTCAACGGCATATCATGCATATCATGGACGGCGTCTTGGGAACACGGGACACGGGTACGTGCTTTCAAGCCGTTCTTCTCTTTTACCATTTTCAATGTGGATCTATACTCCCCCCATTTTTGAAGACCAACTTTGTGTGTTGTTTTGAACTTTGGTATGTTTCCGGGTATTGTAGGAGTCTTTGCACGTATGTGACACATTCTTCTCACATTCCCAGCTATTCAATTTCTGTCACATTGACGGCGAATGTTACCTGCTGGTGAGCAGCACCATCTTCGATCTTTAATATCCACCACTTTACCAGCCTGACCCAACCTTGATGACTAGTTGGCAGGAAAGAAGAACATGCACGTTAACCGCACACTATCACGAGCGGCGGCAAGGACAAAGGAAACATGGCGCCCGTCGGTCTTGTCGAGCGTGATGCATGAAAGCCGTACATATGTATGATTCTGGTTGAATTTCTGTTCTGCTTCCGGTGTCCCATTGATGACCTTGAGCGAGCTATAGTTGCAAAAAACAAGTTAACATTATGCTCTAGTGGCTCTTGTGGTCATGATCCAAGCTTATAAGAGGCTCAATGAAACTATTGTTGTCACTGTATTCTGACGATGGACAAGTCATGTTCGTGGTGAGAATGTTTCGCTTTCAACCTAAATGCCATTACATGTCCAGGCCTATCACTGATATCGGGCCAATCAGCATGCTTCGCCAGTGCCTGCCGGGAATGCAGCTCTCTGTGTGTGGGTTGTTGGGTCCAGACTCCTGCCCCCCCTGTCACTGTCGCATTCCAATCCGACCCGCTGCTGCAAAGAGCTTTCAGTTCCCTTTTGCTGCGATCGGTTTGGCGGCTAAAACACACTAACAAAACATCATCAAAAAGTTCAATTAGCGACCGTCCCATCGCATGGCACTTTGGTAACCGCTCTGTTTCAAACGGTCACACCAACAGAAATGCCCAACCAAACCCCAGTTGCTGCCGCGACACCTGACAGCAGCAGCAGCAGCAACGCCTACGTCCGGCTACACGTCTCTCCTCTAGACGCCGAACTTCTCCCCGTCGTCCTCAACTCGACCTTGCTTCCCAAGGCTCGCAACGTCTCGTTCCATACCCTTGAAACTTTTCCCGAGAGGCGCTACGGTTTCGTCGAACTCCCCAAGGAAGACGCCGAAAAAGTCCGCAAAAAGTTCAACGGCGCCGTACTAAGAGGAGCCAAGATGAAGGTCGATCCCGCCAAACCAGACAAGAACCCCGCGCCGTTGGGCGAGGAAGTCGCCCTGGCCGACGAGAAGAGCTCCAAAAAGTCAAAGAAGTCGCGCGATTCCTCTTCGTCTTTGGGGGAAAAGAAGTCCTCCAAGAAGCGCAAGCGCGACAACGCCGAAGAGATCACCGGAGTCGTGCTACCGGAGGGCAGACAGGTCAAGCGAGGATGGACGTCTGCCGACGAGCCCAAGAAGGAGAGAAAGGACAAGCGCGACAAGAAGGGGGATAAGAAGGATAAAAAGGACAAGAAGGACAAGAAGAAGCAGCGGGTCAAGTCAAAATACACAGAACATGACGAGTGTCTTGTCAAGACGGTGCTGCCACCGAACAAGGTAGCGAACACGGAAGGCATGGAGGGTATGGTCAAGAAGAAGAAGAAGGAGAAGGACAGCAAGCGCGAGGTGGTGGTTCATGAGTTCGCCAAGACGACCAAGTTCCCGACGTTCCTCAAGGCGGCGGCGACTTCTGGCTCAAAGAAGGATCCTTCACACTTTGATGAGGAGAAGAAATGCTGGGTGGACGAAGATGGTAATGTCGTTGAGGAGGTCAAGGCTACGCGGAAACCAACAACTGGCATGCTCATGCTTGACGCTGAGCCCCAGTCCGAGGACGATTCTTCCTCGTCGTCTGAGGATGAAGGTGAGACGAGAATTATCAAGTTGTATCACGAGTCCAGCAGTGAATCCGAGGAGGAAGACGACGAGGAGGAGAAGAAGGAAGATAAAAAGGAGGATGAGGATGGGGACAAATCGGGCAGTGAATCTGAGGAGAAGTCTGCAGACGAGAAAGACACCAAGAGCGCTCCCGAACCCACAAAAGAAGAGTCAGTCTCCGATGCTGAATCCAGCGACAGTCGCGACGACGAGGACGCTTCTTCTCCTTCAGACAAGAAGGAATCGACACCTCCACCAACCGAAAAGGCGGCCTCCTCTTCCAAGGTCACCTCGAGCCCCGGCAAGAACCTCTCAATCAGGATTCCTCCTCCTGCAACCCCAGCCACCAAAACCGAGGTGCACCCCCTGGAGGCGCTCTACAAGAAGCCCAAGGACGGAGGAGAAGCCGCAGAAGCCCAGCCCACCACCGGCTTCAGCTTCTTCGGCGGCAATAATGACGACATTGAAGAGGAGGAGGAAGAAGTTACTACTACCGCCACACGCACCACCTCTCTCCAGGTGCCTCTGACCCCCTACACCGAAAAGGATTTCGAGTCACGCGGCCTTAGAAGCGCTGCACCCACGCCTGATACGGCTCACCCAAGCCGGAGATTCAAGCCGTGGGAGGATGATAATGAGGATATCCAGGAGGAGGATGAAGAAGATGAAGATGAGGATATGGTGGATGCCGCCGCGGCAACGGGGGCTGCTGAGACTAGTGCGGATGGAGAGAAACCCGCTAGCACTAGCGACTTCCAGAAGTGGTTCTGGGAACACCGTGGTGACCTTAATCGGTCGTGGAAGAAGCGGAGGAAGTTGGTGGGTAAGGAGAAGAGGTACAGAGAGAACAGGGCGAGGATGGCGAGGGCTATCTAGGTCGAGGTATTTTTTACCTTTTTCTGCTATTTTTTTGTTTCTTTCTCCGTCTCTTTAAATCACCTGGTTTTGTCAGAGTAGCTGGCTGATCGCGAGTATTACTATGGGAAAAGGTTTGGTTTCCATACATGTCGAACAAGCGTCCCTTTGCCGGCCGATTATCTCGTTCCTACTTCTTGAACTCTTTTACACCTGCAGGTGTCTCTATGCTACTCTTTACATCATTATTGACCTATGTGGTCCTCCTTCCTTCCTTGACTATTGAGCCAAAACTATAATGGCTCTATCCTGGCAGCAAACGATCCCTATGCACCCAAACCGTTACACCATCCTTTGGGTATCCGCTGAAAAGCAAGAGTATGGACAACGCCATGATGCAAAGCTAATCCGGTGAGCTGATATCTCCCCTTCCCTTTTCCTTTTCCATGTGATCCCTTCAAGTTTCGCTGTCTCGATATCATGAAAGACCCCTTAACCGTGTGAAAAGCAAAGCGCCCGATGCCGTTACTCCATGAGAGCGCATCTTGCGCTGCAGCACATGCCGACACACCCGTACAGCAAACACAAACACAGTATAATCTAACACCATTACTCAAGCACCAACCCAGTCTTTCAACGACCTTCACCACCACCACCACCATTGTTAGGATCAGCAAGAAACTCCATGCCCCTTACATCCTCCCTCCGGCTAGGCATCCTCCTAAACGTGCCATAATAAGCTCTCTCCTTCTCGTTGCTTGAGGTTAGCTCCGGGCTTAAATACTGCCGCCGCCGCCGCTGCTGCTGCTGAGGTCGCTTTGCCGCCATGTCGGGCATCTGATGAGGCATGATCTGCGGCGGCATCTCGGGCATCGGCTCCTGATCCTGCTCGTGGTCCTCGTGCTCTTTTTCTTCTTCAGGAGCAACATCACTTGCCGTGACGGCTCTCACCCCGCCCATCATTCCCTTCTTTGGTGGCATTCCGTGTTCCGTTCTGATCCTATCACTCTCCGCTGCTCCTGCTCCCGCGCCTGCTCCCGTGCTCGCAGACGACGAAGTCCCCACCGAAATTGGAATCGGAACCGGGATAGATGACCCCAATGGCGACTGCGAGGGCCTGGGCGAAGGCGAAAGCGTCACTTTGTTAGTGCTGTTGTTGTTAACGCCCGCCTTCCTCATTGCTCCCGAAATTTCATCTCTACCAAGCGGACTATAGCCCTCAATCCTACCGACTTGGTTGGTGCTAGAGCCAGTGCCGGAGAGACCGGAAAGGGTCACCGCCTCGCAGAGCTCGGTCAAAATGCTGGACTGGGTTTGGGAGATGGGGACGCCCATGGTGACTCCCGAAGGGGTGGTCATTACGTAGGCGGTGTGGGTGTGGGTGTGGGTGTGGTTGTTGGGCAGGATGTGGTCGCCCCCTTGGGCGTTGTGGTTGTTGTTGTTGTTGTTGTTGCTGCGGTGGCCGTGGTTGTCACCGTTGCGGCTGGGGCTGCTGTAATAGCCGTGAATATGCAAATTCAAAGACGCAATGGTCCCGCCGCTGTTACTGGCTGGAACACCTAGACCTGTACGTTGGAAGTGGCCGGAATCCAACTCGGAAGGGGGCCCAAGGAGGCGGTGCAGGGACTGAGTGGCTGTGCCGGTTGTGTTGGAGCGCGGGCGGCGACCGCTCGTGTAGTAGGTTGGTTTGTTGTCTGCGATTAGGGAATCCCTGGGTGCGATTTGTGTTGCTTTGGAGGCTTTGGGTGTTAGGGTGATGTCTTCATCTTCGGAGGGCTGGTTGCTGGGGCAGTCAGGGCAGTCTTCGACGGTGGGTTGTTTGTAGGAATTGGATTTGGAATCGGGCGTTTGGTCGCCGGTGGAAATGGCAGTGCCGATGGGATGCAGCTCCTGCTGCTGCTGCTGCTGTGCTTGCTCGTTGGCAGCTTGTAGCTGCTGTTGTGCAGCATATAGCACACCCTGCTCTTCTTCCCGCTTCTCTTTAATGTCCAAGATCTCCTGCTCCAACTTCTCGACATACTTCCTCAGCTGCTCCTGATCATCAGCAAACTTCTTCCACGCCTGTTCCGTCGCAGCCTTGTCCTCTTCCGCTAATGCCTTGCTCTTCTTGTTGGCCTTGCTGTTGCCCTCCTTTTCGGCAGGCGGGCGCGGAGGAAGAGCCCGAGCCAGACGATGCATCTCGATCCAGGGGTCCTCGCCGGTCTCCTGCTTCCTCAGACGTCCGACAGCACAGGCGCCGAAGAGAAACGTGGCGAGGGAGGAAATCAACAATACAGCGCTGATGCTGATCCAGACGATGATACCCGTAGCATTCGTGGTCGATGTAGAAGACCGAGAAGCCAAGACGGCGATACTAGCTACGAAGGAGATGATGGACACTTGGAGCACGCCGAAGGAGACGGGGACCAGCCACTTCTGAAGACGCATGACGCGCCGAGTCTTTTCTTGCTGGTCCGGGTCTTGTTCTTCGAGGTCGTTCAGTTTGTTGCCACTGCCGTTCCCGCCGAGGATGGCTAAGTCAGCGAGGGTGTTGACGGGCGGGATGATGCCACTACGGGCAGGGGCTATGCCACCGTGACCACTGCCGCCGCCGCCGCCGCCACCAGGCTCCGGGATAACGCGGTGATGACGGATCTTGGGGCCACGCCGGATCGAGTCGATGTTGGGGAGGGGTGTCCACATGCGCGAGCCGGAAGTGACCCGCGAGACGTTGTGGTTGGTGAGATCGGCGGTCACATTGGGATCTATCAGCATGATACCGCGGTCAGGGGTGCCACCGCCTATGTCCATGTTTTCATGGAAGCCGAAGGGGTTGCTGCTGGCTCGCTTTGCGCTCACGACGCTTTCGTCTTGTTGGGTAGAACTGTCTAGGGTGATGTTCTTGTCGGCAAAGGTCTGGTCATCCGAGCTGTCCCGAACAAACGTCATGGTGCGCTCCAGGTCAACTGTGTCCCTTATGTTCATGCCGTGGTCGCCATCTTCCTCGTCAACTTCGTGGACGGTTGAGAAAGTGGAAACTTGGCGACTACCTCCGTACATGGCATCCGTCGAGTCGCTTTGCGTGATAGAGAGACGGCGAGGAGGAGTGAGTGGCTCGGGACTTGGCGCATGGTCGTGGATGCTGATGGTTTCGAAATATTCAGCGGTGAATCGTGGATCCTGCAGCGTTTCAGACTGCTTCGCCAGGCCGGCGTGAGGAGTGGGGTTAGTAGGCCGTTCAGAGGGCATGTCATCAGGGACAGAGAAAGGAAATGGGGTCTTTGGGCGGCTGGCGAGCGAAGAAGTAGAAGCTCGCGTGAGAATCTCCGGGCGCTCTTGACGAGACTGGGGTCTCTCTTCATCATCATTCATCACCACCCCGTTTGTCTGGGATACATGGATAGTGCCGTTGCCAGTCTCATCAGAATCGCGCTCCTCATCTGGGGTCGAGGACTCCCGGCCGTTGCTGAAGGTCTCATTCCGCAGGGAAGACTCGTGAAAACTACCCTGGCGAGAGGGGGCACTCGCTACCGCTCTCATTACGGATCTCTGAGCGAATTTGCGTGTCGGAGAAGTCTCTCTGCGAGCCATTCTCACCGGGCTATCGTTGTCGACAGGAACACTGCGCACGAATAACCTGAGTTAGCTGGATAGACGACTGGGTGAACTCGTACATCAACAGATAACCTTACGGTAACTTGGATTTGCTGTTTTGCCTGTGGTGGCCTTTGGGAAATGGCCAGCTGGAGGGCGAATAACTGCTAGTCGATGCGCCCGACAAGGACGGCGCGAGGGGCAGGCGAGTGTCGGTTGGGTCGTAGGGAACCGCGCGAATCGAACTCCTGCGAGCAAGCGATGTGGAAGGCGGGCGAGGAATCGAGTCCGTATCGTATTGTTGAGTGAACATTAAAGGCATGCTACGCGCGCTGATTGAATGCGCCGCTTCCATCTTTGTGCGTTCACGACTGAGTTGTGATTTTGCGCTTTTCTCAAGCGATTGTTCACAAAAAAGGAGGGGCTGGTTGGGAGAGAAGCCTTTCGGGCGGGAAGAAAAACTATCAGGACGAGCAGCCGCCAAGGAAAAAGACAGAAATATTTGCCAGTGCTCTGGCTGACGGGAAACAAAGTGAGCGCGGACACGGTCAGGTTGGTTGCGCCAACAACGAAGGCGGGCGGCAATTTGGCGGTTCTCATCCCAACTTCACCTCCGACTCTGCTTGGCATGTCGCGTACCTGGATATCAACATGTGGTTAGCGATATGGGTCCAATGGTTGTAAAACCTTTGGCTCCCTTCCGCCCATCCATTTGATCACACCAGCCTCTGAAGTCAACCTAGTAAATGCTGTCCATCGATCTCCAGTAATTCTTCATGTGGGCTACATCCAGCCCTTCCTTCACGACAGCCGCCCGTGATTGGGGCCCATGATGATTCGGACATAGGTCCCAGCACTTGGACTTGACGTTCTGGGTGGATGACTTGTATGGCGAGGAGCACAACGAAAGAAGTATCCTTGGCCTTCCATATGGATTCCCATTTGTTACAAGCATTTACAGATTTCAGACGAGCAATCTTAAGCTCCTTCACCTCTTTCTACTCTTTGTTCTAGCATCTTCCTAGCATTCTTCAAGTGATTTGGCTGGTGTCTTGGAAATCCATGTCTCCACGTCTGAGAGGCTTTGAAGTTGAAGTGTCTTTGGAGGACTAGGTACCTCTACTGACATTCCAATTCATCACGTGAAACGCCATGTTAGTGCTTTCGACGCTTGCATGATGTGAAATCCGATGTCCTTTTCTCACTTAACTCGGCGATTGTGCTTAGAAATTCCCTCCTGCACTGGCATACATGCTGAGAAAGCCCGAGGCTTAGCCGACTGTCTGACAGACCCCCCCACGTCCCAAAACCGATACAACGGGGGTCCAAACTCGGATGTAATGATGGGAAGAGTTGTCAGAACATTCAAGCGTTCCTACATGCACACCAATCGCGGGACCCCCTATCACAAGCTTGTCAAAGACGAACCCATGGACTGCCGACAAGTATCGTATGCCTGCGATTCCTTGAATCTGCACCTTCAGCGCTTTAGTCATGGAAACTTGGCCAGCAATACTTGGAGGTTGTTGGGTAACTTGGTTGCCTGCCTTTTATTTCCACCCGGTTTCTTCCCTCTTCCAGGCCTGATTTCTAATTCGGCTAGCTGCGTACTGTTCTCCAGCTGTTCTTGGTCTTTCACTGCTTTTCCATGGATGTTGTTCTTAGACGTACATATTCCCATCTTTGTAAGTTCGCTGCATTCTCTTCTTGGTTCTCCTGCAGTTCCAAGATGGATAGATCTCCTGCCAGGCAGAACCTCAGATATCTAAGCATGTATCTAGTTGTTTCCCCTAAACATTGGTTAGTATAGCCGTATGTTGCCGTGTATTGACCTAATGTCACTGGTTTGTCTGTTACGTTTCTCTTTACCGCATCCCAAGTTCGAAATCCCAGCTCTATTCCCTGTGGCCTTGCTGAAATTAGACACTCATCACGCCCCCTTGTTATATTTTCACCCTACGCCCCAAGGGGGACGGCATTGGTATTGCTCATGCATTGCCAAGAACTTCCTGACCAGGAATTAGGCATATTGCCATGTCCCCACAACGTATTTCTAAAACTTCCTTGCTCTTACATAAAGAATTACAGCGGCACCAACAGCTTCACTACATAGGTACCTACTTACCACATTGCTTCACGCATCCTGCCTCCAACATGCCGGGCATTTGGTGGCTATGTTTATGCCTGGGTAAGGTGCGGTGAGGGAGGCTGCAAGTGGTATTTGGGAGTCAGTCAACCGGTTTAGAGACGCCGTCCGTTCGGGGTACGAACAGACTTATTTCCCGACATGGACTTATTGACATTCCCCTGATTTATTACCTCGACGGCACCCTCAGAGACTTCCCTAACCACCATCACAATTTCGAGCAGCCACTTCTCTCAAAGAGCAGTGACGGCTGTTGGCTCTCCTTCTACAAGTTGACCTAGCTGGTTGAGAGCCTGGTTCACAGGCCTCTGCATCTTCAACCATGTTTTTCAGGGTCTCAATTATCGGCTTCCTCCAAGCACTGAAGGTCTTTAGTGCTGCCACTGCGTCTTCCTTGGTGCAGAGAGACTCATCATGCAATACTCCAGACAATCGGGCGTGCTGGACAGATGGTTTCAACATCACGACTGACTGGGAGAAGGAGGTGCCATACACCGGCCGTACCGTTCATGTAAGACACACAACTTCACGAAAATGAAACTTGACTCCGACTAACAGATGTCAGTATACGCTTGTCCTTGAGCAGTATGACATAATTGGCCCGGATGGTGTTCCCAAGCATGACGCGATGCTGTTTAATGGTGAGCGCCAGAAAGAAACGTAGATCCAAAGTGTCAAAGCATAATTAATCTTTCTCTAGGCTCCTTCCCTGGTGAGTTCTGACCTTGATTATTTCGATGGCGCACTACTGACTACTTCTACTAATTTTTCCATGCAGGTCCAACCATTACTGCAGGTGTGTTATCCTGGCATGCCCAATTCTCAAAATGTTTTCAAGATCTAAAGCTAATTAGAACACAGATTGGGGTGACTATGTCAACGTCACTATTATCAACAAGCTTCTGTACAATGGGTACGTTTCCAGCGTTTTCGAAAAACAGAAAACTAAGCCTTTCACGAATTGGCAGTAGGAATACCTCAAGGATCTGTACTAATGGGGCATAGTACATCCATTCACTGGCATGGCCTACAAATGGAAGACAACAACATCAATGATGGCGTTGGTGGTGTCACTGAGTGCCCGATCCCACCGAACGCAACGAAATCCTACATGTTTTTGGCCGAACAGTACGGAACTACTTGGTACCACTCTCACTACTCATCACAATACGGCAACGGTGTTCTCGGCGCTATAGTATTTAATGGACCGGCAAGTGCCAACTATGATGTTGACTTGGGCACCTTTCCCATCAATGATTGGTACTACGAGTCAGCAGACCAGATCTTGGCCCAAGTACAAGCCCCTGGAGAACATGGAGGACCGACCATTCCGCCCCCTGCCGACAACATTCTCTTCAATGGTACCAATGTCAACCCGGCTAATATCACCATGGGAGAGTACGCGAGGGTGGTATTAACTCCTGGGCTGAAGTACAGGCTTCGGTTGTTTAACCCCAGCGTGAATTATGCGTACACATTCTCTATCGTAGGACACAACTTCACCGTCATAGCCACCGATCTCGTGCCTGTCAACACCACCGACCCAAGCACGACGGTCTCAAGCCTGTTCATCGCCGTAGGGCAGCGATTCGATATCATAATCCAGGGAAAGTCTGAAGAAGAGATTGCTAGTGACCCCGGTAACGGCAACTACTGGATTAACGCTACCCAACCCATCAGTGGATATTGTGGGAATTTCTATGGAAAGCCTGCAGCCATCTTGAGCTACGACTACCCGGACGCAACGGACGAACTTCCGATTGTTGATGGACCGGTACCAGAAGATCTACGCTGCGAGGATACCACCGACTTTCGGCCCGTTGTGGTCCGCGACGTTCCCCCGAGCGAGTTCAGTATCTCTCCATATAACACGCTCCCGGTTCATCTCATGCGCGACATAAAACAAAGCATAGTTTTCTGGACTATCGATAACGTCGCCATCAACGTCAGTTGGGAGCAGCCTTTGCTGGAATACATCCGAGAAGACAGCACCTCGTGGCTTTATAGTGAGAATGTGCTGGAAATTCCTCCCGAGAGCGAGGTGGGTCGCCCCCCCCTTTCCCCCCCCCCCTACTCTTTCAAAGCTATGATATATGAATATTATCAGAATGCTAACCTAGGTCTAGTGGAGCTTTTGGCTCATTGAGAACGAATCCAAGATTCCTCATCCTATGCACTTACACGTAAGTAGACCCATCCCCCCTTACGATCCAAGCATCTGGGCCCCAGGAGACCTGCTCTTCTCACCATACCATTTACACAAGCTTGTGTATGCTTACACACGACTGTGCAAAACACCTGCAGGGTCATGACTTTGTCATCGTCGGCAGGTCCCCAGCACCCGACGGCCCAAGCCCGTCCGACGCCATGATGCCGGTCAGGCATTTCGACCCTGTCCTTGATACTTTCTCTCTGAACTTCACGAACCCGGCACGGCGTGATGTCACTATGTTGCCCGGTAACGGCTGGCTGATTGTGGCCTTCCAAAACAACAACCCGGGTGCTTGGTTATTCCATTGCCACATTGCCGTAAGCAACTTGTCCACTCCCTCCTCCCCAAGTCACCTTGCTAACATGAATGTAAAATGAAAAGTGGCATGTCAGTATGGGCTTGAGCGTGCAATTCCTCGAAAGGAAGAACGAAATCAAGGAAAAGATGGATCTGAACTTGCTCGTAGACAACTGCAACGCCTGGCAAAGCTACATTGATACCAATCCTCCTTATCAGCCAAAGAACGATTCCGGTGTTTAAGGTAGTTAAAGGAGTCGTAGCCTTACTTATCCTACTCCAGATGGCTTGGTAGAGTAAGGAGCTTGGCAGGTGGAAAGTTGGCTAGACACAATAGGATGTAGTTGACGCGCAAGGGTAAAAAACCGGACAGGATATGAAGCCAGAGACGCAACCGTTCTTTGGTCGGGTATTTCTTTGGCTGCCATTCACTGGCAATGAAAACTGGGTATATAATAATACTCCGTGGTACGAGAAATATACGCTCCCTCTGCCTCTCAAACGGAACCTCCCTCAAAGCTTCAAGCTTTCTTGACCTCCGCCTGGAACTTGACTACCCAATCCGAGAACTCGTCCTTCTCGCCATCCCATGGCTTGATCAGCAGCTCAGCCACAGCAAAGCAATCGAAGAAGCACTGATCCATCAACTTGTCGATCTCCACAGGATCCAACTCGTAAAACGCCAAAGCCAGACTACCGAACCTCTCAGGGATCTTCTTTAGCAGAACCATGATCTCGTCCAACCGTGTCGGGAGATCCGAACCCTCCGCCGGCGCAGTCTGGGGTAGGCTCTTGAGCCTGCGCTTCGCAACGGCCTGGTACAACAGCGTCACCAGCCTCAACCGGCGCAAACAGCTCTCCAGCCGCTCGCGGATCTTGTCCGGGTCGTCGCGCGGGATGTAACTCGACGAGTTCATCAGATCGTCAAGCATAGCTTGTGTATCCGCAATCTTTGTCGCCTCCAGTGACTGTGTAACCTCCTTCACCGCCTCGTCTTCTTCGTCTTCGTCGTCCTCCTCTTCATCTTCTTCCTCATCCTCATCCTCATCATCACTCCCCGTCTCCTCCCCCCACTCCTTCAACTCCTCCATCACATCCTTGACCGTATCCCTCAAATCCTCCGTCTTCTTTACCAAGTTTCCCCCAAATCCCCTCTTCGCGAACGCAACCAACTCATCACACGCCGCCCACAGCGTTCCCGTGTTGGCTATGCTTCCCCTCCCACCCTTTGCCGGCCCATCCTTCAACGCCTTCCCATCTCCCGGTATCTTCCCCACCAACGCCCTCGTCTCCCTCAACACCCTCGAAATCCGGTACACCAGATCCTGGCTGATTGTCTTTGTCCATTGCGAAGCAACACAGATTTGCGCGGCGCTGGCGAGTCCCGGAAGCGGGCCGGAGGTCAATTGGCGGAGGATGGAGATGATTGCTGAGGGCGTGAAGGGCTCGTTGATGATGAGCAGCGAAAGCTTGGTGGCGTGCGCGCGGAGGAGGGTGGCGGAGTCGGAGGCGAGGGAGAGGGGGTTGATTTCGGGGTGGGGGTTGGAGGGCTCTTCTGTGGAAGAGGGGGCAGATGTGCGCTGGTTTTCGGCGGTGATGTTGGCGACGACGGTTTCGAGGCGGGTGATGAGGTCGAGGGTGGAGGTGATTAGGTTGTTGAGGGCGTCGAGGCCCGTGGGGTTGGTGGTGGTGGGGGTGGAGGAGGACATTGTGATTATTTTCTGTATTCGCAGTATCAAGTAGGATGAGGGTCGGCTGGGATTGTGCAGCAAGTTTTGCGCCTTTGCTGTTGCCGTCGTCGTCGTCGTCGTCGTCGTCGTCGTCAATGTCCCGTCGCTGACGGTTGATGATGCTATTCGCGAAATCGCGGGGCAGCTTTGGGACTTTTTTTCTACGCTCGGTGGGGTCGTCGAAACCTTGGACGTTCTGTGTGGGGCACTTTTGGCGCGGCTTGGCAGCAACCCAGTGGGGGAGGGTTTACCGCGCGTCGTCTCAAGGTTTCGGCAGCGCGCTTAACATTTGCTGCCCGGCAGAACTTGCACGTGACAAAAGGTACACCCAAGCGGACAGCTGGCAAAGCGCCGGCAGGAGTGCAAGTTGTCCTGAAAGGTACCCGACCACGTTCCCCGCCCCTGGGCACTCAGTTGCACTAACAATTACGGGATACCCCCACTGGGCGGACAGCTATCCGTCGAGCTACAGGGGCACCTAGCATGTCAACGATCTGGTGAAGCTGTACAACTGGCAATTGTCTTCGCGATTGTTCAACTTTGGATGGTTTGATTGTTTCCTTTTCTTTCCTTCTTTCTCTCGTTCTTCTTACCAGCTGGACAGACAGTAGAGTGGTATATACACAACAATGAGACGGACTACTGCTTTGGTGCTGTTGAGCACCATTGCTCCCACTGGCACTGTCGCTGCTACTGAGAGTGTCCCCAGAGGAGTTGGGCCAGAATGTAAGTGGAAGCTTCCAATGTTGTTTCACGCACCTTGATGGTTTGTCCGAGATTTTGGTGTTGGGCTGCGATGTTCACGAGTTGGCGTGGTACCACCATTTTAACTAAGAGAACTCTCTTTACCTATTCATTCTTCCAATGCTTCCTCCATCGATTAAGTATACCAATGGTCCAAGCACATTACCCTACGTCTCGAACCCGATAGCTAACCACCCCCAACCACCTCCTAAACAGTCGCAAAGTTCTACGCCAACAAGGAAACCTTCACCTGCATCAGCAACCCCTCGATCGTCCTCAAGTCCTCCCAAGTCAACGACAACTCCTGCGACTGCCCCGACGGCTCCGACGAGCCGGGAACCTCAGCATGCTCACACCTGGACCCTCTCTCGCCCGAGCAGCCTCTGCCCGGTTCCGTGACGGGCACCACCAACACCACGCGCGCCCTGCCCGGCTTCTGGTGTGAGAACAAGGGCCACATCGGCGCCTACATCCCCTTCATGTACGTCAACGACGGCGTGTGCGACCATGAACTCTGTTGCGACGGTACCGACGAGGCCCTCCATGTCGGCGGCACCAAGTGTGAGAACCGCTGCGCGTCTATTGGGAAGGAGTACCGCCGCCTCCAGGAGGAGCGTCGGCAGAGCAAGGAGCGGTCGGCCAAGCAGAGACGGACTCTCGTCAAAGAAGCGAGCGAGCTGCGTCAGCGCGTGGAGAGCAAGGTTGCTAGTTTGAAGGAGGAGATTGCCAACTTGGAGGTGCAGAAGGCGGAGTTGCAGAAAAAGTACGGTGAGGTTGAGCGGGCTGAGAGAGGCAAGGTGGTCAAGGCGCCGGGCGAGGGCGGTAAGCTGGGTGTTTTGGTTGGACTGGCCAAGAAGCGCGTTGATGAGCTGAGGGATACCCTTGATAAGGTGCTGGATCAGCGCGACGACTTGCAAGATCGCGTCAATCAGCTGGAGGACATCTTGAGCAAGCTCAAGGAGGAGTATAACCCCAACTTCAACGACGAGGGTGTCAAGGCTGCTATTCAGGGCTACGAGAACTATGCTGCCGGCAAGTCTACTGAGAAGAAGTCGGAGGTTGTTGATGCCGATGTTTTGGAGGTCCTCAAGGAGGATGGCCCCGATTCGGGCATCAACTGGGCTGAGTTCCAGGAGGAAGAGAGCAGCGATGCCGATATCGGTATGTACCTTGCTCCTTCAACCCATTCCATTTTCACAGTCGGTGACTAACAAGAAACCCTAGTCTATAACCTAGAAGCCTACCTCCCGCCCTCCGTCCGCTCCTTCATCCACTCCAAGATCTCCTCTCTCAAAGTCTGGCTGATTGAGAACGGCGTCCTTGCCGACAACCCAACCACCGGCGGCCCTACGGAATCCAAGCTGGTCAAGGCCGCGCGCGACGCGCTCGAGGCCGCCCGCGCCGAGCATACCACCAAGACGTCGCAGCTCGCCGACGAGGAGCGCGACCTGGCCAAGGACTACGGGCCCGACGACATCTTCCGCGCACTCAAGGGCCAGTGCGTCAGCGCCGACGTGGGCGAGTACGAGTACGAGCTATGCTGGTTCGATCGCACGACCCAAAAGAGCAAGAAGGGCCATGGCAACACCAACATGGGTAACTTTGAGCGGATCACTACCGAAATTGCCGATGAGGAGGATCGCGTGGATGGAAAGGGCCTGGGTAAGGGGCCGAGAATGGTGTTGAGGTTTGAGAATGGTCAAGGGTGCTGGAACGGGCCGCAAAGACGGACAGATGTGTGGCTGGCGTGTGCTGAGAAGGATGAGCTGTGGAGGGTTAGTGAGAGCGAGAAGTGTGTTTACAGGATGGAGGTGGGCACGCCGGCTGCTTGTGGGGATGTGGGAGAGCCGGGGGTTGGAACCAAGGGTCATGATGAGCTTTGAGGAGGATACGGAGGGGGAGTTGGGTAACAGGATCGTTGGCAATGTTGTACGGTTGGTGAAAATTTGGGTTATTTGTTGTCTATATGTGTGTGTTGGTCTGTATGTAGGTCGTTTTGGGTCAAGCAAGCCTGCGAGGTGCTTTATGAAGAATCATACAAGATCGATTGGTATCTTTAGACTGTGGCGAGAAACAAGAAAATAGTAAAGGCTGATCAGGGCTTACTACAAACATCCTGTCATCGAAGTCCAGCAGCTGCTAGTTTACGTCGCTTCATGGCTTCATCCTGGTCCGCTAATACCCTAGCCGTGAGCGCAGCCGTCGCGGCGTTGTTGATGCCACTCACCCGGCTAGATATACTCTCACCAGCACTCTTCTTGGCCTTCTTGGTCTCCTTCTCCTTGTCAGCGTCACCGTTGGCCTCATCAGCCGTGCGCTTGTTCTTTTTCTTCTCCTTGCTGGCGCTTTTGTCCTTTTTCAGACTGTGCGTCAGGCCTTTCGTCTTGAGATCCTCCATCCGCTTCGATAACCGTTGAATATCCGCCTTATCGGTCGGCAGAATTGGAATAACGTCCTCTGACTTGAACGGTTCGCTGCACTCTGGGCACACCTCCTCTGTAATCATCTGTATCGCCATCTCCGCAAAGACGTGGCCGCAAGGGACCAGATAGACGGATTTTGTAGATGGTCCCAGCTCTTTGAGCGTAACGGGACACGCAAAGATTTCCTTTTCTTTTTTGTTGCCACCCCCGGGCGGCGTGTACCGCTTGAACTTGAGCTTGACCACGTCGCGAAGGGATTTGATACCGGTGGAGGCGAAGCTTAGCTCGGTCGCGAAGATGGCTGTTGGCGTTGCTGTCGACTCACCGTTGCCCACGCTACTGTTATTGGTGCTGGTATCAACAAGCGCGGGAGGTGTTGCGTCTTGTTTGTTTTCGGAGGAGTCATCGTTACTACCGGGCATCAGCCCCTTGAGGATGGATTCGTAATTGTAGAGACGGCCGCGCCAGTCGGACACGACGGTTTCGAGATCAATGGGCTCGGACGAGATGGGATCGTGGGTCCAGGCGTGGTTGAGCGATTCGAAGGCGGTGGCTTTAAGCTCGCTTATTGTCGGGTTGCGCGCTGCTTCTTTGACGAGCTCGCGTCGCTTGGGGATGGAGCCTCCGTCATTACCCATGATGGTGGTGGTGGTGTGTAGGGGGCTGAGGGGGTAGTCGTTGCTGTGATCTTGGTTGATGGTATACACTCCGTCAAGTAATGTAATTCGATGAAGAGAGTTGGGCCGGAGACGGAGTGGCGTCGTTGTGTAAGATAGGTTGACGGAATGGACAGAGCAAGTTGCGGCAGAGATAAGATAAGAAATAAAGAAGGGGAAGAGGTTGGTTGGTTCCTCCACTGTAAATTTAAAGTTCACGGCAGGGGGCACCGAGCTTCCATCCGCAGCGGGATGAAGCGCGTCAAAGCGTGCCCCTGTGCCAATAGCAGTCGTCCACTGTAACCTGTAATTGAAGCTTGCAGATGCGTGCCTTCCACTGGCTTCCAGTTGTGAAATTCCCGTTGCGAGCCGTTGTCCCAGGTGCCCGACTTTGAAGCCAAAGCCTCATGAGACGAGGCTGCAGGGGCGACAGGATCCATGCCCGCCAGCCAGGTTTAGTAGCTCCACCGTATTTCCAATTCCATCCACTGCCCTGAGCCCCCGCCGGCGACGGGGAACAACGTCGTCGACAAATTAACCAACGAACATCGGCTGCTTGGCACATTTTACGGCCCGCCGTGTTTCATCGCCGTTGTTGTTGATGATTTGGGGATACACAACTGGAATTCCGTTCTATTCATCCTTCGAGAAGCAGATTACTGTAGCGGACGCACACCCAACGCCCGCGCAAACATCGATCCCGCGGCTCGAGACCTTTCCGTCCCCCGGCCCCGGCTACCTATCCAGCCAGGGCATCCACACGGACCCTCCCCCTCCTCTCCCTTCTCCCAATATCCATTGTGGTCCTTCATCCAGTGGAACCCCTCCTTCTCGGGCTGGCTGTCGTCCACTCTCAAACTTCAACCCGACCGTTTCGTTTTCCCTCATCGCCAAAACCACTTCAACGGCGACCCAACAGTCAAGGACCAGGGTCTCCCCAAGTTCCACCCTGTACCTTGACAGCCGGCGGTCTATCGGTCCATTCCCGACCTTCTCTCAACGACTAGTCTAAACTACTTTCCACTTCAGCTTGAAGGCCGCGATAGCTCCAAGCTTCTACGATACCCAGAACCACCCGCCTTACTTTTAATTTGGGCGCGCGTGGTCACAAGTTATAACGGATTTGTATTCTATCTTCGGCCTATTCACTTCGTCTTGCTGACGGTCATTACGACTCACGAGCGTGTTACGTTGCTGGACACTACCGCACGCCCATTTGCCCGTTCCGTCCAAACTATTTCAATCGCATTTGACCCGAACATCACCTGCTCCCACATCGATCAACCTCAAACCAACCACTACCACCGACCTTGCGATTGCGCTCAGCCCACAACCCGCGACACTCTTGACGACTGCGACAAGAAGGCGCAGCTGTTACACGCGCGCCCTTCGCCTCGGCCGGTCAACCGGCTCTTGAAGCACGTTGCCCCCCGCCTACTATGGGCCAGCGACGACAGGCCTAGTTGCAGACGAGGCTGTCCGACATCTGAAAGAGATCAAGACATTATAGTCGGACAACACCAAGATGTCGCTCACAAAGGAGCAAGCAGCGGCAACGCTGGAAACATACATTCGCGATGTGAGGAATCGCACCTCTAGCGACGACGCGCGGAAGCGCGCTGCTCGGCAGATCAGAGATTTGGTCAACGTTGCGAAGCAAGGCAAGTCCACAAATCCTGAGTTTCACCTCAGATTCCTGTCAGATATTGGAACACATGCTAACATACAACGCTGCATAGAAATGGGCGCGGAGCAGTTTACGGCCTTTTTCAACACAGTCAACCAAAGGACCATGGCGCTTATACAAGGGACCGACACGTGTGACCGGATGGGCGGTGTTTACATCCTCGACGCTTTAGTCGACTTCGATGGTATCGACCTAGCCCTCAAGTACAGTCGCTTCGAGCAGCATATTGGCTACATCCTCCGCAGCAAAGATGTAACACCAATGCAGCCCGCCGCGGTCGTCTTGGGAAAGCTCTGCAAACCCGGTGGCTCTCTGATCTCAGAGCTTGTTGATGCCGAGGTCAAGCTTGCTCTGGAGTGGCTCCAGTCAGAGCGAGTTGAGGAAAGGCGATATGCCGCCGTCCTCATTCTACGCGAGCTGGCACGCAATGCACCCACTCTCATGTACCCGTACGTGAACTTCGTCTTTGAGCAGTCCTGGATCGGCCTTCGAGATCAGCGATTGTTGATCCGAGCCACTTCTGCCGAGACAGTCAGTGCCTGCTTCAAGATTATTAGGGAACGTGATCAGGCCATGAAGCAGGAGTGGATGGACAAGATGTTCCATGAAGCCGTCAGGGGACTCAAGACCAACACTGTCGAGTCAGTCCATGCTTCTCTCTTGGTTCTCAAGGAGCTGCTAGAGCAGGGTGGCATGTACATGCAAACCCACTACGGCGAGGCATGCGACATCGTCTTCCGTCACAAGGACGCCAAGGACCCGGCTATTCGCAAGACGGTGGTCCTCCTCATCCCGGACTTGGCCAACTACGCACCGAACGACTTTGCATCAACATATCTGCACAAGTTTATGATTCATCTTTCTCATATGCTTAAGAAGGAAAAGGAAAGGAACGATGCGTTTCTCGCTATCGGTAACGTTGCCAACTCAGTCAAGAGCGCCATCGCTCCCTATCTCGATGACGTCCTCATATATGTCCGGGACGGCCTAAGTATACAGTCACGGAAGCGAGGTTCGGTCGACCCCGTCTTCGATTGTATTAGCCGTTTGGCCGTGGCCGTAGGTCAGACCTTGAGCAAATATATGGAAGCGCTCCTGGATCCAATCTTCGCCTGCGAGCTCACCCCGAAACTAACCCAGGCTTTGGTTGACATGGCCTTCTACATTCCCCCAGTCAAGGCTACCATCCAGGAACGGTTGCTCGATATGCTCAGCAAGGTATTGTGCGGAGAACCATTCCGACCGCTAGGAGCACCGCATCCCAACACACTCACTTCGATCCCGGCCATCCCAAAAGATCCCAAGGATCCATCAGTGCAGGAGCGAGGAAAGGCCGAGGTCAAATTGGCTTTAAACACCCTCGGCAGTTTTGATTTTTCAGGTACGTTACTTTTCAGTTCCCTAAGAAGCCGGACTGGCCAAAGAAATTCCAATCTCGGTTCGATGCTGCCAGTCACGAAGAAGGCCAGTCATCGGGATGTTGGCCGGCCTACACTGATACCCCATTGGAGCGCGAACTGACCGTAGCTGCAGGACATGTCTTGAACGAGTTCGTCCGCGACGTTGCGATCAAATACGTTGAAGATGACGATCCGGAGATCCGTGAGGCAGCTGCTCTCACTTGCTGTCAGCTTTACGTGCGCGACCCCATTGTCAACCAGACAAGTTACCATGCTCTTCAGGTGGTCGCAGATGTTATTGAAAAGCTCTTGACAGTCGGCGTCTCGGATCCGGATCCCGGCATTAGACGCACTGTTCTGGCCGCCCTCGACGAGCGCTTCGATCAGCACCTAGCCAAGGCTGAGAATATCCGGACCTTGTTTTTCGCCCTTCACGACGAACAATTCGCCATCAGAGAGGTTGCGGTTTCGATCATCGGGCGTTTGGCTCGTTACAACCCGGCCTACGTCATTCCACAGTTGCGTAAGACCATTATTCAGATGCTAACGGAACTGGAATACACGGATGTGGCCAGGAGTAAAGAGGAGAGTTCCAAGTTGCTGAGTCTGCTTACGCAGCATGCCCAGGATTTGGTCAAGCCCTACGTGAACTCCATAACCGAGGTTCTCTTACCAAAAGCGCGTGATCCCACGCCTTCTGTGGCTGCAACGGTCCTTCAGGCGATCGGCGAGTTGTGCACGGTCGGCGGTGAATCCATGCTTGCTTACAAGGATACGTTGATGCCCATTATCATTGACGCCCTACAGGATCAGAGTGCTCCTATCAAGCGGGAAGCTGCTCTCCACACACTCGGTCAACTTGCTAGCAACGCTGGCTATGTCATCAAACCCTATCTCGAATATCCCCAACTTCTGGAGATTCTCCAGTCAATCATCCGCGGAGAGCCCCAACACGGCACATTGCGACAGGAGACCATCAAACTTATGGGCATTCTAGGCGCTCTGGACCCTTACAAACATCAGGTATAGGATACCCTGAGGTCAATTCCAGACGAAATCCAGCACCTTCGGCATTTGACCGATCACCTGCATGAAATGCTCCGGGCTAGTCCTGCAAAGGACAGTGTGGCCAGCCAAGTGGCCAATGTCGCGAGTGCGAGGAGCGGAAACCCCTCAGACAAGACCCCTGATTGCCTCAAAAACGCGTTGACTAACTTGATGCAGGTCGAAGAAAGGACTGATGACAACAAGCGGAACAATGAAGCCGCCCAACTGACTGATGTCTCTCTGATGATGGGTGGCCTAACACCATCTAATGAAGACTACTATCCGACCGTGGTGATCAACGCACTGCTTCAGATCTTGAAGGATCAGTCTTTAGTCCAGTGGCACGGAAACGTTGTCGATGCCATCATGAGCATTTTCATCACTCTGGGACTGAAGTGTGTACAGTTCCTTGATCGTGTGGTCCCCGCCTTCATATCAGTCATTCGTGCATCGAGTAACGCCCGGCTTGAGTTCTACTTCAATCACTTGAGCAGGCTGGTCAGTATCGTTCGCCAACACATCCGAGTTTATCTCAAGGACATCATCGATGTTCTTCAGGAGTACTGGCACACAACTCTAGCGCTTCAGAGCACTATCCTGGGGCTGATAGAGTCAATCTCGCGGTCTCTTGAGGGCGAGTTCAAGATTTACCTCGCCAAGTTACTCCCACTCATGCTGGGCGTGCTCGAGAAGGATGTTAGCACGAAGCGGCAACCTAGCGAGAAAGTGTTCCACGCGTTCCTGGTATTTGGCTCAAGCGCCGAAGAGTACATGCATCTGATAATCCCAGTTATTGTACGTCTCTTCGACAGTCACAGCCAGCCATTGTTCCTTCGGAAATCGGCTATCGAGACGATCGGCAAGCTTTCGAGCATGGTGAACTTGAACGACTACGCGTCAAAGATCATCCATCCTCTGACTCGTGTGTTGGCTAGTGGCGAGCCGAGTCTTCGGGTAGCGGCTTTGGACACACTTTGCGCCCTTATGCTGCAACTAGGACGCGACTACTTGCATTTCGAGCACACGGTCGACAAGGCGATCTCCATGTATGCCATCCAGCACTCGAATTATGAGAAGGCTATCGAGAAGCTCAAGAAGGGCGAGGCCCTCCCACAAAATCTTGCTCCTCGGTTTGAAGACATCTCCATGGAGGGCTTTGCTGCCGAAAACAACCCACCCAAGAAGTTGACCCTGAATCCGGTGCATCTCAAGCAAGTGTGGGAAACAAAGGGCAAGTCCACCAAGGACGATTGGCATGAGTGGTTCAGGAAGTTTAGCACAACTCTTCTTACCGAGTCACCGAACCATTCCTTGCGTGCTTGTGCCAGCTTGGCCAGCAACTACCAGCCTCTTGCGCGTGAGCTCTTCAACTCGGCCTTCGTATCCTGCTGGAGCGAGCTTTATGAACAGTTCCAGGTATGTCAGCGCAGTACTTATAATGATTTGAGCCGGATACTAACAGCTTGTTAAACAGGAGGACTTGATCACCAATATTGAGAATACGATCAAATCGGAGAACGTGCCACCGGATCTCCTTGGCCAGCTTCTCAACCTTGCCGAATTTATGGAGCACGATGATAAGGCGCTGCCTATTGACATAAGAGTATTGGGACGTGAGGCCGCACGTTGCCACGCATACGCAAAGGCTCTTCACTATAAAGAGCTTGAGTTTTTGCAGGACCACAATAGTGGTGCAGTGGAGGCTTTGATTGTCATCAACAACCAGCTTCAGCAATCCGATGCTGCCATCGGTATTCTTCGTAAAGTAAAGACCTACAGGGAGGGTATTCAGTTGCGCGAGAGTTGGTTCGAGAAGCTCGAGCGTTGGGACGAGGCCCTCAACTTCTACTGCCAACGCGAGCGCGAAATTCCCGAAGACCAGCCTGTTCCCGTCGACATTGTGATGGGCAAGATGCGTTGTTATCATGCTCTTGGCGAATGGGATTCCCTAGCTACGCTTGCTGGAAAGACCTGGGCCAATTCGGCACCTGAGATTCAGCGACGCATTGCTCCATTAGCCACAACCGCTGCCTGGGGTCTCGGCAAATGGGACTCGATGGACAGCTACCTTCAGTCAATGAAGCGCTTCTCCCCAGACAGAGCCTTCTTCGGTGCGATTCTGGCCCTTCACCGCAATCAATTCAGGGAGGCTATGGCATGCATCGAGCAAGCTCGCGAAGGACTGGATACCGAGCTTAGTGCGCTTGTTAGCGAGTCTTACAACCGGGCTTATCAGGTTGTAGTACGTGTCCAGATGCTCGCGGAGCTGGAAGAGCTCATTGTCTACAAGCAATGCGACGGAGAGAAGCAGGCTACCATGCGCAGAACCTGGGAGACTCGTCTCAAGGGCTGCCAGCGCAATGTCGAGGTATGGCAACGCATGCTGCGTTTGAGATCGCTTGTCATGACTCCGCAGGAGAACATGCATATGTGGACCAAGTTTGCCAACCTTTGTCGCAAGTCGGGCCGCATGGGACTCGCCGAAAAGTCACTCAAGCAGCTTATTGGAACCGACTCGCCGTTGGACTCTGTCATTCCTTACTGGCATGATCGCCATCCGGGCCCGGTCGGCAACAGAATCGCGTCTCCGATCTTGTATGCGGTTCTGAAGTTCCAGTGGGAGATTGGACAGTCACCAGGATTCCGCAATTCGGAGCACAGGGTTGCCGAGAAGACGCTGTACTGCTTGCAGAGGTTCACGCAGGAGACTGCGCACCGCGTTGAGACCTCGCGTATGCACATGGCTGCCCATGCACAGAACGGCATGGAGGTGCAAAACCAGCCAGGGTTTGCTGAGTTTAATGAAGAGATGTTGAATCCACAGGCGCAGAAACACTGGCTTGAGCAGACTGTCTTGCTTGCCAAGTGCTATCTACGCCAGGGTGAGTGGATGGTCTCGCTGAACAAGGACGACTGGCAGCAAAGATACCGCGCCGAAGTCCTTGACTGCTACTACAAGGCTACCCACTACAACAACAAGTGGTATAAGGCTTGGCACGCATGGGCTCTGGCCAACTTCGAAGTCGTCCAGTACCTGACAGGAAACCGTGAGGTTGATGTGCGCAACAATGGGGAGCAGAATTACATCATTCAGTACGTGGTGCCTGCTGTTCGTGGATTCTTTGAATCCATCGCGCTGTCCTCTGGCAGCTCTTTGCAGGACACTTTGCGCCTCTTGGCCTTGTGGCTCACCCACGGTGGCCACATTGATGTCCATAACGCCGTCACTGAAGGATTTACGCGTGTCAGTGTTGATACCTGGCTTGAGGTCATACCCCAGTTGATCGCCAGAATCAACCAGCCTCACAAGAGGGTGCAGCAGTCAGTCCATGGGTTATTGGCCGACGTTGGTCGTGCTCACCCTCAGGCGTTGGTGTATCCGTTGACAGTCGCAAGAAAGTCCTGGCACAACACGCGTAGGGTACGGTCGGCCAACCAAATTCTTGAAAGTATGCGTCAACACAGTCTCCGGCTTGTTGAGCAAGCGGAAATTGTCAGTGGTGAGCTCATTCGCGTCGCAGTGCTATGGCACGAGTTGTGGCACGAGGCCCTCGAGGAAGCTTCGCGCTTGTACTTTGGCGACCACAACATTGAGGGCATGTTTGCCACTCTCGAGCCGCTTCACGAGTTGCTGGAGGCTGGCCCGCAAACCCTTAGAGAAATCTCTTTCGCCCAGACCTTTGGCCGTGATTTAAGCGAAGCGCGGGATTGGTGCCGTCAGTATCAAGAGACACAAGACTCCAATGACCTTAACCAGGCATGGGACCTTTACTACACGGTGTTCCGTCGCATCACCCGTCAACTTCCGCAGATGACCTCCCTCGAGTTGGCTTACTGCTCGCCTAATTTGCTAAACGCCAAGGATCTCGAACTTGCTGTGCCCGGAACGTACCGCAGTGGCCAGGAGGTTGTTAGGATCATGTCTTTTGACGCCACCTTCAGCGTGATCAGCTCCAAGCAGCGGCCTCGCAAGCTCGATATCGTTGGCAGCGATGGCAAGACATACACTTTCCTTCTCAAGGGACACGAAGATATCCGCCAAGATGAGCGTGTCATGCAGCTGTTCGGTCTTTGCAATACTTTGTTGGCCAATGACTCGGAATGCTTCAAACGACACCTCAACATACAGCGATACCCGGCTATTCCTCTTTCACAGAACTCTGGTCTTCTCGGCTGGGTCCCCAACAGTGACACTGTCCATCAGTTGATTCGGGAGTACAGAGATTCCAGAAAAATTCTCCTCAACATTGAGCATCGTATCATGTTGCAGATGGCTCCCGACTACGACAACCTTACGCTTATGCAAAAGGTTGAGGTCTTTGGATATGCTCTTGATAATACCACTGGCCAGGATCTGTACCGTGTCCTGTGGTTGAAGAGCAAGTCTTCTGAGGCCTGGCTGGATAGGAGAACAAACTACACACGTTCTCTTGGTGTCATGTCGATGGTCGGCTACATCCTCGGCTTGGGCGATCGCCATCCTAGCAACTTGATGCTTGACCGTATTACGGGCAAGATCATCCACATTGATTTCGGTGACTGCTTCGAAGTAGCCATGAAGCGCGAGAAGTATCCTGAGCGGGTGCCGTTCAGACTGACTCGCATGCTCACATATGCTATGGAAGTTAGTAACATAGAGGGTAGTTTCCGTACCACCTGTGAGCATGTGATGAGGGTGTTGCGCGAGAACAAGGAGAGTGTCATGGCTGTCCTTGAAGCTGTATGTATCCTTTGCTATGTTCCTTTTTTAACGAGATTGCTAACTGATGCGCAAAATAGTTTATTCACGATCCTTTGCTCAACTGGCGCTTGACCAACCCCACCAGCCCGCCCGGTCCCAACTTCAACGCCGAGCGAGAGGTCGCTATGCCTGGTGGCCCTGGTCCGCGCGCCCGCAGGCCATCTATCCTTGACGCTCCCGTGGCACCTACCGAGTTCCTTGCCGCGCAGGCTGCTCCTGGAGCGGATGGGCATGGAATGGGGATGTCCGCTAACCCCGGACGCTCCCGTGCCCGCACCAATTCGTCTGCCATCTATCCGACTGGCAGCAGCATGGTTAATGGCCATGGAAACAACCAGCAAGAGCAACAGGAGGTTCAGAACGCGCGCGCCCTCGAGGTTTTGGACCGTGTGCAGCAGAAGCTCACTGGTCGCGACTTCAAGCCTCATGAGGAGCTCAACGTTACTGATCAGGTTAACAAGCTGATCATTGAGGCCACCAAGCTTGAGAACTTGTGCCAGCACTACATAGGATGGTGCAGTTTCTGGTAAACATGCTTTAGGGAGATGAAAACAGGACGTTGGGATATGGTTCATCGAAAGCTTTGGTGGCTGGTGGTCTCAGACTTGCTATAACTTTACTATAACTTGCTATAAAGGTGAAACAGGGGGATTAGAATACTGGTTGAAATGGTGCTATAGGTGAACTGGGGCGGTTTTTGATGGGAACAAGCGAGATCATCAAGTTGGCGTTGGGGAAGTGGTTACATAGGCACTTTTGCGATGTTTTGTCTGGGTAGATGTTCATTTTATGTTTTTAATAGAGCGCGTATACAAAAGCCGGCTGTTTGCCTGCGGTGAAACACGAAGTGATCTCGACCTGTCTCAATGCTTCCTGAAGCAACTTTGTTCATCCTCATCTCCGGCAACTAGGGTCATATTAAACAAGATATTGGCCGATGCACACCTCGTCTCAAAGAATAGGGAGCATGAAGCCCACCATTCCTACAACCGCAGTTAGAACGAGCCCGACCGATACCGACAGCACACCAGCTCCTCCCGGCTGCGTAACATCTCCCGTCGAAAGTCCCGTGGACTGCGCAGCCCGCGTCGAAGACAAAGTACTTGACGTCGTGGAGCTCATTGGCGTGCTAGACGGTGTAGTCCCATCATCGACGCTGAGACTTGGATGAAGCGGCATCGTCGCTCCCGGGTGGCCATCGCCGCTAGCAGAATCCTCTGTCTGCACTGGTGGCGCGGCGACGGAAGAAGAAGAAGACGATGTCACCGCCGGTGCCTGCGTCCGAGTTGTCGTCGTGGGCGCGGGATTGGAACCACCGCCACCGTCACCTCCGCCAGAGCCGCTGCCTCCTGAACTGCTGCAGGTCCTACCGTTTCTGCAGCAGCCGGTTGCTGTGCAGTAGAAGCCGGACTGGATGATTTATTCTCGTCAGTTGCTTCCTATACGAAAAGGCAATCGACTGGCATGTCAAAAGGGTCAAATCACATCGCAATACCACCCTTCGCCGGTAGCGCAGCAGACACTTCCCAGCGGCATGCACCAGCCGACATCACAGTTTTCCTTTCCGGCGGCACTGCAGGTGTTGGAACCGCTACCGCCCCCGCCTCCGCTACCTCCACCACCTGAACCAACAGCGCAAGTTCCGTGGTCAGTACAAACTTCGCCGGCGTCACAATAGCCATGGTCGGGACAGCAGACGGCGCCCGCGGGCATACAACTGTAAAGAGAGAGAACAAAGAGTCAGCACGAGGATTGACTTGAACTGATCGCGAAAGGACCTGGAAAACGGCAACTAGTTTCTTACCCATCACCACAAAGTACCTTTCCAGCATCACACCCACCACCAGGCGAACAGGTCTTGCCAATCGGACAACAGGTATCCCTTACGGTGCAGTATTCGCCTGGGTCGCAGTATCCTTTTCTAGAATATGGTCAAGAACCGTCAGCCCATCATCGTCCACAAAGCAGCACCTTTTGGTTTTCTGCCGCAAGAGTTGGATGGATCGATCACATACCCAGAGCAGCAAGTACTAGCCAACGGCATACACCCGATTCCACATGTCGTCTCGCCTATACCACAACCCGCCGCATTGCTACCGGTACCAATGGCAACGAGACCTTGGTTTGGTTTGGGCGAGGTACCAGGCACGGTGGGAAGCCGTTCGTAGGCGAGTCCGCCTAGGAGGGCGCGGGCGGCTAGAGTTTGCATGCGCATCTTGCCTTGGGCTTGATTGTCGTTTTTCGGTTACGAGAACAAGGAGACGGGAGTGAGTGAAGTCGCTTTGGAGCTGAGCTCACGCCTGGGCGAAGGGTTGGTTGGTTGGTCGAGAAGTCTGAAGCTGGGAGTAAGAACACCAGACTTATAACCTCGACCAGGAAAGGTGTAACCCAACCGCAAGTCTGGACGCGATGAACTATTTATACCTTCTTTTCCATCTCTCCATCACCCCAACCATCACACCGTGTCCAGCCGTCCATCCATCCACTCATGGCTTTCGGTGACTCCGCGAAACTTGTACGTCAACTAGGGCCGTCCACGCCATCCACGCCATCAAGTATTCAAGCCCGCATCACTTGACCAAACAAAGTGTCGACCACTGCACAGTTCTGCACCTAGCACCACACCAATCAAGGCTTGCCATGGGCCCGTACCACTTCAAGGGAACAAGATCAACGGTCCCCAAGCCTTGATAACCAGGGGACTCCTAGCTCAACTCTGTGCAGTGCAGTCCATACGCAGTATAGTCTAACACAATGCAGATCATCTCTAAACAATGGGTAGGTAGTTTCAAATTGGTCTCTATGAATCTTTTGCATTTACTGAACTACATTACTAGTGTAGTCCCCTGCCTAGGGTAGGTAGCAAAGAGCTACTTACTTACCTAGCAATCCATCACTTTTTTTTTGTTTCTTTTCCAGCCATCCAAGCCACACTTATTTTATGCCCCAGCTTCACCATGCCCTAACATCACATCACAACACAAAAGCTTTCATTCACTTACATAGGTACATTAAACATCAGGGTTCCAAGGGAAATTACAGGACCAGGTACCTACCTACACTAATAAGGCTGGAGCAAGCACCGACATGTCACATGTTGTCAAATCAAAGAAAAGCAAGCAGTACGGTACCTCTATGTACCCCGTCAATCAACTTTCCCCCCCTGTAGTGGCGTTCAAGAAACCTTTTCCTCAACTTGGGAAGGGGGGCTCTCCTCCTCCTCCTCCTCCTCCTCCTCCAAATATATGCGAGGACTGTATCTGGGGAAAGAGGATGGAAGCTAGGAATAGGGGTCTTAAGGGTGTGACACTAAGGTCTAAGGGTCCATTACAGTGCATGCCAAGACCTGTTGCTTACTCGTGAATCGGAGCAATTTCGTGCCGTGGGCTTTTTCAGCCTTAAAGCTTAATTGGGGTTTAGGCTAATGAAGATCTTTTTTGAAGAAACTGTTTGAGGAAGCTGAGGTTGCCGCCATGACCAAGATCTGGGAACATAGGGGTGGTGTAACGACGGGTGCCGGGTCGATTTGTGGTCGGGCGTAATGGTGCCTGATTTCAGAATAGAACGTTGACGAGAGGACGGCAGGAATTGGTTGGGAAGGATATATGCAGGAGGATCAGGTGTGATTGGTAGGCTGTGGCTTGCAAGTTATTGTCTTGTCTACAGGCAACGATGGACATTTTCTCTCACTTCGAGAATGGTTGTGATGGGAAATGAATGCGATGACTCCTATAGGTAATGTTTACGCTACTTGGTACCCAATGTTACCCAAAGGATTCTAACCTTATTTCTTGAAACTTCACAAACGCTAACGCATGCCTGAATGCTCCAGTGAGAACATGAATCCAACTTTCTTCTGCCCTCGTTGTGCATTATGCCGCCATTTTCCCCCGTTGAAGAGTTTTCTTTCACTTTTTGTAAACCATCGCAAACACCCCATCAGCACCGATTCCATGAATCATTCGCTTTCTTCCTTAACCAATTGACCATATAATCACCTCGAAAGTGCAGAGCTGTGATTTTCCTTTTCCCTTCGCTGATGATATCAAGACTTTCCCAACACCGAACACATGCGTTTTGCCGTTCATCTCCGCCTCCCTGCAGCAGAAAAACCTCGTTTTGAGAGTGCTAGTATTCCCGTGAAGGAGTTTTAGCGACTACTACCTGCCACCTTTGCTGCCCTGGTTTCCCCTTTATTCTTCAGGATAGCTTAAAATCTACCGTTACTGGAGCTTTTCCGAATTCTTCTCTCCTGTTTCCCTTCTTGTTGGGCGGCATTAAAGTCTTGACGTCCTCTTTTCTGGTTTTCGGGCCTTCCCATTCTCTTAGATCCCTCGAAAACTCCGTTAGTCGAGAATCCGAACTGGAAGTCCGCAGAGGTGGGAACTGATGTCGGCCCTTGTTGGTGCTCTTTAAGCCCTGAGTGCTGTTCAAAGCTGTTCCCTATTCCGTTTAGTTCGGGGGGAATGGGTACCGACTGGCAAAAGTTCATCAAGTGTTCATGAAACTGCTGGGGCAACTCCATTGGGAGGTGCAGGACTTGGGGTTGCAGGACTTGGGGCTGATGGGCTTGGAATTGCTGGGCTTGGAGTTGCTGAGCTTGCATATGAAATTGTTGAGCTTGGAGTTGCTGAGCTTGGAGTTGCTGAACTCGGCGTTTCCGAGCTTGGAGTTGCTGAGCTTGGAATTGCTGAACTGGCGCTCCTTGGACTTGAGGTTGCTGTACCAACTTGGAAATTCTATCATTCAACTGCTGGCAAATTCCTAACAACCCCTGAACCTCCAACTTCAATTCAATTATTTCCTGCGCCTGTTTTTGACAGTCCGATTCCAGCTTTCGGCGTCGTTCTTTTTCCTGCGCTAGTTCACTCTCTACTGTCACTGCAGCAGGCGATTTTCCTTGATTGAGAGACTCCTCCATCTGTTTTTTCAGGTCTTCGAATAGGACTTCGAAATACCTTCTGTTGTCTTGTAGTTGTTTGAGCAGAGATTGGTAGTGGGTGGTCGAGTGCAAATGGAGACCTCCAATCGCTTCTTGAATACATATGTTGTCGTCCTTCAGCTCTTGCCATTGGGCTTGGTCAATTTTCATGCCGGATCCCTCAGCCTTGTTGTTGTCATTTCGAACTTGATTACCCTCAACAGATGCTTTGGTATCCGCGGTACACGCTCGATCAAAGTCGGTGGATGACATAAGTTGCCCCTGCTCTTGAGCTCCCTGTTGTGTCGCCTGTGGCTCAACTGCGTGAGGTCAGTCTCTGATTACGAAATAGATAAGAGTTGAAGGGCGATTACCTCTGGACTGGCTTTGGAAAAACTCGCTGGATGGGGTAGGCTGCTGAATCAAACCTTCATCTACCAATCCAAAGTCCCTCATCCAGTCCATATTCTCTGACTTGGATGGCTGAAAATGGTCCGTGTCATTGTCAACAAGGGGGCCCATCTCGATCGAAGAGGTATGCGAGGTAACAGGCGCCATTGTCGAGTTTTCTCCATTAGGTGGCCGAGACTGCCCCATCCGATTGTTGGTATGAGGTCCCATGTTGTTGGGAAAGATATGTGACTTGGAAGGCACCATGACTATGATTAGATAGGCACTTTCGTGATATGAGTAAGCGAGTATGATTAGCAAGAGATATTGGAGACAATACAAGAAGTAATGTGACTGATGGTCCTGGTTTTGAGAGAGTCAAGTAATGGTGTGAAGGGGGGCAAAGCAAAAAGAAAAGATTTTGGGGAGATGGTGTTTAAACGGTGGCTTTTCTTGTTTGCAAGTGTAGAGATACTGTAGCTGGAGATGGAGCAGGAGGCACTGTTTCCTTTAGAGCAAAGGGGGAGCAATGGAAGCTCTGTTGGAACGCCGAGCTTCAATTCCTGGCGAGGCGGCTTCCTCGTTCCTTGCTCTTTCCTTGCATGCTGCTCGTTCTCCTGCCAATTGCATAGGTACATCTCAGCTGCACCCCAACCATCTGCGGGTTCTGCCATGAAAAAGCAGCAACATCCGGAAGTCTTGAAGCATAAGAGAACATAGAAAAGACCAGTCACAATACCAAGTCCAAATCGAGCATACAACTTGCTCAATCCTTCATTCCGCCACTCACATTACTGACTTGCTGGGATGTGCCAGTGCGCGAGCATGGAAACAGAAACCACTCACCATTTAGAAAGACCACCACCACCCCAAATCTTGGAACCTCCTAATTTGTATTCCGCTGTACCAAGACCACCCTGACCATTAGCAACTGAACGTACTTTCAGACCATACATAATTACCTCCATCCTACTCTATCTACCTCACCGCCACGATCATAACATCCACTTACAAATCATGCGTAATCCATCGAGCAAGCACCGCAGTGATCATCAGTCCAGGAATAGTCACCAACACAAACCAAGGTAGGTACGCACCTGAATGTCCTAAACTTAGGTCAGTTCTCAAGCAATCCCTCCTAGGTAGACACCTCCTTCTCCAAAACTGTCACCAACCCAGCCTGCACCATCTCCGCCACCTGCACTACCTAGGTCCCGCTCACCATACAACGAACCTGCTTGACCACCCAATCCCCCTACCGTATAGACTCGAGCCGTTGATACCTAGTTAGGTTCCCTGGAAATCAGGCATAATCTGTAAGCAAACTGCCCGAATATGTGCATTTCATGCTCACCAAAATACCTAAGTGGGGGAGTCGTGTGGCTACCCTGCCCGAAGCACTGTAAATCCAATATTTCTAATGCCCTCCTGCCTTTTCCCACCTACCTTTCTTTTCAAAGGTGTTGGATGATGATGACATCCAGAACCACCCATTCCCATGCAAATTCTGGTGGACATGAATGTTGCAGTATGCTTAGTGATTATGCCTGATTTCCAAGAAACCTAAAGGTAAATATCAACGGTTCGAGTCCATACCTCTACGGTACACATATGGGAACTGCAAACTTGACAATACGGCGTACTTCAGTTAGGTCATGCTGCCCCCTCTATCCTCACCATTCCCTCCGCCTGCTGTTTCTACTACTGCTCAACTACTCATTTTTCAGATGTTCTTATGGTCCCTGAGGGAGGCGAGTAAAAAAATAGAAGAAACGAGTCTCATATCCCCCGTTCCGTTGTACAAATTGGTGCAAACGGTGTTAATAATGCAATCGGTGGTTTTGCTAGAGGGGGTAGTCCCGGGGGCAAATTGGAGGACCAGGGGGGGCGGGAGATGTTGGGTTGGGTAGCTGTGTTGAGGATGGGGGAGATGAGGAGGAGGAGGAGGAGGAGGAGTACGCCAAGGGGATTGATTTGGGGGTGGGAAAACAGGAATTGAGAGCAAACGTAGGTATGATTGACTCAATGACAATATATCGTCCAGTCATCAGCAAACAGTTTACCCCCTTTTGACTCCAGACTAGGAAGGTTACTGTCGTTGCCGCAAGGATAAAAAAAAAAAAAGAAAGAAAGAAAAAAAAAAAAGAGCGAAAAAGGCGGAAAGAAAGGAAAAAAGACAAAAGTCAGGTCTTCGCAAAAATAGAGGTTCCGCTTACAAGGACACAACACACTACCTGCGTGTATTTCTATCACATTTTAGCACTCAGTTCTACTGACAGGACTACTTCTAGCCAATACTCAATACAGTACTTCTTGTTTCCTAATGCATGTTCTCGCCAATAAGCTTGGTGTTACCCATTTCCCTAGCCCTTCATGTTTGTCGTAGTCAACTCATCCAAGCAAGCCCCAAACGAAGCGTGCGAATCCATCCGGTAGGTATATTGAGCATGGTCGCTATGACCGGGCATCATGACTTTTTTCAACATGTTGACTCATACACCCAATTCAAATCTTCAAGTACTCAAGACCATCAAAAGTTATTCATGTACCCAACGCAAGTGCTTGACTTTCCATGACCATACTCAATCAAACACCGTCAACCAGCCGTCTCTTTCCAAATCTCTTCCAAGCAAAAACTCATCTACTCCCCACTAACACCAACGACCTGCAAAACCGCCTCATTATACCCCCAATTTTCAAACTTACACTCCATCTCCTTTTCCAACTTCAACAAGCCATGCACTCCAATATTGAACTCCATACCTTCTGTCTCGTCTTCCACTGTTTTTATCTTGACTCGCAACTTGCCAGCAATGACGGTGCACATGCGAGTTTCATGCTGTTGTTTTCGGGAAGATGATGACGGAGACACGTCTGATGTGGCTGGGAGTTCATGAGAGCCTCCCACGGGGATTTTTATGATGTGGAGAGAGAAAGATGAGGAGGCACAGATTTGGATGGAGGAGGTGGAGGAGTTTTGGTGGGTGGGTAGATTGTAAGAGGAGGAGAGGGCGAGGTCTTCGAGGCGAGAAGGGGTTAGTAGCTTCATAAGAGAAAAGAAGAAATGGAGGAGCATGAGAACCAAGAGAAGGACGGGATGGTTGGTCAAAGCACTTACTGTCGGAAGGACCGTTTTCTCTGGGAATAGCTTTTGCTTCCCTTTCCCAATCCTCTACTTCCAGGGATTCTTGGATCGCGCTCGGTGTAGGATCTTGGCGAGGAGCGTTTTGCGTGCCACGAATTCGTTTCGAGCCTCGCAGAGAGCTCGCAATTTCTTCCCGTGTAGTTGAAACGACCTGAGAGGCTGCAGACGCCATATCCGTCGAAGCGAACGGCCGTTTCTGTGACTCGGAAGGCGTGGTTTCAGCTAGTGACCTTAGACGCCCAGATCGTCGATAGCTAAAGCTGGTTGCATCTTGACGATAGAGGTCAACATCCTTATCCGCCTCATCGTCCACAAAAACATGCTTCCGCTTGACCATGGCTGCATGTCGTTGTGGAGATATCATCCATTGTTGTATGTTTTCTTTAACTCTGCCGTCTTCCAAACGTTCCAGCATAGAAGCCTTGAGACTGCACATTGTGGCCGACTTATTGAGTACACAGTTCATACAACACCAGCGATTGGTGGGCGATGTCACCAACTGTGGACTCGACTCGGCTATCTCATGGGCAAGTTCCGGGCATATGCTGACACACTCGTAGAACGGACCATCTCCGCGGCGGCATGCTGTGCATTGTTTTACCAGCCTTTCCACTCCTGTTACTTGAATAACCAAAGCCACTCCTAGCGCTGAATGTTTCAGTTGCTTTGGGTCCAGTTTCTTGTCGATGATGTTTAAATCTCGAATTCGAGGGAGGGCCATAAGATGGTTGAAGCTCGGATGACTCGGCCTCGTGAGATCGCGGTCGACCATGCTGCATAAGTACTTCCAGAGTTCTTCTGAGTTCGTGGCAGGTTTTTTTGTGGTGAATTTGTGCGTGGAACTCTCCATTTGACTTCTTTTTCTTTCCTCCTCTTCGATCTCCACCTTCTTAAGAACGGGAAGGCATGCTTCGACGACTGGATCCTTATGAAGACTGACGAGGCGCTTTGATACCACACGAGGTGCTCCATATTGGTGCGTGCCTACAATGGAGAACGTGCCGTCCTTGTTATCGTTTAGGCTAACTGATGAATGCATTTTCGTCTGGTAAAGTTCGGTGTAAGCGCCTTGCTTAAAGTAATGAAAAAGACATGAGCCATGGTCAACTTACAAAATGTGATCCTAAACTCCAAGTGTTCTTGCAAACTACTCGACAAGAGCGAATAGGGCAGATCCATGGTCGGCCAGGCCAAGTCTTATCCAACTCATACCCTTCTGGGATCAAGGCACCACGTGTTTCCTTGAGGTTCCGATCCGCATCTGTCGACAAAAAAAACGTGTTAATTCCTAATCAGTGACAGAATATACCACGAAGATGACTTGCCCCACCAAAAAGTGTATTTCCGATCCTTGCTGGCCATAATGAGTTCCCCGTCAGAGTGAACCTCTGTGACCAGTTTCAATGGGGTCTCCCTCAGTCCTGGTTGTACAATTTTATTCTTTGTTGGGACAGAATAGGGTGTGGTATTTTTGACAGCTTTCCCATGCCCTTTTGTGGTTGACTTCATATACAAACTGAGGCTGAACCAAATAGGCTGGGTACCTGATGGATCTTTGACTCTGATCTTTGGCGATTGGATAGGTTCAATGTCCAATGGCTCGCGTGAGACGACAGCTGAGGGTGCGTCGGTATAATCCTTATCATCCAGCTGAGCTTGAGATGGGCTGCGGAGTATGGTAAACGTCCCATCAAGGTTGTCATTCATGTGACAACCACGATGGGTCTGAAAGCCTTGTTAGCAAAAGCCGTCCACGACTAGGTGAGTGGACGTGTACTGACCAAGAAGTGGCGGCCAAATTGATACCGGCTTTTCGTCAAGCACTGGCATGACCGGATTGGACATAGCCACTGGCGCTTCGGATACTCATAGTACGGAGTCCATCCAGATGGAAGCAGGCCACCATAGAGTTGCTCAAGCTTCCCTGTCGCATCTATGACAGCCCTAGAGTTAGTGGCGCTGCCCCTTTGCGGGCCTATAATGATAGTAAGGTGGAAAAAAGAAAAACATACTAGGCCACATGTTATAAGGACGATCTGGATCGGCCATAGTCAAGGTCTTTTCGGGTTTCGGTAGGGGAGAATCTCGAACGGCAACAATAGCCTGGCCAGATACAAGCTGATTGCTCTGTGACTGACGCCTCTGCGTGTGCTCATTCAACTTGTCTCCAGGAAGCCCGGAAATGAACTTGTAATGGTTCGCTACTGTATGCGACGGCTCGAGCATTGGCGAGTCATCAAGACTCATGGCTTTCTTGCTAACAATGATTGGAGGTTGCTTGTTCAGCATTTTGGTATACTGACCCAAGAATGTCAAAGTACCATCCAGGTTATCATTGTAACAAGCTCCTTTGTGTCCATGCTAGAGAGTTGAGGCAGGAAGTTAGCACATCAGCAGGTCTCTACATGTAGATTGGTAACCTAAGAAACAGCGAAGGTACAGGAGACGTAACGACGCACGCTAAAATGGTTCCCCAGGGCCTTGATGGATGGGTGCACTGTTCTGCAGGATCGGACAGGACATATCCACGGAAAATCGCCATCAAAGAATTGATAGCCGATGGGTATTAGTGCACCTTCTGTCTTGGTTATGTTACCGAACTGATCTGTTACACATGTTAGCCGGCGTCATCTGAAACCTCAGTGGCATTGACAGAAGCATTACCTTTGCAGACTTTGTACGGAGTATCATCAAGGGCCGAGTCTTTGGTATGTTTAGTATAAGGACAAGATGTATTCGTAACTGATACACTGTTATCAGGAAGGTCCGCATAAGCATCGTTTTCCCGGCCACCGTCGTCCTTCTCAGCATCGTAAGTAACCCGAGCGTCGTCGTCGTTGTTGTCATCATCGTCATCGTCATCGTCACTATCGACGATAATGAGCCCAGGAAGTCGACCCAGGGTACTGGCGGTGGTATTGGAGCTGAAGGACCGAGGATCAATACTCTCGACGTCAGACAGTTCCGAGTCTTCTGAAGCTCGGTCATCCCGTAATGTTTCTTGGGTATCCTCCGAAGGATCGGGGTCTTTCGATTTCTTGTGGAGCTGGTTCAAAGAGCTGGTAGATCCGTAAATCTCAGAGTGAGCTTGCTGACTTTTCTGACGGGGGTCCATGGAAGTGAGAGCAGAAACTCCAGGGACGGGCTGAGACAGTTGGGATGATAATTCCAGGTGGCCCTTTTCAGACGACGGGCGTAGTTTAGATTCCGTGCTCGCTGTACCGTTCATTGCACGTTTGGAGGGATGCTTGCTTACGCCCGGGGATTCCGAGTTGAAAGGCGTATAATAAGAGCCGTTACCCTTGAAATAGACGCTCGCAATGGTCGAACCAGATGCCTGTTTGTAGCGCGGGCCAAATGATGATGATGAAGGTTTTGATGGCTTCTTCTGCTGATGTGCCTTCCCAGACGCCGCGGATGACAATCGATCAGGGGATGTGGGAGAGTTGGAAGCATTTGGCGGCAAACTCGTCTTCTTGGTGTTGTTAAGGATTGGCCTGGGAAGCCCAACGTTATTTTCTTTCGCCAATTGACCCTGAAGAGTAGAAGTCCCGGGTAGCAATTTGCGAGAGGGAGCCGAAGCGTCAGACTTACTAGACGGGAAGGCGGTGTTCCTTGTCTCTAGCATACCATGTAGCATCAAGCCGTCTTGTCGCGGAGACGCCGCCGGAGCTGGTTGGGATTGTAGTAAAGATGGCTTTGCTAAGGGTTTTCCAGACGCTGCTGTGGTTTTGGTAGTTATGTTCTCAACCCCTTTTGAATGTGTCCCTGATGCAGGCTGTGCATCATCAGATATTTCGGGGTGCTTCAAACATGCTTGTAGTCTCTCAGTGTCGCCCTCCCCTGAGACAAGTTTAGTCTCATGACCACCATATCCCTGAAGCTTCGAGTCGTGATCTTGGGCTTCAGCCGTGGCTTGAGGGTTTTCGCAACCAGAGCTAGAGCTAACAATCTGCTCTTTGTTGTTCAAAGATGGCGATTCTTGACTAGTCGTTGTTGGGCATGATTCAATGCTCAGAGGTGCCTTTGAGAGCGGGCCGATATGGTCCTGCGAGGATGAGAAATCTTGACTCACCGTGTTGGTTCCTCTCCAGCGGCTTCATTCGCATAGTCCAGACGGCAAGTGTGTCCCAAGTGTCTGAAATTGACGCGTGCGAGGATGATCATGAGATGAAGAAACGACAAGATCAGAAGGGACGAGGGGAACAACAGAGTTACGCAAAGGTCCGGCGCGTTGTAAACGGCCAATATTACCGTGAAAGAGAAAGTGCCTCAAGTCGAGATGGATGAGGGCGGGGTACAGTAAAACTGGCCGAGTGTTTCCTGCAGGAAGACGGGATGTTGACGCAGTGAGTGCTCGAGCTCTCCACGGCAGGAGCTCCCGTCCGAAACAGGGCAACGCGTGTTCCCGTGCATTTCCAAATTGCAAACCAATTTACTGCAGTCATCTTCTCCGGATGGAAAGGAAGGTGGGACTGTATCTCCAAACATTAACCGCTGGGATCTCCCAAATAATACAACCATTTCAATAAACTGTTTGGAGTCTTAGCAACAACCAAACAATATTGGGTCGCTAGATAGGTAATGTACCGTACCAAAAGCACATTTAACAGACCTGAAAAGAGAGCAGTTGGAGTAAGAGGTCATTGTTCAGGTTTCAACATTTCTTTGAGCCATGATATCGCTGAGTGTCACAGTTGCTCTCTTCTCCATGTGTTAGCCTCCTCCCGAATATTTTGCAGCACAACACAACTTGAAGCGCTGCGTAGGTACATATCGCACTTGGCGGATCCACCAACTGCAAGCGAAACATGGAAGAACACAAGAACGACCACACCCCACGCTGGCCAGAGTTGCTTAATCACAGCCTATCAACCCGATCATGTCAATCAGCATCCAGAAGGTGCCAGAGAGTGGTCTTGGCCGGAAAGAACTCACGGGTTGAAAGGTCCTTTAGCAGTCCACGTAAGCAGATCGCTGCTCTCTGTTCATTGGGGTACATTGTCCAATAATTTCTCGAGGCTCGCTGTCGTTGTGTCTTTCCAGAGCACTTTCCTTTCCCTTGAAGACCCATATTATTGGTATGTTTCCATACTTGGCAACAATCTATGTGTATGTCCTGTTTGTTTCTCTCCATCGTCGCCTTCCAGAAATTGTAATTATTTATGGACTAAGCCCAGTACTGAAAATACTCTTTTCATAATCAGACGATATTAATGGATGGTCTATCTACCTAGCGATCAACTCCACCGACAAAGTCTTGTGGCTGCCTTTCGATCTTGAAAAACAAGCCCTTGAACAAGGAAAGCCGCGAAAGGAACCTTGAAGCAACCGATAGCAACCAATGGATGACTCGTCTGGACCCTTCTAAAGGTGACCATGGATCCCAAGACAAATAATATTCCCGGCCACGTGGTGTCTAGGTGAAGTGAAGTAGGACCTGAGCTAGAACCTGGAATTTCAACCTCTATTCACCTGGCATCTTGGCTCCAAGGTTTCATATGATAGGACTATGGATGCCTTCACCTGTTCATATGTAAATCTGAGCCTCTGTTTACCAATCATGGCTTCCAAGGTCGTGTTCACCTGTCGCCAAAATGTCGCGAACTGCACATATTTAATAGACGTATCCCTTTGTCAACCCGACCACAATCTTTCCCTCTTACACCGTCGGTCTCCGACAAATATTGTCACTTGGAATTCACCACTAATGGCTGAGATCAACAACCTCTTTTCACCATGTCAACCCGACCCCAACCGAACAATAGTCCTCCCGATGCCGACCTTGCAATTCCCTTCCTTGACCGAGTTCTCATCGACAGCCCCTTTCCACCCATAGCGATCCTGCTGCCCAGACCCTTTGCCCACTACGACAACGACATAAAACTTGAAGTCACCGCAGTGACAACCACAAAGGATATCCACGTTATCAAACGCGAAGTCGAACGATATCGATTCGGTCTTTCACCAGCTTATAGACCTGATGATAGAGTCTACCTGGTCATGGACATGTACGGTTTCGGACTTCCCGCCGCAGGAATCTGGCGCTTCCAGATCAAGGGTTACTCTTGGATCGACCGCAAGCGCACCGAGGTCCTGAGCATTATCCATGATGAGGTCACAGAGGCGGTTACAGCGGAGAACTAGAACTTCCCTGCTGACTCTATGAGACTGAGTAAGTAAACGAGCTTTCCTTTGTCTACGTCTTTAAAGACATGTCGTGAGCCCAGTGAACAGCTGCTAATTATTTCTTCTTTCCAAATCTCAAGGCGTGCCCCAGGAATGGCTGCTCTGGATGACCAAAACCACCAGCCGATTCCGATACAGAATCAACCCTGATGTTGCGCTGACTTTTCAACTTCGTGCTCCTGTGCAGCCTGTTTCTATGCAGCCTGCCCGTGTGCAGCCTGCGGAGCCCCGGCGCCCACGTGGAAGACCGAGGAAGGTCCGTGTCGATGCCGACTCTGGAGAGCATGACGACATGGTTGACGTCGACGACAACGGATACATGGAAGATGTCGACATGGAGATGAATAAGGCAGAGAACGCCGAAGGCTGCGAGGTGAGCGTGGCTTCTTTTTTAGAGCAGGATGAGGACGACAATGTTAACTACATTGATTACTATGGAGAGAACCCCGCCGACGCCAAGTTCGGGACTGGCAACGGGGCTGACGACATGGACGCTGTGCAAGATGATCAAGAAGACAACCTCATGTTGGTGTGTGAAAGTGAAGATGATGCTGTGCAGCATGAACGGCCGCACGTCGACATGAAGAAAACACCTGCCTCCTGCTATATGACGCCGACCTTATCACTGGTATTGAGGATGTTATCCTTGATTCCTTTGATCGTGAAGAAGAACATGCTGATGCTGGACAGTGTATTGATGCTTAAAATTCGTGGAACAAGTCTTTTGAAGCAGCGAAGTATCTGGAGTTATGCCAGACCTTTCTGTCCTCTGCTTTTTCCAATCCCTGAGTCGTCTGCTACCATGCCTAAGGCCGATTTCCCCATCAAGGGCCGTCGAGAAAGCTCAGATCGCGCCTCCCTTACCACACGTGGTTGCATTCGCCACGGAGAATGCCATTAGGACTACTGGCAAAAGAAAGATATTCAACCACGACAGCACTCAGAACAAGCTTTTTGGGCAGAAAATATTGGGCGAAATTATCACAGTCACCATAGCAAAAGGGAAAGAGTAGATGATGGAAGCGTTCAGTTTCCCAGCTATCACCAAGGCTGCCGCATCCACTATGGAAACTGCCTCCAGCATCAAGGCGACTGATAAGAGAAAAGGTTCAGACGATGAGACGACTGCCGACGGCAATTCTGAGCAGAAGAACAATATGAGCGCTACTATCAGCACACGTCCGGCCAAGAGAAAGACATCGGACGAAAGCAACCTTGACACAATTCACCAGGATCCTATTCACCAGGATTTTATTCACTAGGTAGGTTCCTTTTGACCGGCAGGACACAATAAACCTGAACGCAACAGACCTGGACACAATAGAGCTGTGCACAATCCCCGAGGGTAGAAATTCGAGTATTTCCATCAGCGACCCTGAACTCAATTTCTTCCCTCAATTACACGAACAAAAACGGACAACTGCTCGAAAGTCGTCGACAAGACGCATTTCGATGAAGACAAACCGCGCGACCTAGACGATTTCGACAACATCTCCCATAATAAGAAAGCCAGCAACACCTCGAAAACTATCAACAAGACTCCCGCGAAAAAGGCTGCGCCCAAACAGGCTCCTACACGTTGTTCCTCCAGGGCCAAATCTGCTATCCCAACGACGGACATCAAATCTTCCTCAGGACTCTCTCACGAAGCTGCCGCGGCAACTCTCTCTAAAAAAAAGACACGAATTTTCGGGCAAAGCTGCTTCATTAACCACCAGGGTAATGTCTTCAAAACCCGACTCTATCCCTTCGAACCCCGACAAGGGGCGCGTCAATCGATCCATGTCCAGGAATCCCACACCCACTTCCACTCAATCGGGCTTCAAGACTACAACCATGGACAATCATCACTCCTCTTCCGCGCCATCTTCCAAGCGCTCTTCGACCCTTTCACCGCCAGTCAAGAAAGCCCTTACTCTGAAGGAGCAGCGGGTACTATATGCTGCGAAAGCAGAAGTAGCTGGCAAAGGGGACGCCGAGCCAGCTTTCAGAACAGTGCAGGTGCCTATTACCTCAGTCACTTCGAAACATCTCAACAGGCGTGCTCCCAAGCCCACTACCAAGTCACCCAAAACGGCCCCTGCCGGATATGGACCCAAGGTCGTCATGAAGGAGAATTTGCGCCCCTCTTCGAAGTTTGCCACAAAGACTTCTACCGAGCCATCTCCCAAGAGCGGTTCTACCATTTCACCGCCAGTCAACAAGAAGGCCCTGACATTGAAGGAGCAACGGGCACTCTATGCTGCCAAACAAAAGGTAGTCACCCAGATTACCCGTCGGGTTTCGTCCAGAACTGGATCAGAGCCACTCAGCAAGCGATCTGTCAACCGCAACTACTCTACTTCGCCGACAGCTTCCGCTCTTGCTTCCGCCTCCTCAGTCGGCTCCCCTACAAGCCCACCAGTCGCCAAGAGGGCCCTGACGTTGAAAGAGCAAATGGCACTATATGCTGCAAGAGGGAAGGTGACTGCCCCAGTTCTTCGTGAGGTTCAATCCAACGTTGATGTGGGGTCGCCCACAGAGCTAGCTGTAAGGCGCTACTACTCTTCTTCGTCAACCTCAACGAAAGCTTCCTCTTCCGCCTCCATGTCGCCCAAGACAGATCTAAACGAGTCTTCAGTCATCTCTCGCACAAGTGCCAGCTCTTGTTCTCGGACCGCTACCAAAAACTCTGCCAGCTCGTCTTCTAGGGGTAGTTCCAGGACTTCAAAACCGCCCATTTGCCCTCAGTCGACAATCAGAAAGGCACTAGCAAAGTTCGAGCGAGAAGAAGAGGCCGAGGCTGCACTTCAAATAAGTCCCCGGAAGAAGACAACTTCTACTCCAGTGCCGAAGACCTCAGGGGGGTATACCCTGAAAGAGCAGATGAAGTTTGCTGCGGCCAAGAGAGCCGCTGTCAAGAAGGCTGATGTGGAGGGTTCAGCAAAGACTTCCTTCACGGAAGGTCCCTCTGATTCTGGGAAGAAGAGATCACGAGATGAGGCTTCGTTGGATAACCGCAAGGACGATGGGTCGGGCCGCCAAACGGAGTCTTTGTCCCGCGGAAAGAAGCGCGCAAAGTGGTGTTAGAAGCTGCAGGTTTTGTGATGCTAAGGCGCGTTGACAGTTCCATTTCATGGCCGCGAAGACCTAGGTCCCATGACAATCTTATTATCGATTGATTCTCAGACTGTTACACGGGGTACGAGAGGGTTGTGGTTTGTGATGTCTCAGCTGTTCAGAGGCGGAAGTGGAGGTTGTGATGAAAGATGGAATGGCGAAATCTGAGGGTACACTCGTATAAAGTGCCGGTTGTCTGAATTTCATCGTGACCACAGATGCGGATTATACAGTTTTGCCAACTTCAATCAGGTTCTTTGCACCAAATTCTGACTATAGCCTTCTGCTATATTGATGAAAATAACTAAACTGTGACTTGTATACAACCCGCGACCATTTTTCAACGTGCCCGGCGATATACTGATTTGGATCACGCAACCTATATCTCACTCTCCATGTTCTGTTGCTTAACCACTTCACATGACACTTGATGTCTTTGCGAGGCTACCTAGTTACTGATACACTAACAGACACAGCTGATCTACCTCTAGACCCAGAGCGATAACCGAGCTCTACTGTCTAGTTCTTGACGGCATAGATCTTGTAAGAACCCACCCACTCGTTGAGATCCTCCTTCTCCTCGGCCTCGACCTCAGGCTTCGCGGCAGGCTTGCAGCAAGACGATTCCTTCTTCTCAACGGGTTTGCAGCAAGAGGAGGTAGTCTCAGCAGCCGGCTTGCAGCACGAGGAAGAAGCAGCAGCAGCAGGGGCGCACTCAGTCTTCTTTGGCGCACAGCACGACGAAGACTTCTCCTCCTCCTCCTTCACAGTTCCAGGAGGAGCGCAGCACCCGCCCCTGTTGCCGTTCTCATCCGTGTCCAAATAAACATTGATATCCGCCCCGGTATCCTGAATCAGCACCTGCTCAAAGCCCGCCTCCTTCAGCCAAGTCTCATACTGCTGCTTCTCGCTCGCGCCCGCAATGCAGCCGACGTACATGGCGATGTCATTTCTCAACTTCTCCGGCAACGGCTTCTTGGCGAGGATATCGCTGACGGCCACACGACCACCGGACTTGAGCACGCGGTGCATCTCCTTGAAAACCAAAGGCTTCTCGGCCTCGGGAACCAGGTTGATGACGCAGTTGGAGATGATGCAGTCGGCGGTGCCGGACTCGAGGGGGATGGCGGTGATGGAACCTTTGATGAAGGAGACTTGCGAGTCTGGGAACCCGCGCGAGGCTTTGAGGGAGTTGGCGCGCGCAAGCATGTCGTCGTTGAAGTCGATGCCGATGGAGCGGCCGGTGGGACCGACGCGGGTGGCGGCGAGGAAGACGTCGAAGCCGGCGCCGGAGCCGAGGTCGATTACTGTTTCGCCCTGGTTGTAGAAGGACATGTCAGTCTTTTTTTTTTTTTTTTTTTTTTTTTTTTTTGAATAAAGAAAAATACGATGAAACAAAAGTGTATAAAACAGAGGGATCAACGTTACCTCGCGCAGACTGGTGATAGCCAGGGGGTTACCGCAGCTTAGACCGAGGTTGGCGCCTTCGGGAATGTTGGCGAGCTCTTCCTCGGTGTAGCCAAAAGACTTGGCGACGGTCTCGCCATACTTGACGCTGGTGGTCTGGGAGGCGGCACTGTAGTGCTTGGCAACCTCGTCGTAGATTTGGGAAGTGTTTCTGGTATCCATGGTGGAGGATGATGTGGTTGTGGATGGTGAGTTAAAGACGAGTGTCAAAGAATGGTTGTTGACGCCTGTGTTTGAGTAAAGTAAAAGAAGTTGATGTTGGGAGATGTTCGAGATCTTCCATTTCCACGGTGTCAGGACCTCCTTTTATACCCATCTCCCAGCATGCCTTCCCATCTTTCCTGTTCCATAACTATATCCGTGGCCATTGAGGGTCTTGTGCCGTGACAGTCTCATCTTGTCGTGAATCGGGGAATTGTCGTGGTGGTAGTCCCCGAATTGGGTTTAGTGATTTTTTATGTGGAGTGGGTGGAGCCACCCAAGCGAGTCGTTCTCAAGGACGACGACCGCTCAGGAGCGGGACCGCAAACACCAAAGCCGGGATCGTTGTATGAGAACTACTTTGACCAATGAGCTTCGTTTTTCGTTCCTCAAACTGGCAAATTTTCAGTTTGTCATCGGTGCTTCCCTTCTCTGACTGATTCCGCCTCTTCCTCTCAATCCACTTCTGCAACCAAGCACATCCCAACGCTCAAACCACGCACCTCGGTGTTTGGCTGCAGAACCCGGAATCGAGAAAGACAAGCTGCAAGACATCCCACCCATCCATCCAATCTCACTCACGCTCACGCCCGGATATTGCCTCTCCTTTGTTGGGACCACCTGGAGCGAGCTTGTGGAAACCACACACTCCATCGCCCAAGATGCCAACAGCAATGGCTTCCAACGAGTCCTTCAAGGTCCACAAATTCTCTTCCAAACTGCCAGAAGCAGAAGCTGCTCGGCAAAGGGAGAATCAGCGGCGTCATCGGGCAAGAGTGAAGGGTAAAATTGCCGAGCTCGAAAGCTCTCTAGCTGACACCCGCGAAAGGCTCGATGCAGCTCTCAAGCATATCCGAGAACTCGAGGCCGAGAACCAGAGACTCCGTGAAGCGTCCTCTCCTTCAGTCTACACTCCGGAATCCCGGGATGAGTCACCTGCAGAGCAGCTCCTCTACATGAGCCAAAGTGGACATGATGGCTACCATTACTCTCAGCCCCGGTCACACCAGTTCGAGCCACATCAACCGCCACGGCAACTTCAACAGCAACACCAACACCATCACCACCGACAGCCCCCCGTAAATGGTCTGGACATCCTAGCCAGCATTTCGTCCAGCGAAAGTGCAGTACCAACGCGCCACCGCACCTATCACCCCCACGAACTAGACTGTGCTCGAAATCTAGCCTCCCTACCAAGCTACGAACCCACACCCATAGCCTCTCCCAGAGACATGTCCCCCATTGCCGCTTTACTCTCCATGCCTACCGCATCCCAGAGAGGCCAGGCAACCGACTTTCATTCGCCTTCCGCCACCACCATCTCAGCCAGCTCTTCGACGGAGTCGCCAGGCCGGACCTCGGTCTTCGACTTCAACAGCAGAAGTAGTAGCTACTACCACCCGTCCTCGACCTCGAACTCACAGTCCTCAGTGGACTCACACTCAAACTTCCAGGACAAGATCGGCGAACTCATCAGTTGTCTGGATAACCACATCGAAGACGATGACGACTTGGTTCTGCCGGCTCCTCGACCCGGTGAATCCACCATGCCCTGTCGAGAGGCTTTTTCCATTGTCCGAAAGGTGCAGACGACCAGACCTGATTACTACTACGATACGGACTGCCGTGAGGTAGAAAACGTGGCGAGGGAGCAATGGAAGCCAGGGTTTCGAAGCGCTATTGAGCCTGGGTCAGGATGTCGGGTGCAGACGCATTTGGTCTATGATTTCGTTGATCACATTACTGGGCCTTGATCCCTCGACGACCGGTTGGTCTAAATCAGAGGGACAGAAGGGGTGATGAGCATGGTCACCTCCGGAAATGCAGAGGAGCTATACACCACCGAGGGAGAACTAATGAGGGCATGACAAGCGGTTAGCTGCCCTTTTATTTTTCTCCGAAGCTTGAGGTTTTTCTTTTCTTTCTTTTGGGCACTTCACCAAGAAACGTACGCTGCAGCGTGGTCGAACAGATGACTCGCGGTTTGATCAGCTTGGAGAACAAGAAGTGCTATTTTTACACACCAGCGGACCACAAAAGATGGTATTGGTAACCTGAAGCCTAGATCTGGAGGCTGATGGATGGGATGAACTATGCTTAAAATACGCATAAATCAAAGGCGTTACAGATGACAAAACCTAGAGTGAACAAGGACCATTTTACCAGTATGTTCTTTCTGCTCTAATTGACTCTCTGACGATGCCGATCGTTAACAGTATGCTTACCCAAACAGCTTTTCCTGTCGAGGCGGCTCGAACCGGACGGGATATCCGAGCAATTTTCAAGCATTGGACCACTACAATAGGCTAAGAGCGACTACAGAGGACGGCAAGACCAACATCGGTCATCTCAAATTAGTCTTCAATTGCTTCGGGATTCTTATTTATTTTCCCCAACGTACCTTGCAAGGCTTCAGCTGCAGATCTTCTTATATATCATCCAACCCTGCCTGCCAAGCCTCAAACTGTCAATACATCGTCCGAGCCAAATCCGATATCATACCTGGAGGAACACAGCACCAAGAGCAACTACCTCTTTCAGCATCATTTTTCAGCAAGAGCATTGTTCACCAGGATACCCATCTTCACGCTCACACCCCCGCAGTCAGTCACCAAGGCTACCAGAACCCTCCCCCTCTCCTTTTCAGATATTTTTCGGCGACACGTCCTACAACACTTGCAAATCCTTTTGCAGCGCCGTCCTCCAGCCCACAGGCCTCCATCTCGTTTTTCGACAGCGAATGCGATCCTGCCACATCCCAAAAGAAGAAGAACCACATCCGCACACTCGGCTACAGCCCCGGATAAACACAACGAGCTAAACAACTTCGTCATGCCCGGCGAATGGGCAACGCAGCCTCCATGGGCCGGGGTTTCATCTGGCGTTGAATGCGCCGACGAGGCTGGCGGTGGTGGAGTTCCATGCCGTGGCGGTGCAGAGTGGCAGGATGGACAGTGGACTGCCGGGTGCGAGGGGGGAGTATTGGGGGGATTAGTTTGCGGCTTCTGGTCGATCTAGATGGGCACATGTTGGAGGTTGCTTGAAACGAGGATCGTGGATTCCGACGAGGATGAATACGCCGGGAGCGGGCACCGAGACATCGCCGGAGACGAAGTAGGCGGTATCCAACTCGTGTCGTTATCAATGTCGATGCTTCGTTGTGCTGCGGTAGTTTCAAGCGGCTGCGAAGATATCCCTTACTCGCCCAACCGCTCGACCTTCCCCTCTATGTCCCCTACGTCCTTCGAGGTAAAAAACCTTGAAACCAAACCTCACCGTGTACCATCCCAACATCTCATCCCCCCCTCCTCATCCAAAAACCATCCACCCCCCCACCACCACCACTCCCACCATCACCCTCCACTCAGCCTCCACTCTACTTCCACCCCCATTACCCGCAACCCTCCTCTGCACCATACTCCCAAACTCCCCCACCACATTTCCCCTCGGCCAATACTCACAAACCAAATACCATCCTCCCCTTCCCGCATTCCACCCCTGGCACCACCTCGCCGCGCACCCTACATCAGTCGTATCCTTCCACACCAACTGGGTAAAATGACCCGTATCTTCCCCAAACTTTGCCTGGCTCCCAAAATCATACTTGGCTCGCTCGTCTCCCCACATCTCCACGCAGGATTGGACGTCGGAACAACCTAGAGCGAGGTTCTCGCCGTAGGGACCATGGGAGTGGGTTAGTTCGCATTTGGTGGTGGTGGAACTGGATTTTGATTTCGATTTGGAGGAGGAGGAAGAAGAAGAAGAAGAAGAAGAAGGGAGACCAAGTTTGTCGAGGTAGTGGGAAGCAAAAGAAGAGAGGGTGTCGTTGTAGATGACTGCAGAGGCGTTGTGTTGAGCACGATAAAAGTTGGTGGAGTTGAGGAGGGCGGAGGTGAAGAGGGCAGGGTTCAGGAAGGAAGGGGCGGAGGAAGAAGCCGGGGTGTTTGAAGGGGTTGTGGTTGCGGTGATGGTTATGGTTATGGTTGAGATGGTGATGGTGATGGGTTCTTTGGCATGTTGGAGGAGAAACTTGGCGGGAGGTGTGGGTTTGGGGAGGTGGGTATTTAGATTGAGGTTGTCGATGTGGCGGACGTGGAAGATGCTGGCTTTTGAGGGTTGCTGTTGGGGCTTTGCTTGGACTGGGAGGACATGATTGAAGGTTAGGATTGTGAAGATGGTGGTGAATGTTGTTGATAGGCTGGTAATGGTATGAAAGCGCATTGCGATCGGTGATTGTCACAGTTCCCGCTCTCGTCGTCGGAGATGGACATCAGCGCTTCAACCTTCTGAAGACGACAAACAGAGGAGAATAAAGCTTTTTAAATTCGCCTTGTTGTCTCCCCATTGTCTATGTATTGATTTCAATATGGTCGTCCTTTCGCTTCACTGAGATGGCTGTGTCCAAAGAAAGTCACCTATCAAAATCAGGTTTGAAGTGTAGGTGGTCCAAGAAAGATGGTTGGCTGGCGCTTCGTTGCCTTCATCCGGGGGTTCAATTGAGGTAAGGGTTGTATGGTCCGGAACAGGGGCCGATAGGCGCTGGCGAAGGGTTGATTCGGGGATGACGTAGCGCTAGCGGTTGGGCGCGAGAACGCTCACCTTTGTCCATAGTAACATATCTCTATGGAAAGACGACGGATTTTGAGATATGGGTTTGCGGAAACCCCAGACGAAATGGATGATAGTCCATTAGGGCTATTTTTACTCAAGTTTATCTCTTACTTTCTCAGTTCATCATGTGATACTGCCAGTTTTGACGAGTGTCCAGGTCATCAATGTTAGTGATGGCCAGGCCAATGAGGGTTTCGGAGAGGAAAGCCAGTCTCCCAGTGCACCTGGACGTCAGGCGGGTCTTCACATCTGCACATTGGCCTTCTGTCGACCAGATTGCAAAAGTCCCTGCCTCGATACCATGAAAAGGCATTCTTAGTCGCGCAATTTAAGCATATCATCCCAGGGAAGGATCGAGATCTTTGTGCTGTAGGTGTTCCTCCCCCGCACTCCGAAGTGAACAAGGTACCTAGGTTGTCAGCCATGTGTCAAATGCACAAGCGGGAGTGAGCATGGGTTGCTGCTGCCGGTGATCTGGTTCAGCATGCATCTCTTAAGAATGAAACATGGGACGGCTGTCTCCGTGTTGTTTCAATCCAGAGTTGATGAGATTGGCCTCGGGGGTTCTGAGACATCCCTTTCTTCCTCTTTGTTAGTACACTACTACACTAGTGTAAAATAGAGGCTGTCTTTGTACTGTGAGTCTCAACTCGACCGGTGATGTAATCGACATGCGACAACCCTGACCCTTCTTTTCGTTTGCAGTTGATGCGCAGTCAAGCAGAGAACTTCCGCAATCGGTAACCATCAAGCCAGCCATGTCATAGATGCATTACATGAGACACGTTGCTCAGATATAAAAGTGACCAACCCGTGCCGTAGCAGGTGCAAAATCCACAGAACATCCCCAATACAGACATCAATCGCGATTCAATCACAAGTATTCCTCCACCAAGATGCCAAGCAGCAAAGGCAAACCCACTGATCCTGAGCTTCGCGAGCAGCTCAAAGAAGGTACAACGCAAACAACCCAAATACCCTTTGTTGTAAATTGGCACGGCATGCTAACAGTCTCGTGAGTAGAGATCAAACAAGAACCCAACAAGTCGGGCGGCGGCGTCGGCCAATGGTCGGCATGGAAGGGTATGAAGCTTGCCAAAGAGTACGAGGCACAAGGAGGAGATTACGAGAACGAGGCGGGCAGCAAGAACGAACCAAAAAAGGGGGCACCAAAGGCCAAGAGTGCAAAGACCAAAAGGGAGGAGGAAAGGGCGCAAGAGTCTGAGCCTTCTGAGGAGGAGTGATGTCGGTTTGCGTGTGACAGAAGTGGTGAAGCCCAGTACATGTAGTAACAGATGAACGCCCAAAGCATGAAGAAGAGTGTTATACGGCATTGGGTAACGGCGAACGGGATTTGTTGTGTGGGTCCATATTTACTTGTGCGAGTTGGTGATATCCTTATAACGACTGCCCCGTGTTTGTGAAGATGGAATCGATATGCCGGCACGGCATGTTGCACGGACAAAGAGTCGATGGTGATATTGAACAACCAGTTGTGGATTATTCAGGCATCCATTATTTCGTAAGTGGTACGCCACGAGATTGGAAGGCCGGCATATGACAGCACAGAGACCCATGTTTATTCGTCAGGAGAAAAAGACATAAGCGACAGCATCATGGTGTTTGCTCTCAAGAATTGGAAGAACAGCAAAAAAAAAAAGAATGGAGGCCCCGGAGATGGCAAAGTGGAAATGGAGCATGTCATTGTCATTGTCCCCTGCATATCCAGCATGGTGAGGTAAGCTCTTCAATGCCTGGCCGGTACGTACTGCTCGGCTCCACCAATGATTTCAGGTTGTGGAGGTTGAGGTTGTAACCATAGCATTTCCGATAAGATAAGAAAAGAGCCCCTCTCGCCTGCCCGCCCCAATGCAACCCGGACCACTTGGCTTCCATCAGCCAGGCCGGGGCCCAAGCTCCCTGCCCGCCCGCCGCCATTGTTACCCCCCCCCCATCTCCCATGCCGGCATCACTGCACAGCTGAGGAGGAGCTTTGGGAGGAAGCATCCAAACCAACATTGTGCATCATCAGCCCTGCCTAAACCCGTGTCCCCTGACACGTTACTGTACAGATCGCTCGCCGCATCCATATCCGTCTCTTATTTTTGGAGTTTCCTTTTTTTTCTTCACCTTTAGGTATCCACGCATATTACGTTCTTTTTGCGCGAGACTGGATCTGCCGGTGGCGATTAGCTTGTTTTTGCTGGATGGACAGGTTTCTGTTGTAAGTTCAATGGTCCATCATCCATCCATCCCCTCCAATCCCCCCCGGCCCCATTGTCGTCCCCATGCCACCACAACTTCAAGTTTCAACCATCCATCCATCCATCCAGCCTTGAAGAACTCGTTTCGTTTGGAGACCCCCCCTGTTCCAGCACCCATCAACAACACACAAGAGATGTTCACGTCACGTATGTCCCGATCTTGGAAAGACGTCCTTGACCTACTTGGCCCCCCTTGTCAAAGCATGCTGCATGTTGAAACATGGGAATTCATCTGCTAGACATGATTGCCATCATCACCATCACAACTCCCATTGCCATACCATTACCCTCCTTTTGACAGCCAGTCTACACGTTCAGCCTCGCAACCCGTTGTTCGGCCATTGATACGCGGGGAACCCGTAAGCTAACCCCGACTTCCTGTTCTCCAGATCCTCCGAGCTTGTCTTAAAACACCGAAGGAGGTCGTAATAGGCAGTCGAAGGCTGTCGCAATCCATTTGTCTCGAACCGCTACCACTACTTAAAACCCGTCGATTCGTACCACGCCTTTTCCTCCGTGTCAATGTCGCAGACTTTCCGACCAGCTACCCTCATATCGCAATAACTGAACCAAGCTGGCCCCGAATCGATTTCCTGTCTGCGATTCTCCCACAACAAACTCCCACGATACAACAACCTCGCGACAGCCGCGTCGCAGCCTTGTGTCTGGGACCCGGTCGCGATTTCACTAGTTTGTGAAACACGGCAACTCCTCAACCCCAACCGTTTCGTGTGACCACGCCTTCGAAGCTCTTCCCCCACTCGCTTCGACGACCTAGCCTACAGGGAGCTCCTTGGCTTAGCCGACCTACCATCAAACCATGGACGAGTCTTTAGAGGCGCATCCCGGCGCCGCTGGCCACTTCGCCGCCGAAGGAGCGCATTCTGCGTTCCTCGGCGGTTTGTTAGCCTCTGCCGACACCATCTCCCGCGCCACATCGCCCGGACTGCCATGTTCCAACGGCTCAGACCAAGATGACCAGAAGCGCTACCGCCCCCGAACCTTCAGCTACTTCCGCCTGCTTCCCTTCGAAGTCGAGGAGGAGTCGCACCGGGATGCCGCTTTGAACGGCATCCTTAAGAACCTCTACGTCTCTATAATGGCCGAAGATTTTTCCCCGGGCGCTGTACACTGGACTCGCGAGCTTCAGGGATGGCTAAACCTCAAGTTTGAAATGTCGAGGGAACTTCGGGCCCGTCTCGCGCATCTCTACTTCCATTTGGCGCTTGCCCCCGGGCTTGATCCCAACACGGCCGATAGGTTCGCGAGAATGGTAGTTACCTTGACGCGCAAGCGACATTACCTGAAGCCAGGCCAAGACCTGACGCTGGACTGGCGACCACTCTGGAAAGAGCTCAAGGGCTTGGTTTTCCCTTCAGAAACGGCCCCTCATCAAGGTAGCAGAAAGCGTGCTCAAAAGCACATTATGAAGCTTTGTCTTCACGGGAGCGTCTACTTCGATCCCAAGGAGCGCCGTGCGATACTGGACGAGCTGCTGCCATACTTCAGCACCTCCGACATGTCCAATGCCTACATCGTTGCCGGCGCTATCAATACATTGCTTCCAACCGGCCCAGCACCCCCAACTGAGCCTCAGTCACAGCCGTCTGACTTCGTACCCACCTTCTTCCACTTGTGGTCCCTTATGACGCGGTCCAAGGCCTTTGATGTGGGCTTTATTGACATCTTTTCCCGAATGGCCAGGGATTATCTAAGCTGTACACATGTCCCATTCACTGAGCACGGTATCTTTACTCGTGAACAATCCGACCTCATCTTTACAGCCATTCTACGCCTGACGGAGATCCCTGTTGGACAAGCCAACTCCCCATATGCCTCGCTTGACTACTCTGCTGGGCTGGGGATTTATCTGGAAAAGGACAAGAAAAAGTATCCAGTGCCCTACATGGTTGCTAGGTGGATTGTACACTCCATATCACCGCTTTGCCTTGACCAGGAAAGTTCCGTCATGTCCAACCTTGAGGGTCTAATGGAGTCAATAGACACCTTCTTCCATCCTTCGAACCAGGGAGCGTGGTCTATGTTTCTCGCCCAATTGACTTTCTTCTTGACCGATATTTTCGTTTCACGCTGGAATCGTGAGCAGAGCGGTGAGCTCGATATCCCCGCAGACCGTCGGATAAATAACGACCTGAAGAAGCGATTCGTGCTCTCCCTCAGAGAGGTTACCTTCATGGGCCTCTTCTCCAAGAGCTCAAAGGTCGTCAACTATTACTACACTGCCCTGCAAGGACTCGCATACCTCGAGCCAGACCTGATGCTTCCCGGTGCCCTGCAGCGATTCTACCCGAGTTTGCAAGGGCTTGTAGAAGTGCACCGAACGACTTCAAGTCTCTGCAGTCTTCAAATGATTGCCAACATCATGTCGAAGCAAAAGGGGTACCGCTGCCATATCACCGCTCTACTGGCTTTAGCCCTTCCCGGTATTGATGCCAACGATCTCAATAAAACACAGTACACGTTGAACTTCATCCAAAGTGTGGCATACAGCATCCCTTTTGTCCCGCTTGTCGATGAGAATAACGACATTCATGATACGAGCCTTGCCATGAACTGGGTTCAGGGGGAAATGGAGAGAATGGAGCGCGAGGGGCAAGATGTCAAGATCAACTACAACGAGGAACTTAGTGACGAAGACGAAGCAAACATCCTTCGATCCTCCACCGCTGGTCTTGGAGAGTTTGTCATGGCTTTGCTAGGCAAGGTTTTTGCACTGCTAGAAAACCTTCCAGACGCGAGCCATCTACGAACAGGCTCCCCAGAGGACAACGTGATCAACACGCTCCCTGCTGCACTCACGCCTTTGTTCGCATCGCTGTCTCCTCAGCTCTTTGACTCGGCGTTGGAGAAGCTGGCAAACTTTGTGTCAACTCATGTAGTGCATCAAGCTCGGGATGCCATGGCGTGGATTTGCAATGCCTTGTGCAAGGTCAACCCGGAAAAGACGCTCAAGGTCTTCATTCCCATGTTGATTGTCAACATTCGCAATGAGATCGACTACAACGGTGCTGCTTCAGATCGAAGCAGTGGCACCGAAGTGCTTCCCAGGGACAGAGCGTTGGTCTGGCATGTGAGCATGCTCAGCATGTGCGTGGTCCACGTCGGCAGTGAGGTCCTCAAATACAAGGACGAGCTTTTCGGAATCGCCAAGTACATGCAGGAAAAATGCCGTGGTCTTCCCACCATTCACATCTCCAACTACGTCCATCATTTACTGCTCAACCTTACCCACACCTACCCAATCGATAATGCTCTGTATGAGCCCGATGTAATTGCTCGCGGCATCGACGTCAGCGACTGGGGCCGTACGACTGAGCCATCTGAACTCACCATCAAGTGGCACCGGCCGTCTCCCGCCGAAGTTGCTTTTGCTGTGGAGCTGTTTGAGAGCGAGGCTCGTGGTGCCACGGAGAGACTCATGCAGCTCATGAGTGACGATCCTCCGGTTAGCAGAAAGGGAAAGAACAAAGAGTGGTCAGATGAGTTGTCGCGGAGCTTGACAGCACTTCGTCTTTTGATCTCGGGCGTCTCAACCCTTTTTGACCCTGTCCGTGCGTCAGGAGAAGCAACTGGCTCCAGCGGTAACCAGGATACCGATGCCGCCGGTGACACAATCATGGAAGAGGACAATGACCCGCTGGCTGAGATCGCCGACGATGATGAACTCAAGCGCACATTCCGGTATCCCGCTGGATACGTATTGACCACGGATGATCCTCTCTATCATCGCGTGCACGATCTTCGCGAGGAGGTGGGTAGGACACTATCGCAAACCCATTCCTTCTTGAACGCAAACCAGCAGGATGACGTTGCGTGCTTCACGGCCCTGTATAGCGCATACAGGACGTGGATTACTGACGTCGGAATTGAACGTTCTGCTCATCCCTTGGAGCGTTTGACTCGCTTGTACAAGGCAGATATTTCCCCCTTCAAGATTTCGGGTCTGCGAAAGGTTTATCCTCGGCCACTGTTGATCAAGCGTGCGGATGCGTACCAGCTCCAGCGTGTCAAATACAACTCGGCGTATCGCACCAGCAGTGAGCTGGACCGGCGCCTGCTCTTGGATCTTGCCGAGTCTTGCACGTCATCATACGCGGATGTTCGTCGGGTCGCACAAAGTGCTCAAGACTCCTCCCTAAAGGTCATCATTGGTGGAAGACCTTTAGTTATTCCAGTCATCCTCAAGGCTTTGCGTAAGGCACTGGATGATATGGATCATGACCGTATCAAGGGCGCCATGTATACCTTGTTCTTTACTACTCTGCTCAAGACGTGTATGAAAGACTGGCGGTTCGCTCCCGAGCTTATGAGGCTCTACATCGAAACCGCCAGTGTAGACAAGACGTCTATTCAGAATCTGGGCGCCACGGCTCTCTACCCGCTCATTGACTTCGGCAAGCCGTTTGAGCGTATGATCCTCTTTGATCGGTCGATCGCTGACACCATTCGACCCCCGCAAGACTTCTCAGCCTCCATCCAACGGCGTCATGAGTTCATTAAAGAACGCCGCGCTAAGGTGGAGGAGAAGAAGGCTGCATTAGGGTTGGAATTGATCAACAAGGCCAAGGCTTCGCACTGGAAGGTCGCCACGAGGTGTGCTATGTTTGCACTCAACATGTCTCTTCGTTTTGAGACACTAGCGCCTCCCGAGTTCATCGAATTGGTCGTTACTGGCACGAATGATCCTCATCCCGGTCTTCGCTCGACTTATCTGGCTGCATTCAGTGGGCTATGTACCTCCATTGACATGAGGGCAGTCTACCAGCACAGCTATGAGAAGTACTTGCTAGAGCAAGCTGTCGGAGACAATAAGTTTGAGGTTCCCGTTCCTGAGGATGATCCTGAGTGGACTCAAAAGTTCCTTGCCCAGTTCGAGAACACTGATGAAATCCAATACTTTGTCGATAGCGACTATCCTGGTTGGTTGGTGTGGGGCAAAAAGTTCATAGCCTCATCCGCGAACCCGGAGCCATTCCTAGGATACGACGAGGTCGAGACAGCTGCTCGTCAGCAAATCGGAAAGCTTTTGACCCGCGACTGGTTCAAGCAATGCTTCGAGTACCTCAAGCAGGAACCCAGAGATGCCGGCGCAGACAGATTCAGAATGTCTAATGTCGTACTTCTCATGCAAGTCTTTGACCTCATGAACTATGGTCAGACAGCCGCCACGTTTGACGACATTGTTGAATTGACAAAGGAGATCTACGGAGATGGCGGTGACAAGCATCAGCATCGTGCTACGGCAGAAATCGTCGGAGCCATGCTGTCGGGAAGTAGCGATGATCCTCGCGAGTTCCGCGACAAGGTCTGGGCTTTTGCGGCACCCTTGATGCTCAAGGTGATCGCAGACGATTTGACGCCGGATAATCTGCAGTACTGGATGACATGTCTCCATCTCACGGTTGATTCCAAGGACCCTAGACGTTCGAAGGAGCTCATCGACCCTCTGGCGAACTTTCGCCTTGATATGAACTCCAATGCAGCCTTCAAGGAGTCCGCCAAGATCCAACTGCTCGAGTTTATCATCAATGATGCTGGCTGGCATTTCCGCCGTGACAAGCCCATTCTTGAAGACTTCCTGGCCCATATCGACCATCCCTACAAGTCTGTTCGAGAATCTATTGGCAGAGTCATTGCGACGATTTATCGGACCAGATACCACGAGTCTTTCCCCAATGTCTGGTCTCTGCTAGAGCAAAACAAGAGTGCCTCCTCGATTGGAATTCGCCCTTACGAGGCAACTGAAGACTTTACGGCTACGATCCGCGAGGTCTTTGATCGTATCGAGAAGTGGCGTCATGAGCGCACTCCCGGACAGCAAACTCCCTCCAGCTATACGTCCGGGTCCAAGACAGTACTTGTGTGGCTGGATAGTATGCTCGCCTCGCAGGAATGCATCCAACTTGTACCCTTCTTCCCCGAGCCGTTTATTGACCAGCTGTTGCACATGATGGACGTCAAGGAAGACCCTGAACTTATGCGGCTCGCATACCACGTTTACCGGCACATGCCCAACATCCCCTTCCGGTCCGGCGAGGATGACGCATTCATTGCCGCTCTGATCCGGGTTGGTAAGACAGCGGCATCATGGCATCAGCGCCTACGCGCTCTGGTCAACATGCAAGTCATCTACTTCCGCCGTCTCTTCCTAACCCAACCAGCCCAGCGACAAATGCTCTTCGACGCCGTCGGCGACATGTTGTCCGACGTGCAACTCGAAGTCCGCGACGGGGCCAGCGCTACGCTTGCTGGCATGATTAGATGCTCGCCGGAGAGAATTCGTAACCCCATTATCGAGCAGCTCAAGGCCCGCTTCCAGCTGCAACTGGAGATGAACCCGATGCCCAAGCGCAAGTTGCCTGGCACCGATACGCCCGTGGACGTGCAGAAGCAGATTATCAGACGACATGCGGCCGTGCTGGGCTTGGGCGCCCTCATCGAGGCGTTCCCCTATGCGACGCCGCCCCCTAAGTGGATGCCCGAGGTATTGGCGTACTTGGCGACGCACGCGGCGAGTGATCCGGGTGTGGTGGGTAAGGCGACTAAGGGGATTTTGGCGGAATTTAAGAAGACGAGGCAGGATAGTTGGACGGTTGATCAGAAGGTGAGTTTTTCTGATTTTGATGTTTAGGCTACGATGAGGAAGATATGCTAACACTTAGGTTACAGTACTTTACAAGCGAGCAACTGGAGGATCTGGAGGGTGTGTTATGGAAGAGTTACTTTGCTTAGAGCATTGGACAGTGATAGTGATGATGTGGTGATGTGGTCATGGGGAATCATGGCCAAATGAACGGTTGAGCGAAAACATGGCGGAAAGCCCAGTTTGTGTGAGGAAACCCGAGGGAGACACGTAGATGACAGATGTAGCATGCGGGATAGATTCCAGTAGAGAAGGATTTCCATCCAAGTGAACACAGGCACTTTGACTCAAATCGTCGAGGCGACATCGAAGCCAAGGTTCGTGATCACCACGATCATTAAGACCAGCCCCATGCTATCTATTATATTTCTTTGAGATCCCGTGGCCACATCCCTCTCCTGATTAAGCCCGAGTTATGGCAAGCAACGAAGCCAGCTGTTGCTCTGTCTCTGTCATTGACTTGATGAAATACGCCCCCAACTTGTTTGTTTCCCGCATGCCACTGTTGAACAACTAACAAAGAAACCTCATCACAAAGGGACGGAACGAATGATGACACAACAGTTCCTGCGGACCCATCCAATGTGGCACGACTCAACTGCTTTGGACTGTTAGTGTGTTGGTGCTGTGCGACGACGACCAACATGTTGGAGACATGATGGGGCAGGTGCACACTTCTACTTTGCGTTGTTGGCATGAGAATTGACTGATTGATTTTTGTAGTGTTTGCCGCCCGTTGGCCGTTGTTTTTTCTTTTGTTGGCAATCACGACCGACGGTTAGTTGTGTTCAGTTCATCCCCAGTTCATGCGAAAGAAGAAAAAAAAAGGAAGAGAAAATATTAAAGCATCGTCGGCCCCCTCGCCAATTTGTGCAAAACCTAACTGGGTTTTTCTTCTCGTCAGCATCAATTCATCCGGTCTACCTAAGTTATCTCTCCTGTATTCCTCAATCACCAGAGACAGTGTTGACTATCTCACTCGTTCGGATATTTCACCAGCTCTCTCACCCTAGCCCTTTCCCTTCACACCCATCACGACATACTTGATATCTCAAACAACCTACCAGCAGGAACCTAAACTGACATCAAAATGCAACTCCAATCACTCCCGCGCATCATAACTATCGGCGCCGGGTTTCTGAGTTACATCCAACTAGTAGTGACAGCAGCAGCTGTAGCGCTACCCGTCCAGCCCGAAGTCGGACAATCTAGCCCTTATGCCCTCGTAACCAGAGGCGGCGGCGGCGGAAGTTCCATAGAAGGAGGGTACTATAACCTTTGTCATTACTGTGAGTCACCATCTTCTAAGTTACCCATACCAATGCTTCTTCTTGTTCTTTCACCAAGTGCCAATACCTACCTGTCTACCTACCTATCTTCCTTCACAATTCCCACCCATCACATAAACACTAACACTATCATCACCAACTTTCAGACCCCACCATAAGCAAAATCGAGAACCAACTTCGCATGACCGGACAATGCGCCTCAAACCAGACCGGACCCCTTCAAAATACTGCGGTGGATCTGAACCCTTGCTACACCAACATTGACGGCGGTCTGTTCCCTGTGACTGATGGGAAAGGGGATTTCACCAAAAGCTGTGGGGAGTGCCACATTCCGATCGATGCGAAGGTGCCGCCGAAGTGGATGAGGTGTGTTTGTGAGCGGTTTGCGGGGGATAAGGAGGGGAAGGAGACGGAGGTTGATTTGGGTGAGTCCTTCCCCTTTTTCTCTTTTCCGTGTGATGGGAATTAGAAAAAAAAAAAAAAAAAAAAAAAAAAAAAAAGAAAGAAAAAGAAAAAAGAGGAGAGTGCTAACGATGGAAACAGACCAACATATTCACGTGTTTGAAGATAAGCTTGGGTGTCCCGGGGCTGAGGGATTCGTGCTGACCTAGAAGATTGACAGAAGCCAAAGATAGATACCATCCATCCATCCTATCTAGCAAAGGTGTGTGATAAATTGGTGGTTTACTTACATTACATGCCTTTCATTGCTTCGCACGAGGGCATGGATGGCTCAGTTGGTTAGTCGTATGGTTTTGAATGACCCGCCATGACAGAGGAAAGGTTTTGCTAAAAATATAGCCCGTCTGGATGGATTTTTACTCGAGTACATAACCCCCGTGAGTGGACGGAACGAAGCCATGGAGCAACTACCAAGAGGAGGTGAGAAGAAGGCGAGACTGATAATAAGAAAAAGCAATTGGACAAGAAATCTTGGTCTGGAAAATGCAAATCTGGCTTAGCGTGAGTACCTTTGTAGATAAGGGTAGGTAACTACTCTGGCGGGATCTGATGTCAAGAGTATGTGAGTTGTCCGTGAGGCTGAGCTTCTGATGACTTCTTGTCAATTTCTTCGTGGTGGACGGCTTCCTTTCCTAGAGGTATTTGCGTGTTCTCGCACCCAAAAAAAAAAAAAAAAAAAAAAAAGAAAAAGAAAAAGAAAAAAAAAGAAAAGGAGAGAAACAGCCAAGCATTCATGCGTGATATAAGAAACAAAGAACACCAGAGAAACTATTGTGCCCGAGTACTGAGATAGGAACTTTTATCACTCGACATAACGAGTCTTCACTATGACCATCACAAGACACAGATAATAAGAGATAGATAGTGTGGGATTGGATGCTCCACTTTCGATCAACGACTCGGCTCGACGGTTGATGACACAATTACTGGAATACATAGATATATATATACACAAGTCTATCGATACCTCACATGCCTTGTAGCGCCATGTCTATCCTGAAACTCCAGCTAACAGCAAAAATCAAAAAGCGAGTCTTTTTTTCCCGTTATACTCAGAGAACCCGACCGCTTTGCGCCTGCGCCTGCGCCTGCTCCTAACCCTCGCTGCCTCCAACACATGCTCACTGAAATGGCACACCCGGATGTCGTCCGAACCGCATCGGTCCCCACGAACTCGGCCCCAAACAGCGCGGCTCCAACGGGATTTCCACCGAAGTCCCGTCCAACAAGGTTACATTATACATTGTTCTACCCCCCACACGGATTCTCCTCTGTTCCCACGTTCCATCCTCCATCGGAATCCGCGCCACCACGCAGAACCCCAGCTTCCAGATATTGTGTGAGGGTCTATTGGGAGGCGATTGGAAGACAGACGGAGCCTGCACAAGACGGGGCGCTCCCTTTGTTGCATAAAGCGTGTTATTCATCACCATCTTCATCGGCTGCTGTTGCTGTTGCTGCTGCGCTCTATACTGAAGATAAGCAGCCCGGTACAGCTCCGGATCACAACACCTACAGCTCGCCGGCAACAGGCCGCCCTCGCCCTTGGTCAACGGGATATCTTGCCATTTATTATAGCTAAACGCAATCGCCTCCAGCATGCCCTCATCAATAATGTTGAAATGCACCGGATTGGACTCGTCAAAGTTCTCCCCGTTGTCCGAGGGCCCGCCGGGTACGGGCGGACCGGCGGGCGCAATGACAAAGGGGATCACGAACTGGAACCGCTCCTGGTCGTGGTCACCCTCTACATAAGGCTTCTCGCAATCCTTGGTCAAGGACTCGCGACATTGCGGGCAGCGCGGCAGGTCTTGATCCTCGTAGGATTTGAAGTAATTGGCGTAGCAGCTGCCCATGTAGTCGGTCAGGCAGTTATACCCCACCACGTGGCCGCACCAGAGGATGGCCATGCGCTCGAGGTCGTTGCCGTCCGAATCTTGGGTGGCGTTGGCGCCGTGGTTATTGAGGGGGTAGCATTTTAGCGGGTTGGCAAGGCAGATGGAGCATACCGGGTTGGGTTTGGTGGCGGCAAACTGCTGGGCGGCGGGGAGCGAGAGGTAGCGCCGGATGTTGGGCCAGAAGGTCTCGTCTTGGGGGTCCATTCTGACTGATTTGAGGTTGTTGTACGCTACTATGTACTATCGGCGTGTGACTTGTGGGTGGTCTGTTTATTCTCTAAAACATGAGTTTCACGTTAACAAGGAAGCCGGGTAAGAAGAACTTTATACAGTCGCCTCATAACTTTTGGTTGAACGAGTACTTCCCCGAATACTTCCCGAGTAAGATGAACGTATGCTTGGAGTCCATTGTTTGAGGTCAATTTTGTATACAATGGGTTTCTTTGGGTAAACCCTTTGTCTGGCTGGCTGACCAGCCGAGTCATTGTTGCTTCAGCTTCAAGTTCTATAAGTGCACATTTCAATGGCGCATTGTCTGGATCTCTTTCGGCTGGCGGACACCATTAGCTGTCTTTGAGATGTGTATACAGTTTCAACAAAGAGTTCTGTTCGAGTGTCCTCATCAACCTTGACCTGAAAGCTGAAGAGGACGTTAGTATTGGAAACTCGCGCAGTGTCGCACGGGTGAGTTAGGTAACTGAAATGTGTGATGTAGTCCGAGTCGTATGTGATATATCCATATCAGCTTTGCGAACCGTACGAATTCTGAGCTTACATGGATGGTAGTTGTTACCTACCAAGCTCGGGGCGGCTTGGTTTCAACCCCCTATCCAACATCCTTCTCTTGAACGACGAGAAGGAGCATTGTTGTTCATGCTGAAGCCTCCGACTTTTGGGGGCGGAGCTTGGTTGAGTTTTTGTGATTTCAATACCCAAAGTGTTGTTTGGGGAGAGGTCGGGTCACAAGAGGTCAATGGTTGCAGGTTTTGGAATGCTATGTCGGGGATGGAAGAAGGTAACTGAAGGCCTTAACCGGGTACTGATTGAACTTGAGTGGAGCCGAGGATTAGGAGATGAAAAACAATGTAAAAATGGCAGGCACGATACAAACTCCTGAGGGTGCAAACCTCCCACGTTCCTTCCTCATGTCAGTCTGCGCGCATGCACGGGTGTATACCCTCACCCTTTCTGCAAATTGAGTGCAAAACCAACATGCACAACAAGCGTATCATCACCATTCAACGTCCAATCCAACCGATATAAAAAGGAAAACATCAAAAACAACAAAAAGGGGTCATTTAGACGTCGTGAACATCCAAAAAAGGCCAAAAAATCGAACGTCACCTGCAGGATTCGAACCTGCGCCCACTAATGGATTGCCTACACTATACTATGACGTAATAGCAGGGCAACGCGTTAACCACTCCGCCAAAGTGACTAGTTGTTGTTGTTGTTGAATTATTGCTTCCACAGTGGTCCCTATGTATAGCATGCGGGTTCTGGTGGTACAGAGCTGGGAAGCTGCAGGACGGTGTGGATAATGTTGTGGATAACAATGTGGACCTCCACAACGTTTCGACGGGATGTAATGTTGGCTGGAACAAGTAGTGATACCGTAGCATGAGCGACGAGTTGTGTGCGCGCCGAATTGTACAGTCCAATACTGGTTTGAGGGTGTCTCGAGACCTCAAGGCAACTTCCGAGACGTTTTCATGCTGTGGATATGCCTTTCCCAAATCAAAGACACCGTGTGGGATCTTGTTAATGTCTTTCAGTCCCATATCTAGCCATTCATTCAGTCCTTGAAAGGTTTAGGGGAATTCAGAAGACATCTCGTCGAGTGTACTATGAGTGAGAACCTATATACCACATGAACAAATGAACCAGCACTAGATTGCTTACGGGACAAGCAGGTTTATGCCTGTTTTCGGAGCGAGCGCTTTGTCATTTGTCTCAGGAAATCGTGATGAGATGTATACATGTGATAGGCAAAGGATGTCCAGGCCCTGTGAACGGCTAGGGAACCGAGGAGGTAAAGTCTTTATAAGTCACCGACCACACTGTACATACGAGATTAACTTCGTATCTGCTGCCTACAATGTATCTTACCTATGCGAACTGTACTTGGGGAATGCCACCCACTCCGGGCCATGCTTCCCGGATTTGGTAGGGGCTACTTAGCTACTTAACATGGGTAAGATGTAAATTTATCAAATTGAATCCCATTACCATGATATCAATTGCTGGATCTACCAAAGTGAACAGGACTAACTAGGGAACCCGTTGTTGACAGACTAAGAATGCTATAAGTGAGCCCTTGAAAAGAAATCCAAACAATGAAACCATACTCGCTATAGGTTCCCTGAACGCCAGCCAGTTCAATACCCTTTGATCCCATTCGTACCACCCCAAGAGCCCTACAACTTCCTAAAAACCGTCGTAAAAATCTCCCTACTCTTTTGCAAATTCACCAACCGCAACCGCTCATTATGCAAGTGCGCCGAGTCGCTCGCCTGTCCACAGGGTAAATGCGCTGCGGGCGCGTTGAACTCCTTCTCCAAAAACCTGATGGGCGGAATGGATCCACCTTCCCGGATGTACAGCGGTTTTCTCGTCTTGGGGGCGGCGGCGCCAGTGGAAGTGGTTTCGCCATTTGTGGCGTTGGGCGGGAGGGTTACGCCGTTGGCTTTCTCATTATCCGACAGCGATGATGATGGTGATGATGGTGAGTCTGTGTCCGAGGGGGTGGAGGTGGAAGGAGATGATGATGAGGAGCCGCCCCATGCCCTCATTACTGCCTCTTCGAGGGTACGAAAGATGTAATTACCCGGTACACCCAACCACGGCTCGGCCTTATTGTCGATACGCACAGTGAGGGTATTGTCGCTATCAAACTTCTCGTACTCGGTCTTGAGGAAGGACTTGAGCTTAGAGATAATTTCCTCTACTTCCTGACCGGGCACCAGACGGATGCTGACGTTGGCGGTCGCGTGGCTACTGATCAGACTGCCATCGGGACCCGAGACGTTATATCGATGGATGGTCAGGTTAGGTTCGCGCCAGCGAGCCATCAAGCTACGCTTAAGCGCGTCGACCGGTCCGGCAGTGGGGTTGCGCTTGATCAGGATGCTGGCAATGTCGTCGTAGCGCAGCTCTTCCTCTTCGGTGATGGGGAGGATTCCGTCGTAGAAGCCGGGAATGTTGACTTTGTTCCTGGGGCCCTTGAGCTTGCCGAGCAGCAGGGTTAGGTCGGTCAGAGGCTCGGAGATCATGTTGCTTCCGTCGACGCCCGAGTGCAAATCGGGGTGCTTTGAGTCGACGCAAACCGTGGCATGCAGGACGCCGCGTAGACCGTAGGTCAGGCAGGGTACCTCGTCGTCTAGCCAGTAACTGTTGGCAAGAAGCACATAGTCGATGTGTCCGATGAGGTCTTTGTGCTTGAGGATGGTCTCCTCAAAGCCTCGGGATCCAGACTCCTCTTCGCCTTCGATTAGAAAGATGATGTCGGAGTCCAGGGCCTTGGCCTGCAACAGATCGGAGACGGCGTAAAGAGCGGCAATGATAGGTCCCTTGTTATCACTAACGCCACGACCATAGAGATACCCATTCTGCCCGACAAGCTTAAACGGGTCGGTCTTCCAGTTCTCACCGGCCATATCCGCGGGGACCACATCGTAATGGCCGTAAAACAGAACCCTCTTCCGCTTCTCAGCAGGCTCGAGTTTGCCGCTAAACTTTGCAAATACCACTGGATTATGAGGGCCATCGGAGCTGAGCATTTCTACTTGAGCGCCCAGCCGCTTGAATAAGGAACCGAGGAAGGTCGCTCCTTTACGGCAATCCTCAGTAAACTCCGGGCGTGACGAAACGGTCTTGTACGAGACAAATTGGCGAAGGGAGCGAATCATCATGTCCTCGTGCTCACCATCCACCTCTTCAGTTTCCGCAGGCGCGCCGTTAACATGCCATATCCGGACAGTGTTGTCATTGGCTCCGGTGATAAATAGCTGGTTGTTCTGATATGTGGCGACAGCTGCTGAAAGAATCTTGGCATTGTGTGCTTTCCATCGGCTGAGGCACTGATATCGCTGGCTAACATTTTGAGAAGTACCATTAGACTCCTCGGTAGTGTGGGCTGCGCTATGTTTCTAGGCATTGTCAGCGTCTGGACGTAAGGGTGTAAATGGACGGCATGTCGAGGGTTCTTACTGAAGCAAACCCGTCAGTAGAGGCACTCCAGAGGAGCCCGAATCTCAATCCAACAGCATTGATGTTTCCAGTATGAGCATGAATAACTCTCAACCTCTGCTTAGTGTCGAGATCCCATAGCTCGATGATGCCACCTAGCTTGCCGGCATAAAGAAAGGAACCGTCCACGAACAAAGACATGACGGACTCGGCGTCATCCTCGCCGAGCACCATCAGCTCCTGAATACTGCCCTTGGTATCCTCGTCTTCATGGTATCCGGGGCCCTTGTCGTTAAGTCTCCATAGCTTGATGGTACCATCACCGCCTCCGGAGATAAGAACTTCCTCGTCATCGTCCACCAGGACGGTTGGGCCCTTTGCGATCTGCATGCAAAAGACCCAGCCGTAGTGTGCATATTTCTCAATGGCATATGGGTCGACTTCGAGCACGGTCTCGGCTCGGGGTATTAGGGAATAGTAATCCTCGGTGCGCCTAGGGGTAGAGGTGCCGCCGACAGCACGGGAATCGAAGAACTTGTGCTGTCGCCTGTCTGGATGATTGGCCGAGTCGTGTGAAACTTTTCTGTCCTCATCCTTCAAGCCGACCCATTGTATGTACTGTGTCTGTGTGCCAAAGTATACCGTCTCGTTCTGGGGAGAGTAGACGACGCTGAAGACGTCTCCAACATCGTAGGTGCTGTAGATCTCATAGAGTCGCGTAAATGTTTTGGGGCACCACACGTTGATTATTGGTTCGCAGGCGGTCGAGAAGAGATATTTGCCATCTTGCGACAGGAACAGGCAGAGGACGCTTCGCTTGTGGGCTTGAATGGTCCGGACGAGCTGGTAGGTGCCGAGGGACCAGACAACGATCTGGCCCTTGCTGGTGCCGGTGAAAATGTACTCGCTAGACACCGCGATGGAGAGGACCGAGCCGTCATGCTTCAATTCCTGCAACTGATCGGGGGCAGTCTTGAGGCCGCCATCGTCGAGCTCGGAATGTTGCAGTGTTCCGGGCATCGTGACTGTGACTGTGGGGTTTGGCTTTGTGGAATTGGCGGGATTCGGACGCGCCGCAGTCGGTAAGGTCGATGACTCTGGACAGTGACCGGTAGAGATTGTCAGCCAAGAAGAGGGATTTGGTAAAAGGGATGATGATCCAGGTGGGAATAGAAATTTCAGCAAGATGCCAACGTCGATATGAAAGGTGATTCACGTGTGATGTCGACGTGGAGGAATGGGGTCTTTTGGACTGACGACATTCTGGTAGCCATTGTGACATTGACGGGAGTTCCGCCCATCGGCCCCACCATCTGGGTCTAGGCTCCTCTTTCAGGGGGCACGTCAGGACCCCTGAGCCCTGTGGCCCACTGCCCTGCAGCATTGCCCCACGTGCAATGCTTCCACTTTTGATGCTTAAAAGACTTCAAGTTGTCCTCCAACATGCCCGCACATTGAAGCTTCATCTCAAGACATGGAAAGAGAACCCCTCGTCTCCGGCCTTCACAGGAAACGAAAAATTCCATCTGCCCACGTCCAAAGGAATATCATTTGCCTTGGGATTACTTCTCTACCTTGGCTCAATGTCAAAAGGCGTGATTGGACTTTGCCTCATCGTCTAAATCCCCACTTGGAAGAGCCGACTCCAGCTCTAACGCAACCGGAACGTGGCATTGGGTGACATGAGTCTTCGATGACAAAGAGGGAATAGGGTATCCCGCGCCAGGACTCTCAGATGCAACGGATGACAACCCATTGGCATGTTCTGGTGCTGGGAAAGGGTAGCATACACAGCCTCATCGGTGAAACGTGGGGGTTCAGGGGGCTTTGTGCTTATCGATCTGTAGGTGTGTAAGACGATGATGGGGGCAGTAAACATATCGGGATCATGGGAGTATGCCGGTCAACCGGGACAGAAACATGTAAGTGAAATGGAAATTCACTCACCGTGGGAGCCTGCCCTCTTCCCGTCGCGTAATGCTTTTGATGCTCTCGCCCTCGAGATCTTGATGCAGCCTTTGCAGACTTCATCATCATTACCATCACAACCGTTGACATTCCCCTTTCCGCCTCCTTCTTGCCGTCGCTTGTTGTGTCGATTCCAGGGATCAAACGAGTCACGGAGGACACCATCGATGGGTCCTTTCGCCACTACATCCACTGCAGCCATGGCGTCTGCTTGATCGGGCTCCGTCGAGGCGGTGGAGCTGCTGGCACGTCGTCCGCCTTGAAGTCTCCAAACAAAGTTTTTGGGGATTATGGGCTGAGATGGCGTCTCCAGAGATGCTGTCAAGGAAGAAGTGGAGGATTTGGGTGAGCATGGTATATGCAGAACGCCATTGCTGCCATTGAGCTTCGCTTGATGCTCGCCCTTGTCGCAATAGCAAATTTCTGTCATGTTTGCTTGCGTTTTTGATGACCCAGGAAAGTGCTTACGGATGCCGTACGATGACGCGAGATCATGGGGTTGACGACACCATCCATCAAGTAGCTAGGGATATATAATTCCAGTGGTGGGATATTCGCATCCTTAAAACCCAGAACGGATGGGTCGAAAGAAGAAGGACGGAGGCATCTCACCGCTTTTCGGATCGCCAACAGCCTCGTTGTTGTCAAGTTCAGCTGAGTCACACGATTGAGCGATCAAAAGGAACGGAATGACAATGGCTTCTTCTTATAATACTCCGCTCTACCCCAGACAGCAGGCAAACATCCTGGCTCTGATGTCCACACAATCAAGGAACTTTACGCCACAGTTGGTGTCTGGGCGAGCTTCAACACTATCAGTTGCGGATAGTGATGGTCTCCTACGAATATTTTGCATGATAGCCGCGGAATCCAGCCCAGTTCCTGGGTCTTTGCTCTGTCGTGGAACAGCAAGATTGAGCCAGTCCAAAGGTACCGTGACATGGGTTGCTTCGAGCTTGGGGGCTTGGGTATCACAAGCACAACAAAGAGGTACATTTTCACTTCGAGATCAAATCACACCACCACCTAGCTAGTGGGTTTGAAGACTGGTCGGACAACTGGCTCAGTTGTCTCGATGTTGTGTGGGATGAAGCGACATCGGATGGTGATGAGACGCGTCGAGATTGCATATGTCGTACAATGCTGCTGTCACTTTGTGCCTATTCTGTTGGTGAAATATTGACTTCGAAATGTCCTGAGATCCAAATCATCAGAGCATAGAGTCCACAAAGGCTCGCAAAAGTTCAAACTCCCGAAGCAGCTGAGTTAAAACAGAAGAAGTAAAAGTGATGATCGCCGTGATGATCGAAACAACCTTGGTTCGAAATCAGCTGAAAACAGGGCGAAGAGAAGGGTGGAAGGTACCCGAAGGTACCAAATTATGAGGCAAAGTGATGTTAGGAGGACGCCGAGAAATGGCTTCAAGGCTGAATAGCACCCCGAAACTCGCGCTAATATCGAGCCATATCGGTGACTTGGCTCCCATAGTCGGCGATCAATGAGACCATCAGCAACTATCGCCGTATGGACTCGCCGATTTACGCTGATGTTGGCGCAAAGTGTAGGCGGAACAAGAGGTGCAATGTATCGTCAAGGTACCAACCCGCCCGAAGTGATAAGTGATAATGGACTGAAACAAGTGACGCTCGGGCCAGAAAAGGAAGCCAGGTCTTGGCACGGCAAGGTTGGTGGGCCTGCCCGGAACTGACCCCTGCAAGGCGGTCATAATTTTCTTTGGCTTCTGAGATCATCACCAAACGTCTCCGAACTCCGCGCCCGTATCTTTATCAAAAATCCATCCGCATCCGCTTGCTCCCCCGCCGACTCCCACCTAGCAACGCCACCAGTCCTCCACCACCACCACCACCTCCCGTCGCCTTGCGTCCCCGACGACCTCCCTTCATTGTCGCACTCTGAACTAGAACTCGACTGCGACATATTCACTCCTCTCCGAGAGACCATCCGATCACCGTTTAATCCGCGATCCCCATAAACCACCCGCTAAAATGGATCACACTCGCGACCCTTGCCCGTGGGTTATCCTCAACGATTTCGGTGGTGCCTTCGCCATGGGTGTATGTTTTCTCTTTTCATGTTCTTGTTATCGCACTATACGGGCAATCACCAGTGATGACACACGTCGACTGTGGTTGGCCTAAACCCCTCGTTGTCGCCGCCGCCTAAACGTTGTTGACTGCTTGCTGCATGGAGTCCGTTCCGTTACTGACACAATGTCGCCGACCATAGGCTATCGGTGGTACGATCTGGCACGGTATCAAGGGCTTCCGTAACAGCCCTTACGGCGAGAGGAGAATCGGCGCCATCACTGCCATCAAGATGCGCGCCCCTGCGCTCGGCGGTAACTTCGGTTAGTCAACCCGCCTGACACATCTCACGCGGCTCTTGCCACGGCCGATACTGACATATGGCATCCAGGTGTTTGGGGTGGTCTTTTCAGCACATTCGACTGCGCTATCAAGGGACTAAGGAACCACAAGGAGGACCCGTGGAACTCCATCCTCGCCGGTTTCTTCACGGGTGGCGCGTTGGCGGTTCGTGGTGGCTACAAGGCGGCCCGTAACGGTGCTATCGGCTGCGCTGTTCTCCTGGCTGTTATTGAGGGTGTCGGTATTGGTTTCCAGAAGATGCTTGCGGGCGCCACAAAGCTAGAGGTATGCATGGGAAGGTCGTTGAGGGATAATCAACTGGCGGTTGCTAACTCGCATTCTTTCTCACTACTAGGCTCCTGCGCCACCTCCGTCCAACGAAAAAGTCCTTGCCTAAATACAATACAGCGGTCATTTAAAAAGTTCGATTTATGATGCGCAAAGATTGTCGACCATATCATCTCTCTCAACTCCTTTCTCCCACCTGGCCCGTATCGGTTGGGCTAGGCTGTGTATTTGTCTACGCATTTCATGACGGTTCAGCATTTTAGGTGGCGGCGTTCCATGTAACATAGAAACGGGTTTGTTGGTTACGCTTGCCATATAAGGGGGGTCGGCGTGGATGCTTTGCCTCAGCGCGGAAGAACAGCCATCCGAATAATATTTCTCTTTTTTTTTTTTTTGGAAGACAGCATGCGCTTTGCGAACGTGTTACCGGCTAACGTGCTTCAAAACAGAAGGGAACCATGTAACTAATCTACTAGATCTTTTCGCCACTCCAAAACCGCGGATCTTCGGGTCTACCTTCGCCGACATACGAACTGGAGATATCCTGATCCTTTCGAAAGATGCGAGCATACGCGACACCTTCCTCGTCTATCCAAGCCCGAAACATGCCACCGCAGTTATAGTTCTGAAGGATGTCGGACCGTGTCTCGACGACATTACCATTTGCGTCCCGCACAACCACCAACTCCAGTCCGATAATGCCACCTTCGCCTTCGCCAGTTTTGCCCCATCGATCATCGGCGCTCTTCTGAAGCTCTCCGGACGGCCCAGCAACCTTGGTCAGGGCCACGACGGAAGGAAGGCTAGAATACCGGGCAATGGCGCCCACAGTTCTCGCGGCAGCAATGCGGAAAAATGAATCACCATTGCCAGTTCCAGAAACACCGATCGACCGGGTGGTGGTCAACCCGCCAGACGAGTCTTGAAGAGTGGGGGTATACAGAGAAGGCGAAGGCAGACAATCAGCGATGAGTCCCTTGAGCGCATCCGACAAAACCACTGCTGCTCCCGGGCTACACAACGGATTCCGCGATCCGTTCTTATGAGGAGAAGTAGGATCACCATCCTCCGTCCACTCCTCAGCCCAGAACCCAGCCCCGACAACAGGCGTATCACCAATTCTGCCCGTCAACTTGTTCGTCATGCCGCCTGTGCTCGTCGCCACGCAAATCACGCCCTCGACATCCAGCGCCACCGCACCGACCGTTCCCTGCGGGAGATACTCGTCCTTACTCCAGGTCGCTGAAACGCCACTAGCAGCGCCAGTGCCAAGCATATCCTGCTGCTCCCTCTTCTCCCTTTCCAACGCCCGAACGTGCTCGTCCCACCGCTTCTGCGTAAAGAAGTAACTAGGATCCACCATCTCCAAGCCATACTGCCTCGCCAACTTTTCCGCCGTTGGGCCATGAATCAGCGTATGGCCTTGTGCCGAAGGGACATCAGGCTCCCCATCCCCATTATTATTATCAAGCTTCTTTCCGCGACCCAGAAGATCGTCCCTCCCGTGTTCCAAAACCTTCCTTGCCAGAAGAATCGGATTTCGAACGTGGCGCAACCCGGTCACTCCCACACCCCGCTTAGCCTGACCCCGGCTGACCATGACGGAAGCCTCGAGCTCATTGATGCCATCGCGGGTAAAGACGGCGCCGTGGCCGCTGTTGAAGAGGGGGTTGTCTTCGAGAAGGGTGACGGCGTAGGTGGCGGCTTCGAGGGCTGATGGGAGTTTTGAGGAATTGGAAGGGGAATTGTAATTGGACTGGGTGGGCGTGGTCAGGTAGGTGTGCGCCTTGGAGATGATGGTCAGGAGGGAGGAGCGGTAGGCGACGTAGCGCTCCGGGCCGAGGCTGGCGGGGGTGATGTTGCCGGCGCCGCCATGGATGATTAGACGCGGTTGAACTTGGACGCGGGTAGGGGAGGAGGGTTGGGGCTTGTATTCCATTGTTGCGGGTATGTTTCTTGATGGATTACTTGCTGGTTGTCAACTCTCTCAAGGCCTCCAAGATTTAATATACGGACTGTTACGAGTGTGATTTGTGATGTGGTGAGGGGAAGGTAGCAGTGTTGTGTTGACTTATCTCGGGAGTTCATTGCTTTGAGCTGGGGCGGTTGTTTCCGATAAGCTGATAAGCGTTTGATTTAAAAGGTCCGGGTTGCAAAAAGGAAGGTGGACCTTTCAGGTACGTACCTCTACCTACATTCCTACTCTTATCTCCTCCACCCCCGCAACAGCTTCCAAGTTTCCCCTTGGAGGTTGACTTGCACATGCCTCAGCAACCTCCTTCGTGCATTGTGCAGCCGTACCCGACCGTGGAGAATGGCGGGGTTGTTGCGGAGAGAATCTTGTTCAAATTATTGAAGATCCCACTTCTCAAGACCTCGGTCTGCTTTGACAATTTGAACATCGCCAATTTGACTTCCACACTTCCCCCTCCATATCACGGACCAATGATCAAAGTTGATCAAACGGGTTCAAAAGATCAAGGCAAGACTTCCATGTTACAAGAAGAATAAAGTCGTGTAACTTGTTATCAAGCACCCGTTTCTTGTCAATTCGAGTTTGCTGTTTCTACTCGACGCTGGATTGAGTTTGTTTGACTAGAGGCATATATTATCATCGTCTTCAATCCGAATCGCAATGCGAAGCTTCTTCCGCAAAGTCAGGGACGAATCACAAAAGGTCCTCCAGGGGGATCAAGGCGCCAACGACAGGTCTTTAAACACTCCTGAACATCCCCCTCGATCAGAGGAGTATGAAAGTGGGATGCAAAGTAATGAAGGTACATATTTCATGATTTCGATATCGTCCACTTGAACATCGTCAAGTTCGTTTCTTATCTCTTCAGTTTCGTTCCTCCCATTCCTCAATTTCCTTCTTCGGCACCTTTTGGTTTCATTTCCAAAGTTCGTTCCGTTTCATGTTCCTGGCTGCCGCTTTAGTGTCTGTCGTCACCCGCTCAGTGTCACCTCTTACTTACACGTCTTTCCTTACCTACCTTAGCTATCTCTTGCCCATCCAACATCCTCGTTGCTTCATTTGTTAGCTTTGGAAGCAAGCCCCGCCCTCGTGGATGGTATGACCATGAACCATATCAGTATCCAAATCCTCTTCTGCCCAAGCCAGGCAATGGTTTTGAAGATTGACACACCACCATTATCCATGTTACATACTACAGTAGTCAACTCGCCTTTTCGACATCAGTGACACCAATATAACTCAGATGCGCGTTCATAGTTTACAACACATTTTTCTGGTCTTTGTCACCACATTGATCTTGCTAACACGCCCGGCACAATGTTGGTTAGCCCGTTCCGCCGGCAGTCCGCACGGGCGCCATCAGCATCCGTCTTACCGTCTCGATCTTGATGTCGATAATACTAAACCCGAGGGCGAATCCCCCCTCCATGTCCGCAATGTCGAGAGACTCGGCTTCCAGGTCGCCAATAATAGCGCCAGTCATCGCGATCTCGGCTTCACTGGGAAAATTGCTGGAAAGTGGTATGCCGTTTTCGGCGACACCATGTGGTGTGCGCCTGGGGTCACCAACTTCCTTGAGGATACTCCCGGTTTCCATGGCATGGTCCGAGATTCAGTCTCCCTATTGACGAATGACCCTTTGACCGTGGTGGATCTGAACCTGAACGATGATTATCCTGTCCCGCATCAAAAACAGCTGATCCCTTTCAACGAGGCATGGGGTGAAACGAACCAATACGGTTTCGGTGGCACGAGTTTTTGCGAGACTGATGCCGAGGCCGCGACCGCTGCGCTTTACTACCTTGTGGTAGGTGAACCTTCCGCACAGTTACTTTACGTGTGATGATCCGCTAATGAAGAAGACAGAATGTCAACGAAACCGGCGGCCTCCTAGGCGCTGGTGTCGCCAAGGTCGAAGTCATCAATAACACTCCCACGGTCACCCAGCGCTTCGGCAACAAGGGGTTCTGGTGGAATTCAAACACCACCGCCAAATACGGCGACCAATGTGCCTACCGCGATGAACGCTCTGAGTACATATACATCTGGGGCGGCCCCCCGAACTCGATTACTGGATGGCCTCACTCCAGTTACGCCTACCTTGCCCGGGTCAAAGCAGAAGATGCGTTCGATCTGGCCAAGTACGAGTATTTCTGGGGTCGTCAGCAGGGCTGGAAGTCAGAGGTTCTTACGAAGTTTGATGCTGGGACGGCGGTCTGGTGGGCGGTCGGTCAAGGTCAGGTTGCGTGGAATGAGTACTACCAGTGTTATGTGCTGGTTCATTTGTCTGCTTTTGGTGAGTCTTTAATTTCGACGCTCTCTTCCTTTGACGTTGTCCGTGTCATATCTAATGAAGAGACCTTCTCTAGGCGATGGTGCTGTGTACCTGCGAACAGCCCAGGCTCTGGAAGGACCATGGACTCCGGATGTCCAGGTATACAAGAGCGAACCTATCGACGGCGGATTAGTCTATGCCGGTGTTCAACACCCCTACCTGGATCCGACTGGACAGACATTGGTTCTGTCTTTTACGAACAATAACCACATTGAGGTTATCAAGGTGGCTTTTGCTTAGGCGTATCTTTTTCTTTTCACCTAACATACTTATTACAGGAAATTATATCCAGTTCTTACCTCATCACAACCGAAAACCACTAGTATCAACAGCAACCACCTTGCCCCCCTCCGTGACCGTCCCATTAACTGGCGCCCGCAACCCACCACACGTAGTCACATAAAGCGTCTTCCGGCTTCTATGGTCTCTCCCAAACGCAGCAGCCGTGTCCCCAGAAAATGTCAACTCCGTCTTTCCACCGCCAACCAGCACCGCCTTCTTCCCTTCTTTGACAGCAAGCAACGTGTTGTCTGAATTTGTCACTACCCAGATCACTCCGTCGTCATCAATGGCGAAGTCATCTAGAAACGTCGCTTGGGGGCTCAAATCCGCTACAGTCTCGACAGCTGCTGTCCCGTTCCCTTCGTGGTAGCCGTCCCGATCAAGCTTGACTCTGTAGATTTTGACGGTTGCGCTATTTGTCCAGTACAAGTAGCCCAGGTGCATTTTGATGCCGTTTATGCCCACCACGCCGCCGGAGGAATTAGTTGGTGCACTCATTTCCGGTACCTTGACGGCGACTTTGTGAAGCCCAGTTTGGATGTCAAGACGCCAGACTAGGCCAGCGAAGGAATCGGCTATGAGTACAGCATCCGGGTTGCCGGGTATGGACGCCACGCCGTTGGGGAGGAGTGCCGAGGTGAGTTGGGCTATTTGGGTGATGTTGATATTTTGCTTGGTCTCTTGTCCGTCAGTGATACCGTGGAAAGTGGTGTTGTATCGGAAGTCAATAGTCCATGCAAAGAACGGAGAGCCATTCCCACTCGCATTGTTGCTAGTCCCATTGCCCCCGAGAGTAATATTTCCACCCACTACGACAAATAAATCCTCAGCTGGCTCAGCGATGCCAGCGAGTCCTTGGACGGAGTCGAATGTGTGGATGGTTTTCCATCCGCTCATCGAACGGTTAGGAAGAAATGGGTACTGGTTCGGGTTCGTGTTGGGATTGGACACGAGGTAAAGGCTGGCGGTGGGAGCAAATTCAGTGAGGAGGAGGTCCCCGTTGGAACGGACGATGATGTTTTCTAGCCAGGTTGGGGAGGGGAATTGGGTTATTATGTGGTTCAGCAACGGGAGATGAGCGTAGTGGTTTTCGGATTCGGACAGACATGAGGATGTGAAGAGTAGGATGGAGAGAAGTCCGGTGAAAAGGGAGGATTGGTGTTTGAGATGGTAGTATGTCATGCTGTGTCGCTGTCAGGCAGAAGAGCCTCAGGCGATGGGTTGTGAACTGGGCGAATGCTTGTGCTGGAGGATTTCTTTCTGTATTTCCTAACATTCATCTTCTTCTTGTGCAAGAACTCTACGATGAAGCTTGCGGTGTTTCTAACATCTCGATGGAGAGAGAGTCCGCGTACTAAGTAAGACAACCGGCTCGGACGTACGGAAGTCATCTACACCGCAGCTGCGCTTCTCTATCACTCGGGGTCTTCTTACCACTGATAGTACATTGGAAAACCACATTGTCATTTTGAAGGTATCAAGCAGGAAGTGTCGATGCATTGTTTATATGAAGAAAGAGTACCACAAGGCAGGAGCGTAAGGAGATCAAACAGCAAAAAGAAAAAGGAAAAAAGAAACCACGAACCACAAAAATGGAAGTGGACAAATCGCAAAAAGAGAGGACGTATGGAAACGTCGGGAATTGAGCCCGACGTGGGGGTCGAACCCACAACCTTGAGATTAAGAGTCTCACGCTCTACCGATTGAGCTAGCCGGGCAGCGTAAGCTGCCATGTGTTGAAGAGGTGGCTCCGTTCTAGCAATTATAAGGCCTGGCCTACAGCGGAGCTATAGTAGGCTCGACCCTGAACGACATCGCTGGCCAACGATGACGCATCATCTCAACTTTTTTTTTTTTTTTTTTTTTTTTTTTTTTTTTTGGCTAGTTGCACAACTTCCATTCATTCAACACCATGACCTAGCCGCAAACAACCTACACTAGATGGACCCTCTGCCGAGATATCCGGGTTGAGGCTAAGGATCCTTGGTGCGCTCGTGTTGCGTTCCTGAATTTTTTTTTTTTTTACAAGTACTGTGGCAAGTTGCTCTAGTCCATTACCTGAAACCGATGTCAGGAGACGGTCTGACTGATCAGAGGGCTAGAAGTGGTTGAAAGCTCTTGCTACGAATGCTTATAACTGCCATACTGCTCAAAGACCATAGTTTCCTGTTTATACGTAGTGAGAAAGCACAGAAGATTCGGATCCCCAGCGTACAGATGCCCTTTAATACCTACTCGACGCCCACGATTACTGCCCCTGGGTATCATGCCAAGCATCACGAACACAACACAGAAGTGTAAGATGGCTGGTATGTGGGGGTTGGCGTGCCTTACTGTTACAATACACTTACTGTGCAGACCAGGGCTTACCCTGCACGGTCAGATAGTCTTACCCCAACAGTATCAGGTACCGCGCCCAAACACAGCCTGACGGCTCATGATACACTGTATTCTGGGGACCGAGTCGTCAGTTCTGGTGTTTGCTCCGTGGGCTAGCTTTGGATCTTCGAGCCCGACTTTCGGCGAACTCGGCAGACTACCATTTTGGCCCATGGCGCCCGATTATCCAAGTTGGACATTCGGGCCTTTCCTGAGGCACGTGGTCCATCAGTTCCACCTGCCAATGCTACCCCCCAACTTGTGTTGATGGGGTTTCAGGCCAATGGCTCTTCCCCAGGAAAATCCATGCGGAGAAAATAAGGGGTAAAAGCGGGGGATTGGGGAAGAAGGCCAGGCTGGGGGAGCATTGGTAAAATTGGAGAAAGCATGCTCACCGGCCAGCCAGAGAGCAACACGCACCGACACGTAGAAAGAAGAAAAAAGCAATCGACTCCCAACGAGTCGTGCTAAGGTACGTAGTCCCGCTCGGAGCCTTGTCAAGGCCGACATCAGGCCGACAAACAGGTCGGCTCGGATTCCATCGCGAGATTCGGCACGCCGCCGCAAACCTTTACAGTCACGAGCATCGGTGACGCGAGTAGGTTGCGTGACCACAAAACCATCCGAGATGCTTCGAGCTCAATACGTTTTCTCGTATTCTTCTTCTTCTTTTCTTTTCCCTCACCGACCGAAATGGACTGATCACTTGGACAACCAACCGGTCTACAATGTCAGAAGCCAAGAAGTCAGAGGAATAGTTCTCCGGATTCCGCAAACTAAAGACAGCGCCATGTTACGTCACAGCCAATGGTCTTGGCAAGCTTAATTGCATGGCGGCTGGACGCCCCCAGACGCCGTGCCGCATGGGAATGAAGACAGAAGCACGAGCCATTCCAATCTTCATGTTTTTCTCGGGGTTTTCTCTTCAACAAAGGAAAACCTGGGGTATTAGAGGTCCTCATACATATCGCATATGGCACAAACCATAGCCTTGGCGGCTCAAAGAAAGAAAGAAAGAGCTTGAGCGGACAAGCGCCCAGCCGGCAACGGCATGCCACACAGTGTAGCTGGTAAGATCATCCCCAGTGAGGAATCAACACTGGGCGGACAACAGCCCGGCCGGCTGACGGAATCTCACACAGTATAGTAAGACCATCCCGAAAGAGGAAACAAAGCCTCCCTAGTTGATGGAGGCTTTGTTCTGACAAGGATGTATAGGACCGATTGTGACATCATAAGGATTGATCAACCTTCCAAGAAACTCTTCTGAGCGCGCCAACTTATGCCAAGCGTCAAAACATGACACAGGCCCAAACCAGTCCAAGTGCAGGACAGGCTCGACAGGCATGAACAGGGTCGCTTGTAGTGTAAACGGTCCTTTTCTGGATCCCCCCAAGACTCCATGCCCCAGTTTCTCCAGTCTCTCCAGTCCATTCTCCCAGTCCCCTCACAGTGCCCCGACCTCGCCACCCCGTTTCCCCAGAGAAACCCCATGGTATTTCTCCATCCCCATGATTTGTGAGCGGGTCTCTTCCCCATGGGACCGGTGGATCGACACGTATGTACACTACGATTGGGGAGACAACGAACGACCTGGGCAAAGTGGATATGACGATGGCAGGTTTCCAGAAGTCAGGTCCCTCGAAGGAAAGTTCTTCATAAAGTCGATCTGGAACCCGCATGATAAATCCTTATGACTGTTTCACTCCATTTAGCTTTACACTTTCTTTTCCTTACATGGGAATTGTTTGGATAAATCTTTACTTTTGATTTTCACTGAGTTGATTCATCCATCACTGAATATACCATTCCCCCCATCAATCCTATTCAGGAGGGCCCATCATGGTTCTGGGGAAAAAGTAAGCTCACTTCCAGAGACCAGGAGGAGATTCTTCTAGACAGCTACTGACACCCATCGCTCACCAGGTCAATCAAGATCAATGGCGCCGACATTGGCGTCGAAGCCATCCTTCTCGGTGCCGTCACCGCGATAGGAGGCTTCCTATTCGGCTATGACACCGGTCAGATCTCGGGCATGCTTCTATTCAGTGACTTCAAGAACAGATTTGGCCAGATCACCAAACCAGATGGATCAAAGGAATTCGAGTCCATCATCCAGTCACTACTAGTATCTCTTATGAGTATCGGTACACTTCTCGGTTCTTTGACTTCATCATAGTAAGCTCTCCCCTTTTCTCACTCTCCCTCTCCCCAACACACTCAACCTAGACACCAACAATACTAACCACCACTTCTCTACAGCACCGCCACCTGGTGGGGCCGCCGCAAGTCCCTTACATTCGGCGTCGGCCTCTTCATCATCGGCAACGTCATCCAGATCACCGCCATGCACTCCTGGGTACACATGATGATGGGCCGCTTCGTCGCCGGTCTAGGCGTCGGTACCCTCTCCGTCGGTGTGCCCATGTTCCAATCCGAGTGCTCCCCTAGAGAAATCCGTGGTGCCGTCGTCGCCTCTTACCAACTGCTCATTACCTTTGGTATCCTGATCGCCAACATTGTCAACTACGGCGTGCGCGAGATCCAAGAACAGGACGCTTCCTGGCGTATCGTCATTGGTTTGGGTATCTTTTTCTCGCTTCCGCTTGGTGTGGGAGTGCTGTTGGTCCCCGAAAGCCCGAGATGGTTGGCGTCCAAGGAGGATTGGGAGGGAGCCCGCATGTCGATGGCGAGACTGAGAGGCCTGAAGCATGACCCGCACAATGAGCTGGTGGAGGATGATATGAAGGAGATGCGGGAAGTTTTGGAGAAAGAGAGGACTGCGGCCGTGGGAACTTGGAAGGAGTGTTTCATCCCCAACAAGAACGGTGTTCCCAAGCAGGTGTACCGCACATTCCTGGGTATCGGCATTCACTTCTTGCAGCAGTGGACTGGCGTCAACTACTTCTTCTACTATGGCGCCACTATCTTCCAGTCGGCGGGTATCAAGGACCCCATTCAGACACAGCTCATCCTCGGCGCTGTCAACGTCTTCTCGACGCTGTTCGGTCTCTGGGTCGTCGAGCGTTTCGGACGCAGATGGCCGCTGTTCATCGGTGCTATCTGGCAGGCGTCTTGGCTCGCCGTGTTCGCTTCCATGGGCACCGCTCTCGAACCCGACCAAAACAAGACGTCGGGTATTGTCATGATCGTCTCGGCGGCACTCTTCATCGCTTCTTTCGCTTGCACCTGGGGTCCCATTGCTTGGGTCGTCATCGGCGAGAGTTTCCCTCTGCGCACCCGTGCCAAGCAGGCTTCGCTTGCCACGGCTGGTAACTGGCTTGGAAACTGTAAGTTCACCATTTTTTCCCCCTTTCCTCATGCATTAACAAAACTAACAAATATCCCCACAGTCATGATCTCCTTCCTCACTCCCCTCGCCACCGATGGCATCGGCTATGCCTACGGCTACGTCTTTGTAGCCACCAACATCATGGGCGCACTCCTGGTCTGGTTCTTCCTGTACGAGTCCACCAGCTTGTCCCTCGAAAACGTCGACCTCATGTACAGCGAGCCGGGCATCAAGCCGTGGAACTCGCACAAGTGGATGCCGCCTGGCTACATCACACGCATGCAGCGTGATGATGAGTACTTCCACCATCCTGAGAAGGGGTCGGATGGTCTTGAAATCACGAATGGAAGCAAGGAGATGCACCCCCACGAGGAGAGGGAAGAGAAGGTTGTTAACCATAGGGTTTAGGCTTTTATGGTTGGGAGAAATGGGTAAAATGAAGGGCAGCGATATGATTCTTGTACAAACTTATGCATATGGGAGGTTGTAAGATTATGGGTGGATAGGCTGTTGGCAAGGCGTTGTTGGGTCATGATGTTTGGATAAGCCTTTTTTTTTTTTGAGGACATAGCGGGTTGGCAATGACTAATGACAAGGAATGAATTGATGTCAAAACGATGTGCGAGACTCTCCATGATACTCTTTTCCGTTTTCGTACCTCGTGTCATCCTTGTTGATGGCTCGACTCTCTCGTTTGTTCTCCCTTTTTCTCCCCTTTTCTTCCCTCCTCCTCTTCCTCCCTTCCTTTTTTTTCTCATGTTTTCTTCGTCTTGCTCCTTTTTAGCTTTCCTCCTCCATTATGTCTCTTGTTTCTCTGTCTTTTTACCGCGTCCTTTTGGCTTCTCTTTTTCATGATCATATTTTCTCAATTCCTGATGTGCAAGCTCGACATGGGAAAATGAATTAGTGCCTACGCGTGAGGCCCATCATCGACCAATCACCCCAGAGTGTTCGTTTGTAATGCGGGAACGAAGGGACATCGAGACCACACGGCCGACTCGGAAGGATGACTGCAGAGCAACCCGACGGCCAGGAGCTCCAAACAGAAGCATGGCCACGCAACAGCAACGAAGACTAAGATGGCATCGATAACGAATGAGTAACAGTCTTGAAAACCGAAAACATTTTCCGTTGCTGTTAAAACCCCCATTACCCGCGTATAAGTATCCCCCCCCTCAGCTCTCATCGTCCTTCTAAACTCACCATCTGATGAACACAACAACCTTTTCGAGCAACGAATCTGCCTTTTCTTGCCCCCGTTCTCAAGCACTCAGCTACATTCCCTCTAGCCGTCCATCAACATGGCCTCTGAGACGAATGAGGAAGGCGGACCTGGTCAAATTTATGCTAAGTTCGTCGATGACGCAGAAAAGATTATGCGCCAGTTCAGTACTCCTGTCATGTCTGCCAACCTACTGAACAAAATGACCAGTCAGCAACTGTGGCCAGACACTGCTCCGGCGGAGTGGAGTACCTACCATCAGATAACCAATGTACAACGCCTACAACTGGAGAAGATGTTTGAGATAATACAGAGTATCGACGAAAATGCCTGCAGTGGATGGCAGCCTCAGAGGATATGGTGCGGCACGCGTATCGAAATACTCAGACAAATACTCATGTCACTGGCTAGCCTGATGTTTGTGAGGACAAGTACGATCGTTACCATGGGAACCTATGGAAAAAAGTCCTTCGAATATAACGGAAAGAAAGAACTGGCGGCGCAGCTGGTTTCGAACGAAGGCATTGCTTCCCTCAAAGCTGATTGTGCGCTCGCAAGTCTCCCTTTCAACACATGGTTCATTCGCTATCTCACTACGGTAGTCAGAATTACTTACCAGCACATAACGCAGATTCTCAAGCTCATCACCAAGCTCACCGAATCCCCTACCCCGAAATAATCCCAATAGGCACTATGGAGGCGATGGCCATGGCACTTTAGCATTTCTGCTCGGCTCGGAGGACATTCGTGTGTGGGATTCTTAGCAAGGGGGGTATTATGAAACTTCTGGACAGATACTTGGAAGATTATTTGGAGCAATAGACAAGAACACACCTTTATCTGCTCACCGTGCAATTTCCCGAGTTTTCGAAACCACGAGCATTTGCTGAAACCCTTTTGAGTAGAAATCATGGAAATTGGCGAGAAAGCAACTTGCTATTCCACCGAAATCATCATTGTAACACTGAAGGGTAAGGCAGATTCCCAAAACGTACCTAATAATAGTGGCTAAGCCCGGCCGGCTGGTTGGGTCGGGTTCCCAGAGCCCGGAAGCCCGGAGCTAGTACTTGTAGGCCGGAGGTACAGGCCGGGAGGTGGTCGGTAACCAATAGCAAGCGCGGAAAGTGTCGCACCAGCGCAGCTGACTAATAATAACACCCTCGCTAGCCAGAATTGGAAGCAGACAATGATCATCTACAACCCGTTGCTGTACCTTGACATATTCCATACTACAAGGCTGGAACACTCCCCTGGATTATTCTTTCCACAGGCATCGATCCAATCGAGACGATCCTCCCAATGCCTTCAAGTTGCCTTATCTCTTCGAATACCAACATCCAAAACCATACCCCCTGGCTTGGCAGACATTGGCGACACCGAGTCTTCTTTGACGCCTACTACCTTTGATGGGCAGTGCCGCCAATGCAGGCCGTTCAAAAGGTGGCCATGTATCGAAATAGAACTCAGAAGCGAAGGCTTGCAAAGCCCCCATCGCCGATCGACTGAAATGTAGGCTTGTGAGAAGGCCTACGAGGAAGAAGCAGAGGCCTCGTTCAGAACTCAGGAGGTCGCCAGCAGGAGAATACCACGGCCATCTTAGGGTTCACAACACATACCTATGCTTCACCCACTATCCACACCGCTACCCTCGACGTATAAAGCACTAACCGTGCCTACACCACCAACCCAGTTGAGTCTCCTACACTCAATACTAGCTACGACTTCTCTTTACCTTTCCACCTTATAGATCCACCTCTACTGCATTTCAATGTCCGAGGCGAGAGAGAAAATCAGCACTACTTACCAGTTCTCTTTCGGCTCCGCCGCGATCTTCTCTCAGAAAAATCTTCCACTTCCTCAAACAGTACCTCCTGCCCCATTCAAGATGACGCCCAAACCCAAAGAATCCACAGACCCTAACGGATCCGGCCATCTCCACGCCAAGCTCGTCAACGATGCGGAAAGCGTGCTATGCCAATTCAGCCTCCCCGTCTGTTCCACCAAACTAATAGACGAAGTGATGAACGAAACACTATCCATATCCTCCGGTCCAGCACAATGGAGCGCCTATCACCAACTAGTCAACGTCCAACGACTCCAGCTAGAATCCCTCTTTAATTGCGTTCTCGGTTTCAGTGGTGCCGCTTGCACCGGATTGAAGGGAGGAGGAGGAGGAGGACCGGGAACATATAGATCGGCGGCTGTGGTGCGATCCGACATTTTAAGGTCTATCCTTCTTTCTCTCGCCAGTCTCACGTTTCTTCGACTGAGTACGACTATTACCATGGCCACGCATGGCCCGCATTTGGTCGGTCCAGGTCCGCGGGTGAATGGCGCTATAAGTAAAATGCAATTGGGCAGCGCGAGGCTTGTCAATGATGAGGGGCTGGTGTCACTTAAGGCTGATTGCGAGCTGGTAAGCTACCTATCGATCATTTTACTCATTTGATAAGTATCATTATTCAGGGCACGGCGCTAACAATTTCGGCGTTCAGATTGTCAGGCTTATCACCCAGCTTACTGCTCCGCCTCCTGGGAAGAAGACAGCCAAGTCCGATTCAGAATGATCATATTTTCAGGTTGCATACTGGCAGAATACCTGTACAGGTCATCCATGTGTATAACGGAGCGAGAATGTGTTGATTTTGCAGACTGGAAAGAAGCGAGAAGGTATCCCTTCGCTTAAGAATTGTAGAATGAAAGACTGGCTGTACTGATATTTAACTTTGGTATTTTTGAAATGTAAAGGTCGAAAATGTGTCGTAACCAACCAGACACTCTCTTAAACACTGTTTTGAATTGAGCTGAATCAGCGTTCCTGTCTCATAAATTACATGACAACCCCAAGACAGTCCCCGTGGGTCCTAGATCATGCGATTTTCTCCTCCTTCCAAGCGGCTTCCTTTATGATACCGGGGCCTCTACTTATGATCTTGTGGTCTCCTGGCAGTAAATTGCATTTGTTCGCAGACAAATTCATCGATGACTGACGCACTAACTGCAGAGTTTGTCGACATGTCCCTCGCAGTACGTGGTACACGTGACCGTGTAGCGACCTAGTTTTCGGGAGGCAGACTTATTCGGGACGTGGGTTGCAAGGCATGACAGGCGGCGGCGGAGACCGTATGCCCGATATTATTCCACCATAATGATCTTTATACCCATATATGGTAAAGAAAAAAATAAGTATAGGTGTATGCTACTTGTGATACCTGGCTATCGGTCATTCGGGGATGACAAGGATCGTATGTGGGCCGGATTCCGGTCGGAAGTCGTCAACTGCGGATCCGGATCCGGGTCGCCAAGACCGCGCGGGCCGTACACTAGATAGGTGGGTCGCCGACCGGATCTGGTCATTCTGCCACGTCAGTGAACACACATCGCTGCAAAGGAACGGAATACAAGGACGGGAGCTGGCACGATTCTTCATGCTTAACCCCTTTGTCGGGTGTAAGAGATCCATACTGATTGGTATCGCTCGACGCGGCCGTATGGTGATATTAAGTTGATTGTCGTCGTATCACTGTCCACAGCAACGGCGGCGGCGCCGTCAAGGACCGCCACACGTGAGATTTGAGCGGTGTGTCTGGAATGTACGACTTATCGCTTCCCGTCCCTTGGGATGCGGTCCACGCGGGTCGGTTGTGCGACGTGGGCGGTGCATTCAACCGGAACGTGCTTGACATGGGTTGGCCGCAAAGCCCAGTTTTACGTGGAGGGCGTGAACGGTGCGCACGTAACCCGCTTTCCTCCCCAGGAAAACCATTGATTGACGGTCATGGTTCCTCAGTTTGTCCAATGCAGTGTACAGAGCGCATCCTGCAGTCGCGCCTTACCAAGGTATCCTGCAAGGGAAGTTGAAAACCGATAGAAGAAAAGAAGAGAAAAAAGGCAAAACGAATCCGGACCTGGTTCGCGGACTGAGATGTCGTATTCCGATTAACCTTCTCTCCCTCTTCTCCAAACTTCCTCCTCGTTTTTCCCGACTTGTTGTTCTTGGCCAGAATTTGACAAGCCGCCATATTCACCAGTCCAAAAAGCAACACCACTGCTTGGTTTCTCCCCACTTGAGCTCTTCTTGTTCCATCGGCAAAATGGGTTCCTCATACCGCACCGAAGACAACGGCAAGATCTCTGACCTTCCTCAGTTGCACCGCTACATTACCGGCCACAACGCCGATGGAAAGGCGGTTGTCCACAGCCAGAACGATTTCGAGTGGAAGTCCTACGCTGAAGGTGAACTCGCCTTCAGCGTTGCCTACACGACATCGGAATTCCCAGTCAACCTCAACAAAGACGCCGACGTGGCGGAGCACACGCGAGTGCTGGAGTCGGGAAACCTCGGGCTGGTCAACCCACGCGGGACGGTTTTTCGCTGCGTGGACTTTGCGCCTGGCTACGCATGCGGAATGCATCGAACGCAAAGCCTCGACTACGGCATCGTGCTGGAGGGCGAGGTAGACATGGTGCTTGACAGCGGGGAGGTGCACCCGATGAAGCGGGGCGACGTTGCGATTCAGCGGGCGACTCAACACCAATGGGTCAACAAGAGCAAGACTGAGTGGGCGCGCATGATGTTTGTCTTGCAGGATTGTCAGCCCCTGGTTGTCGGTGGTCAGGAGTACAAGGAGGACTTGGGCACCAACTCGGGCTTGCCGGCCAGTGGAAACTGATTCTGGTTGTAAAGGGTGACCGACGCGGGGGAGAGTACCATGTTGTTAGAAGCAGTAGTCTAGTTGGGGCACTGGTTATGAGATGAGGTTCCAGTTTGTATCGAGGAGAAAATGAGATGTCGCGAACGGGTACCGCAATTCGTATTTGTTTACTCGCTGATAAGCTGTTATCGGGTGTTGTAGTTTGCAAACGAGAAGTCCAATGCTCGGGTGTTTGCCAGCTGGCATTAGGGCCATTTGTTTGAAACAAGACAGGCAAGTACTTCCTGAACCTCCGAGTGACGTCACCCACCCCTGTGCCACACCGCACCACAGCTTACTGCCAGGCTTGGGGGTGCCTAATTCCATTCCGGTCTCTCGTGCTTGAATATCGAAATATTTCTACATTCCAATGCTTCCTATGGACCACACCACTCGCCCCGTTCGATTCAACGTACGGACAGGATGGATAACCCTACGCCATCGGATCCTCTGCAACTACACGTCAACCGCAATCCCCAGCGGGAATCGACGGCACCACCCCACCATGTCCTCCCCACAAGAGCCTTTCCAGCACGATTGAAGCCAAGCTCGGGAAGGTCCTCTTATTTGAGCTATCTGCCATCGTGGGACCCATCCCCTGGTAGGTCATGTCCTACAAGCAATGTCGGAACCAAGACCGTAGCCGGCTTTCGGAACCCTTGGCCGAGCTGGTGTACACCTACGTGCTTCCAAGTCTGGCATCATCTCAGCTGGGGAGAAGATCAAGACCCATGTGTCGTCCTAGCCGCTTCACACCTACGCAGCTTTCCTGTCACAGACAAGCTCCCAGAGAAGAGAAAACGACCACTCTTCAACGATGTTAAAGACTGGCCTGATTCTGCTGGCGCGAAGGCTGCACGACTATTGCGTATCGAGACCCCCGATTTCTCTTTCGATTCTTCTACATCATCACATGCCAAAGTAACATGGCTGGGCCACGCGGGTGTCTTGGTTCAGTTACCTCCCCCATATGCCGCCAAAGAGTCTCGACCTATCCGCTGTCTCTTTGATCCCATATTCTCGATGCGGTGCTCACCCAGTCAGCGAGCAGGACCCATTCGTGCCTATCCACCCCCATGCCGCGTCCAAGACCTGCCCCCGATCGACGCCGTCTTCATCAGTCACAATCACTTTGACCATCTGGATCACGACACCATCATGGCCATCTGGAAGAGCAGCAAGGAAAATGTTCGCTTCTTCGTACCTTTGGGAAACCGTACATGGTTCGTTGACTGTGGTATATCCGAGGAGCGAGTGACGGAGATGGACTGGTGGGATTCAGCTACCCTTTGCTCACTTCCAGGCAAGGGGAGTTCCGCTACGCCAAGTATCCAGATATGGTGCACACCGGCTCAACACAGCAGTGGAAGGGCGGGCGTCGATGCAAATTCTACCCTCTGGTCGAGCTGGTATCTTCGTCGCCAAAGTCCTGGAGGTATATATCGCATCTTCTTTGCTGGCGACACAGGCTATCAGTTTCATGGTTCCTCGGATTGGCCGCCCAGTCCACCGTCGGGAAAGAACACACAAAAGCCGAACACTCAGGTGAGTGACCATACCGAATATCCTCCATGTCCTGCTTTTGCCGAAATCAGAGACAGGCTGGGCCCCCCAAACCTGCTACTGCTCCCAGTAGCAGTCGGGTCAACATACTCCTACGTCCGCAGCTTCGTTCCCTTACCAGACTGGATCAATCCTTTTCCACGGCACAGCGTGGGTATTACTGCAGGTATACACATGCCGCCATGGGATGCGGTCCGCGTATTTAAGCTCATGACAAAGCTCCTAGACAAGGACACGACCAATGAGGACGCAAGTGGGAGCTCAGATCCAGGGAAAACCCCGAATCCGCACCCACCGGTAGCAATAGCCATGCACTGGGGTACCTTTGTAACAGAAGGTGCCGAGGTTCTGAAGACTCTTGGGCAACTCGAATGGGCTTGTCAGCAACAGGGAGTGCACTTTGCCAGGTCCTTGCCGGTTCCTGATAAGGAGAGCGGAACTCATGAATCAGGAGAGAGGCCAAGAAAGGAAGTTCCTGTATTCGTCGCCCTGAATCACGGGCAATCCGTTGCGCCCAGATAATCGGGTAGTTTGGACGCAATACGCTCAAGGTTCCATGACATTGAATAGCGTGTCCGTCGATGTCTAACAATTCCCCCCCCCCCGGCGTGCGCCCTGAACATCTGCATTGCGATTCCTCCAGATCAGTTGTCAGTCCTTCCTCTTCATGTCATACCATGATGCGTCTTAGTAGCTGATCACAGCGGTTGACAAGTTATCCTCGTTTCAGGGGTAAATTCATGGCCCACCTCGACAAATTCCCAAGTCATTCGCTGCTTGTCCATATCCGCAGTCTTTGGGTTAATTGCTGCGGGACCCATGGCCGCCCGAACCGACACCACCTTGACCGGCAAAAGATACACAGTCTTCTTGTGATCAACCCTCTTTAGAAGCACATATCCTTTGTCATCCACGGCTTTCCTCACACAAAACTGCTCATTTACCCCTAAATTCCCGAGCGTGGAGCCGGTCGCGTCTGAAAGAATCCCCCCTAAATGAACCGCCTCGGGCATCTTGTCTTCATCGAAGCATATAGAAGAAGACCTAAGCCACAACCCCGTCGCTGCGTTCCGAAAACCAAGCCATCCGTCTGACTCTTCGCAGTGCCAATGCCAGTTGCAAATACCCGCAAAGGTCTTTGCCTGAACCGCGTCAAGAACGGGCGGGTTGGGAAGTAGTTCAAGAGGAGTCACCAGGCCTAGTCGTCCCCTGATGACAGTGAGTGCCTTTATCACGTCCCCAGACTTGTGGACTATGATGTAAGTCGAGCCGGGGCCGGGCGCAGAATTGCGGGTGATGTATGGGATATTACTACTGCGGTTCGGCGTGGATGTGGATGCGGACGAAGACGGTGGCGTCCTTATATTCATGGTGCATGGCTGGCTGTCGCTAACTGTGGAGGTTGACACCACCGAGATGCTATCGTCAGGGCCAAGGTCTTTTTCGTTGTCGAAGTGGGAATGTCGCGGCGTGTAAGCCATGATCGCGATCTCTTCTGCGGTGAATGTGTTGATTGAAAAGACGCAGTGGTTGGCAAATAACGTGAGAGGAAGAAGACAGAGGGTAGAGAAAGGCCTTAAATGGCTCGAAAAACTTGCACGGACCCAAATTATTGATATCAGAATGACGAGGGACAGGGGTTTGATAAGTTGGTAGCGGTCGTTTGCCTGGCGAATGGACGTCGGAGGCCCAAATGCAGGTATGCGTTTTCGGGTGATGGAGGTGAGGGGGAGGCCCACGACGGCAGGCATCAAACGACAAAGAGGGAACTTGGTGAGAGCAACTGTCGTCCAGAGAGACGAGAGCGCAGGTTTATACATGATAGATTCGAAATTGGTGATTCTGGCGTTGAGTTAGGCAGAGGTATGCTCTCCTGCGCAGATAATGCAGCCGAGAATATGCTGGAAAGCTGCACCTTTCACCGCCGTCCTCCACCGCAAAGACTGGGGGGATCCGTCCTGAGCTTCCCCTGGAAATCAGGCAGAATCTGCAAGAAAACAAGACAGGACTGGTTTATTTGTTAATTTGGTTCTTCTAACGGGGCAGAACAAGAGTAAAACAAGGCCAATCTAGAGACCTCGTTGACCTCAGGAAGAGAACGACTCGTTTCCGTTTGTAGAGTTTCGACAATAACTAGGATTTTCAACGCCACAAAAGCACTTTCCGCCCTCAAAAGCTCAGGTAGTTTACAGCATAAATCCGCGAGAATCTCGGCAGCTTTCCCACTCTAGTAAACTCTGGCTTTTCTGTACCGAACTAACAGACATACCAGTCCTGTATCGTACTGAAGCATTTCATACCTACGGGAAATCCTATGCAAGACAATTATTTTGAATGTCCCCACCCTCAAACGCCCTCAAGAAAACAGGTAAAGAAAAGACAGGGCAGAAGGAGAATCGAAATTTCAGTGCCCCGGGGTGGTAACATGTCTCCCTCACTCTTTTTACCGGGCATAACATAAAAAGTACATACTCGTACACTGCAGTGTGCTTAGATTCTGAGTCCCCCCTCCTCTGAGATGCCTCCGTAGTGGCAGTAGAGAAAAAATATAAACCGCTGCTGCAAGTTTAAAGACCTCCGTAAAAGGAAGGAATGTGTGTTGTCCTGACTCAGATTAACAGGCACCAAAAGGTAGCGAAACGTATAGCGGGTGGCCTCTCCGAATCCCAATTTGCCCGATTTTCTATGGTAGCCCTCGTCCAAGGTGCACATGGTGGCCGACCCCAGGCTCGGTTAGTGCACTATCTTTACTGCTGCAAGATTTTGCTTAGTTCAGTTAAGGTTTTATCTCATCTGCTGGCTGACTAGAGGTACCATCCGGACAGCCACCTGACGAGGACACTCTGACTTAATTTTTTGTTACACCGCAGCCATGATCATAGAGCTTTGTTCACATCTACTTCGGGCATTTTCCTTGAACAGGTTTAAATAGCCTGATAATCTGGCATTTAAGTCTTTCAGGGCCTTGAGAAAGATAGGTTGACAAAGACAGCTCGATAAAGACATTCTCTAACAGATCTAGGATTTTGAATACAATGGCTTTGACTAAAAAACTTCTGAGTGTAAGAGAGTATCTACCATACTCAGAAGGATAATGGGACTTTGTTAGTGAACAATGAATACTGATGTAGACTCATGTGCACAATAACTGTTCAAATGATTGAACAATACATGTAAGGGACGAAGTCCATCACCCCCGCGATGTTCGCTTCACTGTTAAGGTACCTCCTCTGTATGAAATGATTATACCCTCCCCAAGTTATGACGCAGATTTTTCTCGGGACTCGTTACGTCAAGATATCGATTACCCCGTCATCTTCGATCCTGGAAACTCCACTTCACGAACATTGTCTACAAACACCATGACCCATTCAAGGCACGTGTCCATCGAACACGATTCAATATCGTCCACGCAAGCCAGGTGAACAGAAAATCCGTCATTGATCCCATTTCCTCCAGGCATCAAGAGACGCCACCCAGGAGTGAGTGGATGGATAACAACAGAAACGAACATTGGATGACCTCGAGATATAAATACCCTCAAGGAATGACCGCGCCAACTTGCAGTCAATTGGACCATTAACAAAAAAAAACTCTAAAACCAGCAGAAGCCTAACCACTGACTAGGTAAGGTAAGGTAAGGTATCATCTCTACACCAACTTCACCTCATCAAATCACGGAAAGAAACAAAATGTGCATAATCCAAAAAGGCCAATACGACTGCTGGCACTACATCACGGTGCGATACTGGCCCTGCCGTCGCGCAAGACGAAGAAGAATGATGAGGAGAGCAAGCCTGAGAAGAAGAGGAAGAAGAGCAATGTGCCCAGAGCGGCAATGCAGAGAGCTAGCCCAGATGCTGGACATGTCGGGCATGTGTCCGGTTTGTGTGAGGTACCCTGCTGCTAGGAATTTGTAATGACTAAGATGATGGAACCGGTTAGGGTATCACGGGTTGTGAAGGGTCGGGGATAGGATGTCTTTGTTGGTTGAGGTTTTTTTTTTGGGGGGGGGGGTGGGGGCGGATGGGGATGGTGAGGACGAATAAGCCAAGATCAAGAGCAAGATGAAGGAAGGAAGAAAGAAAGAAAGAGGAGTAGAGGTGCGCTGGACGAATTGGTTTCGAAAATTCTAGTCGTTGGCGTCATGGTAAGGTAAGACACACCACGACATGATATGACACTTAAATGCAGGATTTGAATAGCATGGAAGGCATGAATAAGGTGGAATTCCAAAAACCCAACATCTCAACAGCAGTTTCAAGTGAAGGAACAAATTCCGGCGACACCATTACCAATACAGCTTCCACCGACTCAAGGCCCTAGTAGGAATGACCTCCCCATGCGCATTAACACCCTGGTCCAGCATTCCCGTCGTCGCTACAAGTGCCACATACCCAATCTGCTCATCTGGCCTCACATCCGCCATCTTGACCCTCATCCTCCTTAGTATCCGCGCTCTTTCCGGCCCACCAATGGCCGACCCGCCTTTAGGAACTGGTATAAACGGATTCTCGCGCGTCAAGCTCGAAGCATGGTCGAGGATATCCGGTGCCGGCGTGGTTAACCGTAGGAACAGGCCGGCAAGCGACAGGATCTGCAGGATACTTGTGCACAGAATGAGGATGGCGACCCATTGCCGGTTCAGTCCGTAGATCTCGCGACGGGTGGACTCGGTGGCGTTGTTGACCATGACCATTGATGCGCCTTGGTATCCGCTGTATAGATAGGGGCCGGGGTAGACGGGCTGAGACATGATGTGATCGGTGTCTACGGGGAACTTGGAGTAGTTGGAGTCGGTGGCGGTAAAAGGGTCGAGCGAGGCGTAATAGTACGTGTTTAACAGGAGGGTGAGACGCTTGGAAAAAGCTTCGTCTGTAATGTTGGTGGGCCAGGGGCTGAGATAGTTCAGCTTGAAGGGGAACTGGGTGATGCCGCGGAGGTAGTTGTCGATTGAGGATTGGTATGTGGGACTTCCGTTGTCGAAAAAGCCCGCCGCAAAGGGGAAATTCAAGAGGATGTTGTGCACGACAGGCATTTCTAGGGTAAAGGGAGAATGGGCGTCACCTTGGTCCCATTGCGGTGATTTGGAGCGCCGGACTCGTTGGGCACCGCAGCCAAGTGGCGATGAGCAGAGGATGTCGACCTCGACTGGGACGTTTCGGAGAGTGCAGTTGTACAAGGTGTAGGTGTGGTCTCCCTCATGGGAACCAAACATGATGTGAAGGTGTCCACCTGACGTCCGCTCTGGTGTTGAATAGTCTGAAGTAACAAAGAAGCTGGCTCTTTTGTTGTCCGGTGATCCAATGGGTTCGGTGTAACCAGGGAGTCGTTTGCCGGTTGTGTCATTCTTCTTGTCGACATAGTATTTCGGAGTAGTCCATCTATCCGCAGGTATGTAAGCGAGTGTTTCGTTGACTGAGGCGCCGCTTTGCACCTGTTTGCAGTCGAGATCATTGTATGTTGCTTCAGCCGTCAAGCTGTAGGAGGTGGTTGCGTTGAAATTTGCAAGCCCTAGAATCTTGATGCCGATTAAGGAGGCATAGTCCACTTCCTCCATTGCGGCTTGATGGATTGTTTGCCAATCGTCATTCGATGGATCTATGAGGCGAGGGATTCTGGGCCGCGCCCAAAGGTCAGTCGTGGACCGCCTCTGCCCTTCAGCTGCCATAAGGCTGGAAGTGAAGAGAGAATTTGTAGCTGAGGATGCTACCTGGAGGCCGCTCGCCGAGGAGAAAGCTGACTCGGAGTCTGTTGTAGAGTAATACACGAGTGCCTTGGAGTCCGACACTTGGATCGTTGTGAAGATTAGACGCGACGAGCTCTGGCCGCCAAGGGGTGAGAGAGCCCATGTGAGAAGGATCATGATACCCAGGCTGATGTGGGATCGCACGCTGAACAAGCGAAATAGACTTCCGGCGAAGCTCTGACTCCCAAGAATCTGCTCGAGGGCACCGATGGAGATGCCTTGAGATCGGGTGGTACTCCACAGACCAAGTATTTTGTAGAATCTGCTTGCTACAGCCGCAAAAACGATGGGATAGATGGTGGGGGCTAGTTTGGTGGCTTCGACGAGGCTTTCACCATGTTCGTTGTTATATGTCGGTTGACCTTCCAATTGAATAGCGAGGGCAGCAATAACTGTGTGACTTGGAGTCAGCAAAGAGACCTTTTGACTCGAGTGCATGTAAACCATACCAAAGAAGGCCACTGGCGTGACACTCAAAATGAAATCGCCGACTGTCCCGATCCACCAGATATACCCTTTGGGTGCGATTTTCTGAGGACCCTGAGGCCATTCGGGCGCAACCTCTTCATATGCCACGGCTGTCATGGACTTGTCCAGTCCCTTCTGAGACACATCCTCTATCGAAGCTCCGTTATAACTTGTTGTTTCGGAGACTGGAGCAAAATGTAACCTTTCGTCATATTCACCCTGGCCCTGGGGTAGATGGTTGAGTTCATGGTAGTCGGCCATGGTGATGTATGCTTATCGTGAATGATGAAGGGAAAGATCCAGTTGTGTCTTCAAGAGAGAGACGCCGTGAGTAGAAAGAAGACTACATGTTCGATTATGCTTTCGCGGATCGCTACTATACATGGTATGACAAGGGCCTCCCTGGAGCCGTACCAGGAACTGGATTAGGCCCCGGAGCTGACTCTTGTGGGACGTCGGAGAAGACTCTCATTGGAAGGATCTTGTCGACCGTTGAACTTGTGTCAGAAGAGAGCTGGCGACTATCTTGCAACCTAAGAATATCATACATATCGCGTGTGAACGAATGGGCTCGCTGGGTTCAGTCTGATGCTTGTTTTCTCGGCCGCGCCCCTGCGTAGCCTGCCGTGTCCAGGCCCAGCTCGCCTGGCTGTAGGATCGGTCCATTCGTTTCGCATTAAATGAGGGTCAACGGCTGATCTGCTGGTGTCCATTGCTGCCTCGAGTGCCGACGAGATAATCTGATACTCCAATCTGTACGCGGCTGCTTTTTAATCGGTTAGAAATGAGGAGAATTAGCCCAAAACAGAAGGGCAAAAGTGGTTATGGTGTGATGCTGTGTTGAAGTTCAAGTTAAGTTGTTGTTGGCCCGTCTCTCTTTGCACAACGAAGACAAAGTTCACATCTCGAGTGGGGCTGTCAGCATGCACAAGGCTGCGAGGCTTCTGATGATTGGCCTAGTCCGGGTCAATCCTTCACATTGCTATGGTAGCTTAAGTGGATCCAATGCCCCAAGCTCCTTCAGGCAATCCGCTTTCTGACGTAGGTACCCCCGTACCTACCCGCACCGCAGCTGTACACTGTACGGGAGCTTCAGAGCCTCCAACGGCGGCCATTCAGTTCAACTCCAAAACACCAACAAACCCACCGACCGAACCGACGACAGCAACGGGCAATTGCTTGTGGTCGACATCCACACATACACACATATACACAGCCATGACCATGACAGCAGCGACAACACAAAGGGCCCTTGCGCCCCTCGCGCGACATCAGCAAAGACTCCTCACATCGGCCACGGCCACCTCGGCGCGATCCCTCTCGACCCGTCGTCGAACTCTGCTCCCCGCTTCCACAACAGCCCCGACTTCCTCGACAGCAGTATCAAACTTCCACACAAGCGCCAACCATGCCATCCCCACGGGCGGCTTCGGTGGCGGCGGCGGCATCCCCACGTACTTCCAGAAGCCCTCGCTACCGGCCAACACCATCATCCGCTTCGTGCCCCAACAGACAGCCTGGATCGTTGAACGCATGGGCAAATTCAACAGGATCCTGCAGCCCGGTCTGGCGATCCTGATCCCCTTCATCGACCGCATTGCCTACGTCAAGTCGCTGAAGGAAGTTGCTCACGAGATCCCCAGCCAGAGCGCCATCACGGCCGACAACGTCACGCTCGAGCTCGATGGTGTTTTGTACACGAGGGTGTTTGATGCTTACAAGGCGAGGTACGTCTTTTATCTTTCTTTCCCTTCCCCTCTTTTGCCTTCTTCCCCCATCCATTGAATCACCCATCGGTAACAATTATTCATAACTAACCTCCCCACCCTATCTGTTAAACAGCTACGGCGTTGAAGACGCCGAATACGCCATCTCCCAACTCGCCCAAACAACCATGCGCTCTGAGATTGGCCAACTCACCCTCGACCACGTTTTGAAAGAGCGCGCCGCCCTCAACACCAACATCACAGCCGCCATCAACGAAGCCGCCCAAGCCTGGGGCGTGACCTGCTTGCGTTACGAGATCCGGGACATCCACGCGCCCAAGCCCGTCGTGGAAGCCATGCACCGCCAAGTCACCGCCGAGCGGTCCAAGCGTGCCGAGATCCTCGAGTCCGAAGGTCAGCGCCAGTCAGCCATCAACATCGCCGAGGGTAAGAAGCAGAGCGTCATCTTGGCCTCTGAAGCGATGAAGGCCGAGCAGATTAACCGCGCCAGCGGTCAGGCGGAGGCCATCAGGTTGAAGGCGGTGGCTACCGCGGGGGGCATTGAGGCGGTGGCGAGGGCGATTGCGGAGGGCCAGGGAGCAGCGCAGAATGCCGTCAGTCTGAGCGTGGCGGAGAAGTACGTCGATGCGTTTGGCAAGTTGGCCAAGGAGGGCACGGCGGTGGTGGTGCCGGGTAATGTGGGCGATATTGGCGGGATGATTGCTACTGCTCTGAGCGTCTATGGCAAGGTGGGTGATGCGCAGGCAAAGGCGATGGCCAAACAGTTGCTGGAGAAGCAGCAGCAGCAGGGCGAGCAGCAAGAGGCGGATTCGCAAAAGGCTTTGCCCGGTGGTGTCGCTAAGCAGGAGTCCCCGGTGGACGATATCGTCAAGGGGTTCGATCAGGCTACTAAGCAGCGCTAGTCGGGCTGTGAGAACGAGAAGACAAAGGTCAAGAAGAGGGAAGAGGAAATCCAGTGGCCTAGGCATGAGCCGAATATTTACTGGTTGGGTTGATGTTTGAGTCGATTCAAATTGAGAGGCAAGACAAGAAACAGATGGATGCGAAGAGAGTTTCCATTTTTTTTGACGCCCGGTTGTGGTTGTATTATTACTTACCCTTCCTCCTCCCCTTCCTGTGCGATGGTTGTAACAAAAAGAGGTTGGAAGAACACCGAACATAGCATTGTACGTATTGGAAGAAGAGCATGGCGATATGACCCTACTTACTCGTTTGGGCCCGAAACACCCTAGTAGCATGCATGGCGTTTAGTATGGACGAATTTGTTAATCACATCACTTTCTTATCCAAGTCATGCTAACGTTTGTGTAAGAACGAAATGGGCCTGAAAAGACTAAACATAACATAATTGAATGATCTCGCTCTACTACTACTACTACTTGCTCGTAAACCATCTAAAATACAACATCCTTACTCATTACCGACCAACTTTTCTGATGGGCTGGGGAAAAAACCCATTCAACGTCCATTAGCACTCACTCCGTCTTCCACATCCCATCCATCTCTTCTGCGTTTTGCCATCCTCTGTCCCACCTTCCACTTACAGTTCCCCCTTTTCCATTTGTATCATCCTTCCCCATTCCCCCATCTCTCCCCTTCCAACCTCCCCCCCTTCTCACTTACAAATGATCACTTACACCCCAACTCCCCACCCACCACATCCAACGCCTCCCCCACCATACCCAAAACCCTATTATCCCCACTCGTCCCCGCCACCTTCACCATGCTCACCAGCAACGGATACAACCTTAACAAATGCTTCTTGGTCTCGCTATCCACATTCGGCGTATCCGGAATCGCGTCCGGTTCCGATCGCAAGTCCACAAGCCCCCGTAAGATACGATAGAGTTCCTTCCGCTGCGATAAAGGTTGCGGCATACAGCCGCGCAAAGGCTGGTCGGCGACGTACGAACGGATGGAGAGCGCGCAGCGCAGGATCAGGTAGGGGGCAGCGGTTAGGGCGAGGTGGACGTAGAGAGGGTGGGTGGATCCGTGGATGGTTGTTTTGTCAGGGGGAGAAGAAGAAGAAGAAGAAGAGGTGGTACCGATGGGTTCTTGAGTGGGGGATGAGGTAGAGGTGGGTTTGGAGGGAGGAGACTCGTCCTCCTCCTCGTGGATGGCGACCAAAGCAAAGAGTTCGTCGAGACAAACTTCTGCCATTGCGCTGCGGTGGGTTGGCGGGGGGTCGATGGTGCGGCCGCGTCGTTGTTTGTAGAGGAGGTCGAGGTCTACGACTGCGTCACTTCCGTTTCCGTTGGGATTGCCGTTGGTGGTGTTGTCGTGGTGATGGTCCTCAGAGCCGTAGATGATCAGAGCTTCGGCGGGTGCGGGAGCGTGGATGATGGATGTCCGGAAGAGACCTTCGGCGTAGACTTTCCTGGTCTTATCAAGAATCACCTCGGCGCCGAGAGCCGGGATGATGAGCTCCCTTAGCTTGTGGAATGAGGAGATGTCGAACTTCTGGTCGTCCATGATGTCCGTGCCGCTGGGCGCGATGGAGCAGTCGGCGCTGATGATCCCGTTGGCGATGGATACGATGATCTGCCATATCTCCTGGACGGTCGATCGAGCTTTATCTATCGCGCGGATGTGGGGAAGTGTTGCCTTGAGCACAGCTAGGACTGTCTTTGTCGCTTCTCTCCACGGCTGTGATGACTTGGTAACGATCTTGAACTTGTACTTGAGGATAATGGGTTTGGCCAGGGCTGCGAGCGCCGCGGCGAACGCTCCGGTTTCGTAGATGTCAGTCTCGGCTGCATGCTTGATGACGAGGGACTGCAAAATAGACATGCTCTCCTTTGACATGGCAACGAATGTGCGCTTTTCTGACGCCGCCTTGTCGGGGTTCTCCTGGGCAAATGCCAGGGAGACGAACTCAGCTATCTGGGTGATCATGGCGGATGGAACTCTTGGTACGTCTGTCTGGACTGTGCAGAATACCTGGAGGATCCGACCTTGCAAGGGTGTGACATACTCGGTGTCGCTGGCGTATGCTCCGGGAGTGGCATGTTGCATGGCGTCTCTGAGCAGGGTAAGCATCCGTCTAATCCTCTCCACGCCAAAATCATCTTTAATGAGGCCATAGAGTTCTAGCAGTGCTTCAACCCAAACCAAAAGGCACTTTTGATTGTCCGCTGACTTATCGTCCTTTCCGTCCTCAGGAACTGGAATTCCCCTGGACCAGAGATCCCACGTTAAATCCAAGCTGCCCTTGCCAAGTCTTGGCTGAACATGCTCAGCACAGCTCCTGAGAATTTCGCGAACAGCGCTGTAGACGGATGCATTAATGTCGAGTATCTGGACGTCCAGCATTCTCGCAAAGTGTCCGAGAAGCTGCTGCCAGGTGGTGGCGAAGTCCTCATGACCCAAAAGTACCTGGAGGTAAGAAGAAAACAGTCCAGAAACGCCTCGGATGATGACGTTAGCCGTGTCTGTCCAGCCCTCTTGGTCTCTTGCTTTGGCTGGAGACGTGTGAACTGCCCGAAGCTCGTCCTCTATCGATGCCAGAAGCCTCAGAATCACAGATCTGATGCAGATCAACCAGGCCTCAGGACTCAGGCTATCCCCGTAAGCAGATATGATCCGAAGCAGAGTTTGGACGGCACCTACGGAACCTGTTAGTGAGTCTCACGACACCACGGACCTCAGAAAAAAACTCACTATTTCTCAGCTCTAGTCTCTGATCTGTGGCGACTGAAGTGAGTCTCAGGAGAAGGAGCATCCACAGCGCCCCTCCAGAATCTTGATGGGAGGGATCAGCAGCCAGCTTGAGAAGCGCTTCATCACCCGAGTCATTAACCATGTCCTGCGTGAGAGACATGCTCTTGCTATTGCTAGAAAGAAAGTCTGAGATGGCCCAGAAGAACGTGACAGTCTGTCTAATGTTAGCGTTGTCACAACTCATATGGGCGTAGGTGACTTACAGTCAATGCGACATTGAGGTCATCATCTTGCGTACAAAACTTGTATAGGGTGTCAACAAGGTTAAGAAAGCAAAGGTTAGGTAGCGAGGGTAAGAAGTCGGAGCATATTAGCTGCAAAGAAGCAAAGGAAGGTCGGATTAGTTTGACTGAGCGCGTCATAAGTCGGGGTGTCGTGGTGGATGAAGAGTCTTTTGGGAGATCTTCTTTGACGAAAATTGTATCGATAATGGCGAAGATGGTATCCCAGCCTTGAACAAGACTCTCGCCGCAGTTCTCAAGCAGGCCTTTGAGGCCTTCGAGTACAATTCGGTGAATGTCCATGTCGGTGGCGTGATTGCTAAGGGACACCTCCCGACCTTCGACTCGAAGAGATGATAGCGAATTATGGAAAGCCTCGAGGATACGGATCTGAATCGGGCCACGAACGTCTTCCTGCTGAGTTGCAATAGATCCAGCAGCCTCTAGAAGAATACGCACAAGCGTTTCAGCAGCGCGCGCTCTGACCGGAGGAGTATTAGTAGAGGAACTAAGTGTGTCGATAAGCTCGGTAATCAACGGCGTCCAGCCCGATACCTCCGGAGGATAGGAGAGCAACCGCTCCATGTTGATAGAAGCAAGATCTCCCAGCTTGGCAAGGGCAAACTGATCTTCCTGGTTGGCACCTGCTCCCGGAGAAGTTGTGATACTGAGAACCCTTTTGTGTGTAAAAGTGGGGGTGCGAAGGGGCCCCGGGGGAGGTGATAGTTGCGCTTGCCCCGTGGTCTCAGAAGTAGTCTCGACATGCTTGACGAGAAGAGCGCACACTGCCTCCACAATTTCCACAAAGGCAGAATTGGGAAAGTCAGCCGTGCTCTCGAAAAGTCGGGAAGCAGCAGTCTCTACTGCGCGAATCTCGGTGTTGAAATTCGACAATAGTACGTTGGCTTCCTGCTCGGCTTGTTGATCTGGGCCCCTGGTCGCCAGAGGTGTTCTTCCTGCAGCTTTGCCCGATGTAAACAAGACAAAGTCAGCTTGTTGCAAAGTCTCCAAGAGAATTCTCCAAGTTGAAGACAACGTAGGACCCAGAGCAATGCCAAGGTTCAGAAGAGCCCGAAGACACAACAAGTTCCGGGTGTTAAGTGTAGCTGGAGTTATGTCCATCGATTGCTGCCTTTGCTTTTCTGCTGCCTGGGCCGAGGCGCTTTCTGTGGTAAGCAAGCCGCGAGCGTTGCTAAACAAGCTGCTGCCTGTCTCCGAAGTTGCTGATAGTGGAGTGTCCCTCCTGGATGAGTTGGAATTGAGGCAAGCCGTAAAGACATTGGGCGGCACTGCCGCTTTACCAAGCGTGGTGAGAAAGGCATCACGGGGAGTAGTGAGCTGGAGCAATCCGGCCACATGGGCGAACTTCTGAAAGGCCCTAACCAGGCCATGGTAGTACTCCGAGTCCAGTGCAGAGTATAGGAACGTAGAACATGTAGCAAGAATCGCCGGCCAGCATTCATCGATGAAAGCGGCGCATACTTTGATTTCTGGGTATAAAGGGTGAGTCTCCAGCGTTAGCGGATTGACTGGAAGTGGGTTTCGCTTGGACGACGCTGATCTCTCCCGATTCTTCAACCCTTCACTGGGTGTACTGGGTCTCTCATCGGCGGTCAGAGCAGGCGAGTCACGGCCGCCCTCTGGCTTCACACTCTTTTTCCTTCGTCCCTCGGTAGGCACGGTAAGAGGGAGTATGAACTTTGCCAGACCTTCTGACAGGGAAGTTATGCAGGCCAAGGTTAGGCTATACACATATGACTCTGGGATACTTGGGGGATCCGTCTTATCAAGCTGATCTATGCAAGGAGAGCGCATGGTGCTCCAGTGAGTGCTGATGCCCGTGTTATGGCCATCTGAGCTGACGGAACCAGATATGATGCCTGTAACGCCACTGGCCTCCAGCATGGCCTGGTCCGTAGAAGCAACGGCATTTGCATATGGGTTGGCGACTGGTAATGTGGATTGGAGCCCGAGACCAATCACAGTTGGCTTCTCTGTACTGACGCGCACAAACGCAGCCGTCAGGTTTTTGAGAATGTTCTTCTCGCCCTCTTTGGCATCGTAAAGCATGAAAACACGCCGGAGCAAGGCATGATCGGCGAAGATGCCTCTGAATACTTCCATGCAGAGTGACCTCTTCCACAATGCAGTGTCCTGGTCCAGCAGTTGGGTCAGGATGTCGAGTGCATCTCCGCTCTCAGAGGGGAGAATAGTAAGGTGACGTCGGAGTAAAGTGAACAAAATGCGGACAAGACGGACACTGGTTGCAAAGTTCGGTTTACCGCGAAGAGCACTAATGATGAAGGGCATAACCCGAGTGCGTAAAATATCGGCCTGCTCTGGGTGAGTGGTGAAGATGGCAGCGTGGTTGGTCAAGACCGATTCTATGAGTTCAAGACCGAACGTCTGGGGCATGCCAGAGAACCGGAGATACTCGGGTCGTTGGTTCTCTGTCAACAGGCAAATATCGTTGAATACCTGTTTAATCAGTACGTGATGGCCCGTGCAGGAAAAGGGGAAGAGTAAATACCCTGTATGCATCCATAGCCGCAGCCTGGACTGGTACCGGCCCTTGCTGAGACGGAGCCTCCCCAACATATTCGACATCGCCCCCAGCGCCTGCGAATAGTGGTTAGAATCACGATACTCGGCCTTTTATATCATTGCGTAGGATGAGCCACTCACCATCTTCAGCTACAACTTTGTCAAAGACCGACACCACAAGCTGCTGGAGGGTTGCCGCCGAAGCATTGTTGACAATAGCATTTTTACTAGACTGCAAGATGAAGCATATGTTGAGGGCGGTAACCAGAAGCTCGCCTTTCACCTCGGCGGCGTAGTTGGAGAGTAAAGACGGAAGAGCTTGGAGGATCTTTAGTTGGACATCTAGTCCCGCTGACGTGGCCTGTTGCAATGCTTCAAGAACCTGGCTCAGCTTGAACCTGGGTAGGGCGCGTGATGCAATGAGCCGCTGAAGACAAACAATGGCAATTCCGGTGAACTTGACATTTTTGGTGCCGCAAGCGATGATAAATGGGTTAACAAAGTTGGATCGTTGAGAGAGTTCTAGACGAGTGTAAGCTTCTATCAAACACACGTGGGCGGCAGTTATCCCCTGGGCAGTGAGGAAGGTGAAGAACAGCAAAGACACACCAGCAGATATTTGGGCTTCAGATGTCACTTTTAGACTCTTGAGCTCCTCCAGAGACTTTTCAGCAGCCTAACTCAGGAATAGTCAATGAACGATTCTTTGTAGTTGGACTAGAGCTGAGTGAGATACGGACCTGGCGCAAGTCATTATTTTTGCGCTTGCTTTCCTGGATGAGGTTGGCAAGCTCGGATGCCACCAATTGGGCGGTCATGATCGCATCCCAAAACCTAAAGTCGGGTTGCCAGCATCAGGGTTCTGGGATACTATGAACAGTGAACGGAAAAGGTCAGGGGCGGCAAGTGTCGTTGATATCGGATTTGAACGCGCGTCGTCGTAGGATGCTCAAGGATCGATGAAAGCTGTAAACCGATGATGCTAATTCCAATTGGTGAATGGTGAGGATGGTGTTGACCAGCAAACGCCCCAAATATTGGACCTTGTGACCTTGATAACTGGAGCGGTCCTTATGTAGGTAAAGTCGATGGATGGGCAGTGAAGCTTTTAGCAGATGAAGTTGGGTGGGAAATTAAATCCGAAACAAACGGGAATGGCCAAGTAATTCGTTCTAGGGACTCCTCGTGTCCTGGAACGGTTCTCGTCTTTTCCACCCGAATCAGGGGATGTTGGACATCCGGATGTGAAAACAGTTATTAGGCGACAAAGTGTTGTTGTTGAAATAAAGAACAAGGACGGGATTGACACGCCGGGACGGGACGGCTTCAGTGGTCGCCGTCACTGAAGCTCCGTGTTCACTGTCCACGGCCCGCTGAAAGACGGAAGGCACGGACCAGGGAGCGAGCTCGGGGGGTAGGTACCTAGGTAATGTAAGTACCTAGCTCCTGTCATTAGGTAATTGTAATTACACAGTAACACACACCCGGCAGAATGGCTCACCGCCTGACTATACACCCCACCTTGTACATAACGTTATGGTCCCCGCAGTGCCGCTCTGCTGGGGCCTGTCAGTGTGCTGCGCATGGCGCTGTCAGGCCCCACGGCCGCGCCCAATAGCCTAGAATCCATTCCGGTGCGCGCCTTGCATTAGGTCACTCACTCACAGCCTAGGTACCTTCCACTTTCACTGCGCAAACAGATCGCCTGTGTTCTTCTTTGAACTTCCACTCTCTTTCTCTGTCACACATCTTTTCTGAATCAACCATCGCCAGACAAAAGTATTAGAAACAATGGCGGTTGCTCAGGTGCCCCGCAACTTCAAGCTTCTCGCCGAGCTCGAGAAGGGCGAGAAGGGAATGGGCGCAGGTGCGTCTTCTTTTCCATGTTGGTGATGCGCTATGAATGCTGGACAGACGATACTGATGATCTGCTTCATCCCATATACAGGTGCCTGCTCCTACGGTCTCGAAGACCCCGAGGACATCCTCATGACCCACTGGACTGGTACCATCTGGGGCCCCCCGCACGTACGATTACTCCCTCCCGTCTTGGTCGCCGTCATCGCCGCTCTCTCTCGGCTAACATTGGTCTGAATAGGGCAACCACGAGAACCGCATCTATGAACTCAAGATGGAGTGCGGCGCCAACTACCCCAAAGAGCCCCCCGTCATCCACTTTGTTAGCCAGATCAACCTTCCCGGTGTCAGCCAAACCGACGGCCGCGTCGACCCCAATTACGTCGGCATCCTGCGCGACTGGACTCGCATCTCGGCCGAGCTTTCGAGAAACCCCCGCCCGAAAGAGGATCCCTTGAGCCTCGAGGCTGCTCTTATCGCCATTAGAAAGTACGTCCAACCGGGGAACAAAGCAATACGCACAGAGGAAAACAGAAAGGCGCTAACAATACGACATTGCAGGTATATGGAAGAGCACAAGAAGCTGCCGCAGCCTCCCGAGGGCTCCAAGTACCCCATGTACAAGTAAACATCTACCGGTACCGCCACGGTCATTATCGATAGAAGCAACAGGTTCTTAATACATTTTGGCGGATGTTCATATCATGTTCTGGTGTTTGGGGTTTTGTTAAGGGAGCTAGGGAAGCATTGTATAATTCGTATGCAAACCAAAGTTATGACGCTTTACCACAGTGGTGACCATCGTCTCGACGGCCATGCGAATCGTTTAACGAGGCCGTAACATGCTGAGTAGTGTTTGTGCATGGCATCAAAAAGTACAAGTTGACGCACGTGACAGCGCGTTTGTGTGAAAAGATCAGACAAAAGCGATTATGTCACAGGTCCAATGTCTCCACTTCGTAACGATACCTTTCCCAAAGTCGGTTTTCGACCCCAAAACAAAACTCCAACACTTCAGTCACAACCTTCAAAAGGGCCCTGAACCCTAGATCTAGGCTCGACAGATGAATGCCTGCTTTCATTAAGCCCGGCTGCGATTCGCGGCATCGCTTTGCCTGTAAGGCCTACATTTTCCAGCATGTCATTGCTTCAATTGTTTCTGACAGAGGCTCGTCCACCAAACAGGCAAAGCTCTCTTCAGAGCTCTTCTTCGCACGGGCTACCGTGTCCCTCTACCCCATGATGTCGCTACCGCTCTAGACGAAAAGCAAAACCCCATTCGTGCCCTCATTCGTAATGGCTTTCGCCGCAACAGCTCCGAGACCAGCTTGCGCCTGGTCAATTCGGCACTCAACAAAGGCTACCGCTTCCTCGAACTGCTCACCCTCGCGCGCGACGAATCCTCTCCCGCCCATGCCGACGTTCTCCGATTTCTGCGCGAAAACAATGAGCGCGTCCTCGCCATACGAGAGAAGAAGCGCCAAGAGGCCGAGAAATTCAAGAAATTTGCGCCCAACCCTGACGCCATCCCTCTGCTGACCAAGATACCGAGCCCCAACGGCAAAGGACCCCCGACCTTTGTCCCTACCGTGCGTCCGCTGCCGCTGGAAAAGCTGTCCGGCGGCGTGCGCAAGTTGCCTACCCTCGACGAACTCGGCGGCCACCCGTTCCTGCGCCTGCGCAAGCCGCAATCCGAATACCTCGGCCGCGTGCTCCGACAGAAATTCCAGCGACGCCAGCGATGGGCCGAAAAGTACCACGAGCTTGTCAGCGAAGAGCTGGCCGATGCGGAGCAGGAGGATGCTTGGGACGATATGGTGGAGGAGATGTTGCAGGGCGAGCCGCAGCCGTGGGAAGAGCCGGGGTACTATGCTACAGACGGTGCGGGCCGGCAGCGATGGACGCAAAGCAAGCAATCGGCTAGGCGGGCGCGGACGAGCCATGGGTCGTATGCGCACGCTGTCAAGCTGGCTATGGCAGACATCGAGCTCAAGCAAAAACGGGAGTGGGACGAGATGATTGCCAGGGGTAAGGCGTTGTGGAAGTTGGTGCTGGAGGAGAGGACTCTGGCTGAGAAGGAGAAGAAGAGCAGGAAAAAGAAGGAAAAGGTCCAAAGGAAGAGAGAGAGGAGGAAAGAGGCGAGGAGGTTGAGGAGGATAGCAAAGATGAAGGAGACGCTACGGAAGTGGAGGGTTAGGACTCAGGAGAGGAAGAAGAAGGAAGGGACCGAGAGAAAAAAGCTACAAATGGACCAGGAAGCGCGCCAATTGGAAGATGCAAAGTCTCCAGAGCTGGCTACTGCTGAACAGGAGGCTGGGAAAGTAGAGACTGAAGACAACACGCCTGAGGAGGGACGTCTAAGGGGTTCCCAGGCATTGAAAGCGACCCGCCAACCCAAAAGGACCAATGTCCAGACAGTAGCGGATGTGAAGGGCACCGAATCCCCAACAGTACCCGCAGAACCGGCAAAGGAACCCGCATCGAGCTTGGAAGAAACATCAGCATCTCTTGAGGAAAAAGAATCGGAACCGGACCCAGTTGAGGTACAACTTCAGGAGGAGCCAACACCAGCTTCCCCAGCGCCCAAGAAGAGAGGAAGGCCAAAGAAGGTGGATTCCGAGACCCTAGCGACAGAAGCCTCCACCGAGCCGGATACCACAGCGCCAAAGAGACGAGGCAGGCCACAAAAGGCGGCAACCCCTACCGAGGAAGAAGCTCCAAAGAAGCGCGGTAGGCCTCGGAAGGCAGTAGCCGCCACAGAGGAAGAGGCAGCTCCAAGAACCTCAGCTCAAATTACCGGCGCTTTACATGCCGGCGGCGTTGCGCGCGACACTTTCCCACCGACGGCCATCCATCCAACTGGACAAAATCAGATCCGGATACTACTGTGATTGTATGTGCTGATCCGCCTTCAGCAGACAGCATTCAATTGGCCCAATTTCACCTCAGCTTTTTTCTGATAACTTGGAGGCTGAGCCGCCCATGAGGAGGGAAACACCAGGGATGTGGGCGGATGCATTAGAAGCCCATTTAAAGGCAATTGCCTAGCTGAAGCTAAATATAGAGAAGAGGCGAAGACCCAAGAAGGAGATAACAGGAACGCTGGCGGTGGATTCTGGAGCTTCTCAAGAAGAGAGGGAGGCCAAAGAAGAACATGACGATACTCTGCCAACACGAGCCTGTTGCCGCTCCTACCACTACCACCCCGATTGCAAACAGCTTCATCCATCGTTCCAACAACTGCTTCAGCGGTAACCCCCCAAAAAAGCTCAGCAGGAGCAAACGAAAGCAACTCTTCCCCTCCGAAGCCGCGTCCAGCCCTTCCTCATCTGCTCCCTTTACAATACCACAACTATCGCTGCAATTGGGAGCGTACATGCGCTCCAAACCCCGACGACGCTCTCAACCCACTCGCTGCAAGCATCACCATCCCCTTCTTAAAGCGTCTCATCAAGCTTCCCGCCACACTCGCCGATAAAACCACAACCTCAGCCGCCCAAGCCCTGGGCATAAACATGGACAGATCAATGAACCATAAAATCGACGTCCAATTCAAGTTAAGGTTGTCGCACACGAACGCGACATGAGATGGCTCACCGAACTGGCTATAAGGGTTTTCACAAACTGAGTAGCTGAGGAGATCAACGGTATTATCTGTCACCAACACCACAAAGATACACTATGAATCTGTGGCAGATGGTCATGGATGGGAAGCCTGATCGATCGGCCGAGTTCGTTCGTGAGGTTTCACATGGAAACGAAGGGGGTTTTGGGAATAAGTATGGCAGAAGGACAGAGGACGAGTTGGTGCTTTGGGGGTGGGAAGGTGATGGAACTGGGGAAAGCGGAGAAGAAGGATTAGTTTTGAGTTGTGCAAAAGACAGCGGGAGGAAAAGAAGAAGAAGTAGTGGTGGGGTTGGGATAACGAATCATCAATATTTTTTGGAGCGGAAAGGGGGAAAGAGAACCTTCCGTCCTAAAATTCGACGGGCGTTGACCGGATGATTCGACGGTACCTTATCTAATGCTACTTACAGATTCTGATGAATGACTTGCGGAATTCAAACACAAACATCAATTACCCAAACAACTCTTTTCTCGTCTTCTGGTAAGTATTGATTCAGTATCTGTAAAAGTAGGTAATAAGCTACCGCAATATCTGCAGGCGATTGTTATGGGTCAACTTTCTTTTTTTTTTTTTTTTTTTGCGAATCCTTCGAACATATAAGAGAAACAGCAGTGGTCTACAAGTATGTAAGTGCGCCTACTAACCTAAAAAAGTTTTCTGTGACCGGTTGAGATGGTTACGAATCCCTCCCTACTACATCGAGGTAGTAGCTGGAGTGAGGTAGTTCACCAAGCCCTTGTGACGGAACATGACGGAACAAGCCTTCCTAGTATTCCTCCAATGCCATGTCATGCACTTACCTTATACCTAGAGGTCCCTACTTCTTAAAGTGGAAACTATTCGTTACGATAGCTTCAGTCAACTACATAGTTCCTTTAGGCTACTGCCACCAACAGCCCAAAGTGAGTCTGCTCCATCTTCCCCCCCAAGTTATAAACTTATATCTCAGCGTAGAACATTCAACATTATACGTGGGGCGGATAGTTCAGTGGCAAAATATCTGTTTTGCAACAATGCACTTGATTATCAAGTGCTGCTGCTTCTTACAGAAGGTCCCGTGTTCAATCCACGGTTCGTCCACACGCTTTTCTCCTTTTTTTTTTTCCTTTCTTTCTTTTAATATTTTGTTGGTTGGACATTCGCGGTGTATGGAGGAGGAGGGGTTGACTGAGTACGACTTGTTTGCTTTTCATTTTGCAATGTGATTGTAAATCGTCATGGACTTCGAGGGTAACTCCAGAGGTTACAAACCAAGTTGTCTCTGTCGGTGAGAGACGGATCTATGTTTCCATGCCCTAGAATAGCGTTCATTGTCTTGCCGGCTGTCTCTCGTTCCTCCTTTCTTCCTTTCCATTGTTTTCTATCCTCCCCTCTTTTACTTCAGTCATCGATGTTGCCCTTCATTCTTGGCTTCCTGCGTGGTAACTTGTCACAGCATCTTGGATAGCCAAAAGTAATCACAATTATAGATTATTTCCCTCTTCGTTCTGATTCGGATGAATATTTTTCTTCCGCGCCTCGATCCCTCCCATCCCATCCCATCCCATCCATGAAATCCCAGCCTTCCTGTACCCAAAACCTAAAAGGGAAAAAAAAAAAAAAAAAGTAAACAACCGTACCCAATACCCTAGGTACATTCCTACAAAGTCACAGCCATGGACAAACTCTTCCAAAAAGCCGCATTAATCTCCTCCACCCTAATGCCCGGCGTTCTCCCCAGACAAATGGCTCGTTCCGTCAGTTCGTTCACCAGCTGATTAACGTCTATGGTCACTAGCATGCGTTGATTCCACATTTGCTGTGGCTGTTTGGGTGGAACCGGTAGTGGCTGATCGAAAGACGTGGTGGTGTTGGTGGTGGTGGTGATGGTTGTGGTATTTTCAGTAGCGGATCTTGAGGATGATTCCGAACTCCTGGAGGACAAGTTGAACATATTGTTACTGTTATTATCTGGTGAGACCTCGGAGAAATCGAAGCTATCGTTTGCTTGTTGAGGAGCGCCGGTGGAAAGTGGTTTGTTTGTCGTCGTCGTCGTACAGTGTTGTTGTTGTTGTTGCTGTTGGTACCCGAAAAGCGGGAGATCATCGCTGATAATTGAATTTGAACTGAAGTCCATCGAAGAAGGCAGTGATTCCACATAAGCAGCAGTTGTTGGAGGATCGCAGTTCTGACCACCAAGCGAGTCAAGATAGGCCAAGTCAAGTTCCTTCAACGGTCCTGATCCTGATCCTGGTGGTCCTCCTGGTCCTTCCCCCCCACTACCGCCAACACCAAACTGCGCCGGATAAATCTCCACGGTGTACGAATCCGCTCCGGGCGGGATCACGACCCCTCGTTGATGAAAGTAAAACTCGACTTCATCGCAATCGTAATACGTCCCTTCAAACCCGGGCAAATACATCTTCATCTCCTTGTCCAGAAAGTTGTCCCTAGCGCTATTGACAGCAGGCGGGAACGGACCCATGGCGAAGCCCGCCGTCAGCTCTGCGTGTGGTTTTAGGAGGTCAATAGTCCCCTGATTACCGACCTGCAAGCCAAGTGGCATCCTCGTGCCCGCTTCTGACGCGAGGGTGCTGTTCAAGGGTCCTCCGGGTCCACTTTGGTGGAAGTTGTGCGTCCCGGCCCCGCCGAGATGGTAAAAGGGGTACTGCCAGTTGTAGAGGCTCTCGCCGGCCCTCCTGGCAATGGCTCTGCACGTTCGTTGGAAGATCATGTCGGGCGACTCAAAAAGGAAGCAGAAGCCGAAGGTTCTGTTGAGCTGGTCGAGCGGTGGGTTGGGCATGGTGACCAGCATATGGGCGCGCTCTACGGCGAAGCGCTGGTAGCGGCGGCCGAAGGTGGTTTCGTGTGAGGCGTAGGATAATGGGCTGGGAAGGGAGGAGTAGGGGGATGGGATCGGTGGGTGTAGTTGGGCTAGGGATTGTTGGGTGAGGAAATCGAGGTCGAAGTCTATTGTGGCAAAGTCGAAGGCCTTGGAGATAGATGGGGCGGTGGTGGTTGGAAGGAATTCGGCTGCGTGGCTGGTGGTTGGTATGGAGAGACTCAAGTCTGTTGCCGGGGCAGTGGTCAAGTTACTTTGAGATATTGGCTCGTCAGTGATGGTGAGGCCTGGGTAAAGCTGAGGGGGTGACTCGGTGGCTGATGGTTCCATCGCATACTCCGGGGAATTCCTTTGACTCTCTGGCTGTAAAGGTTCCTTTCGCCTGCGATGACTTCCAATGGACTCAGTTGTGCTCGTGCTTCCTCGTCGCCAACCTTCTTCATGATGGTCATCTGCGTCAATGTCATCACCGCTGGCTTGTGTGATAGTGATGAATCTTTTCTTGGCAGCGAGGAGTTGTCTGCCTAATTCTGTAGAGTTGTCTAGTAAACCACTGGCGACAGCAAAGTCATGGAATTCCATAAAAGCATTGCGCATTTCTCGGTTGACCTGTCGTAAACTCTCGACTTGTTTCTCCAATGTTTGTACAGTCGTCTCTTTGCGGTTCCGGTATGCGCGCTGTGCTAGACGTATTTGAGTTCGTCGACGCTACAGGACCATCAGCATCACCACTTTCAGACTACAATTGTCATTTACACTCACGTCAGCAGCAGTCTTATCATTGACGTCTAACCGCGGACGTCCGCGGGCCCGTTTAGTTTCATCTTTTTCGCGTGTCCCGACTTCTTCCTCTTGCAGTCTTGGACGTTTCCGCGGACCTCCCTCTTCAGGTCGTTGGCTTGTAACAGTAGACCGTGACTGACGAGTCAGTCGGGATCGAGCCCGTGCCTGGGCGAGGGGGTCAGGATAGGCCTCGACGCCGAGAATTGCTAGGTCGCCTCCAGGATATCGCATCATGGGCTTCATAGTCGATGACTGTTGGGTCTAAAATGAAGCTGGAAACTGGGATTGATGATGGACAAACAGTGAAAGATGGCAACTTGAAAGATGCTTCGAAGTCTGACGGTCGAGCTGAAGGGGAAGGAACGCCAAGACCTGGGGTAGGACTTGGAGCCGAGTGATGCTGCTGCGGCAGTCGCAGGTTGGAAACGGGGCGGTTCTCACAAACGTGCACAATAACAAACCGCATCCAGTGTCCAAATTGTAGTTGCGTACACTATGTATTCACAAAATGTACACACTCTGTTGGACATCTGAAAAGACGTTGAGTAAAATGTTGGCGATCTGATAAGATGCAGGGCGGTTGAGATGGGATCCCCTTGGCCGTTTCAGTCCCGGCTGTTTTCCGATTACTGATCATCAAAATGTGGACCGTGCCAGGTACAGGGTACTCGATCTCAGTAGGTCATCAAGCCTTGAGATCAAGTGCCGGCTACCTTGACCTCGACCTCAAACTGGCTGGTGGAGGACAGGCCCTTTACTCACTAAACGACCTTACCCAACTTGAACTTGTATGTATCAACACATTGTGGAGAATGGACAAACAGCATCTTGACAAAATCCATGCTTTGAGATTTATCGGTTTGGTCTGCCGGTCAAGACATACCCAGGATCGATATCCTCGAAGTCATCATGTTCCGGCATAGAGGGGCGAAATGCCAATCTGTCCGATAGTCAGAAAGGAGCACTGACCAAATCATCGATGAAGCCGGGAGCTGGGCGGCGCGAATATGGAGCAAGCGCACCGGATGTTGATTTAAGCTTCCAGTCTTGCCCGGGTGAAAGGTGGAGACGGACCCGTGCTCATGGCGGAGCTCAAAGGGAAGCCGTTCATCCCGTGTCCAACGACCTCGCCCCGAGCCAGTTCCACTTTCTGGAGTTCGGGAGCCGCAGCGCCCAGCTCAGCCCTGTTAGGTGGGCCCCTTTGTCACTGGAGTCCGTCAAAATTCAAAACAGAGATCGAGCGGCGATCAGGGGCATTTTGTGTTGATTTATCCCCCGGCAAGCCCGGCTTCTTGTCTTGAACAGTTGGAATGGCATGCCTTTTTGCTGTTTATCGCCAGGACGCCCTTGTATACGCAAGACATCTAAAATCCAATTACATAACGGACAGCTCTTTTCAACAGCGATCGTTCAACAGCGCCACGCTCACCACTGCAGAGTGCTAGCTCAGCCGCTCTGAGGTCGGACTCGAGGTTCCATTCAGGTTGTTGCTGGCCAATGGCACATGTCGATTCCACGGGAGGGCGCCCTTGTTAAGGTCCAAGTACCTCGAAGTTACTCTTCATCAAGAAAAGGACTTCAACACTAACTGTTACTGCCGAATTGGCGGATGCCTGCAGTGGATATGCGCTCACGCAAAAAGTCCCCAGCAAGCGCAGTGCCCAACTGGGAAAGTTGGAGCATCCACTTGCAAAGTAGGTACATTTGCATGTTCATCCCCTCCCACCTGGGTGCCGCTGGCCACTTTCCCACTAGACGGGACCATCTCCAAAAACCTCTAGTCTCTCGTTTTGGGTCCTTGGTTTGGATATCGTGTGTGGTCTTTTTTTCCGTCTTCTTTCTCTTGTTTCAAAATCTCCTGTCCTTCAATATACCCCTTCGAATATTATTTCTTTCCTCTGGGCCTTAGTCTTCTTCCCAGGACCCCAGCGTCGTGACTCCTTGCCCAGCCAACAAGCTGCTGACGCTCTGCCCTCGAACTCCTCCGTTCGCTTGCCGTCTTCGTTGGCGATCCCCGGTCGCCCGGGTCCAGTCGCCGCCATGACGCGGCCTGAGTCACAAAACGGTTGGAACAAAGTCCTGCCCACCACCCATTCAGGCCGAGTTGAACGAATGTCACACCAGGAACTCGAGGCTTACGAGAAGGAGATCATCAAAGAGTGGGAGTCATCACCAGGTCACTGGTCCGGAATGTGCGTACAGTTGGATTCCTTCCTATCCTCTTCCCCAAGTCTTGTTTGTACCTTTCCCTCGTCCAGGCACTTGGCTAATTTGTATCCAGAGGAAAACACACAGATACCACCCCCGAGCACCTTGAAAAAGCGAAGCGGTATCACGACCAGTTCAAAAGCAATCTCAATTACCAACTGGGCCGCGGGAGCTATGGCGTCGTCGACAAAGTCCAACTCGCTTACAAGCACCGCTCAATACGCTTGGCACGCAAGTATATTCCCCAGCGACGGAATATGCTACTGGAAACCCTACGGCGTGAGGCCAAGGTGATGGACAAGCTTGAGCATGAACACATTGTCAAACTCATTGGTTCTTATTGCTACCGCAATGTACCTGAGCTGTACCTCTTGCTGTGGCCTGTCGCCGTGTGCAATCTGGATGACCTGTTTAACGACCTGCATCTTCTCCAGACCGGCCAAGACGACCGCGATGAAATTCTCTTTCGCCTGGCCACACTTGATCTTACTGACCTGGACGCCTTTGAATACACCTACCTCCCCAGCAAGCATGTATCCCCTTCGTACGGAAATCGTTGCTTGTTTAGGTACATGCGCCAGATGATGGGCTGCCTCACCCGCGCCCTGGCTTATTTACACAAGTCCGACGTGCGCCATCTGGACCTCAAGCCCGGCAATATCCTCTTAAGCCCTGGAAGAGTCTACCTGGCGGACTTCGGCATAGCAAGAGACGTGCATGACCGGGAAAACACTCTTACTCTCGGGCAACAGGGAACCCCCAAGTGGAGAGCTCCCGAGGTCAGCCGCCTTAGTGATGAGTGGTCGATGCGGGCTGCGGATGTCTACTCTCTCGGAATGGTGTTGCTCAACATCTCAACGGTTGTATATGGCGCCAAAATAGCCGACTTTGATCGTGTTGCCGGAAAGCTGCCAGATCGGGGGAGAGATGCACTACTCGACCAGTTCTTGGGGCATCTTGAAATGCATGCGCTTGCAACCCAGGAATACAAGGACTCCGAAGCGCATACAGTGGGTCCGAAGCACACAATTAATCTGATCAGGAGAATGTCGTCCACTGCACCATCGGAGCGACCTGCGGCGGACGAAGCTGATGTCGAGCTGGTTGAACTAGGTGGTATTGAGCAGGTATATCATGCTTCCTGCTGCAAGAGGAGCAGCCGATTTTTGACTGAAAAGCTTGACTCGCGCCTCAGGCGTGTCACTGAAGACGCCAAGCGACTACGAGACGAGCACGAAAAGATCATCAAGAGGCTAGCTGAGCTCGAAGCAAAAGATGCCACCTACGAAGCTCGGATTAGGAACGAGACGACCCATGTCGCTGAGAGGTACAAACAGAAATGTGAGCAGCTGAAGAAGAGGCTGGAAAACGAATCTGAGGAAAGAAAGAGGCTCGAGGCTAGCTTGATGGAACTCCAAACTGGTAAAAGGCACGGAGTTCCAACCGCCTCGCGCCGAACCACCACTTCTTCATCTGTATCGACGAAAGCGATTCCCGCCCCGAGCGGTTTGAAGATGCCATCGAGACCACCAACGTACCCTCTGCCAACAATTTCGTCATCAGCCCCCATCCTACAAACTCTCGTCAAAATGCCCACCCCAATCGCCGATCGTACTGCTCGTCCAAGCTACTCCCAAGCCGTCTCAACTGGTACTAGCAGTATTCCCGTACCGCAGACCGCGACTCGTCGAGATTCAGTACGCCGAGACTCCATCATCCGTCCAGCTAACCTGCTCAACTCGCCAATCCCGGCTGTTGGGCCCAAGAGAAGTCCAACGCTTGAGGTTGCTCCCGCCAACTATTCGCTGCGATCCAGCACTTCAGCTTCCCGCTTACCTCGAGCTGTCAACCCTGCCACACCTATTAGGTCCAGCACGCCTAGCACGCCGCGGTACAATCGCAACACCTCTTCAGCCGATAGCACTCAGCATAGCATGACGAGTTCGACCCTCAGCCTGAGCAGGTCGCGTAATGACGACCTCAGCATGCCAACGACGGTCGAAAACACGCCCAATGTCTACAGTCTGTCTCCCGGCCGAATTGCCAAGGAGTCGGACGAGATGGTACCCAGACTTGCCGATAGCGATTCTGCAACTGCCATTCGAGTAGATGGTGTCGGTCTTGGGTTGGGTTATGAAGAGGACATCAGACGAGCGGAGAGTGTTGCCTCTCAAGACGATCACGAAGAGAACGAAGAGCGTGACATGCGAGACGACTCTAGTGATGTCAGCTTCGCTCCTTCTACAAGTACTGCACCTTCCATAGGGCGTGATTCCGGTCGTACAGCCATTCAGAGAAAGATCCCTTCAATGCCCACCGCACCCAGTTGGGCAGATGTGGCCAGGACCAAACCCCAGTTGCAAATTTAACCGGGGGTCCGAGGAAAGCGAGGATATTGGATAATATTCCTGAATTATTGGATGACATCGATATGGAATATGGTTAGGGTTGTGAATGTTTGAGGGGGTTGAGAAGGATGGAGCGCTGGATTGGTGTTCCGTCCCAGACCCTCTGGCAGCAAGTGCTTCATCGATGGGTGGTGTATGATGAAGACGAGGCAGATGGAAATGTCCATGGAAGCGAAGCGAAGCGAAGCTGATAGGAATGAGTCAAGATAGGATTATTGTCGTGGATGATCGCGAAATGATTATCAGTAGTGATCAATATATGCCTAGCTAGCAACCAGAATAGATAGTACCAACCACTTAACTAGGCCAGCAGTGTGAAAGAGGTGGTAAAAGTAATATGTGAAAGCCACACCACCAAACCCTCCACACTTACAAGTACGGTGGGTAGACGGGATCTGTGAAAGCCGCACCACCAAACCCTCCACACCTACAAGCACGGTGGGTAGACGGGATCTGTTAATGATGCACCGTAGCGTCCCTAACAAACATATACTTCGACCGAAAGATTCTGCTTGTCTTGTAAAGTCCTATGGACCTGAATTGACTCTTGCGCCATCCAACATCTCGCCTCGGTAGTTAGCTGGCTGACTTGTACATATTACCAATTACACCAGTCATCATCACAGCCTCCAGTCCCCAATCTCTCTCAGTTCCTGGTTCTCCTACCGACCCCGCCTCTAATACTACTTACTCGATCCTACAAATAACTCCGCACCAGGTGCAAGTTGACGTAACAACATGTCGAATATAGGGGGTTCAGAGCTACCACTAATCCATCACCTCGATGGAGCTCCAATTTTTGGGTGTTTGGCGTAGTGGTCAGTATCTGAGACAAAATCCACCCATCAACTTCAACAAACCTGTAGTGGGTAATTTACAAACACCAATTGTAAAGTAATCTTGAGGGCAGGATTCAACAATGAGGACCAAGGAAGAACCTGGAAGACCACGGGGATGGGTAGTTCATAACTACTAGTTCTAATTCTTGCCTGCCATGCTACTATCTATCCTTCGTTGGGTCTACTCTTTCTTCCTTTCACATATACAAATCGCAATAAAACTCTATATCTTGAATCACTCACTCACTCACTAACAAACCATAACCACCCTCTCACCAACGCTTCTCGTCAAACCCAAACCCAAATCCTGAAGCTGCTGCTGCTGCTGGATTTCATCAGTCTCCTCCCCACCACTACCACCACAGGTTTCTCGTTGCCTTTTTTGTCCAAGTTGCTGCTGTCCACCAATGAGATCTACCTCGTCATGGCCACCACCACCAACAGCAACGAACTTCACACTCTTCCTCCTTTTACTCCTTGTCGGACAGCGCAGCGATGATGTCTTTTTCGTCGTTGCCAAAGGTAATACTAACCATAACCCCAACAATGCCTCAAGCAACCAGCTCATATCTGCTGCCCCTGCCCCTGACGACTTGAGCAGGACTGTTGACAGAGGTGCTGTAGCAGTGTGAAGAAGGCTCCGACGACGACCATGACTTAGTAATGCTGCCAAGATCTGTAAGTTCCTTGGTGGTCGGAGGAGGCGGGAGGTGATGAATGTTGATGTCGATGTTGAGAGGCGTGGTGGCTTTGTGGTGGTGTTTGCTATTTTGGTTATTAGTTTCTGTTTCTGTTCTTGTTCTTGTTCTTGGGATGCAATTGAGGTTGTTAAGGTTGAGGTTGAGGTTTAATGGAGAGAACGTACCTTGGAAAGAAATAGCCCCCCGTGGTTTTTTCATCATCATCTCTACCTCTGCTGACTTTCTCTGATGATGTTCTTCTTCTTTTGCTGTTACCCTTCGTTGCAGACTCTCCTCCAATCGAATAACTAATTCCTGCTTCCTCTGGATCTGTGGTTGCTCACAACTGGCAAGGTCCACGACGCTGGAACGGCCGGCTTCAGCGGGAAGTGGAAGGTTGCTGTGGTGGTATGGCTCATAGGGATGTTCATCCCCTGCTGCGGCAAAGAAGAGGAGGGTCAAGACGGTGAGGAGGAGGGCGAGGGTTGTCTCTCCGGAGAGGAATGGCTGCATTTTTTTTTGCTGCGGTATCGAGAACCGCTAAAGGTGATCTCGTCCTTGGAATCGGGTTTGGGTATCCTATCTGTGTTTTATGGCTGTGTGTGTTGGTTTTTTGGTGTTGGGGTGTTGATGTTGTCTCCTGGGCAGGCAGGTGGTAGGTAGGTAGTTGGTGGTAAAACTACCCAGTTGGAAAAGGGTATGTAGATGTGATGTGGTGATATCAAGTTGGAGGCGGTGATGAAAAAGGAAAAAAAAAGCAAGTGTAGTCGATTGTGGAAGTTTGGGCTAGTCCGCGGAGGTTTAGGTCCGCCTATGGTATGACAGCGAGGAGTAGATAAGGGGAATATGTCGTAGCTCGTAACACGGAGGATTGACGGGAAGGTAGAAGGATGTACAGATGCCGGCTGGTTCGAAGAAGAGTGTATAATCGCTGAATATCAAAACTTTTCTGAACAAACGGACTTTTAATGATGGATTGATGGATCACTTTGAAGGGGGAAAGATCTCGGGCATACCAAAATCAAGGCAACAAGAAACCTTTTTATTTCCTTCTGCAATCCCTATCTCCCCCCGCTTTCTTCCCCTCATCATCTCATCCCCGCCATGCGACCGAGTGCATGTTGTGCATTTGATAAAGATCAAGCCCGGATCGATGGCGTAGGATATGCATCCGGACTCGGTTTCTCGGCTTATCAGAAACATGCGACCGGTCAAAGCGACCCGGACTGCGCTCGGTTACCACCCGGTCGGAGTGGAATGCTCGAAAGCCTGCGTTGAGGCCTAACGGTCGCAGGTCACCATCTTTATGTGCGTAAGTACATATGTATGTATGAGCATGCAATAAGTAGGCGAACCAGAACCGAGAGGCTGGGCGTGCCAATCGCAACCGCTCTTGGTGTTCCTGGCCGAGTTTTGTTTTGATTTTTGACATCCTCCCTTTGGATGTCTCACGTCAATAAACCGCCTCATTTCTTTCACTTGCATTGCCGAGCACCCATCAGAGCCTTCTATTTTGTAGGACCTTCCCCTTCCATTACCCCGCCGCAATGATAAACTGTTTGCGGCGAACAAATGGTTTTAATTCCCGATAACTCTTCTGTTTACCCCCGAGTTCCCTCTCCAAACTCCAATCAGGCTCGCATGCGCATGCGTAAACGTATGCGTACGTAGTGTACCTCAAAATGCACAGAATGCATGTCACACAGCTCGCATCCCCAAGCCACATGTTTACCTACCTTATCTACCCTATCGTTTCACTCTTTCTTCCGAGCACCGACCGGAAATAACTATCGATCAGCCACAGCAGTTACATGCACCGCCGCGTTCAGATAACACCCATTCTCCGGCAAGCACGTCGCGCCTGGGCTGAGCTTGAACACACCACGTGGGCCAACAGTAAACTCGTCTTCGCCATCGTTCAGTATCACCCTTAGCTTGCCGCTGACGAGGGTGCATATTCGGGTGCGGGTTTGGTCGGCGGGCAGCCGCTGAGTGCTACCCGAGGTGATGGTGAGTGCTGTCAGGGTGGTCGATTTGCATATCTGGATGGTCTGGTTGGCTGAGAGGTACGAGGAGGAGTAGACGAGGTCTAATAATTGGTGGTTAGTATTTCTGGCTTGAAGAGTAAGAGGCGGATAGGGGGAGTACACTCACTTTCCGATGGGTGGCGCCGCCTGGGGAGAACCCCTCTTGAACCTCTTTCCCAGTCTTCGGTTACGAGATCCTCCTTAGACACCAACAAAGACGAAGCAAAAGCAGCAGTGGCCTGAATTGAGGTCGGTACGGCGGTTTGTTCCCTCGTCCGGAGACGCTTGCTGGCCCGGCGATACTCGACATCTTCCTGTTCCTCTTCTGCGACATCCAAGCTAGCTGAAGCGCAAGTCGGCGATGGGTCCTTGAGAGTGATCACATTTCGTGGCGACGGTACTCCGTCCACATCTGCCTCGCTCTCTTCCGCAGCAGCAATACTAGGAAATCTTTGCGAGCGCCGGATGACCGTGGCGCCAAGTTGCTCGTCGTACTCGTAAGCCTCCTCGTTCTCCTCCTCCTCCTCCTCCTCATCCGCTTCGTCTTCTGCCTCATCGCCTGCTTCGTCCCCTGCTTCGTCCCCTGCTTCTTCTACATCACCACCATTTCCAAACGCAACCACGCGTGTCGCGCGCTCTTCAGTTTTGTTCAGGTGCTTGATACTGCATGCATTGTATGTGTTGCCGTAAAGACAGTTGGCACAAGCGTTGCGATAACTAACAGAGACCAACCTGCGTAACTTGACGCTAATCTTGGGTATAATGGTGATACAGCCCTTAAAAGGCCCTGCGCGGCGCCGACATGCAGTACAAGGCTTGGGGGCTTCGCGCCCAGTAAGTTGCGCAACTACTGCGGTGAGCTGCTTAGGAGCGAGTGTGTGAGTGACTGGAAGAGGGTGCTTCAACTTGAGATCTCGCCGACGGGGTAGAGAGAGGAGAACTTCCAGTTCTGTTTCCTCTATTTCTGGAAAGTTACCCCCGATCTGGGAGGTGATATATCGCCGCAGTCTTTCGGGGTGCCCAACTTCCTCTCCTGGTTCTGGTGTTGGTGGTGATGTTGTTATTTCGTCGAGAGTCCGCTTTTGGCTTATCCGGCCCGGCATTTCGTTGTTTTGATTTTCATCATCGTCGGTCGAGATATCCGGCTCCACAACACGCCTGTGTTCCTTGTTGGGCAAATGCGCCTCTCTCAAAGGTGACTCGTCATAATTCATTGGGCCCCTAGACACAACACGAGGACCGGTCTTGCTGCGGCCTTCAACGATGCTAAAAGTCCCGTCTTGGTTGTCGTTTACGCAAACGCTGGGATGACATACGGTCCAATGATTGCTATAGGCTGCTTGCCCTCTGAGGAGGGGTCTGCACGACCTGATGGGGCATATCCAGGGTCGAAGGGGAAACGCTTGAAGTTCAAGTTGGTAGCCTTCGGGGATCAATCCTCGGGTCACCTGAAACCGATTGATCTCTGGATTCAGCCAATGGGTATAAGGCCGACCATCGTTGGCATTATCGAACCCAACATCAGAAGGGATAACGCGGGCATTTCCAGCTGACTTATGAAGAGCTGGGGAGCTGGTACGTTCTGTGTTATGCATTTCTTGCAAGTCTCTACTATCCTTGATGATAGTCTCTCCAATTGAGCTACCCGTTGAGGAACTTTTCCCTCTGCGATGCTGTCGCAACATTCGATTGACATAGTTTTGAGATATCTGGGGTTCCGCTAATGGTTCACTCTCTCTTGCTCCACGCGATACTACGACCGGTGGGTCATTGTGATAGTCGATCCGAAGTTGCTCAATATGGAGAGCAGTCATAGGACGCTTAACAACGGTAAAGGTCCCGTCCAGATTGTCATTGAGCCGGCAGCCGTAGTATCTCATCTTGAAGTGATTAGCAAGGTGATACTTGGCGCTGTATAGGTACCGGCATGATCTGACTGGGCATATCCATTGGTGGGTGGGATGCTCCGTATAAAGGGTCCATTCGTCTGGCAATAAGACGCCGCGTAGTTCTTTCCACGCCCCGGACTGGTCTGTTTAAACGGTTAGCCAGGTTGGATAGGAAGAGTGAATGTGGGAAGAACTGACCAGGCCACATGTTGTATGGACGTCCGGATTTTGCGGTTACCAATATCTTCTCGGTAGGCCCCTCGTTGGAAGGACCAACAGCACCCTTGGCCTCATCCTGGGGGTCAAGCTCATCGTCACTCATGGCTGAGATCTGGATGGTTTCACTCTCATCGATTGGTGACCGCCGACGAAGCTCGCGCTTGGGGACTTCCTGTACAGGCAGGGATTTGCTGTGGGCATGTGGTGTGTAGGGTTTAGGTTCAACCATGGGTGATTCCGCAGGACTCCTGTACTTTTTGGATACAATGATACAGGATTTAGTGGTACCACCAAATCTTCTGCCATTGCCAGGGGTGGGGTTGGCATATCTCCCAAGGTCGGTCAAGGTGCCGTCCAGATTATCGTTTAATCGACAAGCACGGTGAAGCACAAGAAAATGTCTGCCCAAATTTGGAAGGCCCGGTAAGAGGGCTCGACAACTTCTGACTGGGCATATCCAAGGAAGTTCGGGATGATCGGACAGTTCATAACCGGGAGGCAGGAGTGCACCGCAGGTGGGCAGTAACTTGCCCGTATCTTGGTCCTTCCAGACCTTATAAGCGCTAGCATCAAGGGCTTCGGTGCTCGGATCGATTGTTGGTGGTTTTGGTGGTGCTTGGGTCTTGGAGCGGGTCGCCCGACTGGCGCTCAAGGCGTCCATGGCGAGTTGGGCCTTTATAAGGTCCGAGTCCTGAATATCTCCCATGGCGATGTTGTCCGAGTCAGGCTCTTGTTTTGGTTGGGGTTTTGGTAGTTTTGGGCCAGAGTTTGCGGAAGAGGGTGAAGGACGGCTGTGGCCGGTTCTCTTCATCTTGAACACAGGTTTGGGTTTGGGTTTGGGATGAGATGCAATCAACCTCCCACTTGCCGTTGCCGTTTCCGTCTTATGTTCTCGTGTTTCCCGCGGCGAGCGATGCCGCTGCCCGATATCATCGTTGTCGTCGCCATGAGAACCTGTTGAGATTGGGATGTTTTCTTTGCTGCTTCTGGTTTTTGCTGTGGGTGAATGGTGGTTGCTGTTCACATTTGACCGACGCGTAGGAGGAGAGGCGGAAGTCGACAGAAATGGCATGGCAGGAAGAAACAAGCCACATGAGATGGAAGGAAGCGGACATAAAGTGGATGAAATGTCCCCGGTTCCTTCAAGTTACTGTGTACATTGACGCGACGCACAAAGTCGATTTGAACCTTCCTTTGCTCTGGTGTCCACGTCCACGCAATTTGTTAGTGAACTGCAGAGGCTACCACTGACGCGCTAACAAGCCCGCCAAAAGATCTCCACGCAGGCCGGGGAGCATGCAGTCGGGTGGGTGTGTGAAGCACGAGCGATGGGTGGAGCAGATGGTCAGTGCTTACACCGGACAGGATACGGGTTGGAGGCAGCCTCCAGTGTGGCGGCCACCTCAGTCCTCCCATCGACAAAGCTTCAATTATGTCGATAGGTTGGCTTCATTTTACGGTTTCATAGCCTCGTTGGGCGTTTTACTAGGCTTTCCTGATTTTTCTCGTGTTACTCAACGTCATAAACTTGTTATTTCTACCTTGCTTTTCTCTCCTGTCAACATCATCATCAGCTTCTTGTCTTCTTTTTGTTGACCTCGACGACCCTGGCATCTCATTCTCTCCCAAAGCAGACACTGTCTTCTACTTGATATCAGACATAGGAGACATCCACCAGGCAAAGCCTTAGCAACGGGATGGCACATCAAGCTTCGCAACCACACGGCCCGCTACAACTGGTGCGCGCCCCAGAACGTCCCGAATTCACCGGCAAGAAATCCGTCTTCTTAGCCGGGACCACGTCCAAGATGGGAGATGAGCCCGACTGGCGGGATACCTTAAGCAGACAACTCTCGCGTCTTCCTATTACGGTCATCAACCCCACCCCACCCAATTGGACTGACTGGCCGGAAGACATATCATTCAAGCCCTTCCGTGACCAAGTCGAATGGGAACTGGATATGCAGGAAAGGGCAGACATAGTCCTGATATACTATGGACCCAACACACTTGCGCCCATCAGTCTTTTGGAGCTTGGTCTCTGCGCGCGCACCGGCAAGGCCATTGTGTGTTGCCATAAGGACTATAAGAAGAGAGGCAACGTACAGATTGTCGCCAAGAGATACGGCATCGAGTTGCTAGAGAATGAGAAGGACATGGCAGCAGCCGTGATCAGGAAGCTCGGTTCTTTGGATAATTAGGCGTTGTCGGTAACTCGGGCATTCGGGTTGTTTGGTTTATTTGGGCTGTGGATCCTATTATGAGTGATGAATTTCTCTTGAGCTTCTGAACGAGTTAGAAATCATTCCAAGCAACTCCGAATCGAGACCCTGAAGTTAATTGCTTAGGTGTGCAAGCTCGGCAGGTTTGACTCCAAATGTGAAAGTGGAGGAAACGGGACGACCCCGGTCGAAGATCCCCCACATTGAGTTCATCGTTCAGGTCCCCCCCTGCAGTGGTCATAGCTCCTCAAATGTGGCTAGAGAGAGTCTACACAGTATGTACATACTTGTAGATTTCAGTCGCAAAACACCACAAATGCGCCACAGCTTGGTGGAGAACTGCATCGCAATTTGCGGCTTTGTCGACAGCATGTGTCCTTTCTATCAATGTGCATCGATAGCTCTTTGGCGAGGACGGGAAGCATTGCATATATTTATCACCATTTGCCAACCCCAACTTCGGGACTCATGGATTTCTCATAGGTATTTCCTCTAGACAAAGGGAACTGTTCTCTCCTCAATCAATCAATCAACCACTCAGTTTGTCGGACATCCGTGACATGCATCAACAATTCCTGCATTGCATTTCGACTCAACCACGTTTTCCCAAGGCCATGTATATAACGGTGGATTCAATCACCATTTTCATTCCGTTCTTTTATCTCTTCTTTCCAACCAATTCAAGCATCCTCACCTCCGTTGTGCCAATCATCGTGATGCTGCATGCTCAGAGAACTTCGACACGGTTTGCAGTACAGTACTCCAGCTTCGATAACCCTAACCCTGGGTGAAAGTCGTCCTTGCCCCGCCAAAGTCTTGCGACGGGAAAGATTGCAAGAACCATCTTTCAATTTACGACTCACAGCTGACGGAGACCCTTCAGCGCCGTGGACAAGTGCAGGGTGCTACTAGTATACAAAAGGTGTGGCTTGACTCATTCGTTCCGTCTCTTTCACGTCGGTCTGAATATCATTCAATTGAGCATCATCACTCAGTCGACCTGCAGCTGTGCACTTGCCACGCTGCGTGACCTCTTTTATGACTTACCTACCCTCATGACCTTTTGACTAACTTTGGATTCGACATCCAATCTGATAGGGCTGGAAATAACCCCACCACCGGATGCACTCCTTTGCCCGTCTACGCGGCCTCATTCCTTCGACCAGGACTATCTCGGCTCTTAGTACAAGACCAATTCGTCTTTTCCCTCGTCCCCTCCCTTCATCATACCCCCGCCGCCCATTCACACCGTCGCCGTTAATCATGGCCGCCATTACCGTTCACAGCACCCTGAAGCCGGGTCCCCCCGTGCCGTTTGTACCAAAGGAGGAGGGTGCCATTAGCTGGTACGCCTGCGGGCCGACTGTTGTATGTACTGAGAACTACGACTTCTACTTTACTTCCATTGACATTTCGTAGTACGATCTCAGCCACTTGGGCCATGCCCGTAACTATGTCTCCACAGACATCATCCGCCGGATCCTTATGCATTATTTTGACTACAAGGTCAACTTTGTGGTAAGTAAACGAATACATGCTTCTACCATCGAACTTGCCATGTCCCTTAAGCTAACACTTCACTATAGATGAATTACACAGATGTCGATGACAAGGTGGGCTTCAATTCTGCTCATCCGTAATCATCAATATCAGTCTGACTTTTCCCAGATCATCATCAAAGCGAGGAGAAAGAGGCTCCTAGAGTTGGAAAAGGAGAAGCCATATACCCCCGAGCAGATCCACGATCTCATTTTCAAGGCCTTCCAGGCATACACCAAAAGTCTTCCCCTCCTGGCACCCGAAGATGCTGCCCCGCTAGACGAGAAAAACTACGAGGAGCGGAAACAGGCCGCTTACGGTGTTGTTTTGGCCGGTGGTCCCCTTGTCCCCGAGACAAAACCTGGCGACGCCGAGGCCAAGGTCAAGATGCACCTAAACAACATGGATGCTGCGGCCGAAGCTCTTAAGAACGGTTCCGGTCTCGACGCCGCCGAGGACGTCCTCCTACCCTACCTCGATTCGCTCTACAAGGAGACCATCGACACTAGCGATCAGACCATCTTTACCGACCTCACAAAGACGATGGAGAAGGCATTCGCTGACGATATGGAGGCTTTGAACGTCCTTCCTCCCGATGTCATCACTCGCGTTACCGAATATGTTCCTCAGATCGTCGCCTTCGTTGAGCAGATCATCCAAAAGGGATTCGCCTACGAGGCCGACGGTTCTGTCTACTTTGACATTGGCGCGTTCGAGAAGGCCGGTAACACCTATGCTCGCCTTCGCCCCGAGAGCAAGAACGACACTGCCCTGCAAGAGGAGGGAGAGGGTTCCCTTTCGACTGCTCTGGGAGGCAAGAAGCGTTCTGGTGACTTTGCCCTTTGGAAAAAGTCGAAGCCCGGTGAGCCCTATTGGCCCAGCCCTTGGGGTGCTGGTCGCCCAGGTTGGCACATTGAGTGCTCCGTTATGGCTTCCGACAAGCTTGGCGAGCAGATGGATATCCACTCTGGTGGTATCGATCTTGCTTTTCCTCATCACGACAACGAGCTGGCCCAGAGTGAGGCTTACTTCCATGACTGCTGCAAGGGTGAGCACACTTGGGTCAAGTATTTCCTGGTAGGCTTTCTGTTTTTTTTTTCTCCTTGGTGTTCTGATCATGCACTGACGTTCCGCACAGCACATGGGCCATCTTTCCATTGCCGGAAGCAAAATGTCCAAGAGCTTGAAGAACTTCCAGACGATACAAGACGCCCTCGCCTCCACCTACACTGCCCGCAACATGCGTATCGTCTTCCTGCTCAGCCGCTGGAACGACGGTGTCGAGATCTCCCCCGACATGAGGAAACAGGCCGACAACTGGGAGACCACGCTCGACAACTTCTTCACCAACGTCAAGGCTCGCTTGTCCGAGGTCGACGCTTCGTCCGGCATCAAGGATCTCTCCCTCTCGGAAGACGCCGGTGCCAGGGGTCTGCTCGAGGATTTCGAGCAAGCCAAGAAGGATCTCGACGCCGCCCTCAGGAACTCCTTCGACACCCCTACCGCCATGCAGGTCCTCCTCAAGCTGGTCCGCAACGCCAACATCTACATGAACTCCAGCAACCCCAACGTCCAAGCCCTCGAGTCTGTTGCCCGCTGGGTGACCAAGATCGTCGGCGTCTTTGGTCTCGACGCCAGCGCCCAGCCCCCATACGATGGTCTGGGCTGGTCCTCCGCCACCGCCTCCAACAAGGCCAACGTTGACCCCCAGACCGCCGTCAAGCCCTACGCCGCCGCCTTTAACCAGGTCAAGCAGGAGGTTGCCGCGCTCGACCTTGCTGGTAACGAGTCCATCAAGTCCCTCCTCGAGCAGCAGAACCCCGACAGCGAGTTCGCGGAGCTCGAGAAGAGCGGCGAGAAGGACGCCGAAAAGCTGGCGCTGCCTTTCATCCGCGCTACCTCCAAGCTGCGCGATGAGTTGCGCGCTACCATTTCTTCTGGAGTTGCTCTCGATCCCAAGGTCAAGCAGGCAATCCTTGCGCTCAGCGACCGTATTCGTGACTACGACCTTACCGATCTTGGTGTGCAGCTCGATGATCGCGTTGATGGACCTAGTCTGGTCAAGTTCGTGCCGGCTTCCAAGTTGATCCAGGCGCGTGAGGAGAAGGCTGCATTGCTGGCTGAAAAGGCCAGACAGAAGGAGGAGGGTAAGTTATTTCGATTTCCTTTAACCTATTTTCACCACGTTAGAATCAAGACCACTAACTGACACTTTCCAAAACAGCCCGCAAAGCAAAGGAAAAGGCCGAGCAAGAAAAGTGGGAAAAGGCCAAGCTTTCTCCCCAGGACATGTTCAAGAGTGACGCCAAGTACACCGAGTTCGACGCCGATGGCTTGCCCACCAAGCTGGCGGATGGCAACGAAGTGCCCAAGAGCCAGGTCAAGAAGCTCAAGAAGGAGTGGGAGAAGCAGAAGAAGCTTCATGAGGAGTATCTCGCTAAATTTGGCTCTGCTTAGAGGGCCGGCCGGGGCTTTGATACCATGAAAGAGGAGAGTTGGCTGTCTAAGAGAAGGGTTTACGAGGTGTTTATATAGAACTCTCTGAATTGATATCCCGTTGTGTGTCTCCGTGTCTTTTTTTCTGGGGGTGGTGCAGGGTTCTAGACACCGTGTGTTATTATCGTTCCTTTCTTCGGGAGTGAACATGATGTGATAGACCGTGCTATGTTGATAGTGGTTGGCTTCGGCAAGAGTTCATGATTCTTTGGTAGGTGGTTGCTATACGTGTGGTGCTACCCTTCGCAACACCTGTGTTACGGATGCAATAATGGACTGCAATGCTCTCTACTCTAGGTTTTCCCCCAATAGATTTATCACCCAGTACCACTGGTCGAAAAATGGGTGGTAAGGCATCAAGGAAATACACGGCAGGTACAACTACAGACACTATTATTAAGTACTACCAAGGGAACAGAACAACTCATCCAGCAAACCAGTTTGGAGACACAAGTACAGTCGTTTGATGGTCGGTACATCCAACAATTGTAGCGCCCAACCCTCCTTCGGCTTGATCCAGAACCCTTCCTCTGTCACTCAGTGAGCCTGAGGTGCCACTGCAGCTCGGTATCTGCACGTAGTATATCATGTCTTTCGTCCCGAGCTACAACAATGAACCGCACCTTCCTTTCAGCTCGGCTACCATATGTCAGGGTCTTAGGTTGTTATGTCATACATGCCCTCGTACTCTCGTCATAGTATCTAGCATTCGTCCTTACTTTCCATTCTTCCTCTACCGTGTTTGTCCCACAAAACATATCTCGACTACAGCAGACTTCCTACAACCAAAAAGCACCTTCAACTCTACCCATCCTGTCCATTCCTATCAACATATCCCACCACCCCAACGAGGTGATCCAACTCACTTCATCGGGGAAAACACAGAAAAGATGGACATAATAATAACAGGCGCCGGCCTCTCCGGCTTCTCCACCGCTCTGTCCCTCCGGCGCGCGAACCCTTTTCACCGGATAACTATCCTCGAGCGATCCTCCCACTACTCTGCTTCCTCCTCCACCATCAGCAGCAAGTCATACACATCCCACGAAGTAGGCGCAGCAGTCAACGTTCCCCCCAACGTCTCTCGCTTCCTCTGCCACCCCCAGCCCGGGCGCGGATGGGGCCTAGACCCACTGAAACAAAAGTTTGTAAAGAGCGAGGGGATGTTGGTCATGAACCCACCGACGATGGAGCAGATCCTGGGACAAGGGTTGGATCATAGTAGGAATGAAGAGGTTTGGGGAGGGGGAGCACTGTGGTATGCGCATCGGGTTGATTTGCATGGGGGGTTGTTGGGGTTGGTGTTGGATACGAATGATGATGATGACGACGAGATTGATGAGGTTGGTGATGATGGGAATGATGATGGGAATGAAAAGGAGGAAGTCAATGGGGTGGATGGGATGGATGGAAAGGGGAGAAAGGGGAGAAAGGGGTGGGTGAGAATTGAAGGTGGGAAAGAGGTTGTTGCGTATGTGAGTACTTCCTCCACCACCAAGCAGATGACCGTTTATGTCCTCGAGAGAGAAGAGAATTGCTGAATTAAAATTCAGGACCCCTCAAAACCCTCAGTGACCCTCTCCGACAACACCGTTCTAACAGCAGACCTCATCATCGCCGCCGACGGGGTGCACTCTCGCGCACCTGAATACGTCCTCGGACACCCGAACCAGCCTCAGATGCTTCCTGATCCGAAGCTAAATACCTGCTACCGGTTTCTGATTCCGACGGCGGAAATTGCTGATGATCCAGACACAGAGTTCTTCTTGGATGAGGATCGGAAAGAGGCCAAGGTTTGCAGGCTGTGGCCGGATGTGAAAGGGAGGAAGAGGGTAATTGCTTATCGGTGTCGAGGGTGAGTGCGATGACTTCGAGGTGATAAGATGGAGAGATTGGTCGGAAAGATTCATGGGAGAAAAGGGGGAGAAAAAAGGCTGACGATTAAGCAGTGGTGAAGTGTTCAACTTCGTGGTCATGCTCCGGGATGAGACAAGTACTGCGAAGCGGGAGGGTCAGTACCTAGAGAGACACTCACCCACCCCATTCCCAAACGTCGTCCTCGCTGATTCACTAACACTTAGAACTTTCTACCAAGACTGGCACGCCCCCGTTTCCAAGTCCGAAGTCCTCTCCAAGCTGTCCGATTTCCACCCCGGCATCCTAGCCGTGATCAAGTACGTCTTCATTATCTCCCTATCCGTACTATGTGGTTCCCCCTCCATCCGCTCGTCTTCCACAATGAATAACACCTCATGAAAGGACTTGATGTTAACCCACCATCGGTGTGCTAACGAGAAAAACCAAAAAGCAAAGCAACAGACCTCAAACGCTGGCCCCTCCTCTACCGCCCTCCCATCCCAACCTGGCACAAAGACCGGTTGGTTCTTGTGGGTGACGCTGCTCATCCTATGTTACCTCGTAAGTTACCTACCCTTCCATCATGCCACACCTCTTTCCCTCCTACTACACTAATCACGAGAAAAAAAAACAAAAAAGATCATGGCCAAGGAGGCGCCCAAGCAATCGAAGACGGCCTTGTCCTCGGCCTCTGTCTAGGGGACTTATCCAGCACTTCTTCCCCCGAGGAACTCGAGCGGCGACTTCAAGTCTACGAAAAGATCCGGCTCAACCGGGCTTCAGCTATCCAGGTGATGAGTAACGTTGGTTTTGACGAGGAGGCACCGCGGGAGTTGGAGGGGTATCTGACGGAGGAAGGATGGGACGGGAGAGTGCCTAGTAAGTCATTTTTTCGCTTCTTAATCTGAGGGGATAGGGGTTAAGGAAGTAAAGGGGGACGGACGACTGCTGACGCGAAAATCCAGAAAATATGAAGGAAGTGGTTGAACTTGAGTATGGACCGGATGTGGTGGAGAGGACTGTGAAGACGATGAAAGACGAGGTTGATGCTGGGTGGGAGGTGCCGAGGGGGTTTTTCCCGGGGTTCAAAAGGCAGTAGAGGTACTAGTAGGACGAACTGGAAGGAAAAGTGGTTCTTACAAGTTTATTTGTACTATATGACCTGGCACCGAGTGTTTATACACAACGACAGACCGTTCAGTTATATTTTCACCACGCCTTCTTCTCCTCCTCCGCAGCGACAGCAGGAGCACTCTCCTTCCTTCCTTTCTTCAAAATCCCTGCCAGTTTCGCCTTCAACTTATTCACCCCCTTCTTCAACCCGCTCTCCGGGCCCTCATTCGCCGCCACGAACCTCCTCACCAGTATGTTAAACATGCCGCCAAACGCCAAGGCAATAGCCGTTGACGTGAAGATGATGACATTGTACGGCATGCTGAAATCGGGCGTCGGGAGGTTGCAAAGCAATGTCGTCGTTCTCAAACTGTATGCCGCAAACCGCGAATTTCTTCCATTCCCACCGCTCTTGTCCTTGTTCAAAATAGTAATGACAGCGGCGGCCACATCGAACCCGCGATTCGCGTCCGGAGGGTACTCGGTATACCGCAGGATGGACTTCTCAAAGTCGTAGGTGAGAAAAACGGTAGAAGCGGGCGGGACGGTCATGCGGACTTCGAGTTGGGTTCCGCGTGCGCGGTCGACGGCGGGGCGGTAGTAGACTTCCTGGATTAGGGAGTCGGCCTTGCCGGGCTGTCCGTCGACGCGGGCCGAGATGGTGTGCAGGTAGATGCGCATGAACCAGGGAAGGGATTCCATGTAGATGAACTCGACTTCCTGGTCGGGGCTGGGGTTGCGCAGAATGGTCTGGACGCCGCCGCGCTCTTGGCCGTGGCCGGTGAAACTGCGTTCGGCGTAGAGGAGGGGCGTTTCGGGCTTGGCGACGTGTTCGATTACTACTGATCCATCCTGGGCCTCAGGGGCAGGGAGGAAGATCTCGAAGTCGTTCTCGGCGGGGAAGTCGAAGCAGCGTGAGGTCTGATCGGGGTTCTTCTTCTCAACAGCGCCCTCGGAGGCGAAGACGATACGCGAATCGGGAACTTGGATGCAGACAGGAGACACGGTAGGGTCGGTTAGAGGGCAGGTTCCCTTGATAGGCTTGCCGAAGATTTGGGATAAAGACCAATCCTGGTTGGCGGCCGAATCGGTGGGGAAGCAAGTATCGTGGGCGTGGTACGGCTTCGAGGTGTTGCACTTCATCTCGTGGGCCGGAGGGGGCCTGGGAATCGGGTTATCTAGGCCGGTTTCGTCAGTTACAGTCTCTAACCATGTCGCTCAAACACTAGAACACATACCTCTGGGTCTCTTGGATCGGTCAATGTCCAGAACCATATCGATGCTTTGCTCGATCTGCAACACACACTCGCCGTCCTCCGGACACACGGGCCGAATATCGATCGCCATTGTCTGCCATGAGGAGTCGAAGAGCTTATGTCCGTCAAGCAATGACGCAATACCAGCCTTGCCCTTGCATGGAAGAAGCTTAAGGAAGGGTGTCAAGTTCTCGGTACAGACAACTTCGTGGGGTAGCACGCCGTAAAGTAGGTGCATGTTCGTCGCGTTCGCGTCGATGTGGTTGCCCTCGGGCTGGAAGGACATGACGGGACGGGTGGTTCTGGTGCTGTCGATGAAGTTGAGAGAAGCACAGAAGAGACCAGATAGAGCGTTGGTGAGCGTCAGCCATTTACGGTCGGCCCTACATGGTGTCTGTAGTTAGTCTCTGCCCAAGTCATGATCCGTGGTGGTGAAACATACTCCTCGTCTGTATCTGCCTCCAGCCACGCCCACATCTCAACACCTGTTCCACCCTCGCGCGCACCATTCCACGGCCTTGCGCCCCAGCTCTCGGCATCCCATCTTCCCAGACTAAACCTCAAGTGTAACTCGCGCGTGCCGGCATGCTCGAGGATCTGGCCCAGCGACCTGGGAAAGAATCGGAAATTGTGCGCCTCGAAGGCAGAGAGCGATGTGTTGGAGCGGAAGTTGAAGCTGGCGAGCAGAGTCGACAATGGTAGCGGGCGCAATATTAGTTGTTCGTGATAGTCGGATCGGGAGTTGGAAATGGAATCGGCAGGGGAGGAGGCAATGGCGAGCGCAGTGTAGGGCGAGAAGCAAAGAAGAGAAAGTAAGGAGAGTAAGAAGGAAGAAGGCAAGGATGGACACATTGTATTAACTGGAGTGAACGCTGTCTATTGCCGTCGTCTATCCATTTGCTTGATCTGTACGTCCACCACAAAGTACCAAAAGCAATTTCCGGAGACAATGGCAAGGAAGACAGAAGTGGAAGACACGACGGGAAAGATGGTGACAGTTCACACCTTACTGGTAACTTTTAACTTTTGTTGGTGTTGGGTGCCCTGGCTGCCGTCAGATCGCAACTTGCCCGAGCAGGCACCCCCCATTGCTGACGGGAGGTGCTGGAAGAGTGCCTGCCGCGCCCTGGCACAGCGGGACAAGACCCAGAAGGGATGGAATGGATTGTTGATGACAGCACATTTCCAGTGGATGAACCGGGATTATAGCGGCAACAGGGGAGTGGTAAAGTGGGTCCACTTCCCCGGTTTCAGCGATCAGGTTCCATCCAGCAAGCAGCCTTGCATGCGCGGCTGACTTTTGCGACTGCATTCGACCTCCAAAATCTTGGGAATTTCTCCCAAACAAAACAAAACGTCAGCAACCGTCGAAAGCGCTTTACCATCACCAGCCCTCGCATTTTCCGTCAAATCAAAACCTAGCGACGCCTATCGAAACCAAAACATCTTCATAGTAATAATTATAAACAACAAAACCAATCATGGCGGCCGAACAAAGAAAGCTGCTCGGTAAGTCTCATCCCATACTCCCCCACCCCCAACAAACTCCCACTAACTTCTTCACCCCAACCATGCAGAGCAGCTAATGGGCGGCGGCATCTCCTCCCGCTCCGCCCAACTCTCCCTCACCGACCCCAAAGTCTGCCGCTCCTACCTCGTCGGCACCTGCCCGCACGACCTCTTCACCAACACCAAGCAAGACCTCGGCCCGTGCTCGCGCGTGCACTCGGAAGCCCTCAAGGCCGAGTACGAAGCCCTGCCCGAACAAGAAAAGAAGAAGTACGGTTTCGACTACGACTACATGCGCGACCTGCAAAAGTACATTGACGAGTGCAACCGACGGATCGACGCGGCACAGCGACGCCTCGAAAAGACGCCCGACGAGATCCGGCAGACAAATGTGTTGCTCAAGGCCATCTCGGACTTGGGCACGACCATTGCGACGGGTCTGCTGGAGGTGGAGATCTTGGGAGAGCTGGGCGAAGTGGGGAGGGCGTATGACGAGCTGTTCAGGGTGCGCCAGGCGCAAGCGGCGAAGCAGGAGAAGGAGAGAGAGCTGAAGGCGCTGTCGGATACGAGTGGCCCGTCAGGCCATCAGAAGCTGCAGGTGTGCGACGTGTGCGGGGCGTACCTGTCCCGGTTGGATAATGATCGCAGACTGGCGGATCACTTCTTTGGCAAGATGCATTTGGGATATGCGCAGATGCGGAAGACGTATGATGCGTTCCCGAAGGAGATGCGTGGACGGCAGAGGCCGATGGGAATGGGCGGTGGTGGTGATGATGATATGGGTGGTGTGCCGACGGGTCCTGGTGGACGACACGATGACTGGGGTAGAGGCCGTGGACCTAGGAGTGGCGGTGGCGGTTATCGTGGACGTGGTCCTAGACGTGGTGGATGGTAGGGTGCTTGAGGCGTCGGTGATTAGGGAAGAAACCGGAAAAGGAGATGGATACGATGCAAGATCTGGCGGAATCATGTGCATTGAAAGGGCGTTGGAGGCGTTTTACACTATTCGAGCTTGGGATTTGAAGAAGTCGGAGCTTGTCCCGTTATGGTCTTTATTTTTGCAGCCCGCGTAGAGAAAAGAAGCTATCAGTTAGGTAATTTATGAGAGCGCAACACACAGATAGGTATAAAATCGACGTTACCAGCAATTACACTTTAATCGATGCGGTATAACTCGGGTTATCCTTTACATTGTGCATAATCAATTGCCGTTCCGGCTCGCAATCTCAATTCAGATTCTTGTGGTATCAATTCGTCTGTTCGCTTTTACAAAATCGCTGTTGTCTAGACATTTTTCGTATCACATGAAAGAAACACCTCGCTTCCATCCTCTACGGCCAAAGAAAAGCCTGTGGTTTCCAGGACCCCTCTACAGGTCGCCCTCCCGAGGAAAATACACCGAGTCGTCACCAACGGCAAGTTACTCCTCTGGTGTCGCATTATCCTCATCGGAATGCATGTTGGGACCCTTCCACCGACGCATTTGGGTAATATCGGATTCTGTCACCCATTTCATAATGTTTTCCGGGTTTTTATAATGGCGATAGGATCGTTCATCTTCAACGTGCTCGCTTATCAAATGTTGAACGTCCAGCAATGCTCTGTTGCGTGCTGTAAGTGGCAAAACTTTGGATACTTTGTGGCTCACGGGTTTTTCTATTGCCCTTTCTGCGAGTTTCTGTTGCATTTCCCCGAGGTCCCTCTGATATTGCTCGAGGCTTCTTTGTACCCTGCCCGCCTTGGACCGTTCGAGATGTTGGAGGCCGGCTGGTAGCTTGTCTAACGCTGGAGTGGCCACCGGCGTTTTAAGGGTTTGACGGGCAGTGGCTATCTGATCTGAAGTTAGAGTGGCATCAACCTTTGGTGGTTCAAGACCTAGGTGGGCAGCCACTACTTGGGCTGGAACTGAGAGGAAACCCTTCACCTTCGCCAGTTTTGTCGACTCACGCTCCGCTGTCGGCTCTTTATTGACTGTGTCTCGCGAATCAGATTTATGGTGACCTTTTGGGCGTGTCGTTGACATTAACGGTGGCTTGATACGAGGAGGGTCCTGAGAATTGGACCGAAGGGTTGAAGCGAAGGTAGGCCGCGCATAAGAAGGTTTCTAGTTTTCCTTTGACTTCGCCTGCGCGTTCGCCGCCTCCTTTGCCTGTGCTGCTTTTTTCGAGATACTTTCTTCCACCTCATCATCCCATCTGCCCACAGCAGGCGAGAGGGGCAAGGAAGCAAAGGATAGGGGGGCGCTTGTGCTGACTTGCGGTGCAGTGGCTTTGCTGCCGGGGAGTGCAGGAAACTCGTCAGGGGTCAACTTCGGTTTGTCGGCTTTTGGTGCACCAGACCCAGGCCCGGAGCGTTCAGCACGAGGGGCCGCTGGGCCATCCGCCTTCCAGTCCCTGCCGCGGTTTCGGTTATTGTCACGCTGATAGAAACGCTGACCAGTCTCGTTCTCCGGGTCCGGCTCGAAAAGGGTACGACCTCCATACCCATCACCTCCCCCACGACCTCTTCCGCCACCGAATCCTCCTCTTCCCCCACGACGTCCGCCACGGTAACCGTTTCCCTGCTCATTGCCGTCAGCCGGATCTTGCGCCCACGATTGTGTGTTTGCAACCCCCCTAACACCCCTGTAGCCTCTTCGGTCCTCCTCTCTCATGCGCTCCTCCTTGCCCTCGTCCCAAGAGCCGCCCTCCTTAGCGCCCATGGCGCGCATCTTGCGCTCACGGTTCTTTTCCCGCTCCTCCTCCATCTTCTTGCGGTCTTCCTCGGCGGCCTTCCTCTTGGCCGCTTGCTCGGCACGACGTTTCCTATCCTCTTCCATGCCCTTAGCGTAGGCGGCAGCATGCTCATTTTCGTCACGTTGGGCTTGTTCGAAACGCTTAGTTTTCTCAGCGGCCATTATACGCATCTTCTCCATCTTGGCTGCCAGTTCGTCTTCAGTAAGTTTGGTGCGTGGGTTCGCGCCGGAACCAATTCTAGCGGCCGATGAGACACTCGCAGTGTTACGGCCAGCTTCCTTATCCCTGGCTTCTTTCTCGCGAAATTCTTTAGGGGCGGAGGGAGGTGTGCTGGAGGTGGACTGCTGTTGTTGAGACTGTGTCGCGCTGTTGTTGCCGGTGTTGCTGTTGACGTTGTTGTTGACGTTGTTGTTGACGTTGTTGTTGACGTTGTTGTTGACGTTGTTGTTGGCTTTGGGGTGACGATTGTTGTTGCGTGGTTGCTTCTCAAGACCTTTGGGAGCGTGACGCGAGTTGGCAAGTCCTTTGGGTGCTTGAGGCGCGGGGGTAGACTTCTGGACAGGCGCTGACTCCAACGGTTGAGGGGACTCCACGGCAGGGGAAGCATGACTCGTGATGTCCGTGTCTTGTACGGGCGTTCCTGTTTCCGTAGACATGGTCGCGACCTGCTCCTCGGGCGCTACGGGCTCGAAGTCGTCGGCGAAGAGGTCGTCGTCAGTACGACCTCCAAAATGTTCGGAGTCCATAGTGCCGAAAGAATATATATAGCGCGTAAGAGTGCAATATAAAGGATTTGGGTGAGGCGACCTTGGATTTCCACAAAGCCTGGTGGTGATAGTAGGGTGGGAGGGGTTGTAGTCGAGTCTAGTCGCGTGTATTGCTGTGTTTGAAACAGACAACGGAGGGGGGCAGCTAGCTTAAATATACGTTGGAATCTGGTAAATATTGAGGCAAACCGAGAAGTGGAAGGTCTGGCCGGGGTATGTACAAGATCCAACAATTCGAGGTGATCGATCTGGTAAGAGATTGCCTTGAAGTTCGGGCGTTACAATCGAAGGGGAAAGACGAATGGATGGTTGACTGTTGCTGGGACATAACGACGGGAGGTCACAGGTGGGGCGAGCAGAAGGTTGGGCAGGCGGGGCAGGCAGTGGTAGAGGTCCGGAGTCGAGGGGAAAAGGCGGGGGCAGGCAGCAGGCACCTGGCAGGCAGCGGGACAGCGCCAAGGGGCTGTTAATGGTAGGTAGAGAGAGGTACGTACCCGCTGTGTACATAAACCGACAAGTCGAACAGGGACGACCACGACGGGACGCCCCGATGCCCGTTCAACGTCTTGGCTTTGCTTGTTTCCTTCCATTTCAACTTCTCGCACCTGCAACTTGATGCAGTCTGCTTTTCCAACCCTCGTGTTCGGATTGGAAGGTAAAAACCAGAATACCTTTATGTATTCTTTACGCTTTCCAGGATCCGAGAGTCGCCTCACTCGAGATCCGACCACCCATTTGTTGACTCATTGGACACATACCTATACCGCACTTATTGACGAGATTCGCATACGCTTTAGGCAAAGTCTCGCCGGGCAAGACATCTTTTTTCGGTGTTTTCTCACATAAGATGGTCTAACAGGACCATGTGCAGTGCAGCCACACTCGTCACTTTGTCGTGCCCAAAGCCATGGACTGAGTGATTGCGGCACATATATCACAAACCTCCATCCTCCTCGCTCCGCAACACCACGCAATCGATCATTCTCGGACTTATCGTGGTCAATAACAATAACTCTCACTCCTCTTTCACGGATTTTTAGGGCGATATATCCGCCTTTCAGGGCCGATGGATTTGTGGTTGAGACCCTACTTCCACACCTTCCATCTCATCCTTTGACATCCTTGGGCGAACAGTGAATTCCTCCGTGTGGGGGTACTTCACCACCTTCCCCTCAGCAGGCTTGCCAACGTGGTCACTTGTAGCTTGTCAGCAACAGACATTGGAGAGATGGCCATTCCCGTGTCAGCCTTTGCTAGTTTAGGCCTTAGCGTAGGTTGAATAAGACTACATGAACTAAAAGATCCCATATATTATTGCCCATCTAGTCTCATCAAATTCAGTCCTCTTTTCTTTGTTATTTGCGAATATTTATTGCGTACACCAAACTGTCAACATCAACCACTGTCAAGATGGGGGACACTCTTGAAAAACCAGACTTCCGACCCATCCTTAACCCAACCAAGCAACGCCCGCTTGGGACTCCTCCGCACAAGGAGGTAAGTAATTCACCCACTGCTTTGAGAACGTTTGAGACTAACGTACGGCAAAGACCATCATCAAAGATGCTTTCAGACTTCGCACTCTGATGGCTATGGGCGCGCTCGCTCAGATCGTCCTCTTCGCCATCCTGCCTTACCGTTATGCCGTCGTCCCCGCCTTGATCCTCACTCTTCACTCGATTGGTTCGACCATCGGCCAAATGTTCTTGTGCAAGACCAATGAAAATCCATACATGACCGGTGTCACTCAAGGTTTCACCAGCAGCCAGCCTCCCTCATGGCAAACCGGTCGCTACCCCAATGCGCCGTGCTCCAGCTCCATCGTCGTCTTCCACCTCGGCGTCTCCTACAACCACCCGCTGGGCCCCGCCTGCCCCGGCGCCTACGAACTCTACACCCACTTCATGAACATGATCAAGGCCATAGACGAGAAAAAGGAGGAGTACGGCCTCCTGGGCATGTCCAGTTGGAAGCAGACCAAGCGCGCCACCCACAATGCCGCCATGACGGTGTTTTACTTTCGCGACATCGAGGGATTGCACAAGTTTGCGCACGACAAGGAGCACCGCGACGGTTGGGACTTTTTGCACGCGTTCCGCAAGAAGGGATACAACCACATTACGGCGCTGCACGAGACCTTTGAGGTGCCTGCTGGCGCCTGGGAGTCGATCTACCTGGATTCGCCACCTATCCTTATGGGAGATACGACTATCAGGGTGACGGAGAAGGATGGGAGCGCAACTTGGTATCATAGTCTTGTCGATGCGTCGGTAAGGCCATTGACGGGAATGATGAACAGGATGGCGAGGGGTAAGGCGACTGCGAGGGAGGGATACGCTTAGTAGAGTTGGGTTGCGGGTTGATAGGTGGTAGTGTTGAGACGGTGGTAAGATAGGGAGAAGAATTGGATAGACATAAAGTTCGATAGGTAGGTAGGTATAAACCTTCACCAACTAGCGCCATTTCATGCCGCCCTTTTCAGCCAAAACACGAACACGGTGTGTGTGTGTCAGTTCCCAGAACAACCTTTTTTTCCCCTAGTACGTCACACACACCCCAGGCAGCACTGACCACATCGTAACTGTATCAAAGTCGTCTTAGGGGAAAGGTTTCAGGTACGAAATAAACGTGGTCAATCGCATGCTAACGGATTCGCGATCTGGGGTGGATAACTCTATGAAAAGCCCACGTGGAGACCCCGCAAAAGACCAGTAAGATATTTGTGTCTGTCACTAATCTTAGACCATCTGATACCGGAGTTTCAACATCTTCCTTCGAGGCGTTGAGTGGGGATTTACACAGTGATCAACATAGGTAGTGGTGATCTGTTAGTAAATAATTTGTAGAGGTATGTTTGTGGATCCCCATCCATTGAGTCTTGCGTGAGCTTGAAATTACAGCATAAAGCTTTCATAGCTACGATCTCAAATATTGCTGTAATGGTGTGGCTGGGTATACGGAGCAGGTTTCACTTCATCTGTTTTCGCGATCGTGTAGTCCAGGTTGTCGATGACGTCGCTGTCGATACAGTCAGCATCAACCCTAACCCTGTGGTACCTACCTACCAACCTACCTGAGCTAGCTGCCCACCGACTGCCAACTGCCCCTGTCAAGAACCACTCCAAGCTCGGACGTATCGTGACTTTTCGTCCAACTCAAAGAAGCCGAAGACCTCCAACCACATCAGAACGCATAAACATTTCATTCATCTGTCGACACATGATGCTCTTACCAATGTGGATTACCCCGGGATGGGCTGGCGGTCAGCATGTCCAATAGGGTACCAACATGGCCAACCGAAATCTGTACTAATTTCCGGAGCTTGGACCCTGAAAAGAGTCTGGTAAGCCGTTCGGAGCTGCCAAACCGCGCCCAGGCCCGTCTTAGGTAGCAGGCTTCCATCGAATTGAGCCGAGGTTGGAGAAGATCCGATCCAATTTCGTCCATGCCGTAAGTATTGAACCGATTTGGTGTTTTCGTTGTCGATGCAAAACAACAGGTTTTGGAAAACTAATTTGGGATCCTAAAGAGCTTGGTCGGTCTTTGTCCGACGCCACCAGATAGTTCATTGTCCCGAGGGACTGGATGTCAGAAGCGATGGGAAAGAGAAAAAAAAAAAGAAAAAAAAAAACTTGGAAGAATAAAAGGAGGAGGAGGAGGAGGCTCTGCTCTTTTGGGAAGCATGTCGAGGTACCTATGGAGGCTCACAACTGAATGGATGCCGCAATTCCCGTTGCCGTCCAGGGACCGTAGCGAATAGTGGTCGAGATCTCGGTTTTCCTGGGAAATTGCATCCAGGCGTCAAGCCTAGGCAACGTACCTTCTGTGGTACATACAGGGACGGTACAGTGGCTCGCAAACGTCAGAATTATGTGCACCAACAATCGGTTTAACCACCACCCCTTCCGCGGCCGTGGCGAACATCACCACTTTTGGTTACATTCACGAAAATTCATTCGTTCATGGTCACGTATCCGTGATCTTGAAAGAGTATATAATTTAACAAGAACCCTGACTGCTCACTCATAAGTTTACAATAACAACCAAGGTTTTGGTGAAACAATGGCCAAGTTTTGAAGCATCAAAATCTGTAGTTACCTGCGCGCGGTACGCATATTTCTGACCTGAGCGAGAGTGGGCAGTTGACCTCCCTTGTTGGCGCAGGCCAATCACGAGCAAATCAGCATCCAGATCCGGCATGTCGTTCAGTGAATGGGCCACAGATTGACCAATCGGTGCGGGAGACAGGCCACTGAAGAATCCGAGAATGACAAGGCATTCCCAAGGACAACTCCTTTTGCGTCTTGTGGTTCGTTGTTTTGTATTTGTCCCGTCCTCTCCTTACATTGTCCATTTCTCGCATCTGTATGGCCACCAAAGGCCTTTGTTGACGTCGTTCCTGTTTTATGATTGCTGACTGCTTTCCATTCAGCTCACTGGTGCTCGCCTCAGCTCCCTAATCCGCCAACATTCATCCATCCATCCACCTCGAGGTCGTCAGTCGTCCGCTCTATCCGCACCAAGAAGACGAAACACAGCCACGCCAGGCCTCCTCCTACAACCCAAAAGTCGTCAAACATTTTCCTTCCAAGATATTGAACCCTTTTCCATGGCTGGCTCGTGGCAAAGGCCCACGCGTACAGCATGGACCTTTGGTGGCGCCTGCTGCAAAGGCAGTCATCAGATCGACAAAAGCAATCGAAGGAACAGGGGCAATTAAGCGCCGCAGAGGAGCATCCAGCCGTCGTGGAACCTGCTCATCATCACCATAATGCGCAACCAGTACATCAGTTACACTCACCGGCGGCGGCGCCACAGTTACGCGCCGGATTGACCAATCTCAATACAAATGACCACAACGACCGTCCCATAGAACCTCAATCGAAGAACAATTCTGATACTCCTGTTTCGACTTCTGCTCCCGCTCCTCTCTATGTCCCTTTTGTTCCTTCCACACCACTACGAACCTCGCTCTTTTCTCTCGCTTCTCCTTACTCTCTAGCTTATTCGACTGATTCCTCACCTGTATCTTTGTCATTGGCCTATTCCGATTATGATACGGAGTTCATGGCCCTCTCGACCCCGGAGTTACTCGATACCCGTCGCCAACACAAGGATAATATCCCCAAGGCTTTGGCATCACAGAAAGGCGACATTGTGGCGGATCGATCTTCTGACGGCAGCCAACAATATGTGCAGCGAGCGAGTGGTAGCGGCATGATGCCAGATTCGACACCTTCTACCAACATGGACCGTCCCACAAGACCACCAAGTCTGGATGTCCAGCTTTCACGCCAAAAAAAGAGATTATCGCTACTGGGAAGGCCATCACCCGCTTATGGTGAAGCAACCAGTGCCAGAAGCAGCTTGGTGAGCCCAACTCAGCGAAATCATCCGGTGCGCAATTCATCGTCCAGTCGACTGCTTCCTGGGCTCGGTCTTCCAGACTACCCCCGGCAACGGTATACTTACCACGCCTCCGGCGGCTTACGGACTTCGCCCATATCTGAAGATGCTCCCAGCGAAGGGGAACTTGCCTCGGAAATATCCGCCGCCATTCTGAAGGAAACTGAGGAGAACGCTGCGGCGGAACAACCGTCAACAACGCTCAAGATCTGGGGCGCAGTCGCCAGATGTCTAGAAGAAATTACCGTGTCGCTTGGACCGCCGAATTCAAGTGCGCCGGCGGTATCTGCACCCCCGAGCATAGCATACGCTCCGCAGCTAAGAGCTACTCCATCCGTAAGGAGAATGTCGAACTCGGTACAATCGGTGGGATCGCGAAGGACGTCTTACGACGTTGGGGCCAGAAACGACCTTCCGTCCCGGCATCGGAGGGTGATGAGCAGCAGTTCCATCCGAAGCGGCCGACAGGAACGCGATCTGGAAGCGACGTATGCGATGGATGGGCAGGGCGTGGAGGGATACTCCTGCCCATTCCGGGTGCGCAACCCGGTTCGCTTCAATATTCGTGACCACGAAGTTTGCGCCATGACTTCTTTCGAATCACTGGCCGACTTGCGACACCATGTTATGTCGTATCATAGAAGGCGCGCAATGCCTCACCAATGTCAGCGATGCAAAGTCGGATTCCCCACGCAGAAAGGGTTGGACGAACACCTGATGCTGCCCAAGGATGAAATGTGCGACACAGTCCCCGCGGAAACACCCCGCAATCCCGAGGATGGAATATCTGAGGATGTGGATAGGACTTTAGCTTCTGGCAATGGGATCCGAACCTGGGATGACTTGTGGCGTCTGATCTTTTCCCTGGATGATCAGATTCCTAGTTCTGGTAAGCAGCAAACCCAAGAGCCTCGAGCTCACCTTTTGAATGAAGACATGACAACTAACCCATCATGCAGACTTCCATCCCGTCATCGAACTAGCCGAGGTCGAGCAGCAATTTGACGAAGGTCAAGAAGCGCTGAAAACGCACTTGCAAGAGACACTTCGGCTCTTTCTTCCGGAGGCCATCGACGACGCCTACCGCAACTTTTTGACCGGTCAACTGGAACTGGTCTTTGAGGCACACAAAGCCAACACCATCAGGAAATGTCTCCACCGTATTCATGGCAGCACCAACAACGACACCACCGGCGGACAAGGCACCTCGCCAGAGGACAAGAGGCGACGATCCTCCAGCGGCGCTGAGAATGTCAACCTAGCGCGCCGCTCAACGCGCAGGAACCGCCAAAGCGCCATATTCAGTGGTTCTCGCGCCCAAGAAAGGCACTCTTCATCAACATCAGATGGCCTGTTCTCCCCTTCTCTGCTGCCGCCGTGGCAGTCAAGACGGGGAAGCAACGCTCCCAGTAATATCAGCAACAATAACAACAAACCCGCATCACGACGAATGTCAGATGCCACTGGCGGCCGACCAAACCTCACCGGCAATCCCCCAACCAGCCCCAGACGTCTCTCCCCCCACCCAACGCCCACCCTTTCTGTTTCAGCAACCGTGGCGACCAACGAGTCTGACGACACAGCTTTCAAGTCGCCCACCACACCAGCTTCCTCCCCCGGTCCAGCACCGCTCATCCACGTAGCAGCCCAGGGAGGAGGGGCTTCTAACTTCTCAATCTCGCATGACTCGGGCTGCGCCTGCACTTCCCCCTCCGCCTGCCGATGCAATGAACTCCTAGCCCTTGGCATCCACCATAACAGCCACAACAGCCATTATCACGGACATCCTCCCGCCCGCCCCAAAACCGCGCCAATCCCTTACCGAGAGCGTATGGAAGAGCTTTCGGTTCTCAAGCATCGGTTGCGCCATCAGCCCGCTCTGCAAGTCAGGACGACAGGCATCGACTTAACCGGGGGATTAGAGGGGCGAAGGGCTTGGACGGGTGATGTCCGGATGTATGATGAAGAGGACAGTGACGACGATGAGGATTCGAATAACGTGTTCTTGAGGCCAAAGACTGGAGAGAGTTTTGATTTGGCTTTTCGAGGAGCGATGTCGGCGAGGGATGTGAGGGAGTCGTACTCGCCGCAGAGCTTCAAAGAGAGGTTGTTGAGTAGAGGGAGCAGTGTTAGGGGCGTGAAGCAGCTGGAAGTTGAAGATGGTGTTGGCGAGAAGACTCAGGGGCAAGAAATGGGACTGAATGGCAGTGGCTCCGAGGGGACGTCAAGTCAGAGGGGGAGTTGGATGGGTTGATTGCGATTCTTTGGAGGCCGCCAAGAGTGGCTTGAACTGGGTGTGGAAGCTTCGATCAATCTAATGGAAGAGCGATAGGGGATAATAGCTGGTTCTATTTTTTTTAACTTCGAAAACATAAGCGGATATAATCAGTTTTGGAAATGACTGCGGCACAAAGCAACTTCAGTTACTTGCCAGTTTTAATACATACAAGAATGATAATGAATAATGATTGTAATTGGCCTAACACAGGAGGTAGCGGGTGGAAGTTGCCGTCTGGATGTTAGTTTGGAACAGCGAGGTAGGTCCTGAAGGGTCAGAAGACATTTCAAGTCCTGACGAGTAGGAATACCAAGCTAACAAACAAACAAATAGACAAACTAGCATTTGGGCTGTATCAATTGTGTCCATCAAGGTCCTCACCCAGCCCGTCATCGTCGAATTCACTGTACATATTCATCGTATCCATCGTTAGCTCTGCACTTCAGTAGCAGTAGAACTTTGCAATCTCATCTCAACCGAGGCGCAGCTAAGTAGGTAAGCTGGTAAGGCATCCTTGAAACTGAAAGCGGAGGTGAACTGAAGATGCATTGGCTATTGGAGAATGAAAAAAAAAGTTGTTGTCGGCCCCTAGGTTCAACAACCCCAAAAAGCCTTATCGCCCGCGTATAGTCGCTTATCGTATACGCGTATATCTCGCCGAAACCGACCAAACCGATTTGCGCTAAACCGCATTCGGTTTTCCAACGTCCCTTTCCCGCTCGTTCGTCATTAAGAAGCACTCAGCCTCAAACTCAAAACTACCTAGCTAGGTGAAATAGTGTATGTAAGCGGTAGATCGGATTCGTTGGAAAGGATCGAGACCCTGGTATGGGGCAATACGCGTATAGCCCGGCAAGGAAACCGAGAAGCTTAATTCCCAGTTCGCAGTCTTTGCAGTTGGGACACTAACACCTTACCGCGGGAATCAGTAGGGAGGTTTGTTACGGAGACATCTTGAAGGTTGAGTAGAACTATGTATCTACATGTGTATACGCGTATAGAATACATAGCGCTGCGGATACGGCCCGCTTCTTGCTTTAAGCTTCTACTCATCTCGTCGCTCTGCAGCATAGAATACCTACCCGTTGGGACGACGTTGTTAGGCAGGTAGCAGGGCAGTCCAGTCCAGTCCAAGCTGTCAACCAGGCAAATAGAAAATGTTGGTTCGGTCGAGGTCGCGGTTAGACGTTGAGGCTGTGAACTTTGTCCAAGGAAAAATTACGCGTTTAGGTATACATGTATGTTACCCATATGCCTCTGCTTCGGTTTCCTCGTAAAGGAGCTGTGGTTCCCTCTGGACTTACATATATGTTTGAAGCGGTGCCGGTTCTTCGTGATATCGGCCGCATCATCATCATCATCAACAACGCAGTAACATCGGTATTTCTTTCTTGTCCCTCATTTTTCCCTTCTGTTTCCTCGATCTACCTTTTTTTCCCCTCCCTTTGGATCTAGAAAGCTCTTCGACCTCAATCTCATCCTCGAAAGCTTGCGACGATGTCGGACAACAACTCAGACCTAGCAACCTTCGCGTACTACAAATATGACCCGTCCACAGCAGCCAATGCCATCTTCGTCGCCTTGTTCAGCATCACCGCCGTCGGCCACGCGTTTCTGCTCGCTAGGAACAGGACGTGGTACTTTATCCCGTTCTTGGTGGGATGTCTTTGTACGTTTTTCCATCCCCTTGCCGTTCCAGGTCTTCTCACAAGCCAACCAACTTCGAATTCGATTTGCTAACCGTCCACGACAAAAAACAATAGTCGAAGCAGTCGGTTACATAGGTCGTGTGATCTCCGCCGGGGAAACACCCGACTGGACCTTGACGCCGTACCTCATACAGAGTCTCCTGATCCTCTTGGGACCCTCCCTCTATGCCGCGTCCATCTACATGATTCTCGGCCGACTCACTTGCATGCTGGAGGCAGAGGCGTACTCGGTCATCAGGGTGAAGTGGTTGACTAAGATATTCGTGTTGGGTGACGTCTTTTCATTTCTGGCGCAGGGTGCTGGTAAGTCATCACTTCTCCCTCTCCTCTCCTATACCCAGTCAGTCAGTCAATCAGTCAGTCAGTCAGTCAGCACTCTAACACAAACACCAAAACAAACCAGGCGGCGGCATCCTCGCCAAGGCTACCACCCCCAAAGACCAAGACCTCGGCAACAACATCATCCTCGTCGGCCTGGGCATCCAAATCGCCTTCTTTGGGCTCTTCATCATCACCACCATTATCTTTCATTTGCGCATCGCCGCCAACCCGACCGCCAAGTCTTACTCCGTCGCCGTCCCATGGCGCCAGCTACTTTGGGTCCTGTACGTGACCAACACGCTCATCCTGATCCGCTCAGTGTTTCGCATGATCGAGTACGCCTTGGGTTGGGATTCCATTTTGATGAAGCGCGAGGTGTACCTGCTGGTATTGGACGGCATGCTCATGGTGATTGTGAGCGTGGCGTTTATGCGGTATCATCCCAGCAAGTTTCTGGTGGGGTATAAGCAGGTTGGGATGAGGTCGGCCATTGATCTGGAGGGAAGTACGGTCGAGGGCGATTATACGATGACGTCGTATGGTGGTGGTGGACAGGGCCGTCCCAGTACTAACCTCAAGGCGCATGATTCTTCTCGGCTGGAGGCGGACAGGAGGGACAGTTTGATGTTGGGCCAGAGCAGGCACCACCGCCAGACGCCGTCCGATGACGCGAACTCATACACTCCGTTGCGCAGATGAGAGGGTGAGATGATGGGCGTGCGAGTCGAGGGAGCTTGATCCAAGTTCCTTTCTGGTGCGATATGGTTATGCTTGATTGAGACAGTGGTTAGATTTTGGTTACTTGTACTGGGAAAGACAGACGATTGATGTCTGTTCAGAACTTCAGCGGGATGTTAAAACTAGAGGGTGTTTGGCGGTTAACATCATGGTTTCTTGTGTCTTTGTGTGTGTGTGTGTGTGTGTGTGTGGTTGGCTTGATGGGTAGTAAAGAAGATCCGATGATATGTATGAGCTTGGAATAAGAACGTCCAGAGAAATCTGAATAGACTTAATCGAACATGAATGTCGACCTCAATTTAACGAGCATGACTCTTGTCTGCGTCAAGGCGCACACAGCTGAGATGCTGTATGGGTGGTTCTCGAAGAAGGCATCAGAAGGGCAACGGGAGGAACATGCTCTTTCATGCGTAGGTCCTGAGTTTCGGTCAATACAGGCAAGCTGTCGAACCCCTCGTCGCGATGTCGAGGTGTGATAAGATGTAACGGGTGAAAGAGAGAGACTGTGACGATGATCGAATGGGATAACTGCCCGCCGGCAGGCAAACAGCAGGCAATGATCAAGATAGCGGTGAAGAAGGGCAGAATTCCCAATTAGAGATGATGAACCTAAAATCGGACAACTGCGACGGTCACAGTCGAACGAAGCAACTTCGATATAAGGTTCAATACAAGAAGAAAGACGAGTTGGAAGCTTCTGGCTCATACATATATAAGTGCTCAATATACACTCAATTTCCATACCCGTTTCACTCCACGACCGAATATTTCGTGCTACCAGCGCAGAGGTAGGTAGGCACACTATAGTAGTAGAGCGGGAAATTACCCCTCGATTATCAGGCACATGCCCCTGATGGCAGCACACAATGACAGTGGTGGTTAGGCGTAGCGCCCAGGCCGCTACCGTGCCGAATCAGTGGAGGGAGGGAATTTCCTCAGCTGCAACTGAACTGAACTGATCCCGACCCGATCCTTGCCCCGCAGCAAAATTTCTAATCTCTTATCAGCCGCGATTCCACAGTGGAATTTGATCAAAATCCAAATTTTTTTTTTCTTCTTCACGACACCTCCAGGTTCTCCCCGGGGTCTCGTCTTTCCATCCCATCTTCGCCTCCAGTCTCTTCACTGCAGTACTGTGCCCCCCCTCTTCAAAAACCCTTGCTATCCCCTCCCGCGGTGTGCCCGACGGGATCTTCTTTTTCTTTTCCCTTTCTTTTTTTCTTCTCTGTTCTGTTCATCTTTTCGCTGTTTTCTTTTTGATACCCCTTCTGTCCACATTTCCTTGAAGCGCCATGGACAAGCAAACGCTTGCCGCGCTCCTCAAGGAGTCGCAGATTCGTAAGCATTTTTCCAAATCCCCTCGTTCGCAACACAAGAAAGAAAAAAGAAAAAAATGAACGCGCAAAGCTGACCCCTCCTCTCCAGCTGATACCCAGAGAGTCAAGGCCATCACGGCTGAGCTCCAAAAGAACTACTATGTTCACCCCGAGTGCCTTCTCCTCCTCATCGAAGTTTTCGCGACACACGATGACTTGGGCGTCAGGCAATTGGCCGCCGTCCAGGCTGCTAGACTCGTCACCAAGCACTGGGGCAAGATCCCCAAGGCCCAGAAGGTGCAGGTCCGCCAGGTCCTCCTCGAGGCCACCCTGAAGGAGCAGAACCCCAAGTGCCGCCATACCGCTTCCCGTCTTATCGCTGTCATCGCCTGCTTTGACTTCGAGGAGGGCGAGTGGGACGATCTCCGCGACATTGCCATGAACTTGGCTACCAACGCCGATGTCAACCAGCGTGAAGTCGGTACCTACATCATCTTCAGCTTGATCGAGGCCAACCCCACGGCTTTCGAGGACCTCCGCAAGCTTCTCGAGATCTTCAACCACACTCTCCGCGACCCCCAGAGCGCTGATGTTCGCATCAACACCATGATGTCCATTGGCGCCTGCCTCCTCATGTTCGATCCCGAGGAGGATCCCCAGGCCGTTAATGCCCTTCAGACCCTCGTTCCCTCTATGGTCGACGTTCTCAAGCACGTCGTTGAGTCTGGCGATGATGAGAAGATTGCTCAGGCTTTCGACGTTTTCCAGCAGTTCTTGGCTTGCGAGTCTTCGCTGCTCGGCAAGTACCTTAAGGATCTTGTCAAGCTGATGATTGACCTCGGCGGCAACCCCCAGGCTGAGGATGAGGTCCGCGCTCAGGCCCTTGCTTTCCTCGCCCAGACTGTCCGTTACAGGCGCATGAAGATCCAGGGCATGCGCGATGTTGGCGAGGAGCTCACCATCAAGAGCATGGTCATTCTCACCGAGATCGACGACGATGAGGATGAGGATGATATGAGCCCCGCCCGCTCCGCTCTCATGCTGCTCGATCAGCTTGCCAGCGACCTTCCTCCTCGCCAGGTTATCGTTCCCCTTCTCAATGCCTTCCCCAAGTTCGCCACCAACTCCGAGGCTGGCTACAGAAAGGCCGGTATCCTTGCTCTCGGCACCGTCGTCGAGGGTGCTCCCGACTTCATCGCCAACCAGATCAAGTCCATCATGCCCCATGTCATCACCCTGCTCAACGACCAGGATGTTGGTGTCAGGCACGCCGCCCTTGTCGGTCTGTCTCGCCTTGCGGATGACATCGCCTCTGAGCTCTCCCCTTACAACGAGCCCATTATGACTGCTCTTGTCAAGAACCTCCAGGCTTCCATGGCCGCCTCCAACGATGCCACCCAGGCCAAGAAGAATGTTGAGATCATCCGTTCCGTTTGCGGTGCTCTTGACTCCATGTCCGATGGTCTCGATGCCGAGTTCATGAAGCAGTATGCTGGCGAGCTTGTCGCTAACATCGGCGCTCTGATCGGCCACGAGGACTACAAGGTCAAGGTAGCTGCTTCCGGTGCTATCGGTGCCATTGCCGAGGCTCTCGGCGAGGAGTTCAAGCCCTACTTCGACAACATCATGCACGCCCTTGGTGCTTACCTCACCATCAAGGAGACTGAGGACGACCTTGCCCTTCGTAGCGGTGTTTGCGACTCCGTCGGTCGCATCGCCACTGCCGTCGGTGCTCAGACCTTCCAGCCCTACGTCCTTCCTCTCATGAAGTCCAGCGAGGAGGCCCTCCATCTCGATAGCACCAGACTCCGCGAGTCCTCTTTCATCCTCTGGAGCTGCCTCTCCAAGGTCTACGAGAAGGACTTCTCTCCCTTCCTTCCCGGTGTTTTCAAGGGCTTGTTCCACAGCCTTGAGCTTGAGGAGGAGGAGATCAACCTCGAGCTCTCTGAGGCTGAGCGTGCCATTGCCGGCACTGATGAGGAGATCATCACCGGTGGCAAGCGCCTCAAGGTCAAGGCCAACGATGACGAGGATATTATGGATGATGAGGAGGGCGAGGATTGGGAGGACATTGGCATCTCCCCTGAGGCTTTCGAGAAGGAGGTTGCCATCGAGATCATGGGCGATATTATTACCCACTCTTGCTCCGGCGCCGAGATTAAGGAGTACCTTGAGAAGGCCGTTGAGATGATCTCTCCTCTCCTTGAGCACCCTTACGAGGGCTGCCGCAAGGCTGCCATCGCTACTTTGTGGCGCGCTTATGCCCGCGTCTGGCAGCTTATGGAGGAGGAGACTGGCTCTAACTGGGAGCCCGGTCTTCCCCTCAAGACCCAGCCCACTGTCACTCTTGTCAAGCTTGGCGAGATTGTTACCAGCGCCACCCTCAAGGTGTGGTTGGAGGAGATGGACCGGTACGTACACTTTCTTTCCCTTTCTTCCCTTAACTGTTCGAATGATGAGCAACTTTGCGTTAAACCCAGCTCACTCAGAGGCAAAATAATCGTCGATGCTGAGAACGCGCTACATCTACTCCTGACATGAACATCATACCCTATTTTTTTGGATCAATCAACTTCGCAGCATGAAGCTAACTGTTGAAAAGTGCCGTCGTTACCGAGGTCAACCGCAACGTTGCCGCCACTCTCAAGGCCTGCGGTCCTGCCATTCTTGCCCAGGGCGACTTCATGAAGGAGACCATCAGCATCCTCAGCACTATCATCACCCGCTCCCACCCTTGCCAGCAGGATCTTGGTGACGAGGATGAGGAGCAGGAGGTTGAGGGCTCTTCCGAGTACGACTGGCTTGTTATCGACACTGCCCTCGATGTCGTGATTGGCCTCGCCGTCGCTCTTGGCCCCGCCTTCTCTGAGCTCTGGAAGATCTTCGAGAAGCCCATCTTGAAGTTCGCCTCCTCCGAGGCTGAGAACCTCGAGCGCTCCACCGGTGTCGGTGTGATCGCTGAGTGCGCTGCCAACATGGGTGCCACTGTCACTCCCTACACTGGCAAGCTTATGCATCTGCTCCTCAAGCGTCTCTCCGACACCGATAACGAGACCAAGAGCAACGCTGCCTACGCTACCGGCCAGCTCATTCTCCACTCCACCGACAGCAACACCTACCTTCCCCAGTACGAAACCATCCTCCACAAGCTGGCCCCCATGCTCCAGATTCCCGAGGCTCGTATCAAGGACAACGCCTCTGGCTGCTTGTGCCGCATGATCCTTGCTCACCCCGATCGTGTTCCTCTTGCCCAGGTTCTTCCCGCCCTGGTCGATCTCCTGCCCTTGAAGGAGGACTACGAGGAGAACACTCCCGTCTACCAGTGCATCTACAAGCTCTACGAGCAGGGCGAGCCCACTATCAACTCTCTTACTCCCAAGGTCATCCCTGTCCTTGAGTCAGTCCTCAGCCCTCCTGAGG